CCTTCAAGTTGTCTTAGGTAAGGCAGTTTACTAAGGTAAGGTAGCACGGGTAGGTAGGTGCGAAGAAGGGACGGTGGTGCTAAATGCTAACTGAACTTTGCAGAAAGAGGAAAGGACCAGCCGCGCGGAAGGCAAAGTCTAAAGACAAGATGGCGCCAATACGCGCGAAATTCACACCGATTTTATCTGGGAAGGCACGTTCACTGTCGACGTCCATGGCGCCTGCCAACTTTGGTCTCTGTTGGGTAAGTACGCAGTACCTTAGGGTAGGTACTAATGGAATGGAAGGCGCAAGCCCCGACTGCAACTTCCATCTTTGAACTCGGGTTGCTCCTTCCACCTCCAGCTATTAGTTCTCATGATTGGCTCGGAATCACGAGAATGGTACGTAACTAACCTCAAAGGCCACGTCGAGTATCGACACTCCAAGGATAAGCCAACTTGCCATTGCCTGCCATTGCCTGCCAAAAGGCCGACCTTGACATTGACAGCATCTCGTTTGGGCTCTTTGCAGTTTGCTGCACCACTAGGGGATTTTAGCTCAGTGGAATTCGTCCCGACCTTTCCACTCACGCGAGCCGCCACTGCTCGTCTCGACGCATGTACTCCATGTACCTTTTCATGTATCCAAACCTCACCCAAGCTCACCTTACCTCGAATATTATGCCAGGCATCCAGTAACCTCGACGTGGAAAACTTCCCGAATCGTCCCTCTATCCGGGACACGACTCTAGCTTGCTTCGACTGTCGATTCAACCGGGCCACTTGCAGCCTTGTTTGGTCCGATGCCAGGGGACATGCCAGGCACCTCCATACGGAGCACGGAGGCATCCTTTTGTTTCTCTTCCTCTTCCACCCCATGAGGGCCATGAGGGGGTACGGCTACAACATGTCAAAAGGTGACTCCCGTCCGTCCCCTTGAATGCTTAACCACTTGACACCTCCAAGTTGACACAAGTTAGAAGGAAGTAAGAGGTCACCGGTCGACTCTTTCATAATCTCTAACTTGCCTAGACACGATCAAGAAGGAAACCACTCATTCTGCGACTCGGAAGAGGGTCTCCCCAACTCCTGCCGGCCCCGTGTTGGCCCCCCCCCCCCCCCCCCCCCCCGGAGCCTTGACCCAGGTCGCTCAGCGAGTGACAGGCCCGTTTTCTGTGGCTGGAAGCTCGCTGCGAGGTGAATATCGAACCATCCGCCCAGGACCGCCCCCCCTCCCCTCCTTCAAACATCCCGGCCCGTCCAATCCCCAGCCGACGGGACAGTCTTAGTCAGATGCCATCCACAAGGCAGGTACGAATAACCTACGACTTTCCGTACCTTCCTCTGTCTTTCTACCACAGGAAGGCAGGTACGGATACTCCGCGCCTTACCTACTTTGCGGATACCCACGATTACTTTGCACCTCGGTCTGCTTGCACCGAACTCACAGGTCGCATAGCACAATCAATACTTGTGCAACACTCGTCCATCAAGTAACACCGAACGAGATTCGAAAAGGCAACGTCTTGGATGAAGTCTCTTTGCAATGCGACTATATAATTGCCATCTATATTCATCATCAATATTATCCGTTCTAAGAGAAGCAAAAAAGACTCTAATGCAGGCGCGCTGCTGCTGCAATTCCCCGTCGCACACGATCAGGTACTAAAAGGAGACTTGCCATGCCAGCTCCTCCAGGCTCCGAGGTACTTCTGTCAAAAGTCCCACTACCTCCTTCTCCAGCCACTAATGCCCGTGCAGTAGCTCAGTCTCACATCTGCGTTACGTAAAGGGGTACTAAGTCCGTATGTCCCACCGGTTGGTCTGGCCGCGTCTCCTCCACGTACTCTCGCAAATCCGATGCAATTTCAACCTCCCAGCCAAGCCACCGTGACCACCCCCCCATGCAGCAAATCGCTCCTCTCAACGCCTCGTACCGCACCTCTTCGCATGAAGTTGCAATTCCACCAAAGCCACACTCGCAGCAGATCATTGAGGCGCTACCTTGAACTGACCTCATCTTCAATTTCAGCCCTGCACTTTCAAGGCTTCTCCTGCTCTCTTGGGCCGCAGAATATTGACCGACGACATCATCATCATCGTGGACGTCGTCAACTTCATTCTGAACATGAGATGACTTCCGCAATCCCTTCTCAGTCTGTCCCAGTCTCCGTTCCTGCGGACACATACCACGGATACATACTACGGATACCCTCTAGTTGAGTCTAGCTTTTGCTGCTCTGCATCGTCATCTTCCAGGCCAAACCCTCCTCAATCTATTCCACTCTATACCATCCCCGGCCCTGGTCTCTCCTGTGCTACCTTGTTCTGTTTGCTCTACTCCCGGCGAGTCCCCTCCTATCATATCCCCTCTTCTCCCCCCCTTTGTGTTCGTTGACTTTGCAGCTCCCCGTTGGCCCCTTGTTCCGCTCACGAGCCCATGCTCCAAGTAGAGTTCTCGAGACCCGGTGAACCTGCCCGGCGTCCTATTCCAGTCGAAGCTTCACATTGCCAATATATCTAGTTGCCTCGGCCAGTGCATACGGCTGTTGTCTGCTCGGTGTCACCAGCCAACATTACTTGCATCACATTCGCACGTCAAGAATAGCATAGCATATGCAAAGAACTGGACACCTGTCAAGATGTGACTCGGACATCTCTAATCAAGCCGTACGTCCCTTCGCACCATAGGGCTCCGGAGCACATGTGAAAGCACTAATAGGAGTTGTTGCGCCGCTCACATGACAAGTCCTAATAAGAAGACCGCCCGGGGAGATTATCCGTCAATCGATTCCCGTCAATCCCCGTGGGATCTGCTTGAACGTCATCTCAGCGATCGCCCTTCGTCTGTCTGTAAGACCGCCGCCAGCCACGACGAGTCGACGACGACGACGACTACCTACAGATTATTCGTACGGCTGGCTTATTCCGCCATCCCGTCACTGCAAACAAGCACTTCGTTCATCCCGCCCTCTGTCTTGCCCGCCCAGCATGACCCATGCTCGCATCCACACTTGACCAGCATCTCCTTTTCAGCCTCCATCTCGTACCCAATAATGGGGGTTTCCAACACTCATCTCCAATCGTCCGTGCTTCTTCATGCGTCGCCCCAGGGTTGAGAGAACTATTGAATTCCCAAGCTCTTCTTTAGGGAATCGAGCATGTACGCAATGCTTCGTCAATCTCATTCGCAATCTCTGGCCACGCAGCTTGCTCCGTCTTTTACCCAAAAATCATCAAAATATCCATGGCTCTTAACGTCCCCACGGTGGTATTGATATAGCCACAGCCGGCATCCATGCCTGCACCATGTCGCGTCGCCTCGCTTCGTTAATCGCCCACCGTTGCAACCGTTCTTTTTACCTTTTCGTTTCCCCGCATATCCGGAGCTTCTACGCACTTCCCTCACGAGGTTAGTGCAGACCTTCGGAGGTCATTATTGCCAGCCGAACCGGGTGTTTCCCCCGCCCGTATCGGAGGCCTGGCGACACCATCACCGTGTCCGCACTTTTGTCTCGAGGTATTCCTCAGTCTTTGAAAACGACATTACCATTACCTATTACATTCGGGGTGACTTCCATTTACGCAAAAAAGGCCCGATCGTCACAGAGATGTTACACAACATTTTACATCCCCCTTTTCTCCTATCCGTACCTATGATGAGCCATCAGAACTTCAACGTAGGTGGACTTTGCGAGGGATTACCACGTCATTGTTGCACCGTGGCCCCAGCGTTTGTGCCTGAAGATCCTTTCCGTGTTCGCCTGCCCAAATGCCGGATAACCTTGTCTTCTAGCCTCTCTATGATGTGGCCTTTCAGAGGCTCAATCTACGAATACCGGAACTACGTTTGCTGAAGTTGATCAAGTATGACATCAAACCAGATGCGACATTTGATTGCGGAGCGCGAGACTGGCAGAATCCTCTTGTCCTCTGCCGGCAATTCCGATCTTTAATGTCCATCATACGGGCAAAGCATCAGCTTAGATATGGGGTTTAACCTTTTTTCTCTGCCTTGCGGATCAAGGAACGTTCGTCTCCATCCTCATCATATTCACCGATTGGACAGGTCCCTCAATATCTGGGCTGGTAAGAGGTGGTTGAAGGCATAAAAGTCCGATAGGAACCAACTGTCCTCATCTGCCTTTGAGTCCAACGGGATACATCGGGAGACAGTTCTCACGCGAGAAAATCGCTTCTGCGTTGAGCCATGCAGAGGATATTGTGAACGAGGGTTCAGGTTGACGGTTGATATCAGTTATTATAGGGTAGGTATAGACTGAAGGCACCTCAGGATAACGCCTCAGTCAACGATAGCTATCATGATCCGGGAGGTATTCTTCATGGTATACGCCTTTGCGGATGGACTCTGCCCGCTAGCGAATTGTGTTTTCACGACGTCTTTTTTAATGTTCTAAAGAGTGGAACGACTGACAATATGAAGGCTGCACACGTTGTTAAGCACAAAGTGGGAGAGGTGCTTGCCATCGGCCTTGGACACTTGTCAACTCAGGCAATGGGCCAATATTACCTGTCATTGTCAGAATCTTGAAATGCTGACAGGTAGGTTGGTACTTATAGTGTTGTCCGCAGGCGAGCAACAATAGCGGCCTTGGACTTTAATGATACTAACGAGGCAAAGGGTGGGTGTATATAACCATAACAGTAGGTGTGTGGACTCTCTTCTCCCAAATCAGCCTCGAGCGGGGTACGACTATGACGCGAAGAACATAGTCCACCTCGTCGTCGATGACTCCAGAGCAGCTATCATCGAAGCCATGCATGGCCTCGAGGACTCGCGCAGAATATTCACCTCCTAGGTCTACTTGTCAAGATCCGGCAGGTATTCCTCATGGTATATATCTTCCTGTAAGGACTCTTTGGGGTCTTTTGTGGACTCTGGTAGGTGGAAATCCCATCACATCAGGTTAGCTCGTACGTACATCGGAGCTCGAGCAGAACGATGTGGGCAAATGGAATCTCATCGTAATTTTCGGTGCTCATTGAATCATCCACAGTAGGAAAAGAGATTCTGGTCAATTGATAGTGTGGTTGGGCTTAAAGGATACATGTCCATGACAAGAGTTACTTGAACATAATCCACGCATGCCGTGGATAGTAAATGGAAAGCACTACCAGACGTTGTGCAAATGAATCAGAAGACACAGTTCACTTTGGCTTCGCTTGTGCGGGAAACCCGAGATGGAATCCGTTCTCTCACGAACACTACGACTGCGCCACACTAGCACTGTTGCCTTGACTGAGCTGAGGGATATAGAGGAGTTCAAGTACTCGCTCATCAGGTATAAGACAAAAAACGATATGAACAGGATGTAGAGATGTCCCATGATGCTGCAGAAATGAAGGAGCAACCATGAAGTTGGCCTAGTTGTCTTTGTCCAAGTACTATGCCCAGTCGTCATAATCTGGTAGACCTTCCTCGAAGTATACCTCCTCGACGCGGTCGAAGCCCACCTCAGGGGCATCGTATGGCCACGGTTCTCCGTTCCCGCTCGCGAAGAGGGCGAACATGGAGCCCTCAAAGTTGGGGTATCCGGGGTTCGACCCCATCTGCTTAGAGCTGAAGCTTTTCAGCCACGTGGGCGAGGTCGCGTTGCTGCGCGAGTAGCCTAGGGAGTATTCTAGAGGCGAGGCACGAATGTGAAGTGTCAGGTCTGCAGGGATCGTCGACTCGCTGAGAGGGTACTCGGTTGACTAAATGGAAAGTAGCTGATCAGCTTCTGGACCTTCTTTCGGTTAGGCGGGGGAACTTACGTTTGGTCGTGTGGTAGGTCCGGTGGAAGTCGGTAAGAGATCGGTGTACAAACACAGCCCTGTCGTGTTCCAACATCCTCTTATGCCGATATCTTGATGGTTGACTTCACTCAGATACGACGCGATTCCAACCGACTGTCTTGGTCCCAGTCCGGCTGACGTCGACGACAGTCTGGCTGAGAAAGTCATGTTCAACGAGGTCTGCTTGTGAAGCACAGCAGCCGCCGTATCCCGGTCCCCGAGCGTGAAGACGTTCGGGTTAAACACGATTCCCGAGTCGTTGGCAATCACTCTCTTCCCAAGACCACCTGCCCCCGCCGCACCCTTGAGCAGAAAGTTCTCCGTGTAAGGCGTCCGTTGCTGGTACCATCCGATTCCCAACTCCGTACCCGTAAACTCGTCGACCCATTTCGCCTTGGGATACTCCTGATCAGGCCCGTCGACGCTCTCGCTCAGCAGCAGAGGTTTCCCGCCATTCATCGTCGGCCAGTCATCCTCCCAGTCAACCTTTATCAGAAACGCCTCGCGGCCTAGCGGTGATGCACCCTTTACGTTTCGTCTTGCCAACAGGGAGGCGTACCATTCTCCGTCGGGCGTATCAGTAAACGTCGCATGGCCAGTCGACTGCACCGTAAGCTTCGGATCAGCGCCATTGTAGATGAGCGGGTTCGTAGGGGAGGATTCCCACGGCCCCTGAGGTGCCTTCGAGCGGCCTATTGTTGCGCGGTGGCCGGTACTCGTGCCACCTTCCGCTAGGAGGAGGTAATACCACTCTCCGCGCTTAAACATCTTGGGACCCTCTGGCCTCGCGCTGGGCAGCTGCGGAAGCGTGCCATTCCAGATATTGCGATACGGACCAATGCACTTGCCCGTGGCAAGGTCGATTTCGCACTGCGTTATACCCCACAGTCGGTCGTAGTTGTTATTAGGTCCCATGAGGTTGAGATAAGATTTTCCCGTGGCCGGATCGTGAAAGAGATCCGGGTCGATGCCGTAGGGCTCCGCCCAGGTTAAGGATGACCAGGTGACGAGGTCCGGGGAGGAGATGTACCATATCCGCGGCCAGGAGCGGGAGTCCGGGTCGGAGCCCCATCGCGTCATGGAGGTGATGTAGAAGAGGCCGTTGTGGTGGGAGAAGGAGGGGGCCCAGACGCCCTCCCCGGCGGAGACGCCGTAGAGGGCGAGGACAGAGGGGTCTTTGAGGGCGTGGGAGACGAGGTCCCAGTTTGCGAGGTCGGTGGACTTGTAGATTGGGATGCCCGGGTAGTAGGTGAAGGAGGACACGGCCAAGTAGTAGGTGTCTTCAACGCGGAGGATGGCTGGATCGGGGTTCCATCTGGGGAAGTGTTAGTGAGTTTCGTTCGAGGTGATCGAGAAGGATGGTAGGCTTGACCCTGGGAGTATTGGGTTCTTGATAGCTGATACGACCGCTGCTAGAAGCAAGGTCGCTCTTGCGAGGAGCTTCATCGTGTCAAGTTAGAGACGAAAGTCGGTCACTTCCAGCTCGCAGCTGATCTTAAAGACTCACGACAAACGTCGCTGGAGCTCGGTCTCTCTTATACGAACCACCGAAGGAGTTGCTTACCTCCCAACCTGAGCTATCTACTAAGCCGAAAGACCCCTGTCAGACTGCAGTCTAGCTCCCGCCCGGTCCTCGGGCCTGTCCGGGCGAACCCCCCGATGCGCGCGGTGACGGGGTCCGCAGCGCGGGGTATATCATCGCGGGGAAGATTGGCCGGGTAAAGCCAGATTTGCAGATGTTGTCCGATCCGGGAGCAGATCCCACCTTGGATGGAGCTGCAGATTCCCTGCCAACCACGTCATAGGCATTAAACTGATAGGCGGAAATGTGTTACACCGTTGCTCTGTACTGCAGTCTCTATCCCAACGTCCTTGGCATCGCTTTTGCCTTTAGGGTGTTCGCGCCAGCCTAGAGTTTTTGATTTCATATTGACCCGGCCGGTCTGATATCAACATTAACGTCAGCCTTTACTCAGAGTGAGTTATGATGGATGTTTTCAAGACTAATATTCGCAGGTCAACTAGCTACCGTCACCTTGAATCTTTAAGTAGTGCGCTTTCTGTCATTTTTAGAATAGTCAAAACAGAACTAGGCATCAAATTATCTCGCTTGTAAGTATATAACGATTACGACTCGAGGTCTTACAGACCATGAGGTTGACTTCCGTTATCACGTACGCCTTCTCGCTATCTAGATCCTAGTGTATTGTGACCTCTGTCATAGTCTTTATCATGCGCAGACGGTCGCCTATGTTCAGACCTACGTAGAGCCCAACACGGCGGTATGTCCCGTCTTGCGCCCTTTCAAGTATCAAACCTTGTGAATTTGTTCCTAAAATCCGGTCGTAATGTTCTGGTGGAATACCGTCCTCTACAACGTAACCCAATATGTGGAAGCAAATGAAGCCCGGAGGCAATTCTCTCAACGAATCCAGCTCTTCCCCAGAGTCGAAGCGCATCTGAATATGCCAGGGCGTGAGGACGTCGTGCATACGGTTAAAACATTTGCCTCGTAAGGTGACGTATCCTGATGTGACGGCTCCATATGGTGCAACGTCAATGAGGGGCTCTACTGAGAGAGCGACTACCTGTGGCAATGGAGAGAGACCTATACCATTCGTCCGCGATCTGATTGCTAGCTTTTCATAGTCAACGGAGTTGTCGCGGTAAACAAGTGAGGGCACTTTCTTTTCCAGTCCAGATCGTGGATATATACATGACTCAAGGTGGGTCAAGTCAGGCAAGTGCCAGACGACGGCTCCTGGAAAGCTTGCCCAGGACCAAGATGGTGCTATGTAGGAAGAAGATAGCTGCGGAGTGAAGGGATTCTTCGGCATCCATAATAGTTCCAGTGGGAGAAGTGGCGTGTTCCACAGACCGGCAGCGTATGGCGATGCGTCGACATCGCTCGATGGGTTGACCATGTTTCCAAGTGTTTGGGCGACTCCTGAGATTGCCAACAGCCGGTCTCCAGGAATGGAAAGTGTCCGCTGCGAGAACTCCTCCACAACCTTCGACCACAGCTGAAAGATTGCCTCGGGAGGAGGATAAAGAATACCATGAAGATCTGAGATGAGATGTTCGGGATCTCTTGGATGGTTACCATAGCTAGTGTTGTGGGCGATTCTATCTCCGTATCCCACCCAGTGGCGGGTCTTGAACATATTATCCCGGAGTGAAGTAGCACCCGAGCTTGGACCGAACCTAGTGGTCATACAAGCCCAGGAGATTCGGCGAGTGCCAAAGGAAACCAACCGAGTGGCCAACAGAGACTCTTGTAATGTCCACGCCCGGGTGTCGATGTGATCAATTTCGTCTCGAGCTTCAGCACGGAAGAGCTTCAATCGTCTGTTAGGCGAACTATCAAGGCGAGGTTTGTCGTCAAAAGGGAAATAAAATCCTACATAGCCATCCGATTCTGTTGGGTCAGGGGGGTTGAGGAAACCTTCTGCACAGCTTTTCGCTACTGCCGCGGATATTGTGATCATAGAGTTGGCGTAATAGTGAGCCATGTCGCCGACCTCTTTAGCTAAAAGAACGGGGTCGTTTTGCACCATGCAGAGGCTATCAACCCAGAGAAGTCTTATACCCAGTCGTCGAGTAACGTAGATTGCGTCCTGGATGGTTTTGGGTAAACCTCTCACTTCTATGCCTCTCTCATGGCGAGCCAAGTTGACAGTAGTGGTCTTGGCGGTCTGTTCCAGGCCCCAGCAGTAGGAGAGAGCGACATATGGGTCAGTCTTTGCGCCGTGGATTTGTCTAATGCGGACAGTCTCATTCTCCTCGGCAGAAATTACAAGGAACCGCAGAGGCCGGATGCCCGCTCCTTGTCGGCAAGACTGGTGTGATTCGAGGCACACCTGAAGTCGACGACGAATTTGCGAGATGCCTCTTTCCGAAAAGGTACCGCCGTCTATAGTACGCCCTACGGCATCATTTGCGCAAGGGTCGTCTGCAACCACATTAGCGAAATATCTTGATGACGGATGCTAGCACAAGTAAAGATCCAACTTACACGCGTCAGACTCGATATCGAAAGTCCCTCCGGTTGGACTCCAAGAGTATTTATCCGTCGACACAAGAACCGAGCATTTGATAGCGTCGGTGATGACGCCATTGACAGACTCAATCACCAAGCAAATCCTTGTCCTCATAAGTTGTTCAGGTAGTGTCCTAGACCTCATAATCTGTCCCCATATCCACACGAAGAACGGACATCCTTCAGCGTTAGCAGCAGAAACCTGATGCATGGAATGAGGCAAAACGTTCCGCCACCTTAGGCTCCCCCTTTGGCGCGTCTTCAATGGATCACTGTGCAGCGACACCCATCTGTTGATTCTCTCAGGGTCAACGCTCGATGTTGATATAAGAGCTGCAGCACAATAATCACATGTGTGACTGGCGGTCGAAAACGATGGTACATCGACAGGTTGCGATGATTCGCTGCACCGTGGATGGGGAAAGTGACGTTGGGCGTAAAATCTTTCCATTTCGCAGCTTGAGTTGACTGAACCACGGGCCCCCTTGAAAGGACTCCGGAATGTCTTTCTGCAGTTGAGAGAGTCAACTTGAGTTTAGCTGAGTATTGAAGGATTTGCTGGGCTTCTTCGGAACTTGAAGAGTGACCGGGAGAAATCTTCGGCTGCATACACAGCTAGCTGCCTGATCGAATCGAGGCTGAGTGGCCCCGTTCGGAGGCCGCCCAACACGTGATCTATGCACGGCGTGTGTTCAATCGTTCGCGGACATCGTGAGTAGCATATCACATGAAATTTTCGACTCCAGGGTATAGGAATCCTGCTAAGAGCTCTAGGTATGGACGTTTGACCAATCTGGTACTCTTCAACAACCGAAATGAAAGTAAAAGCATGGTAATGGTTATACTGTATGAGTCATAAGCTAGTCTTTCTAGTTTGGACACCCTACGCTGAGGGTATGCTTGGATGATCCGAATCAGACTTGTTGGTGAGGTGGGTTTACACTGTCAATAGTCAGTAACTACACGAGCGAAAGGATACCAGTGTCCGAGGTGGGCTCGGCAAGTGCGTGACCTTCAATGTCTACAGCGCAAGCAAGTAGAAGATAATTTTTACGATCTAATGCAGTCTTCCTCAAAAGTGGTTGATTTATGCAACGCCATCGCTTTGTTTCCTTTGGCTAATTTGGAGTGCGACCTGTCAACTATTCAATAAGGTAGTCCACGATCCGCAAGGAGCTCTGAAGACACTTATGTGCCGGCGCCTGGGGTATCATTGACTGTTCTGAATTCACAATGGCTATGTTCGCAGAACTAACACAGAGCAACCTTGAAAGAATTCTTACTGAACATAGCAAGTCCGTATGGCACCGCAATACGAGATTAGCTCATTGGCCAAACAGTGTGTCCTGTGTTAGTGACCTTATTGACCTCGAGCACAATAGTTCGTGGACCCTGAATGACTTCATTGTGCCCCACTTGGGTGAATGCTATACTCTATTCTCAGCTGGGCATAATGTCAAGACATTCTGTGGTCTATTCTGCTTTGAACAGCCCAACCAAGTATGGAGATTCTGCTGTGGGTAATAAATTACTCAAATGTCTTACTTTACAATATCACAAACCACTTGGCAAGCAAGTCATACATATGGGTGACCAAACTCAATGCAATGCGAGGGCCGCCAGTACCCGCCGGCGCCCGATGTGGTGTTAGTGTCTCAGTGTTTGTTAGGCCGATAAGGCGCTCCGGGCGCCGTCGCAGATGCCCACCGCCTCCTCAGTGACATCGTCGGAGCTCCCCGCGACTCCTATTAGATAAGTGCGGAGTCGCCCTGCCCGTCCTTTGTCGTCGTGCATTCATCGCTCACGAGAGTTCCTCATCACCTTCATACCAATTCTCACATTTACCTTTTTCAAATTATACACAATGGATTCCGAAGTCAAGTACCTTCTCTCCCTGCGCGCCATCCGGGAGCGGGCGAAGATCGTTGGGGATGTCGCCAAAGCCGGGAACTTGAGCCACTTTGAGGTTCGGGAAGATAAGCTGGATGAGGTGGTCGATTTCGTGGCTTCAGTTATCAAGGTCTGGACTCATTCTTCTTTTCGAAACCTCATGCCGCAGGTCTAACATGGAATCTTTAGCGTGATTACGGCCCAGACAAGTTCCACACAATCCCCCCTCATGGACGTTGGCAGCACTTTGAAGTCGGAAATGTGCCCCGCATTACGAACGTCATAGAAGAGTGGAAGGCAAACGGAAGCGACGAGACCGAGGTTACCCGTCGCCTTATCGACCTCTTTTTTGTCTCTGTGCTTTTGGACGCCGGTGCAGGTGATCATTGGCGATACAAGGAGCCCAAGGCCGACCAGGTCTATGAGCGGAGTGAGGGCATCGCCGTAGCCAGTCTCCATATGTTCAACGCTCTGGCCTTTACCACGTCAGCTGACAAAGCCAACCCTATAGTTGATGGTAATGATTACAACTATAAACCCAAGGCATCCACTAATCTCTTCTGCTCACAGGAAAGGGTTTGGAGCGCTTGGAGACAAGTGCACTGGCAGAGGGCTTCCAGGTTTCAGACAGCAACCCCATGCTGGGAGTTGACTCTCGCGCCGGTCTCCTCCGGAGCCTCGGAAAGTCACTCCTAGAGCATCCTGAAATTTTTGGAGCAGAGGGCCGTCCAGGCAACCTCGTTGGTACGTTTGATACCGCTGCCCCTGAGAAACTGACAGCTTGCTAATGACGAGTAGATTACCTGGTCAAGTCTGCCAAGGGGTCCTTCAAAATCGACGTACTCTATCTCTGGGACATTCTCCAGACACTTTTGATTCCTGCTTGGCCCAAGGATCGCACAACTATTGGCGGAACGCCAATCGGTGATGCCTGGCCGTTGAGTACTTTAAGCAAGGGAGCAGAGGCCGGCAGTTCCGACTCCCCTGCGGCCGGCATTCAACCCTTCCACAAACTGACACAGTGGCTCACCTACTCCCTGATGGTCCCATTCCAACGGGTCCTCGGTCTGGACTGGATCAATGCTGACTCTCTCACGGCCTTGCCGGAGTACCGCAACGGCGGACTGTTCGTCGATATGGGTGTTCTGGCCCTGAAGAAGGAGACGCTGGAGCGAGGCCTGAAAGCATCGGGCAGCGAGCTGCCAATGTTCGAGGCTGGTGACGATGTCATCGTGGAGTGGAGGGCCATGACGTTGGTGCTGATTGATAGTCTCTATGGCAAGATTCGGTCTCGCATGGGAGAGGGTGTCCAGTTGAGCATGGCACAGCTGCTCGAGGCAGGAACATGGAAATCTGGGCGCGAGACGGCAGCAAAGTTCCGGCCACAGACTAAGTCAAGCCCTATCCTCATCAAGAGCGATGGCACTGTCTTCTAGGGCTGAGTGGATGATGGTGCATCAAGGCAGGGCGGTCTGCTAAAAAAAAATAGGGAGCTGGCTCCAAGCTTGTTTAGTTTGGTAGAGGGACTAGTCGAGCCCGCATACCCGTGATTCCAATTGCCGGAACATGCTTGCTTCTCTCGATACTGGTAGAAGCAGAGTGATTGGTCCTCGACATGGACAAAGGAGGGGAAACTGGAAACCTGTGGCTTGTTTAGATTCAAAGATCGTCACCGTGGCGCGCACCGTCTCCAATAATCGTGGCGCTCCAATCCCCCAGATGCCCAGCTAGGCTTCGTGGGGTGGTAGGTAGGTAGACCAGCAACCAGAATAATATGATGCTACTGGATGCTTCCGATTATCCTTTGGATGCGAACCTTTTCCGTGATGCATCTTCTCCTCTGTTCGCCACTCTCGAATCTGAGACAAAATTTCGTCCCAGCATGAAGCTACCTGTCCGCGACCTTGTCTACTCGTTTTATACAGCGACGAATGCGGGAGACTTTGGCTACCAGCCAAGCTATGATGTTCCCTGTATCAGGGACGGCATTTGGAGAATCGGCTGCGGACTCGATAATGTGCACTGTCCATGTGACCCAGACAAACAGGAGGCCATGGCATTGGTTCTGATATCATGTCTGGTTGCACGCACACCAGCAGATATTTCAAGTAAGTCTGACAACCAGCCTTCCAATTTCTTTCCTATCTGACAAGCTGACCTTGACAGGAGCTCGAGATACTGCATCATCAGCCTGTGCTCATGTATCCAAGAGAAGACTTTCAACCACAGGACCCTTATCCGTTTCCAGCACCCCAAGAACCGTTGAAGTTGCAGTCGAGCAGTCTGTATCGGCAAGAGATGCTGCTGTTGGCCAACAAGACCAACTTGGAGAAACCGTATCAACAAAGGGTGGTATTTCGACTGGGGCCATAACAGGTACTGCTGTTGCAGTTGTGGCGGCCGTTCTCCTGGTACTAGCCTTGGTGTACTTGGGACGTAAGAAGAGGAGGACTATCTTCGAAGAGGCTGGATACGGCGGTGAGACTGCAACCGAGTTGACCGGGAAGCGCAGCCTAGGGCATGGAACAAGGACAGAAAGGACTATCTCTTGGGAAGCACCATCGTCGGCTCACTAGCTCAAGAACGTTGAGTCTGGATCGCTTAAGAAGACTATTAAGGGGCAGGGAGCCGACTTTCACTTAGTCTATCGATGGACTGCCTGCTTCCAGGACTCAATCGCTGGGCAGTGGCATATTAATTTGGGTGGTTGGCGAGGGAATGAGGCAGAACTGTCGTGTGTATCGTACAACAGGTCTGAGAACAAGACGGACAATCGAGTAGTGTTCAACAAAGATAAGTTGCATGAAGAGCTACACGTAACATTGCCCATGAGCGCCCTGCCTTGAAGAGATCGAAGCAATCTTAGCTGACCGTCGTCACCTGCAAATACACCCCAAACAACTGGTATCGAGCTATGCGTTCCCAAAACGAAGTAGCCCTACGTCAAAATTAGATGAATTGGAAGCCAAAGGTACAGCCTACACATTACCAAGTCATCAAGGCAGCAGCCAGTTGAAAGAACATACCTTAGGCTGTAAAGAGAAACAAAAATTTCGAAAGACAAGTCTCGAAAGGTTGCTATGACCGTGGCAGGACTCCAACCTGCGACCTTCTCGGGATCAAGTGCACATACTTGTGAACGAAAAATCATAATCCACTAGAACACACAGCCGGTTGACGATGGTGGGTATATGGCCGTTTTGGGTCTAAAACGAAAAACGCTGCAGATCTCCGAAGTGGATAGCTACTCTTCAGCCGTCTTGGTATTGGAACTCAATGAGAGTTTACAAGTTATTTGCCTGATCAGGAACATACGGGAAAAGGTCGAGAAGGAGTAGTGTTATACAAGGCCAGGAACTATTTCATAGACCATAGCTGCGATGCCATTCTTGGTGGCATTTTTGCCGATCATCACATTCTCGCATGAGCTCAAGTTAGAGTGTAAGTGTGCAAAGACTCAAGAAGGGAGCTTCTTCTTCATCTTGTTCTTCTTTTTATTCTGAATCTATCTGCCCAATGGCTCTCTTGAAGTGACGAATAGCTCAAACTCTCCACTTACCTTAACGTCTCAATAAGAATATATCTGAAGGTCTGTTGGAACTAAACGCAAGATGTCATTGTCTTACAAAAACATCTAAGCTCATATGCCGGCGCGAGTCAGGGAACACCGCCGGAGAGAGTGCTAACAAAATTCTAGCTAGCTAATTGTTCAACATTACGAATGACTGCACAGTACGGAGTAAAATCTCCACGTCATACTACATTATATAGTTAATGGTAGTTAATCTATTGTATAAATTTGACTTTCAGCCCTCTCAACGCCAAGTACGCATAACGTCTGAATGAAGCCAACATATGCTCATCATTCCCACCTCTAATCGAACGCGTTCGCGTCCTTAAATGAAAGAGGGCAGACAGCTCCAGTGCACAGATCAGAGTGATCCGTAAGAAATTGCTGAACCCTGTATTCTTGGTATTCATGAATCAGACTGATCATTGATGTGGGCTTCGGCTTCCTCTCCAAGAGGCCATATGCAGTTACCTTACGACACGGGCCTACGGCGACGCCTCAAAGTCCGCACCCTGTACGTTTCCACTGGCAAGCTCGGTTTCGCACGTAAGTCACTTTGATTGAATGAAAGAATGGATACATGTACATGCAATTAGTCTTGGGCTAGGATACCGTTTGTGATGCTTTTATATATGTTGGTAGAGAGCAGCAAACTTTCGTACCCAGCTCACCCGCAAGCTAGCCAATCTTCTTCCGTTTTTTTCAACTCAAACTACATGGCAAATTTACTCATACCTCCATTCGTTAGCCCTTCACCATGTTTCCATCACTGCTTTCTTCTATGGCTATTCTCGCCACCGTCATTTCGACGGCCCATGCCGCTCCGATGCCGGCATCGTGCCGCCCGACTTCGAATACTGCTGTTGGCTGGGCCATGTGCTTTGAACCCTCTGTAGGGTGCGACCCAGGCCAGAGGTTTGGAGAGTACATTGCGAGGAATATCCGACACGAGAAAGGTATATGCACGACGATAGTTGAGGTGAGTTGGCTCTTGGACTTTGGTTCGGATCCATTGCTGATTTTTGGTCTAGTTCACTTATTGTACGAAGTGAGGTGTTCGTCAGGAGAACGAGAGTATTGCTTGATGCAAGTCCGCTCTTTGGGGAACCTGGCCAGTGATAGCTGGTTCCGCGAGCTTGAAGCTGCACCGAAATACATACACTTACCTAAGGGGTTCTTTGAGAATGACCTATTTTTAATACTATTTTGTTCTTCTACTTTCACACCTGTTACATCCTTCCGGCTCACCGCAGTTGCGCTACCTCTGCGTTTGACAGGCAGGCATAATCAGCAATGCGAAACATCTACTCATGTATCGAACCGCTATGCCGTGCAGCCTGATGTAGCTTCAGCCATCACAACATCTCTCTTGTTGTTGTTCTTGAATCCTGACTTGAGAGGCAACCCATGTACTGATAGAGTTTCTGGTGAAGCATTTGCTAAAGGTTGCCAATAATACCTGGCGTAGAACGCCACAAAGCGCATATGTCCATTTCCATATCCAATGACTCTCGTCGCCGCCTTATCGCGATGCAGCGGCACTCGTCCTCATTGGCCCTGTAGCCTCTGCACCCTGGTTGGTGGTGGCGATGCCCTGCTTCAGCTTCTAGCTCCATGCACCGCCTGTAAGGCGCACCCGGCGCGTGCCGTCAACGCGGGGGTTCAGCTCCCACGCCTACGCTTTCGTGTGACGGTGTGTTCGGATGTTCCCCCATGATGGCATGTCAACTTTTATAAAGGATTCGCGAGTTCCCGTTGTTTTGGGAAGAGCTCTGCTAAAACATTCCGAGACTACAGTAAGCAAAGAAACTACCAACAAAGCCCGCAATCATGCAGTATAATCACATCCAGCCACGCCCATGACCATCTCCGTCGTAACCTACCTCCTCCTCCTCTCACCTCTCTCCACAGCAGCGACCCCTCTTTCATCAACGACCAACTGGGCTCCCGAACCAAACGGCCGCGGCACCTTTGGCCTAATCTGCTCCTGCGTCCTCACCCTCACGATATGCGTCTGGACGGCCCTCCACCTCAACGTTCCCGCCGCGCGCTCCACCCTCCGGAGCCGATCATTAGAACGGACAAAGTGGGTCCTCTACGGCATCTTCGCACCGGAGCTGGTGGTCGCTACGGCGGCGGCGCAGTATATCGTCGCGAGGTGGCTCAAGAGAGAAATTGAGAAGGATGTTGCGAGTCGGAAGGGCGGTGTAGATGGGGCATCTACCGATAGGGAGGGGATGGAGACATTTTCGAGGCATACTTGGGACATGACGCAGTGTTTCTATGCCGTGATGGGTGGATTTGTCGTCAATGTGCCGTCTGCAGAGGATGAGACGGCGCTGAGAAGAGTTACGGTCACGCCGGAGGGTATCAGGCTACTGTCATTCATCGGCAAGCTGCCGCATATTCACGAATCGCAGATCCAGGATAAGAGCAAGGCGGATTGGATGGCCAAGTCACTTGTCTGTATACAGGCTGGGTGGATGGTCGCCCAAGTCATCGGCCGTCTCATCAAGAGACTACCAGTCTCGTTGCTCGAGATCAACACCTGCGGACACGTTGCTTGCGCTGCGCTACTGTATCTGCTCTGGTGGAGCAAGCCACTGGATGTGCTCGATCCCACCATCCTGGACGAGGGGAACGAAGATGCGATGGCATTGATGATGTTTTGCTCGTCATCAATGAGCGCCGTCAACGGTGTCACTGAGATCCGGTGCTTCATGTACATACCGCCTGAAGACATGGGCACGGAAGGGGTGCGAAAGGAGAATAAGGACAAGATCCTCATCACGACTCATCTATCCATCGGCTCACCTGGTACCAGGGAGCCCTCTAGATTTCTCGGCTTCGACGTAAGTGACCTTCGTCCCTACTCGTCGCCAGTGGACGTCGACATTCAGCGAAAAAGAGTATCTCGGAGCGCGTACATGTACCACATCGACCAGGCGAAACCGACGGTGTCCCCGGAATGCCAACAGACATACTTCGTCTCACCCTACACCGAGCTCAGTCTTCGGCACGGTACGATCTATTGTCGAAGGCTCTTTGCCGATGTTCAACGACATGAGAAACCTCACATGCCTGTCAACCCAGGACGATTGGCGCAAGCTGCAACGGCCGCGGATTCTCTCTGGGTAAAATGTATTTCCCGCCCGACGTATGCTCAATTCTACTTCACTTCCGTGCCAACCGTTGGCGTATTCCTCGGCGAGACGGATTACCTCGTCCCACACATTGTCAACTTCCCGTCCATGTCGAACCTCGGGTTAGGTCAAGTCAACATCCACCGCGACGTCCTACGGTCTGTTTTCGCCCTGACGGCAGCAGCGTACGGCGGCCTCCACCTTGCGGGCTGGCTCGACCACTTTCCCGCGGCGATTGAGCGGACTCTCTGGCTGGCTGCATCGCTGGTGATCACATCCTCGGGCGTGGCGCTGTGGGTCTTCTTCCTTGCTCGACAGATTTGGCCACGGTTTGACGTTTTCATCTCTGGTGCGGCGCCGGGGGCGCAACTGGCGGGGAAGACGTACCAAAAACCGTGGATGAAGAGAGCAAACTCATTTGTTCTTTGTTTTGTGCTGCTGGTGTTTGTTGTGGCGAGGGTGTTTCTGGTTATTGAGGCGTTTATTAACCTCCGCGAGGCTCCTGCGTCATTGTATGAGACTCCGGAGTGGTCAGATTTCTTTCCGCATTTCTAAGGGAAGAGATTTTGAATACTTGAAAGCTGCACGCTGTGATTTTGGCATCGCTCACCGATCCGAGAGCAGATGGCACGACTTGGGAGATATTGACAAGTGGAACTATTGTATTTGAATAGGAAAACGGCGTATAAGCCTGTTGTGATGACCACGTCGCGTTGATGAAACGCTTACGTGCAACCGTTGGGTATCTTCTGATATCAAGGTAGATCTTCGATCAACATAGGAAAGGTACTACTAGTGTGAAGCAAAAGTGAAAGTGAGGGAGGATTTCTCCGCGTCAAGTCTTGAATTTCCATCCCTCAATGAGTCGGGCAATTTTCAGGTGACCTTTCTGCCTGGCGAGACCGGCAGCAGTGCCCTGGCGATACTTCGCTTTCATTTTATAGTCTTGGAGAGACTCGAAGACGGCGCTGGCATGAACTAACCTCGCACCGTGTTGTAGCAACAGCTTCACTGTCGCGTACTGACCCTTGACGGCCGCATAATGCAGCGGCGTTGCGCCATGGTGATCGCGTTCGCGAACATCTAGTGCAAGGTCCATCAGAAGCTTTATCATCGCGGGATGCGCTGTGCCGTAGAACATCAGGTTTGCCCCTGACATTGACCGAGCTCTGAGATACGCTCCGGCGCTGATGAGGAGTCGCACAGTGGCAAGGTGTCCCGCCTTCACGGCAGAGAAAAGGGGGGTGAATCCTGGCCAGGTTCTAGTGTCAAGGTCGACGCCCGTGTTGATCATTGTCGCGAGCACATCATTCTGTCCGTAGTGGGCTGCAAGATGTAGCGGCGTTATGCTAGAGTTTCGCAACAAGGGCGTCGTAAGGTCTGCACCACCTCGGATGAGGGCCATCGCAATCCGCGTATTGCCGGCTTTGAGCGCCTGGCATATGATCCTCTCTGCCCCGGGGGCAGAGTGATCTACGTCAGCACCGACCTCAATGAGATATTGGGCAGCCTCAAAGCATCCCAGGTGCATTGCAATTGTGAGAGGAGTCTCTCCATGTTCTGTCGTCGGATCAATCTGCGATCCGGCCTTGAAAAGAAGTTGCAGCACCTCAACTCGGTTCTTATGGGCTGCCATGTGAATGGGCAAGTATCCCTCGCTGCCAGCAGCATCAAAGTTGGCACCCCGAGCTAGGAGAAGCTTCATGGTACGTAAGTCCCCGGCCGAGGCAGCCGCAAGCAAGGGAAAGTTGCCCTTCGAGCTCGGCAAGTTGATGTCGGCCCCGGCCCCGATCAGCACCTCGGCGATATCCGGACAAGCTGTGGCTATTGCGTACGTGAGGGCGGTATGCTCGTTGACTCGTCGGTCGAGGTAGGCGCCCTGATCTGATAGGAACTCCGTCATGGGGCTGCTTCTCATGGATATGGCGACATGGAGTGCCGTTCTGCCGTTTTGCAATCGGGTTTCCAAATCCGCACCGTATTCGAGCAACTTTTCGATAGCATTGAAGCGGTAATTCTGTACGGCTGCTATCAGAGGCGTCCGCGTTCCCAAACCTCTCCGGTCAACTTCACCCCCGGCACGTATGAGCACTTCCAAGGTGTCGTCATCTTTGGCCGACATGGCGGCGTAGTGTACTGCCGAACACCCCAGTGTATCGACGGCATTGACATCTGCATCAAGTTCGCACAGTAGCGAGACGACCTTATCGGAGTATCCGTACTTGATCGTCGTGATTAGGATCGTGTCGCCCTCGTCTCCTCGACTCTCAAGATCAGCTCCAGCAATAGCTAGGAAAGTCACTAGAGATGGAATCTGGCGATTGAGGGCTCGGCGAAGAGGGCAGAGTTTTGAGCCGAAACGAGGTGCATTCGGGTCAATGCGCTGCAAGAGGAGCTTCACCACGGCAGCCTCGTCTCCCCGATCGATGGCATCGTGTAAGTCCTTTGTTGTTCGCATGCTTTGCTTGTATAATATGCCTGGCGGCGGTCTGAGTCTCTTTAAAGCCGAACGAACTTCGAAGGAATCGTTAACGGGTGCAATGTCTGTTTCTGGCCTTGGTCGTGGGCCAATGGTTGATAGGCGCAGTCGACTGCCTTTATTAAGTACTGCCGGGCTGATCGCACAATCCCATGACACTAGGCGGGATGAGTGCATGAAGGTAGAGTGGTTTTTGGATGTCACATGTTCGCTATTTCGGTGAGCAACGTTCGCGTAACTGGTACGAGTTTGACATACCTTGGAACACAATTAAGGAGAAATGTAAGAGATTGACGGTTGGTCTTGAGTTGGCGTTGAATTTGCCTGAGAGAGTCTTCGTTCCAAATGATGGTAATCTGGCCCGAGGACATGTCGACGGCACTATCGCTCGTCGCTGGGCGTATTCGCGTACTGTAGAAGTCGAGAGACGACAATTCTGTAGAAATCGAGTCTAAGGCATCCTGGCAGGATTGATCGAGTAAGACCGGGTCAAAAACGAGGGTTTCGGGTATCGTTTCGCGGAGATACTTGAATCGCCGTAGAGCATCCGTGACAGCATGACACTCCTTGGCTAGATCAGCCAGCGTCACCGGTGCCGTATTGAGACTATTAGCCACGGTGCTGTATCGGTCGGTTAGAAGCTGTGATGTGCGTATCAGGTCGGCCAGGCTGATGCCGGGCTGGCGTCCCGGGGAGTCCATGACCGGTCACCTTAGCAGGTGGACATTTCTGTGCGGAATTCCATCAAGAGAACAGGCCCGCCACCCTTCAAAGTCAGGAGGAAACACCCTCTTTTAGGTTGGATCAGAAGAGGGATAATGGGGAAACATGTCGCGGGGCCAGGGAGCCAAATCTGGCAACGGCCCATTCCTACGACGAACCAGTACCAAACGGTTCGCACCCGATACGGTATTTGGGGCGATGCTAGCCAGGGGAGACTATTGAGTGCAATTTGGCGAGATGAAGAACAGGCGAGCCCAGAAATTCGGGAGCTTGTCAGGGCATGGTGGTCACGCTAGGACAGAGATCCTTGAGAGGATTGTTCCAAAATCGCATCTTTGAGGACGACACGACGGATAGAATATCGGTTGGTTGAAAAGGACAAACCTTGACATACGCTAGACGTGGGTAGGGATGAATGCATCGTCGTCCGTGTGTTTCCCAGGGGTCTGGATGGCATCCGTGGGTTGATTCAACTTGAAGGCAGAAGACGCTGTCGACGCTTGTCATAAACACTGTGGCGAAATCAAGACCGATCTCGCGGGGTTGAAGATTGCTATTTATTGCGTGGCTTCTGGAACTATCGAAATCTGACAGGGCGCTAAAAAGCAATGTCTGCGTGGCTCTGGAGCAGAATGTCTTGACTTTTGGTGTTGGGTCTGAGCGGGCACACGTGGGTGGATTGTCGAGAGTCGGTGAGAGAGAGAGAGAGAGAGACGTGAGAGACAAACCAACGACGAACCCTGAATTCCCACGTCGAAGCTTGGACCACAACGGACTGTGGGTCCGCATCCGTAGTGTAAAGCACAGGCCATCCGTTCCGCGCCGAGGATCTTCCGCCGTGGCTCCACCGGGACCTGGCTGGATTAAATGATTCGATGGATCCAGGTGGGTCACTGAACATGTAGATGATTGGTGAGATAATCAGCACCAGTCGGAGCTCTTCCAATGCTCCTGTGCTCCAGAGTACGTACCGCTGGATGTCCCCGAGCTTTCGAGCTTACCTACGGCTCCCCGTCGACGTAATCGAGTTTGCGGTGACCACCACATCAATAGCTCTCAGTCTTCCGACTTGCGATCTTGATACATGTCGAGCAAGAGCACACGAGCTTGCTATTCTGTGAAACAAAAATATACTACATATTAACATCCACGCTGGCGAACATACTTTGGAAGAAAGAGTCGTCATCCGCGGCGACCGGCGCAATCCCCTCCAACCCTCCGCCTGGCGACATCATGACCCAACCGCCGGCTCAACCGCATCTTACAGCCCAGTTCTGCTTCTCGACAGGATCTTTGAGGGGTGAGCTGACCTACGCCGATGAAGTTATGTCTTCTTGGTACTAACACACTCTTCAAGACTTTTTACGGCTGTCTCGCGCCACCATTGACGACTCGATCACCCAAAACCTCAATGCCCTCGTAACACCCGCGCGAGCCGGCTTCGACCCGACATCGACCTCACAACGAACACCGCGTTCCTTTCCTCGGCAGATAGATCCGCAAGCGTGTCAGAAGTTCAAAGACCAGGTGCTCTTCCCGACATGGCATGCGCGAGCTGAAGTCTTGCACTACTGCGGAGTGGTCGCCACAAGCCCAGACCCCGACGATCCAGAGGCTCTAGCCCAGCAGATCGAGGCCGCCAAAGACAAGGAGCGTGTTGTCGACGAACGTTTGGATCCATACTCTGGGCGATTCTTCCCCCGAGAGCCTCGGACAGAGCAGCTCGCGATGCTTATCCGGCAGGAAAAGGGCGTGGAGAATATTGTGCGGACGAGAACGTGGGATATGGTCAAACAACGATGCGGCGAGTCGGCAAACACGTGGGAGGAGGCTCTCGCGAGCTGGCGCTCAATAGCGGCTGTGAAAGGCGATGATCAATAGGTCGGAGAATACATTGTTCTCGGCGGCTGTACCATTATTGTATAAACGTACACCATGTACCTGTACCAACCATGTAACACAATACCAGATGATTGACGATAGACAAATACAAAATAACACCAACGCAATTGAGAGCCTTTAAACTCATCTGAGAAGGAGACGTAGTGTATGGGGACAAGAACCGTAAGGAATGTAAAATCTTGCGCTTCAAGATCCTAGAGATGGTACGAAATCTGGTCTCGGTCTCAAGGCATCTAGATACCTATCTCACCAACTCACCGTATTTCATGGCATGGGGAAGATTGTCTTATTTGTGTTTTCCATCATCGTTCGCTCAACCATGATGGGCATTATCAGATCACCAGTACTGGCAAAGATAGCCCGATAATGAATCCACCATAGATTTCTTCGGGTCCGAATAAGGCTGTCGAATGCTCTTGTCTCCTGGAACTGCTCAGTCCGTCATGAATAATAGTACGCATCTCAGGAATCTCAGCAGCACAAAGGAACACGAAGCTGTAAACGGTACTTGTTGTCGAGGATTCGAGACTGAGAGACCGTCCCCCACCAAAACGGCGGATAGGCCGTTCCTGAGCGGGACGTGCGCAGAATATGCGGCCACTGGTGGTGCGATTTGGATGCGGTGAAAACGGACCTGATGGGCTCGGGCTCAGGTCTGCCCCGCCAAAAGCCCGCCGTCCCGCCAAACGGTCAGGACCAGTATCGTACGGATGGATACAGTGGTGGCGGTCGCTGCAGGGCGAAGACGGCGCACTGAGCCCCCATCGAGGGCAGCCAGCTCAGCCTTGTGGCCAGAGTCTTCCATCCAGAATCCCACCCGTTTACGTCGAACCTTTGTGAACACTTGCAGCTCCGTTCGTGGACTCGCACACGACCAACCTTTGACTTTCCACCCCACGCTCTCGAAAAGGTACGAGTCCTCGGTCCCCGACACAACCGACCTCTACTCTTTGCATCTTATCCGTCCTCTACTTTTTCACCAAGTCAGTGGCTCGCTTCCGTCACACGACTGCAGCAGCTACCCCTCCTTGACCTCCGAGGACCCCTCCAGACAAACTGCTGCGGACCAGCCTTCCGAAGAGTTTGCATCTCTAGCGACTTTTGGGATCGTCTCAGCCTTGCGAAACTCGGTTTCCTCCTCGACGACTCGATCTTCTTTCCCTCACAGCACTGGCGATTCGATCTCCGGCCCAATACCGATCCGATGCCGCAACCTCTCAATTCGAAAGAGGCTTCCCTCTTTCGCGCCGTCATCCGCGCCTATGAGGACAAGCAGTACAAGCGCGGTCTCAAGTCCGCCGACCTCATCCTCAAGAAGAACCCCAAACATGGCGACACAATGGCCATGAAGGCTTTGATCATGAATGCGCAGGGTAAGACGGAGGAGGCTTTTGCTCTGGGCAAGGAGGCTTTGACGGTGGACATGAAGTCGCACATCTGCTGGCACGTCTACGGCCTGCTGTACCGCGCCAACAAGAACTTCGAGGAGGCTATCAAGGCATACAAGTTCGCTCTGAAGCTCGAGCCCGAGTCAACGCAGATCCAGCGTGATCTTGCCATTCTTCAGGTGCAGATGCGCGATTATGCCGGATACATCTCAAGCCGCACTGCCATGCTGCAGGCCCGTCCCCAGCTGCGCCAGAGCTGGACTGCGCTGGCTATCGCTCACCACTTGTCAGGTGACCTGTCCGCCGCCGAGAACGTCCTCACCACCTACGAGGGAACGCTGAAGTCCACGCCCTCCCGCAGCGACTACGAGAACTCCGAAGCCGTCATGTACAAGAACACCATCATTGCCGAGCAGGGCGAGTACCAGAGAGCTCTCGAGCATCTTGAGAGTGCCGCGAAGCATAACCTTGACAGGCTTGAGTACTTGGAGCTGCGCGCCAAGTACTTGGTCAAGCTGGGCAAGAAGGAGGAGGCTATTGCCGCATGGGAGGCTCTCGTTGAGCGCAACGCCGACCGCCCTGCTTACTTTGAAGGTCTGGAAAGCGCTCATGCCTTTTCCGACAGCGACGCTGCTGCCAGAAAGGAGGTTTACGACAAATACGCCAAGAAGTTCCCCCGTTCGGATGCTCCTCGCCGCCTACCCCTGAACTTCTTGTCTGGTAAGTGTTAGCGCACGTCTTTGTACTCACAGGGGCTAACACGAGCAGGTGACGACTTTTGTGCTGCAGCAAAGGAGTACTTGACACTCATGTTCAACAAGGGCGTTCCATCGACTTTCGCCAACCTGAAGCACTTGTATTCCGACTCTGCCAAGAAGGAGGCCCTCGAAACTCTCGCCCAGGACTACCTCAAGTCGAGCTCGAACTCGGAAGCTACCAACGGCGATCGCTCAAAGGGAGAGGCCGCTGCTCTCTACTTCCTTGCCCAACACTACAACTACCACCTCAGCCGTGACCTCACCAAGGCTCACGAGTACGTCGACAAGGCTATCGAGAAGGTTCCCGACAGTGTCGACTTCACCATGACCAAGGCCAGGATATGGAAGCACCAGGGCAACCTGCAAAAGGCCTCCGAGACCATGGACAAGGCCCGCGCTCTGGATACCCGCGATCGTTACATCAACACTAAGGCTGCCAAGTATCAGCTGCGCAACAACGAGACAGAGAAGGCGTTGAAGACTGTAGGCCTCTTTACCAGGGCGGACACTGTTGGCGGCCCCCTCGCGGATCTCCTGGACATGCAATGTGTCTGGTTCCTGACTGAAGATGGCGAGGCCTATGCCCGTCAGGGTGACGATGCCTTGGCTCTTAAGCGCCTCCACACGGTTCACAACATCTTCGACGTCTGGCAAGAAGACCAGTTTGATTTCCACAGCTTTTCCCTGAGAAAGGGCCAGATCCGCGCCTACGTTGATATGGTTCGGTGGGAGGACCACCTTCGGGATCACCCCTTCTACTCAAGAGCCGCTTTGGACGCCGTCGCGATCTACCTCAAGAGAGCCGACCGTCCCGCGACGAACGGCGTCAACGGCGACGCTAACGGCGACGATGCCTCTGAGAGAAAGAAGGCTGCGAAGAAGGCCAAGAAGGAGCAGCAGCGCCTGGAGAGGGAGGCGGCTGATCGTGCGGCGAAGCAAGATCCCAACAAGGGCAAGCCCGCCAGCGAAGAGCCCAAGAAGAAGGACGAAGACCCTCTCGGCCTGAAGCTTTTGGAAGCCGAGCCCCTGAGCGCGGCGATGCGATTCGTCACCCCCCTTCTGCAATTCAGCCCGCAAAACATCAGCGCTCAATTCGCCGGCTTTGATGTTTACCTGCGCCGAAGTAAGTTTGACTATGGTACCTCTACCTCTGGAACAGTACTGACACATTTACAGAGAAGTACGTTCTCGCCCTGCGTTCCCTCAACGCCGCCCGCGAACTCGATGCATCCCACCCTGGAGTTCATGAGCGTGTTGTCGAGTTCGCTCATGTCGTGCGCCCGGCACTTGAGAGCTTGCCCGCGAAGGTGCAAGAACTGATCAAGTCCGAGTTCACTCCTCCTGCTGGCGACCTGAAGAAGTATAACGAGGAGTTCCTCTCGAACAACAAGACCAAACCCACCCACATCGTCGCCGCCCTCAAGACACGAAGAGTGCTTGGTGAGGACAGCGCCAAGGCCGAGGCCGACCTTGCGAATGTCGTCAAGGCACCTGATGCCACCTTTGAGCTTGCCACCGAGGTGTATAACCTCTTGAAGGCGTGGAGGAGCAGTGAGGCCGAGACGCTCAAGAAAGAGGCACACACGAGGTGGCCGGAAGTAAGCCTCTTCGCCTAGGAGTGCAGGCCCCCGCCTTTGTCGCCAATTCGGAGGATATGGAACCAGCTCAGGCGGAAATGAAGGCAGGTTGTCGGTTTCCAGTATTGCGATTTGTGCAGTCAGATACCCGAACAGTGGGATGCGTTTCCAAACGGTCATGGGCGGATTTGTTTCCTCGGTGAACGGGAAGCCAAGGCTGGGTAAAGGTCCGGGCTATGGACGCGTGCATCGTTGCGGCATGTGTCGAATCAAGGACATAGTTGCATCATCAAAAGTTGTGATAGAAGAGAAGGCTACACAAAAGCGTACGAGACTCTAGATTCCCTCTGAGCAGCAGCTTTTATCTCGTGATGCGTTTCGTGTTGAGGCCGTGGTATTCCATGCCTTGCTTTCTTTGGTCTCTGCTGACCCCTATTCCCCTTGCCGGGGTTTTCATAGTACGGTACCCTCAAGTTACACACGCTCTACTGACTGAAGCTATTTGTAACGTCGACGAATGCACTCCACTGCTTCCAGGCCTCGCCGCTCTTGACAGCCCAGCGCGCCCTCCGCACACCCTCCTTCCAGCGTCCTCCACCAGGTCCCCTTTCGGTAATCACCTGGCCGTCATCACCGGGACCCATGTTGCTCGTCTCGGCCTCGCAGATACCCGACGTCACAAACAGCGTCGCGGCGTTCATCAGAACGAACTCGAGAATGGGATCGTCATCCGCCATCTCGCCCTCCAGTATCCTCCTCAGAATCTCGGCATTCTCAGCCGGCTCTTTACCGGGGGACACGGTGTTGAGAGGGTGCGTGCCCAGACCGAAATCACTCGGCTGCACCTTGAAGTGATCCGCCACGACCTCCCCGCCCGCCGCCTCGCTCAGCCTCCAGACCAGCGTCGGCCCGGCGCAGCTGACTTCGTCCAGCTCCTCCTCACCGCAGATAATCATTGCCTTTTTCGAGCCGCTAATCTTGAGGGCCTCGAGGAACACGGGGCCGAGCTCCTTTCTCGCTACGCCGATGACGCGGGCCTCGAGGATATCCTCGACGGGGTTCGCTAGGGGCCCGAGGAGGTTGAAGATTGTCCTCCATGGGAGCTCTTTGCGGATAGGCGCGACGTAGCGCATGCCCGGGTGGAAGACGGGGGCGAAGAGGAAGCCGTAGTTTGTGGCGGCGTAGACTTTTGACATTGTGGCCGGGGTGACGGCCATAAGGACGGGCGGGCGCGGTTGCATGTTGTTGACCAGGTCCGCGGAGCCGGATTTGGAGGTGCTGGCGCGGTTGCCGTGCTTGGCGACCAGAAGAAGAGAAGAGGCGAGGATGGAGGCGGTGGTGCTGATGTTGAAGGTGTTGTGGGCGTCACCTCCCGTGCCGACGATGTCGCATAGCCCGCCGGCGTAGGTTCCCGCGCCGAGGGCCTTTTGCTGGACGACCTTGGTCAGGTCATCAAAGTCGACTTTGGCGGCGGCGCAGCGCATGTAGTGCGCGGAGCGGGCCATTACGTCGGCGCGGCGGTCGAGGTTGGTAAAGTGCAGGGCGATGAGGAGGGAGGCGGCCTGGGTGTCGGAGACCTGGTGGGTGAAGAAGTGGGAGATGGCCTCGGCGATCTCGTCGGCGCTCACGGCGAGGCCGGCGTCCGGGACGGGCCAGAGTTTCTTGAGCAGCGGTTTGATGTCGATGAGCGGGAGGGCGGCGTCGGACCCCGCGACCGGAGGTTGTGAGGCCATGGCGGGGTGTTTTTTTTTTTTTGGCTGTTCTTTTTGTTGGAGTTTTTAGTGATGAGAGGAGATGATGAACAATTGCTGTGGTAAAATCAGATAACAATCAATTGACCGGCATAGGGGTGTTTTGCTTATGAATTGGGTCACTGAGAGGAATGAGATGTGATGTGAGTCAAGAGGTCCTTGGACAATGAGAGGTTGTTCAATGTGAGAAGTCAATGTGAGCAATCCGCTATCTGAAGCGGTACGGCAGTACGTACTGGCCAAGTGAGCGAAAGAGGTTGCGGCCCACAGCTGATTGGTCAATTATTGCCTAACTTAGAGGGCACGGGGGAATCTCATTGGCTCTGAAGCTGTGGGATACTTGCCGTTCACGCCAATAAAGGAATCTCCGCTCCCGCTGCGTGGAGGGGAACACAAGCAAAGTATGGAAAGCTTAGATAAGGCAGGGGGAAGTTGTATTATCCGCATTTTAATCAATTCTATTAGTGTCTGTAGAGATTATAGTGATGCCAGATGCTGAATGAGTGAATGCCGTTCTCCTTACGCGTCGGTTTTCGATGCCAGCCCCGCGTGGAGCGTTGACTGTACCATCTCAAAAACATCGCGCGGATTACGGTACGTACTCACTCATACCTTAGTTACCTGACTAAAAGGCAATAAAGGCATTGTGCCATTTCCTCCTTTCTATTGTCTGCTCAGCCCAGGCTTACGTATGCCCTCTCGCTCTTATCAAGTTACTTTCGGCCAACGCCATGCGCGCCATGCAAAGCGGCGGTTAGACTCGCAGCACAAGGAAGCCGCAGCGCCGCAGCGCCGCTCGCCCATCGTCTGATGAATGGTTCACCAAGGCATACGAGGCATACGACTTTCTCTTGCACGCACGACCACTTGTTTCCGCCCTGTGTTGAGGGTTGAGGAACCAAGACATCAACAGCTTTATACCGACACATTAGAGGTCCTCCACGGTTGGAAGACGCCAGCGCAGCCAAGGCGGGAAAGTCGGGCATCGCCCAAGCTGTGTCGCCGGTGTCCTTCAGTCGCCCGGTACCTGACCAGGCTTACCCACACCACCAAGACGGATCGACGGCCAGCAAATCACCTCTTGTCTCTAAAGTATGAACCAGATGTGTCGCATTGTTGGCGTCCATTTCCCCTCAAGCCACTCCTAGATAAGGTATTTGTCCGGCCCTGCCCTGCTGTACCTACCTCGATTGGGACGTCTACTTCACCTCCCGTCACCTGTCCAGCCTGGCTTTACAGAGAGTTACACCACAAAAGGCACATGCCAACCTCTCAAACCCGAACATCCCGGTTTCCATCGACTTCCTTTCCTTGAATCATCTCCCCGTTCGGTTGCATCACGAGTGTGAGGTGCGTTCGGGGGAGCACCTCCGCCGTGGTCAGGCGGCCGCTACGGGCGCCGCGGGCCCCTCGCATTACCTTCAGGTCCCCGGCGGGGGGAGGGGTTCACCGTTCAGTACCTACCTCAGCAGTTGGCCAGCCATTGCAGCGCGCACATCCGTGCCTCTCTCATGGTGCCAGGTTCCTTGGTGTTGCGGGTGCTTATCTTATCGCAGCTCTGCTATCAATGCCCTTCCCATTAACGGGGTACATGTATCCCCACGCAGTTACATATTGCCCATCAAAGTACCCCCCTATCCGAATCAAGCGTGACTGATGTTCAATTTCCGATTCATCCGTGCTGCCGCTGCCGCTGGGTGACCGTGCCATCCCCGGACCTTCCTGCACATCCATTTGATTCTCTGCTTGGGCCTACGCAGTACACATACACAGTACAGTCACTAGTACCAAAGTTCGTTTTCCATTCCTGGAATCCAATCCCTCCCTCGTCGACAACGGGCCTCGGGACGTGCTCTTAGCCTCCTACTAACCCAACCTCCCTTCAACTATTCCTATTCCGCTTGCGCCTACGCCCTTGTTCCCAAGTTCCTCCTACGGCTTGGTGTAACGGCGCAGTAACACTTCCTCTCGTCTTCTCTTCTCTTCTCTTCCCTCCTGCAACCCTGGGAGCTTGTGAACACCCCATTAACAGCAACTGGCGTAGCAGTCAACAACCAATTAGTCGACAACTGACTACAATGTCTCGTCGCGACCTCTGCTAGCACTGACGGGTCTCCTTTTACATCTTCACCACCTTCGCTCGCCCTATAACCCCCCCTCGCACCCAACGTGAACGGCCTGTCCCGCCGCCTCCTGCTCGTCTGTCGCTTCTTTTACCCTTGCACATTTCACGATGGCCAGCCTCGCAGGGGATCACAACACGGCCCCAAACGGCACCGAGTCCATATCCGAGTCCTCCCAGTCCTACGGCAAGTCCGCCTCGAGAAACGGCCCCCCAGAGACGATCAAGGTCGACGGCAATAAGACTCTGACTCTGACCTCGGAGAATCTCCTTCTGAATGGTGTGTTGGAACCTGCAATATACCTACCTCGTGGCGATGCGCTCGGGTAGCTAACCCCCTTTCAAAGACCCAACAGCGAACAAAGCCAACCGGACTTGCGGTTTTGCTGGGTTTGGCGCATCAGGTCCGTTGTCATTGACCTACGTTGCTCCCCCATTCCCAGCTTGCTAACGTTAGTCCACGATATGCAGCACCCGCGACGCAAACCGTTCCATTATACAATGTCCTCTGGGCCGAACAGACGGAAGAGACCCTCACGATCGACTACGCGAAACAGGCCGGCAAGCAACGAGTACAGGCCGCGAAATGGACTTTCACCGTCAACGACGCGGACGGCCCGGATGTCAAGTCCTGGATCGATACCCTCAAGAGAAAGGCATACGGGCCGGCGAAATTGTGCAAGAGAGCCAAGGTCTTGGTTAACCCGCACGCCGGACCGGGAGGCGCGGAAAAGAAGTGGCGCGTTGACGTCGAGCCTCTGTTCAAAGCGGCGCGCATGCCCATGGATGTGGAGCTCACCACCTACTCAGGCCAGGCTCTCAAGATATCGCGGGAAGTCGACGTGGACGCGTTCGACACAATCGTCACCTGCTCAGGCGACGGTCTGGCCCACGAGGCATTCAATGGTCTGGGTCAGCGGCCTGATGCGTCGCAAGCACTGCACAAAATTGCTGTCTCACACATCCCCTGCGGCTCGGGCAATGCGATGAGCTGCAATCTCTACGACTCGTATCGACCCTCAATCTGCGCCCTCGCCATCATCAAGGGAGTCGAGACCCCAATGGACCTAGTCAGCATCACACAGGGCGACCGACGCACCCTCAGTTTCTTGAGCCAGGCTCTTGGTGTTGTGGCCGAAAGCGACTTGGCTACCGAGCACTTGCGGTGGATGGGCGGCGCGCGCTTCACCTGGGGCTTCCTGGTCAGGATGTTTGAGAAGAAGTGCTACCCGTGCGACTTGGCTGTAAAGGTCGAGATCGAGGATAAGGCGGGCGTCAAGAAACACTACAAGGAGTACACGCGGAGCGCGTCGGTAACGCATACAGGTGCTAGCGAGCCTCCGAGAGCGGAGAATGCCGATGCTGTCTCGAGCCCATTCGGTGACCAAGAGGGACTGCCGCCTTTGAGATTCGGCACCATCAACGACGATCTTCCGGATGGGTGGGAGCTGATACCCCATGATAAGATGGGCAACTTTTACTGCGGAAACGTAAGTACACTGCGTCACCTTTCTCTGCATCACATGGGAGATATCCGTCTCTTCTTGATGATGCCATCTAGAATATGTACTAACAACCCCAGATGGCATACATGGCCCCAGACGCCAACTTCTTCGCCGCTGCTCTCGCTAACGACGGTCTGATGGACCTTGTCTGTGTCGACGGGGACGTCTCAGTCGGCGCGAACCTGAGCATGCTCATGTCCGTGGAGAATGGAAACTTCTTTGACAACTCGTTGGTGTCGTACCGCAAGATCTCCGCCTACAGGATCATTCCAAAGAACCAAAAAGACGGCTACATCAGCATCGATGGTGAAAAGGTGCCGTTTGAGCCTTTCCAGGCCGAGATCCACCACGGTCTTGGCAGGGTCATTTCGAAGCGCGGCAAGTACGAGGCGCCCGGTCCGATGGGCTGGGAGAAGATGTCTCTTCCGTAAGGGATTGTAGTAGCGTACAAAGGAGAGATTCGAAATAGGGTATGGTGAGAGTGTCACTAGATCGGGACAGCACCAGCCGGGAGTGAGGCCAGAGACAGACAGGCAGAACATGCCTTGGCAGTTTCTTGTCTATACAGCGAAAGAAGCGGGAGCGGGAGCGGGAGCACTGATTTGTTTCTTCAAAAGTCGAGATACCCAGATAGACCAAGACGGGAAGAGCACAGCCGTCGTCAGGCCGGGCTGAAGGGCAGGCCGGGTTGGCGAAAGGACAGCCATTGGATATCACTCACTGTATACTATAGAGTACAGCGTTGCACATAATACCTGATTTCTTTTTTGGTTTCCAATACCGTTTTCCATGGGGGTAGAAACCCATGGAGAGTCCTTGAATCAAAAATGACATGCCGCCCTTCTTTTTTAGGAGCCACCAAACGCCGTGTTCACCATCCCATGCAAAGACACATCTAAGGGAGTACTTTGGCCCCCCCTCTATTGATCGTCAATGCCGCCCCATTCATCATCATCCCCGTCCGCAGCCCCCTCCTCAGCAGCCTTGCTCTCCGTCCACGGCAGCCTCTCGTCCTCAACCACAACCGCAGCCTTGGCCCGCACAGTCTTGACAGGCGACTTCTTCAAGGGCTCAACAAGCTGGCTGACCTTCTTCGCAAACGCCACCGCCTTGGCGTCCTTCTCCTCAAGCATCTCCAACCGATCGAGCTCATCAGCCCAGATATCAAGCCCGTGGAGCCTAATCCCAATAGGCACCTTTCTCAAATCGCCCTCCACCTCGAAAGGCCACGCCCCATACACCTTCAACAGCGCCTCCACCCTCTCCTCTTGATACTCGCCCTCTTTCACCCACTGCAATCCGGACGTAAACGTGCGTCTCACGAGGAGCAGGAACTTCTCCATGCGGAGGACGTCGATATCCGTCCACTGCTTGGAGAGAATCTCCCAAAAGGCGGCGAGCCAGGTGGGCACGTCGTCGTTACGGAGGCAGGCTGTTAGCCCTGCGAGCTCGGAGGCAAGGTTTTGTTGCGGGATGGGGCGGTCGCACATCCACATTGCGTAGAAGAGGCCCTTCCAGAGCTTGAGGGCTTCGAGGTGGGAGAGGGCGCGGTGGGAGCCGAGGAAGGTTTGGAGGGAGGTTAGGGCTTGGGTTCGGAGTTTGCGGTCTGTGGGAAGGCGAGGAGGAGTTAGCTGGAGTTGTTCTGGAGGTTTGGTTCGGGAAGGTTGCGACAGCGGACAAGGAAGATCTTGGGTAGGAGTGTCGCGATGCGATGGGGGGACGAACCGCTGGAGGCCAGGTTCCTGATGAACGGCATGTTCTGTTCTTGAGACGACATCTTGGATGAGCTTGTGGAGTGGTTGAGCAGGGAGGTGGCTCAATTGAAGGGGGTCGCGGGTTCTTGGAGTTGCGACGGATATGCACCGTCGGCGATGGGACTTGCAAGGCAGGGTGGGATGGTCCCGAAGAATAAAATTGTTGTTCACCGAGAAAACTGCCCCGCCGATCCTCGGTGTGGGAGGGTCCCGGGATAACTGGATGGGTGACCGCCTTTGAAGAGGTGGGGCCTGTGATATACAGGGGAAAGGTTGTGGCTTGTGGCGTTGCCGGTCTGGAATGTTCGGTGGTGTGGCTGTGTTTTTGACGACGTTGGAGGCGCTATTGGCCTCGGAGAAAGTACTACCTGTCAACACTAATAGATATCTAGATGTTCGAAAGGTCACTTGATGGGGCATCATGTAAAATCAAAACTTCTTCCATGATAGCTCTGTAGTCATTTAATTGCCAGCCAGTATCGTAATTACCTTGCCAAAAGGGGCAGCCCTCATCCCAGAAACATGAGTCCAAGCCAGGTCCTCCGAGCCAAAACATGTTCTACCCCCTTGTCTCCTCAGGTTTCTATTACAGAAAGTCACCCTGCTCGTATTTCAATGATAAGGCGTCCATTAGGCCATGCTGCTCTCTCGATCGTACTCGGTCGAAGCAGCAGGAGAGAGAACCCCGGTGGCGCTCATAATTCTGTTGACCTTCTTGCGAACATCGTTAAGCTGAGCAAGAAGCTCCTTGTTCTTGGCCACAGCATCATTCAACTGACCCTGCTGATCAACCACCTCCTGCGTCTTCTGATGGAGCTGCGCCTGCATAACATTCAACTGACCATGCTGATCCGCCGCTTCCTGCGTCTTCTAATGGAGCTGCGCCTGCAGACCCACCACCTCATACTGCAACTGCTGAATGACGCCGTCCTTGCGCTCGCTCTCCTTTCGGAAGCAGTCAATGTGTTTGTAGTACTCCTGCGCCTGGACATAGCTCTTGTGCGCCTCGTCGTAAGCCTCGGCGACCTTGATGCGGAGCTCGGCGGCCTCGTACTTGCCGGCGAGGGCGATTTTGTTGGCGCGGATCTGGTAGTGGGCGAGCTCGGAGAGGGCTTCCTCGCGGGAGATGGTGAGGATGTCGATGAAGTCTTTGCCTTCGAGTCTGCGCTCCTTGGCCTTCTTCTTGTCGTCGGCCTTGAGTTGATTGAAGAGCTTCTCGTGCTCTTCCTCGGAGTACTGGACGAACTGTGTGTTTGCGCATTATCAGTGTTTACGTTGAATTGGTAGATGGTTTAGGGAGGTAGAGAAATCGTCTTGATGGAGAGGCTTTGACGAGAGAGTTTGGGAGCTTGAGAATAAGGGGGGTAACTGACCTTGAGACCTTGGTAGGTCAGGTTGTTGTTGTCGACCATTGCGGTGTTGGAAGAATCCATGGAATCGGGTGCCGGTGCGGATCTGTCTGAAGTTCTGAACAAGGTCTGATATTAGTATTCATCTGGACGACAAAGAATTGCAGCTGTACTTGGCCTTGATGTGATGCTTCTCACCAGAAAGAGCTATGGAGCCAGATTCTTGCGAATGTTCTTGTTGCTGGTCGTACAAAAAAAGCAGTGCTGAAGATGGAGGTTGGGGAGTAGTGCTAAAGTGAGGCTGTTGATGTTTGGCAAATTTGGTGGTGTATGAAGGAAAAAGTGTGACCCTGCAACCAAGGGGGAGAATCAGTCCAAAAAGGTGAGATGCCCTGGAATCTGGACCGCAATCACATCCGGAATATGCCCAGTATCCAGTTATCATCATCCAGGAAAGATGACCTGCTGGCTATTGCACAAGAAGCATTCGGACTGGAAATTGAGCGCACGAAAAACTTCAGGGTTTCCAGTCAAGTGTTTGTGAGTTCTGGCACTCCAGAAGATTGGCAGGGAAGCCATGGAAGCAAATTGGTTCAATCATGACGCCTCAGAAGAATATCACTGTCTGAATCATCTTCCCGCCAGTCATCGTCGAGCCCTCAGACACCAGTCTGCTCCTGCTGTTTACCTTGTTGAAGTTGGTGTCACCTCGGGACAGGACAATGATTGATATCTTGGAACCAGTCTAAAAGAAAAACAAGCGACGTCGATTTCGTGAATGGACGCATCACAATCAAGACACAATGATTCTCTGCGCATTCACCTATCTGTGTTCACTTGGCCTTTTTGCTATGTGGATGGATTACTCGTTTATTGGTGCTCCTCTACCTAAAATCCTGAGATTCCACTACCGAATATGCCGAAATTCCAGGTCATGTCGGTATTTTGTGAATGATTATTGCCCCCCGCTCTATCTAGATGGGCCAGGGGCTCTGCCTCGAAGGGTGAGGAGGGACCAGAGGCAGAAGTTGCGCCGCCACCTTGGCTTTCTCAGCAGCAAGCTCATCCTTGAGATCATCGATCTCCATCTCATATTCCTCCTTGCGGCGTTCGAATGAGGCCTTGCGGCGGTCGATGGAGGCATTGGCTGTCGAGATGGCATTCTGCGAGCGCTTGTAGCAGCTATCTCTAAGGATAGCTAGCTCACCAATGTGCTTGTCATTCAAGTCCCTAATGACTTGCTGGTGCTCCTTCTTGAGCTTGTTGAGGGCAATGGTGTGTGTATCTTCGATCACGACGAAGTCGTCTTCGGAATCAGACTTCTGCGGCCTATGTTAACACTGAACTGCAAGTATCGGTGTCGATGGGAGTCGGCCTTACCACAGCCATGTTGCTGCTCTGAGACATCGTGATTTGATGCAGACTGTTGTTTGGGCTTGTTGAAATGCTTCGTGTTCTAGTGATTGTCAGATTACTTATGTGAAAGAATGTGGGACAAAGTCACACTTGAACATACCTGTAAGAAGAACTGTTCTTGGGACAGCGGAGGCGACTGTAGGAGTGCGGAATGATGTTGCAAAAGCAAGGAAGCAAAGTTGAGGGATGTTTATGGAAAGTCGCGAAAGTCCGAGGGTGGAAAAGAGAGAGTAAGTTGGGGGAAAAGAGCCCGGTGGAAGGACCCTTTATACCAGTCAAAGGTGAAGTTGGTGATGGGGACATTCCAGGACAAGGACCCACCTCCAACGCCGTCCCAGTTAGGACACAACGGTGAAAGGGAAAGAGCGTCCAATTTCCCAATTAGAAGTTAGCGGTGAGCAATATCACGTCTTTCAGGCAGGAACAAACGTGAATCACGTTTCCCGGGGATCGTTTAGGGGCACGTATATGTTCTTTGAGTGGCCGAATGTCCTCATTGTGGGAGACTGCTTGGATAACTAGCACAGCGTAGGCTCAAGCAAGGCTTAAGAGATGGATCAAGAGGCATGATCATGGTAATTGAAACAGTAGTAGAGCTATCCAACATTATTGGTAATTTGGTAGTACAGACAAGCAAAGCCAATGGCGATAGACCAGAGCCCCTAGGAGTGATCATGTTATGTAGACATGAGTGCCAGCTAATCTTATCGATGGGCCTACTCTGCGGAGCATCTGACTTGATGTCATGTTCAGGCTTGGGACAAGACAAATTTGACTCAAAAGGTCCTTCGCAATCAGTGTCCACCGAGGGGGGAAGATCAAATATGACTGTCACCAAGGCTGCTTTGCGGTATGCTCTGTTGCGTGCGGTAGAATCAGTGTTTGATTGCACATGAAGTAATCACTTGGTATTTCTGAGCCTAGTTAGAGTTGGTCGATATTGGTGCAAGCTTTGGAGGGAGTTTTGCATGAGGCCGACGAAGGCCTTTGTGCTTTCTTGCAAGCTTACGCAAACTCCTTGCTCAGATTCAAATTATTCGTCTGACAGCTAGTCTTGCAATGCGGCCGTAAAGCAAATAATACTTCAAAATCAGGCGAAGATGAGGTGAGGATTCCTATTGGAGCCTTTAGTGCCGAAGTTGTGATTGACGTAGAAGGAAGGGGCAACGATCCAACACAATGGCCCCTTCCTTCCGAGTAGGTAATCAACCTAACGCGACTCGAGCTCCCTCGGTTTACCTTATCACAGTCACGCGTTTTGCTAGATACTAGGCTGCGTAATGTAAGGTACTGAGACATGGGAAAAATAATAAAGCTGAAAGAAACCCCTTGATGAACAGCCGTTATCCGCCGGATTCATTCGCGAGGGCGCCGTGTGCTCCTGGGCCGCACGAGGCAGAAGAAACAAGTTGACTCGATCTGGCTCCCTTCGAGCCCAAGTACCTTACGCGAAGCTTCTGCTGGCTGAATTAAAAATCAGTGACTCACCCTGACACGGCTTCTCGAAAGCAATGTTGGGCATCCCTTAAAGAGATTCGCCTGGTCGAAAGCTGACATGTATGTCTCCCGTCTACCTAGTTTAATAAAATCAGAAGATAATGAACACGAGGAACACAATAACTACGCAGAGAAGAATCAGATGGCCGCTTTGATCCATGGGAATTTGCGCCGCCGCTAGAACTGCGAGCAACCAAACTTGGAAGATGCCTATTGTTGTTTGCCCGGGAAACCGAGAGATTGGGCTACATCAATAGAGTCCTAGCCAAGTTATCATGCATGGACCAGACATAAGGATGAACGAGGAAGTTCATCTTGGGGCATATCTGTTGCTCTACGGAACAGCATACGCAGGCTCAATATCTGCTCCTTTTGCCTCGCGGTCTCTGGTGTTCGCCGTCCCACCTATCCTTTAAGTGTGCTGGACGAACGATGAACACGAATAGAATACAATTGTTAGGGTTAGCAATCACTTGTCTGGGGGGTTCCATCTTCGAAAACTGTATCACGTCTCGAGATTGTACTTCGACCTGTTGTCACGGAGCAACGGCGAATATCGAGTTCACACTTCCAACTGCTCAGTCGCTACTACGAGCGCAACCCCTACTCACGAGGTCAGTCATTATATTGATTGCTATCTCATGATTCTCGTCGCATCTCCAGTCGCGCTGTTCTCCCTTATCCAGTGCCCTTTGTCGACATACGAGCCGTTGTTCCAGATACTGTCCCGTTCGTCTCCCCTTGGGCCTGCTCCTTCCTCGACTGAAGTCACAAGCCTCGTTTGTTTACTTCACCTTCTCCCACGCGTCAAGCGTGCCAAATCTCGGAGCACAAGATGCCTCATTCTCATCCGTGAGGCAGCAAGTCCTCGCCCTACATCCACTTTTCACCCTCTCACCTTGGTCTTTCTCTTTTTCCCACCCAAATCCTCTGCCCTCAACTTCTCCTTCTCCCCTCCCTGAGGGTCTTCTCACTTTTTCTTCCTCGCCATCACCACTACACTTTCTCATCGACAACAGCTTCGCTCAGTGAGAGGCAGCGGCTCCATCCCGCGATACGACCTGCCCAGAGTTTTGATCGAAAGGTACGATATTCATCTCCTTATTCTCGTCGTCCTCGTCACAAATATCACCCCTTCAGCCCCCTTCTCAGGATCTCATCAATATGGGCACTTGGGACTGATTCTCTGGGTCCTTCCTCCTCAGCTCACGCGTCTCATCCCTCCTTCCGAATTTTCATTGCCCACGCGTCTTCTTTTTCTCTTCTCCTGGCCAAAACCAAAATATTCAGACCGCCCTCACGTGAGGGTGGGTGGCCGGGCAGACGCACCTGGGAGGTTTTTCCGGTCTAGCAAGGCTCACCTCACTCCCTCTTCCTCAATCTCTTCCGCCTGCCCTTCCCTTCCCTTTTCTTCTCATCTTCAACACCGCGGCCTTTCTTGCCGCCCACTTCGCGAGGTCTGACCTCTTCAGGTCTTGCTTCTCTTCCCTTCTTCCTTTTCTTCCTCGCTCACTCTTCCTCACACTCCCTCTTTCTCTCCAGCTCAGCTCATCTCAACCTTTTCATCATCGTCTCATTCTCGCCTCCGTCGCACGGATTATTTGCGATTCCACTGCAAGTTCTCATTTCAGCCGCGGTTTATTTTCTTCATCACTGACAAATATTTCACCAGGTCTTCCTCGCCATGGCCTCCTCTCCCGCGTCCGAAATTGACGTGCCCGGCATGAAGCGCTGGTACAGCAGCAACACCCAGGTAAGCCCACAATCTTGTCATTTATGTCCCGGACTCGATTTCTCGTGTTCTCTCCCACCTGCCCATCTTGCCGATTGGACCCTAAGCGGGCCGAGATTTCGTTCTCGGTGAGACGTCGGGAGCCCGGAACTGGAGAGGTGAAATGCCAGGATGACAGGGCCATTTGGACAGGCCAGTCACCCTTTTGTGGGCAGTCGGGGCAAATCATCTCTTCAGACCGGTTCTGCCTTCGGGCGGTATGGTCTCAACCACCTCGGATTTCCCTCGTGGAAAGCCTGGGATGGTCCAATCGGTTACTGGTTGCCTTCGATTCGTCCTAGCTGGGCAAGCAGGGTAGCGAGCCTTGGAGACACACCCTACTCTCTCGTTTCCGGGTGTGGCTGTGAGCGGTGCCGCCTTTAAACTACTGCCCTCGTGGCGGGTTCATGGAGCCAGTCCCAGCCATCTTTCAGGACTAGTCTCGCGACATCTGGAATTTTTTCCAGGTGACATTCTGGGTCCCCATCGATGTCTGGGTTCTCGGGAACACTTCCTCACAGTCGTGTTCCTGAGCTAACCGCAACGTTCTTCTGTCAAAAGTTGGACCGCGTGGTAGCTAGGTGTCGCAAGCCAAAAGTGTTTCTCCATGGATGTTAAGAAGTACCAATCTTAGCGAGGTGTCTTGGTGGCAGCCACAGAGATGCAGGATCTTAATGGCGAAGCACAACAGAGAATGACGAGTCGGGCTTACCAGTAAGGTTTTCCTTGCTGACTGGGTGAAGACACAGGAAAACTCATTCGATGCATCCGACATGGAGCATCAGGACGCTATTGCGAACAATTCGGTAAGTTGAACCTCGAAATGATTGCCCGTTCATGTCACATCTTGTACTAATAACACTTATTCAACAGGTTGACTCTGTCAATGACAATCAGGTACGTCCACAATTCACATTGTGTCCCAGCCTCGTTTTTCTTTGCGTCTTGCGCTTCCTGTGGTCGCTCTGCCCTCCGAGTCCTAAGCCAAAGACGTATCGGGAGTCCGGCGAGATATCTGAAGCTCGAGGCATGTGTGTATGCCAGGACCATTTGGACCGGTCACCGACTCTACTTTGAGCCGGGGCATCGCCCTTCGAGTGACGGATATCGAGTGCGGGACGTGGCGTCTACCTCGGTCCGTGGGACTCGGGATGACTCGTGAGGGTTCGGTCTCGTCGTCGTCATACCCTAGTAGAGCAGCTCGAGATCATTCCCTACTCTCCCGTTTTGGGGGTGAGTCTTGTGGGACGGCCCTGATGACACCTTCGGGTGTCCCTGGGGATAGCTTGGAAGAAGCCTCGGAACCACACCTGGCCGCGCCCGTGCCGTGTACCCGATAGGGAACGGGGGAACCACTCAGATGGTTAGTGCCGAACCCTCAGGAAAGTCAGGAGCTTCGTGCGCTTAACGGGGTCCTGCCTGGTATGGCGTCGATGATCAGGGTTCAGAAAGGCAGCAAGACGCAGCATTGAAAACTTCGAGTGTGGCGTACCAACATAATATCTATTTTCCAGCTGACTGGGCGAAGACGCAGGACAATGCTACCTCGGCCAAGGTCGGAGACTCTGTTTCCCAGAGTCAGCAAGAGTGGAAGTGTGAAGCCGGGACTCAGGTATAGTTTCTGCTTTCTGAAATACGTTCGTATGTCAGGCTTCTAACGTTTTAGTTCAAGAGCTCCGCAGTCAATGATAACAGCTACGAGGACGAGTCTGGCACACGGGTCGATGACGTTGAGGTGCTGCTGAGGCCAGAGTTGCGCATCAAGGAGGTAGAGGAACTTGTGATCAGCTCAAGAACAATGTCACCCGATTCCAGCACAAGAAAGATGCTGTACTCTATCATCGGATGGCGATGAACCGACTGAATGTTCTCGAAGGACGCACCATGGCAACGGAGAGAAAGGTTGGACGATTCGACGAACAGACACAGGCCACTCGACAGGAGATGCAGGCCACTCAACAGGAGATGCAAGCCACTCGACAGGAGATCCAGGCCACTCAGGCCGCTCAAGACAAGTACATCCAACACCTCATTGCCTCTGAGGACGAACGCGACCAGCGACTCAAGGAGCTCCAAGACATCTGCGACAAGCATATGATGCAACTCATGCAATACGCCTCAGACGCAAGCCGCGATCAGCAGAGAATGAACGCCCTGGGACAGAGTATTGCTGCTCTCATCATTGTTGTCATTGCCGTTGTGGGTTATGCTGTTTTCCGGTCTCTGAAATAGAATGCGGAATTGTAAATCAATTGAGACTGATTTGGGTAAGATTGGATGGAGAGGACATGGCTTGTCACTTCTCTATTGAGAAGAACAAGGAAGCATTGATAGAATACCCAACAGTAATGGAATAGCCTCCTTCCCACACCTTGTATGATTTCATGTTTGTACCTCTTGTTTTGTAACTGAGAGGCATTTCCTCTCAAAAGTCAGCAAGAGCCAGAAATCAACCACTCCCGAGTACTGGCAGAGGTCCGCATGGTCATCAAGAATCGCGTGATGGAACCGAGATCTCTGTGGTGTAAAATGTCGAGGTAAATTGAAGAAATAGGTATCTGGTAAGCTGAAATATTTATGTTACTCGTGATTCATGCCCTTGCCGTCGTCTATGGTTCCAAGGAGACAGTACTTCGAAGCTCCAACACGCCCAAGGCTCAACCCTTCTTCTCACTCAGAATATCCGCTCCAGAGCCATCATCACGATCCCAAATCGCAGTCTCCATGGTCGGGTACACCAGGTCCGCGTCCTCCTCTCGCCACTCCTCCAGATCAACCAAATGCCAGTTGGCCCTCACGAACCGGCTCCGAACCTTGTCTGACATGCCGACCATTCGAATCTGCACGCCCTTGCCAGAATGTAACTTGATCTCATCCTTGAGCTCCTTCAACGTCATGATGCCTGATGTATCGATAAATGGTACCATGGTGAAGTCCCATACGACAACAGCTAGCGGCATCTCCTTGAGACGGATTTGCCTCTGCGCTCTCAATCTCTCCAACCGCTTCTCTGCTGCTACACTCCAGTGTCGTTCTCTGTCATCTTGACTCAGACTGCTCTCAACACGTGGGTACACGAGCTTAATCGCCGTGAGCGTCGACGTCTTTGCGCGCTCGGCGTTGGGGAAGAATATGGCGTCGTTGAAGTCTACGACGATGGCATCGCCCGGGATGGAGATGCGCGCGTTCTCCATGCGTTCGTCTGTAACTTGGCGACCGCCGCCGCTAGTGATGCGGGTGATGGGTTGCGGGATGGAGGTGGCTGTTTCTGCGCTGCTGGAATGGATCTCGGGCTTGACGAAGGTGGAGCGAAGGAGAGTCCAGACGATACTCCATGCGACCTTGATTTCAAAGTCAGTTACGGTAGAGGAGAGGATAGATCTGAGACGAGGAGACTTACAGCAACACCGATGCCGATCTCGGCCGAAACAAAGATGGTGACCCAGAAAGAGACCATTGAGGCAACAAAGTCGGGGAAGGAGATGCGCCAGAACTTGTAGAACAGAGACAAAGGACCGAAGAGATGGACAACCGCCATGATCTGTTTCTTTTGTTAGTAGGTATTTGTTGAGTCCACCTCAGGGTTACTTACGATGATCGCAGACAAAGTTGCAGAGGGAAGCCAGTAAAGAGCGGGGGACAAGACGTAAAGCGTCAACAGAATGAAAGCAGCAGTAACAGCACCGGCCAGAGGACTCTTGACACCACACTCGGAAGCAACGGCAGTTCGAGACATGGCACCACCGACGGGCATCGTGCTGAAGAAAGAGTTGACGATATTGACGACGCCCAAGTAGTTGAACTCCTGGCTCTGGTCGATCTGGTAGTTGTTCTTCCTTCCAAAGGCCTTGCCGACGGCCAAGTGCTCAAGAGTGCTGGCAACGAGGGGGGCAACGGCCCTAGTAGCGACCTTCTGGACCAAGTTCGAGGCGGGTACGATGGGGTGGGTGATGCCGTGGGTGCTGACTTGGCTGACCTTCCATGCGTAGTCTGCCTTTTCGCGGTTGCGGTTGACGAGGTAGCTGATGAGAGTAAAGACGACCAAAACGATGACGGCTCTGGAGTTGGCGAGGAGCTTGATGGCGAAGTGTCTCTTGCCGTACTTCTTGCCCACCTTCTCGAGGATGATGAGGATGAGCAGCGTTCCGAATCCGATTCCGCAGGTCGCCCCGTCCCACTTTGGCAGACGGCGAAGGACATCCCCGATGACGTTGAAGACGCCGGATGGCACGTTTGTCAAACCGACGAGGGGTCCGACTTGACCGAAGGCGATGACGAGGGCTGCGGCTGAGATGAATCCCGTGAGGACTGGGAAGGAGACGTAATCCAGAAGGAAGCCGAGGCCGAAGAGACCGATGACGAGTGAGTAGACTCCGACCATGAGGGCCACGGATGAGGCAATGGCTGAGATATCGAATCCTTCTTCGCTGAGGTCACGAACGATTTCAGCTGTCAGGAGGCCCAAGATGGAAGTCGGTCCGGTTGAAAGATCTACATAACAAGAAGAATTCAGAAACCATGATTCTCAAGAGCTAGTCAATACTGGTCTGCCAACAAACCTTTTGAAGTTCCCATGAAGACTGCAAACGCAGCTGGCAGCCAACTTGAGTACAAGCCGTTGGCAATGGGAATAGTTGCAATCTTTGCGTAAGCCAGGGATTGCGGGATGAGCATGACGCCCACGGTCAGACCGGCAATGAAGTCTGTGATGAGCCATTTCGGGTTGTATTTCGGTAGCCACTGGACGATGGGGACCTTTTCGAGGAGGTAGACTCCCGCGGCTGATGGAAGCTTTGGTGCCCCCTGAACGACGAAGTCGCGAGCTCGTGCGATGCTGGCATCTGTGGCGAACTCGTCCTTCACCTTTTCGACCTTTCTGGTGATCTTCTCCATCTTGACAGTAAAAGGGACCAAAGTGCCGTTGTTTGGAAGAGATGAAAAAGGGAAAGGTGGGAAGATAATTGTCCGGGTCCTTCGGTGGCTGATGAGAAGGGAACAGACAAAATGGTTTCAGAGCAGTTGGGATGATTATATCTGTTCAGGAGGGACTCAAGTCATCACTTCATTCGATATTTGACTTATTCCCAGAGATAACATCCTAATTCAGTCAGAACCCCTCCCGCCGCGCTGATGGAGGCGTTCTTTATGCTTGCTGCATCGCATCTGATCCGCGCATTGCAGCTTGCCCGCTTGCGCAAGTCGCCCGTCCCCCAGTACAACACATCAGCCACATGGGATAGCGACCCGAACGCTGTAGACGGATAACTATACCATACAATACGTGTAGAGGGAAGGCAGGAAAGGCAAGAGAGAGAAAGAGGGGGAGGCGTGAGCCAAGAGAACACCACCGCAGCAACATCATGGTCTGCTGCGTGTGTACACAACTTGGCCCAATCTGGGCAAGGAACTGCCGTACCCTCCTTCGGACGACACTCGGTATCCCCTCACATGCCGATGACACCGAATCTAATGCAGTTTGATCACTGTTCAGCCATGGAAGGTGTCGAGAGCCTCAGATTGGTGGGAGTTTGGGTAGGTCTGCGTTACGTCGAGCAAGGCCAGCCAGCCCCCTCACGCGGAGTCGCGCCGCGATGAACGCCAAATGGCTTGGGACAAGGAAGAACGGCGGCCAGTGTTATGAAGTGAACTCCAACTTTTCCCCAATTAAGGAACATGAATAGCTACATGTACAAGCAGACTTTCAGGTCTGGTCCCTGGATACTAGTCTGGCGCAGATGTCCATCCAACTCAAAGTGAAACTGTCTGGTACCCATCCTGCGCGGGATGGGAGGAAAAGGACTTGTGAATAGTACCTTAGCGTAGCGTGGCAATAAAACGGTACGTTGATCACATGTGCACCAGGGTTGGGGGGATCAAAGTCAATGGCTACTGGACGGGACGAGAATAGGATCAGTTGAATATTGGAGTAAGAGACAACCACAAAGCACACACTATCACTGCAGTACCGTAAGTGTGAAGTTACTAAGTAAAGTACGAACGCAGCTGGGCACGGAGGCTAGAATTGGAGTCATGTCAAAGCCTGAGATGAAGGTCCGCGCCCTCTCATTCGTCATTCCACAAGACCAGGAAACCATGAGCATCGCATCTTTTTAGTTTACGCTCTCATTCACTTCGTTTAATGATTTTGAGTTTACGCCCTTTAGACTTTGTCTTGGACTTGATATCTCAGCACTTGGCACCCGAGAGCCGCAATGCTAAGTCGACTGCCAAGTGCCGGTGTTTCTTGGCCTCCTCGTGGCTACCGACGACTTACCAAAGCACGATCCAGTCTTGGCGGTTGCACATCGAATCTTGTGAGACAGCAAGAGCGTTGAAAAGGACGGACGATCGCCACCGGCAGACAAAACGGGCCGACCTCATGGGCAGTCAGAGCAGAATTTCAGGGTGTGTAGGTGCGTACTGTATGTATATGAGTGATGAGTGAGCGAGTGAGTGAGTGAGAGGATGAGTGACAAGTGTGTGTGTGTGTGTGTGTGTGTGTGTGTGTGTGTGTGTGTATGTATGATGACTGGGTGATGCCACGGCTAGCACTGCGGTAGTCAAAAAAGCGTCAAGCCAAGAAATAGGCAAGTCCCAGTCGCTCTTAGCGAACACCGACACTTCGTACCTAAAGCACGTTCTTGGGGTTGCATGCATTGGCAGTCTACACGGGAAGCTTGGCGGCAAGACATATCGAATTTTCTCATCCGGATTGGTGACTAGAGATAACAGGCTCTCCCATCCAAGACACAGAACACTTGGCTTCCTCTGATGCTCTCTCTGGCGCACGCAGCGCATGCGTGGGACCTTTTCGTCTCAGATTTCTTCTGCAGGACTGGAGTTGACCGAAACTCGAAGGGTTGTAATGATGTATGTGGTATCCATGTTCCATATCAAAGGTGACGACGACGCAATACAGAGCCCCATTTCTTTGGTATGCAAGATACCGCGGACTTAGTCGTGCAACCCGAAAGCGGGAAGTGTGTTTGATTCTTTCTCTCGCAGTCCTATCGTTCCGTCAGGTCTCTATCTTTCTTCGCCTCTCTCAATCTCTCGACCTGCCTGTAAGTATCAGAGGTACGTTAGTTTTGACGCAAGACCGGAATTCCCTCCGTTGTCCACTTCCCTTCCCGTCAACTAAAGACCAAGACGCGGGGTACATACCCGTCCAATAGCGCTCCCGTCGCGCCCATCGGCTCTAGCAGGGCCATCTTGGATAGACGAACGCAATGACGAGGCGAGATGTCGTGTGCCGGGTGGTGGGCGTGCTCCCAGGACTCCACCGAAAATTGTCCCACACCTTCTTTCCAGTCTCCGCTCTCTGTGCTCCCCCAAGTGACCCCTGCAAGTAGCGTTCGATTCGACGGGACAAGCTTTTGATTTCCCCGGTTGAGGTGGTATGCCAAGCCCGCGAATCAGGTGCCGTATTCCGGCCATGCAGACCGGGGTGAAGTCCGGGCTTGACCGGGGGTTAGGCCTCTGCGACTCGGTGCTAGCCTAACTCGAGTGACTCGCAAGCGGAGAGGGAAAAGGAGGAGCCACGGAGCCTAGGAAGAGGAGACCATTAACAAGCAGCCCGCTGCGAGAATCCATGGAGATGTGAAGGCAGTTCGGCGGGCGGCGAGCGGCAAGTGGATTGTGGGCCACAGAACAACTTGACAAGGGCGACAAGAGCCGAGGGTGAACGGGGGTTGAGACCTTGCTAGTTGCTATATGTAGCATCCCTAACTGGACGTACATGTTTCTTCGATTAAGATGCTGCAGTCACACTGACGAGGGTTGTATTAGATCCATGCTCACTGGTCGAAACCCGGGTGATGTCTACCACGGTATGTTTGCCCAGTATGTGCCAGTGCCCTTTTCCTGCAACCCCAACGAATCAACTCACGTTGCCGTTGGGATGGGAATAGCTTTCCATCGAACAACACCAGGGGTATTCTCGCTTTCGCGCTCTGCCTCCAAGCTTACCTAGTCAGTCAGTCATTCAGTCAGTCAGTCGGTGATGTGCCCAGTTCCAATGCCCCCCTCATCCCTCATCCTCATTGCCCCTTGGTGCTCGCATTTACCCCTCTTTGCCATGTCTCTTTCTCCCAGTCTCCAACTTTCCAAGAATAGGAATGGGTGTCGTCAACCGCAACGTTCACACCCATACAGAAGTTCCTAACCCTACAGGCTTAGAGGCCTGCTGCCCGCACCGGGAAATGGACCGAAAAAAGAGAGAAGGCACAAAAAATTGGACGATGCAGGCAGCGGAAACGGCCTTGTCAGCTTTCCCACTGCACCATAATCACCACCACAGACATCGAATGCCTGCCTGCCTTTCAACTCTGCTGGAACGGAACTATTGGCCCGGATTGATGGTGTCGTCGCCGTGCGGGGTTCGTTCCATGAGGATTGCGATTCTTTCTGCTCGTCGCTCTCGACGCTTCGGTCACCGGTCACCACCTTCTTGATCCATCTTACGGCTCTACGCACCCCTAGCCTCAAGCCCCCCCCCCCCCCCCCCCCCCCCCCCCCGGCCCCCTGGGATCCCCTTTCCCGTCATTCTTTTTTGTCTTCTGCGTTTCTTACCGCCGGCTCCCACCCTGCGATAAGCCTAAATCGGGCACGAAGGGGACGTGTCCAGAGGGGTTCCCTCTCCCTCTCGCATGCAACGAGACTACGAGAGCCTGGCCGCGGGTCACGGATGGGCGTCGCGAACCTGGCTGCTACAGCCTATTGCAGTCGTGTTCCTCCCATGCCGAGGGAGAAAAGCTGCAATCAACTAATATGGCGCCCACCCCTCGTTCCATTAGATCTATTTGAGGCAGCGGTATCTGGTTAGACCAGGTTCTTAGTAACGGACGTCGTTCGGAGACCTGTCGGTAAGAGAAAGAGGTAGTTGTATAATGATCTGTCGGTGATGGGATGAGAGCAGTAGTAGGTATACGTGGGCGTCTTCGCTGGCTCTAGTTCCAGTTTGAGAAGCGAAGGAGGCGATCTATGCGCGGCTGACTTGATGGTGATACATGGGGCTGGACTTGGCAGCGGGAACTGAGTAATCCGATCGTGTTTGGACGAAAGCTTTCCAGAGTGGCCGGCATGGATACCCTTTGCAAGCCCAGTTCTGTCAGTAAACCTAGAGTAGGTTACCTTGACTTCATAGACTCTGAGCCAAAAAGGCTTTTATCTGATGGCGGTGGGGGGACACAGTATCAAAGAGAGAAAGAGCGAAGGCGCGAGAATGGGCTTGATTCTAGACATCATAGACTTTGTTGCCAAAGAATAATGAAATGGTATTATTGACTGATCAACAATTTCTGTCGACAAATGAGATGATGTTTTTGTCCCCTGGCTGTAGACGTTTCATCGCCCAACGAAACAAAACGCCGCCAGAGCACAGACGATGACCGAGGGCAAAAGACTCAGCCACCTCGTTCCCGTTTCCAATGTTTCCATGCATGATGTTTCCGTGTAGTGTTTGCCCATCAAAGTTCCTCCGTTTCGGTCTGAACAGCCTCGGCATCGACGGTAGTGTCCTTGGTGATCTCGTCCTTCTCAGCGCTCTTGACCTTGTCCCAGAACTTCTCTCCAGCGTCGGGATCGTTGGCGAAGAGGTGGTCGACGACCAGCTTCTTGGGCGTCTCACCCATCCACTGGAATAGAGAAAAGTCTCTAAACTCGTCGGCGCGGAAGATTTCGAGCATCTCAAGGGGTTCGTCGCCAATGTTCTCCACAAAGTGACCCATGTTCTTCGGGACGATGCCAACGTCGCCCGGCACGTAGTCGAATGTCCTGGCGTTTCCTTCCGAGGCGAAAATCGTGACTCTGGCGCGGCCCTTGATGAAGAAGGACCACTCGTCGGCGTTGGGGTGCCAGTGCATCTCGCGGAGGGCGCCGGGCTCGATGATGGCGTGGGCGGCGGCGATGGTCTTTGAGATCGGGAAGTTCTTGGAGTCAGTCACTCTGACTTCACCGCCAGAGGTCTTCTTGGGTTCCTGTGCGAGCATCTTGTGCGTGAATTGGTGCTTTGACTTCTTGACTCCCTTTCCGTCGGGGGCTTCGTGGCTGATGGAGCCGGGCGTGGTTCCTTGGAAAATGTACTTCTCTCCCTCGGGGATGTTGGCGAAGACCTCGGGGGCAAGCTTGAAGTTCTTTGAGATGACAGACTTCGGGGTGTGGGCTGTTATATTGTCAGTCAATGTAATTGTCTTCTGTCTCTCGTAGGTGGCACCGTACCAAGCCAGTCAGTAAGGATGAAGGTAGACTCCTCAGAAAAGTGACCGTCGTCGAAAATCAAGAGGAACTCGGTTCCGTTCTCGCCAAGGCCTTGGAGGGAGTGAGGCACACCAGAGGGGAAGTACCTGTGTAGAATTATTTAGCACGAGTAGTATAAGCAGAAGGCGAGTGGAAACAAACCAGAGGTCACCCTTTTGGACATCGTCAATGAAGTTTCCTCCCTCGTAGTCAATGGCAGTGATACGGCAGCTTCCATCAAGGACGTAGGCCCATTCAGCTTCCTTATGCCAGTGGAGTTCGCGGACGACTCCCTCGTCTAGGCGCATGTTGACACCGGCCAGCTCGATGCTGGTAGGAAGCTCGCGAATGGTGGTTTGTCTAGTCCAACCACCCTCCTATAAACAATGAATTAGCAACCATTAAGCTCCAACGAAGGCTACGCGGACAAACAAACCTCAATGCGGATATGGGAGTCAGCAAAACTCCAACGCATGTTGGCTAGATTGCCGTGATCAGTGCCCGGCGGTCGAACCAGATCCGGGTTCTGTCTGGATCGAGCTTCGTTCCAAGGACCGAGAACAGAAGCGCCGAGGCCATTGCGGTATGGCAAGGGATCGAGCTCATCACCAATGGAGTCGATGGGACCATCGTACTTGTCCTTGTGGCCGGGGGTGTAGGGAGGCGAGCCACTGCGGTATTTTGTAGGAAGACCTTTGCCGTCAAGGAGGCGCTGGCGAGGGCTGTCCTGGACGGGAACAGCGAGAGTCGGAGCGATGAAGCTCAAGACAGCTCCCGAGAGGAGCAACGGGAGATGCATGATGGTGGTGAGAAGCGTGTAAGAAGAGGATGTCAGGAAGAAGGAGCTGCAGGTGATCTGTCTTTCATAACGAGAAAGGTCAATTGGTCGCGCTGGCTTTTATATTCCACACTTTGGAGCCAAGACGCGAAGATCTCCGGTCCTGAGCTGGGAAGATTTCGGAGCTCGAGGCTCGGAGAAGTTCCTGATTGACCAAATGGCCATACGGTTTCGAACCCCTGGTAAGCTGTCTCGACCAGTTACACTGCTATCGGAGGCCCTACTGAGGTTCGGTAGTGTAGTCGACCATAGAAAGCCTGCCTCCGAGTGAATGCCGACGCATCTCCGCATCCCATGGGTCGAGGACCTGAGAACATGGAGCTATCAATGATGTGAGGTGAGGTGAGGAGGAGGAGCTCAACCGAGCGCAGCGAGCTGTCGATGCTGCGGGGTACTGCTGTAATCGGCGCTGCCCAGGCCCCCTTTACCCCAAGCTCCGACCCCTGTAGGCGGTAAATGATTGGAGGCCACTGCGTATCATTGGCGACCTGGGCTGGTCTTTTGGCATGTTGGACGGGACGGCACCAGGCAAGAGTGGTAAAGCTTGGCTGGTTCTGCAACGATTCTGAAGGGGGTGAAGAAGACAGGACGAGTGGAAGATGCAGAAGACAATTCGACAAGTACTGTGTAGACGATTATTACATCAAAACGATGATGCGTTGTACACAAGATGTTCCGTTTTGTGCACACTACTGGATTTGTGCATAAAATAAAACTTCCTCAAACGGCAAGACCACTTTAAGTGAGGTACCTACCTGCCTGTCTGCGTTCCTGCCTACCTCACCTTCCTTGGCTTGGATCACGTTACCTCGCTTGCCTGTGACTTCACCCTGGGTAATGTCACCCGCCTCTTTTTCTTGGCCTGGATGTACATAGCCTGGAACATTCGAGTGTGCATTCAGATCAAGGAGTCCGAGTCTTGGCATCAAGAAGAAGGAGATCATTTACCGTGGTAATTTGTAATGGGGTTCCGTCTTGCCCATGACGTGGTGGAAAGAATTCAGATCGTCAGAATTCGGGTACCACTGCTATGACTGATGTGCCTGGAATAATTCCCGCTGCTTCTGTTACTCTATGACACAACGCTAGTGAATGATTTGAATGAATATTATGGCGACCGCTCTGGGAGTTTTCAGGTCTGCACAAGGACTAGCTACCTGCCTGATGATGAAATCTCGGCCATGACCATTTTTTGGCGTCGATTCGTATGAGTAATATCTCACTGCTCCAGAGCTAGAGTAGATAATGATGGCGTAAAAAAAAGTCTACGAGAAAACATGAAGTGCCGCCCCTAAGCAGCGGAGACCGCATAGGAGCACGAACGAATCAACTGTTACGGAGAGCAATATATGAAGAATTTCAGTATACACAGTGATAACTAAAGACCATTCTATCTGACATAAAGTGTTCCACGATTTATGAAAGTCTGAAGTGGTCTCATGGAAGCTTAATGTTTCAACTTGCGAAACGAATAATATGGCATATCCTGACCCTAAGGATAAAGGAACCCTTGATAGTTACTTCACATGTTTTTCCTGTCTATGTAAATTTAACGAGAAATAGGCTCGTAGAGCTACATGATCTCTGCTGAGAAAAGCTATACGTCTTGATTTGGAAGTTAACATCAAGCAAACGTATCTGTCTTCTTGTTATGTTTGATGTTGGAACTAGTCTTTATCGAGAAGATACTCGACCAATCTCATTTAAACAAGAACCAACTAGGTACGATCATTCAAGGGAAGGTGCCTGAAAGGAAGCCTTCTTCAATCTTGAAGTATCAGAACTCGGCAGCCTCAAACGGGATCAATCCTAGGCACGTAGACCATAGAAACGGCAGGTTAGGGCTTTGACAAAGGCCCCGCGTCGATGAATTCACACACGTCCTCCATGATGCCGTCACTGGCCTGCTTTCAAAATCAAAACAAACCATCAAGGCTTTCTTCCTCTTCTCCAAAACACTTCAAAGGCAGTCGCCAACCTAGCAAAGCTTCGAACTGCCAGCAAAGGACTCCATCAGAGCAAGATGGAAAATCATCTGAAGCCTGGCGTGTATGTATCATATCCAATGGCTACGACTAGTTTTCCAAGATCTAACAGTTGAAAAATCCAGGCACTATATCGTCATCAATGGACGATATTATGTCGCGAAGGACCTCCACCCGGCCAACTTTGGCGATCCGGTCGTCAAACCCGCGGCTGGTGACCCGAAGCCTCAGTCGGAAGGCCGAGTAGTCTTGGCCAACCTGAGACCTCGTGTTAGGGTGCCCATCATCCTCAAGAAGAACCCTGGCGCCCATGTCGACGAAGGGTTCGACAAGCTCTACGACAGAACCAATCTCTACAAGCCGTTGGGTCCAGGTCTTGCGCAGGAGGATGAGGGACGGGTCGGAAAGGCTGGCCAAAGATTAGACGTTGATCAGCACTTCCATCGTAACAATCCTTACAGTATCCCTTCACCTATGCATCGCTATCCAGTTCTGCCCGATCTCAATGGCTGCGCGGAGAACGAAGTTGCTCCCGTGCCCGATGGCCTCGAGCACCAGAAGCATGCCCCTATGGCCCCCATGGCTCCTTGGCACCCCAATAACCTCCAGGAGTCGGCTATCCGCGAGCATGAACGCGCCATGGCCGCCATCCACGACTACGTCATTGCTGGGCAGCAGCCGCAGCATCTCAACCCATTCAACGACGCTTACCAGGCTCAGCAGCACGGTAACCAGCCTCAGGCCCAGGCACAGCAGCCTCCCGGACCAGCTGGCGATCTCTAGAACGGACAGCCGCCTGCGCCTGGCCCGCCCCGTGGACTTCACAGAGAGCGCTTCGGAATCTTCCGCCCCAGCACACCTTACGTTCCCTTGTACCCTGGTATCGATTTATCCGTCGATGTGGGAGCTCATGATCTTCCCATGGCTTGGCTTGCGAAGTTTGGTTGCACTCGATGTGAGCTTAGATTCCCCTACGGAGATGCTCTCCGAAACCACCTGATCAATGTTCACTACCTGGACTATCATCACCTGGGAATGGGCGAGCTCATTCAGTGGGCCACCGAAGAGGTCCCCTTGGGAGAGGACATGGATGAATACATGCCACACTATTAATCGCTTAACGCTGGCTGGTGTGGCTACTCTTGCAATCTGAATTCATCTGGCATTCCCTAATAGGATATCACTTTCTCGTTGGAGTGCATGAGCAAACACGAGATGATGGGCAGGGAGTTATGAGTCTGGATTGATGATTTTGGCATGAAAAGGATGACGAGGCGTGGGACTGACATGGCTGTTGAACCGTTCGGATGAGAGCACATGTACTTTTAGCACATTCAGCAGTGATAGCCTATGGGCATACCTGTCAATCGCAAGAACCCATGTTGACATTGAACTGAAGACGTGATATCTGATAAATCCAAATTGCCGATGAATCACAATGCATCAAGATGAATGATATGAGGACAAGATGAGACTGAGTCACTGTGAATATTCATCGCAGTGGTGAAGAGACATTTCACACAAATCGTACGCAAGACGATGTAGCGTAAAATTGAATGAAAGCGATTACTATTACATCTATATTTTGTGCGCCCCGTTTTTCTAGACTGACACGCCCAAGATGCGCTAAAGTCTGTCTACAGCGTGGCCCAGGACATATCCCTTGCTATATGTAGAGCCGCGCCAGCTTTGCGAACCCGATTACAAGTAGGCAAGAGCACCAAGGGCAAGGGCGGCCAGGAGGCCAACGGGACCCTGGGTAGCGGCACCGTTGACGGTGACGGGGGTTACGGTGGCAGTAGCAGTAGAGCTGCCGCTGGTGGTGGTGGTGGCGCTCGTGACAACAGCGGTGCGAGTCGTGCCGGCGGCCGCAGATGAAGCAGCGCTGGTGACAGCGACAGAAGCAGCCGAAGAGACGGAAGAGGCCGCGGAAGCAGCCTTGCTGGTGGCAGCAGAGGCAATGGAGGAGACAGCGGCGGAGGCCGAGGCAACAACGGAAGAAGCCGCGGCAGAGGCCGAAGCGACGACCGAGGAAGCGGCCGAGGCGGGGCCACCACCACCGGCGACGGCGGCGCAGATCTTGCCAGCGGCGGGGAGGACCTGGTCTTGAGGGGCAGAGTTAGGACCTCGGTGAGACAGGCGAGGGACTTGGTGATGAACTTACTGACGGCAACGTCGGCACCGCAGCTAGCGAGGACGCAAGGAGTACCGGCGGTGACGATGGCCTGGTAGTTGGCAGGGCTGCACAGGCAGGAAATGTCACCTGCAGTGCACTTGCCGGTGGAGGTGACGGCGTCGGCCAAGCACTTCTGGGCACAAGTGGGAACGTCGGCGAGGGACTGGGCGGCGACGAGGCCAGCGAAGGCGATGATGGCAGCAGAGAACTTCATGTTGACGGTTGTGATATGTCGAGTGACTTGACTAGAAGTTGAATGATCAAGATTTTGAACTTGGACGACAACGAGAGTGTTGGTTATACCGGGTGAAGCGAGAGTTGAGTGAGCTGATGAGAGGGGAGGAACCGGAAATCGAAAAGGTGGAAACACTTGCTTCTCATATACACCCCGGACTGCCTACCTTTAGGTCACCGAAATAAACATGTGCGGGGATTTACACCCGATCTATTCCTAGCTTGGGCCGGGACAGCTTTGTCTAAGTTTGAAGTGAGACTGAGCTGTTCTCGTAAGTATCCAGTTTTCGGGCTGCGAAGACGAGCATTGGAATGTTGTGGTTCAGCGTTTGCAGCCACACACGTTCCCACTTCCGTCCCTGAGACACACGAGGCCAATCAGAGCTGCCAATTCCTCTTCATCAGCTCCTAAGTTCCTGTGGCGTCTAGACCTGACCGCAGCTTGTTGAGAAGTGTGCCTGACCGGGCCCAAGCCGGATTCAGCAGCGAATGATGGCGCCGAGAGCGTCCGCATGTTTTGATGTTGAGAGGCACCGCGGGAATGCATGGCTTTCTTGAGATTCCTTAGCCTCTCGCGTCTCGGTTGGGGTGGGAGGAGGTACTGAATACAGCTGCCGCGGAGAGCTGTCACGGGTGCGGCGTCATCGATCGACCTTGAGAGCCCTGAAGCTGTACGAGAGGGTGAGGAGGTTATGACCTCACTAGAGCTCGGAAAGTATCAATACGAATATTGGTGGAGGTAACTTCATGGCGTTCATCTCATTACCTAAGGTAGGGTGCTCCCCTCAAAGTTACCCACAATGTGGTGGACTGAATGAGTGAGACAATAATAAAGCTTGACATTCTGGATCCCGCGGGGAAAAGAGGAAAACACACAGGGGGATGGAATTTTTGCAGTACATCTGATAAACCTGATGGGCAGCAGTATTGAGAATAAGCGAGGTCTTTTCGCTGAGCCGAGGATGCGGTAAACTTGTTAAAACACCAAAGGCCGCCTATCGTGAACTATTGAAGCAGAATCTCCACGAGGCATGGCGTCGGCCAATCGGTTGGCGCATTTCTTGGCGGACGTGGCCCGGATCGACTAGATGCGCTGACGGAGGCATAAGCTTGTGCTGCCAGCACCAACAAGTCGGTTCATGTTGACTAAAGAGTAAGTGTTGCTCTAATATCTCCGGCGGGCCACGTTGTTGAGCTAGTCGTTGGCGCGCCCGAGGACGTGATGGGCCGTGGCAGTCTGACAGGTCAGGAGCTGCAAGCTACTACACGAGCACGGCGTGAAGGGGATCCAATAGATGGCAATAATGATTACCTGACAGCCTACGCTGGCGCTATCTAAATACAAGACCAAGTAACTAGCTATACGACACAAGAAGTCTACAAGATGCATGCTGTTTCGCGCCCTTGAGGGCACACCGTCTTCCAGAATCCGCCCATGCGATCCGTTACATGTCTAGTCCGTTCCGTATCCATGCCCATTCCAAATTCCACAGTGACAAAGGAGAAGAGTAAAAGTATCAATGAAAAACCCAAACGACGAACCGATCCATCGCATGCTATGTTGCCCCAACACAGAAGAGAAGAAAGAAAACACACAAAGAAAATGCTATACTCGTGCTATCCATCCGTCAGTCCGTCCTTCGCCACGCTAAACACCCCATCATTCCCTCGCTATTCCCATGTCCGTAATACCAAATAAGTCGTGAGGATTTAGTCGCTCTTGTCGCCCTCGGAGTGAGAGTGCTGAGACGACGACCTCTTCATACCCCGAAGATCGCATCGTCGTACGATTTGACTAAACATAACAGTCAGTATAGTGCTCAGCAGCATTGAACAGCGATGTAGTTGACTTACATTCCGCCTCGTTCATTGGGGTTCCGTACGACCACCAACTGCTCCTTCTTCTTATCGTCATTTTTCTTCGTCTTCGTCGGCGCCCTCGCATGAGACGACTCCCGTGAGCGCGACGACTGCACCGATGGCGTAGCCAAACGTCCCCGCAGCTGACCGATCTGGTCCTTGAGGCTGTTTACCTCGGCGATCGAAGCGTCGTAGGAAGCGCGTATGCCGTCGAGCTGGGCATTGACGAGAGACAGCTGTGATGTCAAGGTTGCGTTCTCCTGGCGCAGCGCAGGCGCCATGACGGCCTCCGTCTCTAGCCGTGCGACGCGGGTGACGAGATCGTCGCGTTCGGCGGTGAGGGAGCCGAGCTTGACTGTCTCGGACTGGAGCTGGTCGTTGCGGTCCGTGAGCTCGGCGATGCGGTTGCGGAGCTCCTCCATGACCGCGGGCTCGGAGGGCGTGATGGACTTGGCGGATACGGACTCGGCCTTCTCGGAGACGGCATCGGCTTCGACGGGCGCTGCCTCCGGCTCGGGGGCCGGGGCGGGCTCAGGCTCGACTACCTCAGGCTCGGGCCCGGGCTCGGGGGCGGGCTCAGGTTCGACTACCTCAGGCTCGGGCTCAGGGACGGCCTTGGAGAGCTCAGAGGGCGCGGCGGATATGACACTGGCGGCGTCGTCTTTGACTTCCTCTGGTGCCGGTGCTGGTGCCTCTTCGACGACCTCAGCCTCCTCGATGACTTCGATGACGGGAACCGCAGGAGGCTCCTCCACTGGCGGCGCGGGTGGTGCTTCCTCGGGCGCCGGAGGAGCCGGAGGAGCCTCTTCGGGAGCGGGCGGGATCTCGTCATCGTCGCCCTTGACAGTGTCTGTATCGCTGTCGTCCGCGGAGCCGATGACGGAAGGGGCGGCGGAGCCGATAACTGATGGCGCGAGTGAGCCGGGGAGAGAGCCGGCGATAGACCCCATAAGTGACTCAGCACGTCGGAGCTCGCTAGTGACGGACTCATTCTCATCCTTGAGCGACTCGTTCTCCGAGCGGAGAATGTCGCGTTCCTCTGCGAGACTTGAGATCTGAGACATCTTGTCGTCTTGGTCCTTGAGAAGCTCGCCGACCTGCCCCTTGAGTGTCGTGTTCTTGCCCTTGAGCCCTTCGATGCGGCTTCTGAGCTTGTCGTACTTGGTCTTGAAGCCCTCGAGGTCCTTTACCTGCGTCTCGAGCTCACCCTTGCTGAGTTCAAGCTCGCCCTTGGTGGCTTCGAGGCTCTCGAAGCGGGTCTGGATGTCGGTGTGGGTAGTCTCGAGCTCTGTGAGACGGACCTCGACCTCTTGTTTCTCGACTTCAAGCGCGCCGAAGCGGGTCTGAATGTCGTTCTTCTCGGTGCTCAGCTTCTCCATATCGGCCTCGAGGCCCTTCTTTTCGGCGTCGAGAGCATCAAAGCTGGCCTGGGCGTCCTTCTTCTCCGTCTCGAGCTTCTCAATGTTGGCCTCGAGACCCTTCTTCTGTTGGTCGAGGTCGTCGATGCGTGCCTCCAGGCCCTTCTTGGCCTCTGTCAAGGCGCCGTTCTCCCTGTTGAGCTCGTCGACTTGGGGCTTGTACTTGTCGACTTCCATGCGAAGGAGGTCACGCTCGGCGGTGATGTCACCGATCTCAGTGCCTTTGCGAATGAGGTCCGTCTCGAGTCCGGTGACACGGAGCTCCATGGTGTTCTTGATCAACTCGAGGGCGGCAATCCTCTTGATGAGGGAGCGCTCGGTCTCCTTGGTGACGAAGTGAGCATCACCGACGCTCCTCTCTAGGTCATGGCATTGCGCCTCGAATTGCTTAGTGAGCTTCGCCTGCTCGACAAGGAGCTTCTCCTGCTCAATGAGATCCTTCTCAAGCACCGCGTTCTTAGTCGTGACTTCTGTTTTGGCATCCCTCTCTTGCTCGATCTCCTTCTCGAGCTTGACGGCGTTGACTTCGAGTTGTTCCTTGATGCCTTTGAGCTGGTCTCGTTCACGCTCAACATCATCAAGTCTCTTCTCGTGCTCACCAAGAGCGCTCCTAACGTCATCAAGGAGACGGCTTTGCTCATCGTAGTCGCGGGCGATCTTGTCCTTGAGCGTCTTCTCTTCACGGCGTCGCTTCTCGATCTTCTCCTTGTCGGCGGAGACTAGTGAAAGTCGGTCCAGGGCATCTCCGAGTCTTCTATCTGTGTCGGACTGCTTAGTGACGAGGCTCATAGCCTCCTCTCTCATGAGCTCGATCTTCTTGTTGAGCTCATCTTGGACCTTCTCACGTTCAATGAGATCATGTGAGGTAATGTGTTGGACCACGGGAGGGGCAGGGGCTACGGGGGCCACCTCGATGTGGATAGTTTGTCTCCTGGGAGCGACGACGTCAACGCGGGTGCCCTTGAGGTTGGCGGGCTTGGCTGGTGCAGGAGGAACGGCACTGGTCCTGACGACCTGCTTTTCGGTGGTGAATGGCCGAGTCCGAATGGCTTGGGTATATGAGTCGGACTTGGAAGAGTGAGAGTCAGAATCATCCACGCTCGTCGCGGTAGTGAGGCACGAGCTGGAGTCGAAGCTGAACTTTGACTCGACATCTGAATCATTGGTCTCGTCGGCTGTCGTGTAAAAGTTCTCGGTAGACCGTCTCCATGGGCGGCTGATCTCCGGGCGGAGTTCTGGGCGAGAAGGACGGGTGCGAAGCATGGGGGGTTTGAACTTCAAGGGAGGCTTTGCGGCGCCGCTCTTGTTCCTCCAGTTTCCGGGTGAGCCGACGCTCAAGTCGGATCCGCTGTCGTTTACCGAACGATCCATAGGGGCAAGTGAGATCTCGGAGACGTTGGCGTTGGAAAGATCGAGCCTCTCAAGAGGAGTATTGTCTGGGATGGAGACTGAGGGCCGCCTGAGTCTGGCGAAGCGACTGCGGCCCTTCGAGGGCACCGGGTCACGGGTAGGAGCCATGAGGACGGTGATGGAAAGATCTGAAATGGAGGTTCGCTCAAGAGCTGAGTAGCTCTGGTGAATAGTAATGTTCTTTTTTTGGGATCTCTCAAGTTATGTGCCAAGCTGGACGTCTGATCTGGGGCTGGTGGACTCTGCGAGTGACATTGAAAGTGTATTGGTAAGTTGATGAGGGGTAAAGTTGCATATCGGGTCTGCTCGGGTCTACAATCAAAGAATGATGAGATCGGAAGAGGAAGTCTAGATGTGGAGGCAGGTTGGTTTTGTTCAGAATATCCAGAGTATAGTGTTGTGAGAGGGAAGAAGGAGGAAAAAGGGAGGCGGAGGGCGATCTACGTACAGGAGCCCAACCGGCAGAAAATGATATTCGACACTGCCCGCCTTCATCCGTGGCCTCCCACCAGCGCGCTTACCCCCGTCCAATAGGGCACATACGTCAAAAACAAGTTCGGGGGCCCTTCGACTTCTCGTCCTCGAGCGGCGGGACACGGGCTCAACGGCATGGTCGAGCCAGACGAGCCAGCGTCAGGGATGAGGCGTGGCACCAGAGCGGGACTCCCAACTGGCCCTCCACGGAACCGTTTGGCGGGATGCCCAGCTTACATCCGGGACACAAAGTAGCGTCGAATATTGCAAACACAACGTCGTCACTCCATCGCCCTTCGGGCTGAGAGGGCTTGGCTCATTGGGCCATGCCGCTGTCAGGAGGAGCTAACCCTGCTTTCCTAGTCTATCGGCCGTGTCCACGGTCCACGGCGTACGCCCCCATGGTTTCCTGAACCCCCTGTCTAGACTCCATCAACGCTTCCCGTCTGCCGGGGATCAAAAAGCGGGAGACTGGGGGGTGCCACCATCCATCAGCTTGGGCGAATGGGTTCGGGTTCTGAAAGGGACTGAACCTAAGAATACAACTTTGCAATATCCCCAAGTGGCGATGAACATGTGTAAGTCTCCCGTTGCTGGACGGATTTGAGTCTCTCGACACTGCGGTACAGCTTTGAGGCCAACTGCTTCCGTTGGATCTCTGCTATGTTTGGCGACATATTCGTACTCGCACCCCCTCACTATTGGAAAAGTCCCGCCAACGAGTTGACGGCGGCGGTTGTTCATTGTCATGTCCATTCTCATGCCTTAGCTCGCTCTGTCGAGGGCCAAACAGGCTTGAAGCCCTATTTTGCAGGGGCTGAACGGGCCACCAAAGGGAAAAGAAAACAAATCAGAGAGTCTACTGTAGGCTGGGATGAGTCAGGAATTTTGGGGAAAAGACATGGGCTTCACAACCAGTCGATTTGGGCAGGGCAACCAGGCGGAAATGAATTCGACTGGCGGCCGTCTATTTTCCTCTTCTCCTCCCGTTTGTGCGCATGGTGTTGTGGGTTGGGCATCGATCACTTTGCTTTACTTGGGCTAGGCCGAGACAGTTGGGACGCAACAAACGTGGGATGAGCCACTAGAAGACTGCACGTTCCCGGAGACGACAGGGGGCCATGACTTGGACGTGGTGTTGTTTGATTCGTCCGCTTTGCGGGCCGAGCCATGTCGTCGAGTCCGGACCCTGGCCGGCATGTTGCCGGCCTCTCACCTCATTGTATGAAGGCTCAACGGAGTTCTGCTCTCTCGTTCAGCCGCCATGAAGATGAGGCATCTAGGAGGCTGGAAAATTGAATCGAAACGATGCCCATTAGTCTGAGTTTCTTCGCCCGGGTGCGTGGCTTATATGGTGGCAACAAGTCGAATAACGTGATCGTCTCCTGATGTCTGGCTTATCAGATGGAGGGGCACTCAAAAGTGGGCAGCGATAAACTCGTCCCGCTCTCGACATTCGGGGGGCTGGAATGTCCACGAACCCCTCATCAGTCTCCATTGGCCGATTGTTTATTCAAGTGGCGACGTGTCTCGTGTAACAAGTAACGTGGACCTCGTCAGGCGATACGGAGTACTCATGGGAACTTAGAAAGTCGCGAAATCTGTGGAACCTCCGGATTCCGGGTGGAGACGCGTCCGTCGCTGTTCGCGCATACTCCATATACCCTGGACAATAACGGGGAATCCATTTCCCATTCCCCTGGGTCAAACGGCGATTCCTTCTTTTCGCGGAATAACCACGCAATGATGCTAGCCATAGCCAACTAACTACCTGCGCCTCACGAATCTGAGGGCTTTGTTTGGACCTGGTGCACAATTCGCTTTCCTAAACCTTCAGTTTGTTGCCAGACCGACGAGGTGACAGTTTCTTCCAACACAGGCTGGCATCGGAAAGGGGCTACTGCAGTTGGGAAATGAAGACATGACAATTGCAGCTGCTATGGTGTTGAGCTTCACAGCAATCAAGTGTAACTGCCAAAAGCAACACATTGCAGATACCCCCTCACCTGAGACTGCAAATGAAGCTTTATTACTGCGGCTGGCGTGGCGAGGCGGTCGAGGGGTCTGCAACGTCCCCGGTCCCTTGGTCACCGTTCCTCAAGTGAGGCTGTTTTGCGATGGTTGCTGGTGTGACAACCCGTAGGCCGCATGCATATGCTCGGTGACGTACCCACAAAGACTTCAATGTTACTTACCCCTTGCGTCCTTCAGACTACACATAAAGCATAGCAACTCCCATAGGTCTAGTACTTTAGTCGTTCAGTCCGTATATCGTTGCTCGACGCAAAATCTATGCGGCTACAAGTGGTACATCACGGGAGTCAGGGATGTGTTCCTGTCATCCAGAAGCGTCTCTCATTTAATGTAGCAATGGTCTAGATGCCTGGGAAATCAAATCGATCTTTCCGGCATGCACATCACTAAGACTACAAGAGATGACCCTCTGTGACAGTTGCATCAAGGCTAGTGTTATGAATTTGCTGACTAGGCATAGTCAATTTTTGCATTGAGGCTTAGGGCGTCAAAAGCATGTCGACACTTACGAGGTATGGCTGCAGCATCGGCTAGGCGGAATCATCGTGACCCGGGGGGAATAAAGCCAAAGATCACTCACAGCAACTGACAAGTGGCCACAAAGACATCCAATCGATGGAAATACTCCGTAGCTGCTTGACAACAACCCACTTAATACAGCACATCTCTTTCCCCGCTGCTTGCGGGGTCAGGTTAATTCTTTGGACGGATATCTGGAGCTGCCAAGCTACCGTGCTACCGTCCGTGCCACCGCTCGTCATCTGCATCTCACGCACAGGAGTGAGATGAAGACAGACAAACGTACTCAAGCCGAACTGCTACATCTGTCCTAGCTATGGGAGGAAGAGTCGATATCGGAAGACTTTGGAGACCGGCAGTGCGCAGGTGCAAAATCGTCCTGACTCAATGTCTATTCGGGGCAATTCTCGCCTATTCAAGTTGCCATGTCACGGAAGTCAGGCCAGAGACAAAACTCTATCTTCAGGTTATGCGCACGAATTGGGCATGGCAACCGACTCTCCCACACCCCTCTCCGGGCGGATCCGTGTATTTGAAAGTCAGAATGGTATCAAGAATCCAAGGATGGTCACTACTTCATATGGCCTTTGGTGAGAATTTAACAGATTGTTGAGCATGTGTCAAGCTTTCGGGTGCTTCAGCTTTCAAGTTTCGCAGAGCCGTCGGGTGTGACTGCAAGTCACCGGGTCCTTCCCGCTGAGGTAAATCGGCACTAACAGTTGACTACTTTCGATATGCCTCCATGTTCTATCAGTAAATAAGTCCAAAATTCGAGGGTACTAAGGGTAGAGCAATGTTCCAATGCTTCTAGAAGTGAGTTCCCACATTGAGAAACGTCCACTTCGTTTCGGCGTGGCACCTGGCATGGTTGACCTTGACTGAAGGTCGCTTTGAGACTACGGGATCAAAGTGCCATTTTATGATTCGGGACAAATGTTGCGTATCAAGAGACCGTTACGTCCAACTGCCCAATCCATCCACGTGTCGCAACGCGAAGCTGGGATTGCTTGTGAAGATACGAGCACCTGCTTCCGTGCTCAGCTACCCCGCGAACCCTGGCCCTGGCGTATCCTATCAGCTCGATAGCACAGCTCTCAATAGTCTTTGAGTCAGTCTCGAGACATCACACCCTATCGGGTCGGGTGGCATTCAATCACAGTGCCTGAAAAGGCTAGTTGTAGCGATTTCGTCGCATGACTTGGGCATGCACTGATTCTCTCTGGAAGAAAATGTAGCGCAACATCTATGTTCGCGAGTCAATTCCAGACGGGTCAATCCTGAAAACGGATTGACTGGAGGGACGGACTTCATTACCCGATGATCAATTGAAGTTGAACATCCAGCTTTGATAGGCAGGTGTGTCGCATATGCCTCAAAGACGCGCCACTTCGCAGAGGGCACGGCTCAAAGTAACCTTTTCCCTCAATCTTTTCTCCGATTATGAGGCTGGAATAGTTATCTTTTTGGTTAGCAGCCCCTAAACATTCCATCTGCCGAGGAAGCTTCCCCCGTCCATCGAAAACACACTTCTTCTATGCATAAACCTCTCCAGAGTGCGGGCGTCATAGCTGCCGATTTTTCCATGAACCAACCATGAATCCACGTTTTAGCTTAGCTATCAGAGTTTGGCCCTCCGAACATGGTCAAGGCTGATTGTTCCCAGAGTTCTGGGCTCGACTATAGTTTCTCCCGGGGCACATCATCACAAGTATGACGTTCTGCGGCAAGTATATACGAGAAGCTCCCCTCCAGTGACATCTCCGCGGAGGATTGTTCCTACTAATCACAATAACATGCTGTGGATGCACTACTGGCTCTCACACGTTGAGTCGGAGGCAAGTTTGGCAGCGTCCTTCCGAATAAAAGACTGATCATCTACGGGGAGACTATGACTTGCCCCGCACCGAGCCGACCCCGCCGACCTACCCCGCCGGTTTGCCCACATTTCCCGGTCGCCGATGCGAGATGTCTGACAAGGAGGGGGCGGCCCCCCCGCCGGAAGGCGTAGTGCCAGATTTTCAGCACCCGCAAGATGTATTGCATACGATCAATTTGGTGTCGCAAATTCTTTCGATTGTGTCCGTCAGTATCTTTATGATGCTGCGCATTTATGCGAAAACGCTCATCGCGCCGCCATTCTATTTGGATGATTGTAAGTATTCTTGACTAGGACTCTCTGGGGCCCTCTGCTATCAATTTTGGAAGCTGGCGGTTCTAGGGATGGCAGTTGTCCCCTGGGTAAGTAAATGAGTGGCTAGATTGGTCACCCCATTGAAGTCAACGCATGTGCTGATAAGTCGGTAGATACTGTCGATCGGCTACAGTTCGACGGGGCTCGTGAGTAAGTAATGATGGGCAATTGAGGTCTTCACATGGCGGCTAATCATTTCCCAGTGCATCGTTATGAAGGTGGTTTCCACCTCTATGAAATCTCAAAGGACAATTTCGTTGGGTTCTTGAAGGTAAGTACTTCTCTTCAACATTAGTGGCCGCAGTCAACTGGTTCCGAATTCGCGTGCTAATACCGTCACAGGGGTTATACGCGGACACGCTTGTCTACGGCCCAAATTCCTATTTCACGAAACTCGCGTTGCTGCCCATCGTGATCAGAGTCTTCAGGCTGAACAAGAAGACCATAATCGGCACATACGCCGTCATAGTGTTCATGACTGGATATTATGTGCCGGTCCTTTTTCTCAAAACGTTCATCCGCCATCCAATTGCAGGCTACTGGGACTCCACGCTCAACGCTACCTGCTTGAACCAGCGGGCAATCTTTGTTGCAGATACTGCCATAAGCGCCATCACGGACACTGCGGTATTATGTCTTCCGATACCAGTGGCTTTGAGTCTGCGAATGTCATGGACAAAACGACTAAAGGTTATTGTCGGAACGGCAAGGCTGATAAGGAGCAATGGGCAGGTATCGTGGGCTGGCTGGCGCCTGCCCTGGGCGAAGTGGGACAACCGGCTTAGTCATCACGGCCGGTTAAGGTGGGGCAACCACCCAGGCCGTCTCCACCTACTTCGATCGGCCCCTGCCCACAATGTAAATAGGAAGAACAACAACAGCAATTATCACGGACATCGACGTGATTGTTGCCGAAGATACACCCTCATGAGGAAATGTATCACGCCTGTGATACCAACAGTTATCCTCATGCTCAGCGCAGGGGGCGTCGCTACCGCAGCTAGCATTGTTCGGATGATTCTCGTGATTCAACTGCAAAAGTCCGATGATGAACCCGTTGACTTCATCCGTTTCAATCTACTTGGGTGAGGCCGTCTACTTCACTGTTATGTTGGACTAGTCACTAATGCCGAAATATCATTAGGACTGCGGAAGTGAGCATAGGCATGATCTGCGCCTGTCTTCCAGCAATCAACATCTTGTTCATGCGCGGATTTAGCGGTTCGGCAGAAGCGAGTCGCAACACCGGCCAAAGCAGCAAAAAGTACTTTGAGCTCAAATTTCTCATGGGCAGCAAGCTGCAAACGCAAAATTTAACGGCAGTCAATACCACCGGGACGACTGGGCCTGTGCTTGTAAGCACTAGTACAGAGGGCATGGCACCTAAACATAGGGATTCCATATTTCCTATCGAAAGAATGAGCCGAGTAACCTTGGCCGGACAAGGAGACGTGGAAAGAGGCATTTGGTCGGATGAGTGGTATACAAAAGTCACCGCGTCACTTTTCTCAGAACCTGGATCTCCGGATTGGGCCCGGGAAGGTTCCGTGGGCTTCATGGAGACAATAACAGAATTGGGCTAAGGCCCATGTTCTGCGGCATCAGCAGCGTACTTGGATCATTCGGATATTACTCGGTGCACATCATGACGAGGTGCCTACCTGGTAGTGAAGTAGGCAGGAGCGAGTTTTACGTTGCGAGATACCAAGACTTAGCAGGTTAGATCGACCCTTCTCATGGAATGGCGTTCCATTCGTCTACAAACTATTACAAGAAAATGCAAGAAGCACACATGATTCTCCACCAAATCAAGCCGTCATCTTGCTTATAGGGAGCGCAATCAGTGTCGTCACCTTCCCCTGCCAGTCCGTCAGTTTGTCTGTCATTTCCTTCACGACGACTGGTGAGTACGTGGTCGCGGCAGCAGTCGATTTCCAGAATGCAAGTTCGCTCTTGACATAACTCTCGAACAGTGTCCGAGCAGATGAGACCTGGCTCTCGAGATTGGCGGGAACAATCTGCTTCCACGCGGAAGCAAAGTCGTAGCTGACGCCCTTGCTGAGAGCATATCTACCAAAGTCACCCCAAAGTGTGGCGAGTGAAGCGTATGTCTTTTGGTACGAGGTGATGACGCTTGCTTCACTCCGATACGCAAAGGTGTCAATTACATCGGACAAGATGGCAATGCGGCCTGTGGGGCTGTAGTTCTTCCACGTCGCCTGGCTCATGAAGTCACTTCCGGCGACGATGAACTCTTTGTAGCGGTTGAAATCGGCGTCGCATACCTGAAGGTTGACGATGTTTGCATTATTGAGGCCTTGATCTGTTGTCCGACCAAGAAGGCCTGTGAATGCGTCGTTTATGTTGCCTGCCCAATCGCGTACAACGGTAAGGGTGGTGTACGTTTTCGAAGGCCAGACATCCTGGAACAACTGCATCATTGACGTGTTAGTCGAACCTGACTCAATCTATTTTCTCAAAGATTCCAGAGAGGATAACCTACGCCATTGAGATCAAAAACTCCAGTAAAAGGGGCTTTCCCGGCCGTGAGAGCGACGCCTTTTGGAGTGTTGCCATCCATCATCCACTCAACCGCATCGCGGAACTCCTGCTTTTCGAAAACGTGCTCCGTAACCCAGTTGGTATTTGGATCAAGATTAGTCAAAGCTGTGATACCAACAGCGGCGCAAACCCCTTGCTTGGCTACAGTGAACGCCTTCCCAGTAGTACGAATGATGCTGGTCGCACCCGGGTAGTTCTGAGTGTAGATGCTGCTGCTCTGCTTGCCGGGTGCACACAATTTCATTGCCACATCTCTGGCACCGCGCTTCTCCAGCGATCTGCCGAAGAGGTCAGATGTATCCATGCCAGCGAGAGCTGGATGCTCTGCCTCCTCCGAGCCTGTATCATTGCTGTCGAATCCTCTCTGATGCGGACGAGCTGCCCGTATCATGTGTCGTCTCTTGTTAGTCAGTGGTAGTATGCAGCTATTATCAAAGATATCGCCTTCTTTGAACACATTCTTGGGGCTCGAGCCACCCTCTGGCGTCGTAGACAGTTCCGGCAAGTTTGCAGGACTGGGACATAGACTAATTTCCGGTAGCTTGGGCTCGACCGGCGTATTGGGGTTGCCACAGCAGAAGTACGAATATGTACCGGAGCGACAGCCAAAGCCATCAGTTGCAACGGTCACCTCTCCATTCTCGCAGCCGGTCTTGCAGTCTGTCGAAAAGTCGAAAAAGAGATTGGCGAGAGGGCCAGACAATATTTGCTTCCATTGAACCCAGGCAGTGTTTCCAGATCTCCTAAAGGGCAGTCAGTCAAAGCCCCTGGTAGAAGTTCGTCGAAGAATACTTGCCATTTGCACTCTTTCCAGGGCACGGGATCTTTGCAGCAATAGCTCTTGAAACCTCCGTTGTAGGCACACGTCTGCTGCCCACCCTCTCCTTGCTTCCCAGTAGTAAGCTCCTTGGGCTTGTCCTTGTTGGGACAGCCGTAGGAAAGGAAAGAAAATGCTCCAGCAACAGGTGTTGTGCCGAGTCCAAGGATGGACCCGAAAGTCGCACCAGCCGAGCAGAAGGGGGCAGCTCCAAGCCACTCGCAAGAGTCAAGAGTGCTCGTCGAATCAGTCTTGGTGCAACACAAAGACTTGTGTCCAGTCCAGCATCCGTCTGTGCTGGCGGCAATCTCGATCTCTTTGCCGCTGCATCGGTTCTTCGCGAGCGCGCCACAGAACTTGGGACTCCCCTTCCACTTACAGGTCGGTGGATTCTTCGAAGGACAGCAAAAGTTGCGCTTTCCTTGATTGCATCCCAGCTCGATGCCCAGTGGACTGGCGTTGCTGCCCGAACTCTCGACAGGGACGAGACCAGATGGACACGATACGCCGCACTCGCCCCAGACACACTGGCTGGGGTCGCTGTTGACTGCTTTGGCAAAGAGAGATTTCGACAAGTCGGTTCGGCCTGAAGCCTTTGCGAGAGCTTTGATGGCAGTTCCTTTGGCGTCATCTGTTGATGCAGCCCAGACCATGACGCCTCCAAGACACTTGCCGTTTGCGTAGTCCATCTTCAACTTGAGCGTCTCCTCATCGTCGTACGAGACCCACTGGTTACCGCCCCAAGTGACAATCTTGACAGCGGCTGTCTTGTCCGTCGTTACTTGAGCACCGCCTTTGTCGATGATCTCTTGAATTTCAGAGAACATCAATGTTCCAGCTGAAGCGGAGCATCTGCCTGGAGTACCGCCGGCGCTGAACCCACAGCCAGCAGATTTGCAGCTTGGATTCGAGAGAGTGAAGCTGCGTCCATAGAAACCCATGCCCATGACAACCTTCTTGGGATCAACATCATTACGCCACAAGAGCTCAAGTGCACGGTCGATTTCCGTCAAGTTTGTATGGCTGTTGACGTATGGTCCCAGGTAAGGATTCGTGCCATCCCAGGTGCCGTGTAAGTCGTAGCTCATCATGTTGAACCAGTCCAGGTATGGCTGGATGTTCTTGAGATCGAAGTGCTGGAGGTACCAGTATGATGCGGGGAGTGTAATCGTGAGTCCTTTGTTTCCTAGTGCAGCTCGGAGATTCTTGAGGAAGGTGACCAAGTTCTTATAGTCCGCAGGTGTGCCAGAGCGTTCCTCTGCGACGGGATATTCCCAGTCAATGTCGACACCATCGAAGCCATATTTACTAGCAGAGGTCGACCGTTAGTTGGAACTCATTACACATCTAATGTGCTTTGAGAACTTACTTCATGAAAGACAGAAGAGATGAGAAGAACACATCTTGTTTTGCCTTTGAGGCTGCCAGTTCAGAAAATGTGCGCTTGGTAGGCTGATCAGAGTCGTTCATGCTCCAGCCCCCGATGGCAATCTATTGATTCAATATTAGCGAAGACTTTTTATGTGCAGAAACACAAGGCGAAATCTTACCCAGACTTCCATCCCAGGGTTGTAGTTCTTCAGCGCTGTAAGACGAGGCATGAACTTCGAGTCGGAATCCTGCATGTTTGCAATCTTGTACGTGGTCGGATCAATGAAGGCAAATGCATAGTTGAGATGAGTGTAGGCCGTGTAGAGCACGTCCTCCGGGTTCACTTTTCAAACGTCAGCAACTCGTCTGCTTGATACTGTCAAAGGTAATTCCCAATTACTCTACGAGGTAGTTACCGTACAAGGTAAGTTCTCTTAGAAGAGAATAACTTTAAACGGCAATCACTTTGGAGGGAACCTTTTGCACACAATGGCTTCTTTAAGAGGTAATTTGGACTTACATCCATTGCAGGCCTTCGTTGTTGACCACCCTTCATAGTAGCCGATCACTCGCTTGCCTGCAGAGGAACCACCAGGGCAACTTGGCGCCTTGACCTTCTTATCGCCGCAAAACTCCTTGGTAGTTCCGCAAAAGCCAAACTTGGAGCAGCATACGTTGAGGGGGCACTTGTCTCTCTGGCTCCAGGCGGATCCCCAGCCTGGGTCACACTCGCTTTTGGCACCGCAAGTAGAAGTGCAGTTCGCAGGTGCGCAGTAGCTGGGGCCAAGACCGCAGACCTGGTTCTATCGTCAGTGACTGATGTTCTTTCTGAATCGGGATGTCTGCACCACTCACATTGTTCTTACCACAGCATCCAAGTTTACATGGCCTGGTGGGGGAACAGCTATAGTCCTGCTGGGCTATCACTCCGGACGCAACGAGCAGGAGACAGAACAACAGCACAGCTGGGTTAAAGAGTTTCATTCTTACAATTGATAAACAAACTTCGATGCTAGTAACCTAGACTTGCAAATTCGTCCTGTTCTCGAGATGAACGCATTCTTTTGTTTCTTCGTGGAAAACTCAAGAAGAGGCTGACAGCATAGCCTTTCCCGTCCTTCAAGGGGGACGCAAATTAGATCACATGGTGACTAGAGATAACCTCTGTCACATCTGACCTGCGTGGGATTTTGTGGAAGTTACGATCGACCTAGACCTTAATCAACCTGCAACCTCCCTTCTTTGAATTGATTCAGTGCGGTCGATCAAGACAGAGGTTGTTGTGAGTTCCGTGGCAAGTGTGAACCATTCTCATGATGCTCTGTAATTTTCTGAGTTGCTGACTGTGTCTTACCTGTAACCTGTGTCAGTATGTGGGTTGCAATTTCAAAATGACTTTGCCATCGACACAAATCATCTGATGTGCAAGTTGACAACGCTGATTTGGCGCCACAAGTGTGATGGAGTAAGGGACACTTGGGTTAAGGTGCTTCATAGTGTGGTGTTTCTATCACCCTGCGTGTCCGTTCACGACATAAGTAGACGTCGCATGCGCCATTCACTAATAGTAAGACACTTCTTGACTGTCGATCAAACTGCGTGGGCTGGTGTTCTGCGCGTAGCGTGTTGACTTAGGTGCGGTAGTGAGCTCATGCATATCAGATTGACTCAAATGATTGTGCTTCGGGGAGCAGAGACAGACTTGAGACACCGATCAGCAGTTGACTCTTCTTACAGCCGCTTGGAACTATATCATGTCATGTCTTACTCAAGAGAAGCTTGCAATATGACAGAGTCAGACTCAAAACCCGGACTCTATGGTTGTGAATGCGCAAAGTCGGATGCCCGAAGAACCCGAATTTAGTCCATACTTACTTAGAACGAGTTCTCCTATTCTTGGTCATCTTCGAATTCTTAGATGAGGATTGCAGCTCGAACAAAAGCACATTACTCACCAAAACTTGGTTGAACTCAAGATGAAGTTGATTTTGCCTTTGAGCCTGATTATCTCCTTGTGGCCTTTGGCCATATTGGCTGACCCAAGTGTGAGTTACTCCCAGACTACTCTGAGAATAACAGAGAACAGCATATCCAATGCAAAGCTTTGACCGATTTCGTTAGTTCTTCTTTTTCGCAAATCAATCTGGCACCGTCTTCGATGGAATTTCGTCAGGATGCAACTTGGCGCTATCAGCCCCCGTCCCGGAATGCCCGCGAGAGCTCTTGAACCTCCTCGGAGGTGGCAGCTATCACACAGTACTCAACGAGACTGTCATGGGCGTTCTTTGTAGATCCGAATGCTCTCCTGCATTGGCGACTTACAGGAGCAATGTCGTTTCACAATGCGCCAAAGACCCTCAGCCTAGAAGTGGCTATCCGTCAACCTACTGGGTTGACTCCGTTACTGCTGTCCGAACGCAAATGTGTCTGAAAGACTCCAAGACTGGGGAATATTGTACTCGTAAGTATGATCTCCTGTCATGGCTTTCGAATCTGTAATCTGACATTTGATAGAGTATCTCGAACGAGTTCTCGGTGATGCCACAAGCCCAGCAGATCTGCTCGGCGGATACTCAACTGCCCAGCTCTGCTCCGAGTGTCTGGTGAACCTATTCCGCCACCAACAGTCAACCCCCTACTCTAACTACGACCCTGAGATGGCTCAAGCTTGGGCCGCTATTCAGTCAAAATGCAGTCTTAGTCTCCCAACATCAACTCAGACACTGAAGACGAATGTGACTTCACTGGGGAACTATGCTCCGCCCGGTTATGCGACTGCAGTTTGTGTTGCAGGCCGTACGTACACGGTGGCTGCCGGTGACAATTGTATTGATATCTCGAAGAAGAGCGGCGTTTCCACAGGCTCGTTGATCACACTGAACAGCCTGCGGATGGACTGCACGAACATCTTTGCCGGTCAAGTAAGTTCTCGTCTTTTCCCGTGCTGGTGATTGTTGCTAGGACCCCGTTTGGCTGATATCGGCGAGTTGTAGAGCCTCTGCCTCCCGCCGAGTTGCGCTAGCTACGTGGTTCAAACCGGCGACAATTGTTTGAAGGTCGCCACGCAGTTCAATACGACCTACCAGCAAGTCATCGCTTGGAATCCAAGTAAGTCCTCAATTTGCTGGAAACGATGCCGGTTCATTCGTTCCTTTCTGACCGCCAAACCAGCTGTTGATAGTTACTGCACCAACTTGATCGCAGGCCAGAATATCTGCGTTGGACCTCCAGGTGGTGTTCTCAACTTCACCACGATCCCAGGTGCAACTGTAACTAAGACTGCGGTCTATGCGACCGCTACGGCTGATAGACCAGCGCCTGTCGCGAGTGGAACCACCACCAAGTGTGGCAAGTACTACAAGGTTCAGCTGGTATGTATTTCTAGGCCGTGCAACTGTAAAGCGACGCAGTCAATTTGGTCCTCGAGGCTGAAGTGTCTTTTGACACGAAGTGACTAATTGTGCATTGGCGTAGGGCGACTATTGTGAGCTTGTGGCCTTGAACCAGACAGTTTCGTTGGATCTATTCCGTGGGATGAATCCCCAGGTGAGTTGGTCAATAATCCAAATGCCCAAAAGGTCAGAACTCTACCAACAACGGGACACAGATCAACGTTGGCTGCACCAACTTACAGGCCAATGTGTTCTATTGCGTGCTGCCTACCCAAGACTGGAACACCACAGCGACTTCAACCACCGTCCCGGCTCCAACGTCTACACCTCCTGGAACAACAGACAAGTGCTATGAGTAAGTCTTTTGTTTGTTTTGCTGCAACGGAGATATCCAAGACTCACTTTTCCCTCCAGGTGGTACGTGATTCAGTCCGGAGACTACTGCGCCAAAGTGCAGGATAAGTTCGGAATTTCCTTCGAGCAGTTTCGTGGATGGAACCCTGTAAGTCGAGACTGCACTTGAGATCATTGATAGTGATAGTGGCTAAGAAGAAGTCGTTAGGCAATCGCAAGTGACTGCTCCAATCTGCAGCTGGGGGTAGCATACTGTGTCCACGGCGCTGCTTCCCTGGCAGCACGGGCGACTGATGATGTCAGCAGCCAGTCTGACCTCAACGAGGTAGCTCACTATCGAAGGAATGGAGTCGGACCTGTTGAGACGGGGGTGCCTAGGACCGAGGGCGGAGGTGTTGCTATTGGGTGGCCTGGTGTGGACTCTCCAAGACTGAGAAGGGCAATGGGATTGTCAGAGAAAATGGAGTTGTAAAGACTTTCTTCTTTACTAGTACAGAGGCTATCCCTTACATCTCGTACCTCTTAGCCGTGCGCTTCCCAAGAATCGAATTCTGCCTAGACTCTGCGACGCTTCCGCATTCTTTCCGGAGACGGTGCCGTAGACCACCAGATATCTTCCAAGTCCTCGCTCCCAGATGCACCTCCATCTGGGTCCGCAAGACTATCCAAGCCCCTGACACTTCTCGTGATCCTTCTCAATGGCATGATGTCCGAGTCAAGAAGCCACCAGAATTCTTCGACAATCGTTTCTGCGGCAACTTTGAAGATTGGCTTGAACCACTCCCTATCTTCGTGACCCTCCTCCAAACCTGGGTCCGTGTCTGCAGCAACCGCGATGAAGAACGGTGCCGCTGTCCGCCACCACTTGGACTTGGTCGTCGGCCGGTCGCCCTCACCCAGATCCAGCACAGACGCTACTACATCCAAAGAAGCGACAAGGAACACCTTCTCTGACAGACCGGCTGGGAGGTCAGATTTCATGGCGTCGAACCTGTCGCGCAGATCTTCGGCAGGAGCGCTGGCTAAGGCAGGATCTTCGACCCATCGTATCTCAAACTTTGATTCGGCATCCTTGAAGTACTCTGGAATATCAATCCCGTCGGCATCCCTCTGGAAAGCAAGCTCAACGATTCTGTGAACCTGCTTGGCGAAAGTCTCCCATCGTTCCTGATCGTCGTAGCAGGCCGTTCGAAAGGCCACCATTCCCCACGTCTGACCTTCGTGGCGCTTCTTCCAGTGCTTCAACCAGTTCGAGGGGATGTAATCGGCTTCCGTCTTCTTGGCCGTCTCTGTGGTCGAATCCGCGGTAGATCTTTCAGCATCGCGTTGTTGCTCCTCGAAGACGTGCATCGCCAATTGCCCCACTCCTTCTTCTCCAAGCACGTCCCGCAGTCCAGCCTGCATCTTCAGCAGTTCATCCACGTCGAGAGAGGCAACATCATCCGGCGTAGCATGGCGGTAGCGATCGTAGTTCCAGCCTGGTGGCCAGTAGGAACTTGATGCATCCGAGTAGATTGGTTGGTTGGTGGGCGTGACAACCTGGGGCGTATCTGCCTCTGGTGCCTCCTCGGCAAAGCTTGGGCGCGGCATCTCGTTTTCGGATTGATTCTCTCAAACTTGCGTCCGCTGATGAAAAGGTGAAGGTATGGGCATGGAATTCTCGTGTAAGATCTAGATGACAAGCTGGTGAACAACTTTAATCGAGCTGATGTTTGGACCAGGAAGGAACCCCTCCGATGACATGCACCTTCCCGTCCCTTACTTACACCATTACATAAGGGCGGTACGTACCCCAAGACATCAGCCCCTGATCGATAGAGTCTCACTCACTCGTCACTTCACTTCTCACTCAAAGTCCTACGAGATTGTGTCAAATACATGCAGTCTCACTCTTCACGTCAAAAATTGCATCACACTTCCGGTCTCAATGAGTCTAGCCCTGGTGCCGATGAGACATCCGATGATCGGTTGGAGGAACAGCTCTTTCTCCCCATGGCGAGGAATAGTCTAGAGAGTGATGCGGACCCGGCAATGGAAACTATGAGATAGCAAGACGTGCATTGGGACAGGTCTGAAAGTGACCATTGCAATTGATTGAACAAAGGAGACATATATAATTAGATCTAGACACATTCTAAGGGTATTGTTCGTAATGAATCATGCTTGGAGACATCATAGAAGGACAAAACCATAATACGTAAAACTTTTATCACAGATTCCCACCGACAGGCTTCATCTCACGTAAGAAGACCTTTACTCCTCGTCGCTCTCGGAGCTGGAATCATCGTCGTCCTCATCGTCATCATCTGTGGGATATTAGCAAATGTGACGTTATATTGGAGGATCTTTAGATGTGCTTACCATCAGCCGGGGTCTTGTTCTCGGCAACACCATTGGCCCTAACGCGGACCTGCTTGTAGTGAAGGGGATCGCTCTTAAGATCCTCACCCTCAACAGCAGCACCGCCATCCTGCACGTACTCCTTCAGGTCGGCAAAAAGCTCCTCACCAAACGCACCAGACTTTTTGGCCCTCGTAATCAGCTGGCCAACAACGCTGGACGCCATCTTAGCAGGTGTGTTGAGGATCTTCTCAATAACCTCGCGGTGACCGAAACCGCACTTGGCGTGAGGGTCATCCACGGGCGCGCCCTCGGCGGAGCTGTCCCTGAAGCGCAGACCGGGGGTCTGGTAGCGACGGATGCGGACTTCACCGTAGGCCCTGGCGAGGTCGACGGCGCTGACCTTGATCTTCGCGGGCTCGGGAGGGGGCCACAGTTTGGACTTTGTCAGGCCCATAATGGCGGATCCGAGAAGGAGCTGCTCGCAGTCTTCCGCGGTACCGTCCTCGGTACCGGCGTGGCAGTAGCTGATCTCCTCGCCGGGGTAGCAGGAGGGGTTCAGGAGGCGGTGGACGGGGTTGCTGACAGCCTTGATAATTCTGTCAATGGCCTCGGCGCGAGTGGTAGTGAGCATGCGGATGACCTCGTCCGAGATGGGCTGGTCCTTCCAGGGGCGGCCCTTGGAGTCCTGGAGGGCTCCGTCGGGGCCGATGCGGGACTTGTAAGCCGCCTTGGCCAACACGCGGCTGAACCACCGGGCCTCGCCAAAGACCCAGCTGAGGACGAGAGTCTTATCCTCGTCGTTGCGGGCGCCGGCCATAAGGACGTGGCGGTTCAGGGCGATGACCCAGTCGTTCATGAAGGGGACGAGCAGGTGGCTGGCGGCGTACTTGTCGGAAGCAAGGGCCAGGTCGTACAGGTCACCGACGTTGGGCATGGCGGGGAGCTCGTGGAACTTGAAGTGGGCGATGGAGAAAAGCACGTCAAGACCGCTGGCTGTGTCAGCGGGGGACTGCAGCTCAATCACGCCGGAGGTGTTGTTGGCGAGCAACTCCTTCCAGACGCGGGAGGCGGATGCGAGAGCGGCGGAGCGGACGGAGTACACGACGAGGGAGCCGTTTGACTCGCGGACCTTGACGTGAAGGTCGGCATCCTCATGGTAGGAGATCCTTTTGTCGGCTTCGGGGGTAGCAGGGCGGGGAGGGAGGATGGCGACGCGAGTTGCCAGCTGGGCACCCTGCGGCTCCTGTGCCTCGGTCTTATTCTTCTCCTCATCTTCTTCCTCATCCTCGGAAGAGGACTCGTCGGCGTCGTCCTCGGCCGTCTTAGCAGTCTCGGCTACCGACACGGCCTTGGGCTTCGCGGACTCGGCCTCGGTGGTGGCAGGGGCTGAGGGGGTGTTCTCCTCCTTTCCCTCGGGGACGGTCGTGGGCTTGACTTTCTCGTCAGGGATAGAGGGAACGGCGGGGACAGCGGGCTCCTTGGTGCCAAGGAAGGACTTTTCACGGCCGGGCATAGCGGTCATGGGTCTCCGCACCTCATCGCCATTGTTTGATTGAACCAGAGCGGGGATACTCTGAGAGGAATCGGATCGCTTCATGAAGTAGCCATCTTTGACGGGGCCGAAAGTCGGAGTAGGAGGGCTGGAGGTAGCATTTTCGTTGGTGGTCTTTGTAGTAGGGGCTCTGTTTGCATGTTAGTATTGATGTCTTTCAAACTCGGTGTAAGTCAACAACTTGTGGCGGTACAGATTCTTCGAGAAAGAGCTGATGCAGTACTGGAGTGGCATGGGAAGCGAGGGCATAATAGAAAAAAAGACAAAGGAACGCTACCGAAGGGAGGATATTCGCAAAGGCACGGACGGCGGCCGCGGCGGCAACACTCTTATAGGATGCCTCCAGATTGCGCTGGCAGAGCAGTGCCCTCCTTGAGGGTCCTCCGTCATTGCATCTTGATCCGGCCAGTGACGATGCTGGGCAAAGGAGTCATCAGGCGCGTCACCCTCGGGTGGTGTTGGCGGACTACGAACACCCGTGTAAGAGAGGGTAACTGATTGGAGGCGGATTGGGTTCGGTTAGGTGTCAACGTTGTTGTTTGCAGCCGCGACAGACACGTCAAACATGCAAGACGACGAACTCGTCGAGCTTGAGTCGATGGACCGTTGGACAACTGGAGGGGCATGCATATTTGGTGGAGATCTTCAAAGCCGCGGCGCCCGCTGTTGCAGCCGGTCCGGTCGAAGCGGGACCCTTTCAGGGTCCAGCATAAAAGCAGGGGTTGAGGCGAGCGATGCTTGCAAGGGTATGGGCAGAGGATAGAGAAAAAGAAGAGCGGTGAAGCAGGATATCGTGGCCGGGACAACTGAAAGAAGAGAGAAAACTACTTTGAAGTAAACAAAACAAAACGTACCTCTTGAAGCGGTTGTTGAGGAAGAGAAAACCACTTCCAGACTTGCGACGTTCGGGGTCTTGACCAGAGGGGGTTCTCCGGTGAGACTCAAAAAGTGCGGGAGACATTGTGAGGGGGTATCAACGGCCGTAATTTCGGAAAACAGGAAACAAAAAAAAGAAGACGGGAAAACCAAAAGCGAAATTCGTCACGCCAAATGAAAAGCAACTGCTAGACGGAGAAGCAGTTATGCAAAGGTCTCAGATGTCGTGAGTCGTGACCAAACAGAGATGAGGAAACAAGAAAGAAGGAAGGCAAATATGAAAGCTGGACTTGATGCTCATATATATGTGCTCGTCGGTTCAGCAGCCCGAGATACCATGTTCACAGTTCTCAAGCTCAGTATTCGTATGGTCTCCACCAAGAGAGCCGGTATGGCAAATCAAAGCAGTCAATACTGCTCATCCACCGTCCGTGAACCTCTCGATGGCTATCATTCTGGAGTCGCCGAGGGGTGGTGCGACCCACCGAAGTGGCTGGCCAACTAAACCTGAACCAAGATTAAACGAAATGGAAGGTCGAAAAAACATTGGGCACCAAAGAAAAGCTCGCGAGTCGCATAAACAATCACCGCCCTCGTCCGTCTGCTTCCTTCACCGCTGGCATCGCGTCGTCGCCTCGCCGGCGACCGCGTCCAGGGCTCCTGGGAAAGATTGGAAGATTTTCTCAAGAACCCTTGCTGGATATGGCATTCTTCTCCCCCGGGAGCTCGGGACACCTGCAGAATTCTTTGCGAGATCCACCCGTAGTGACATTTTAGCGCAGTTCGCGTTGGATATCCTTGGACATCCTTGGATATCTCATCCATCAGCAGGGGGGTGCAGTCACATTTGGCGATCGCCTCCACCGCCCTTTGCATGAAGCACCCTTGGCTGCATGAAACATTGACGGCGGCCGTTTCTACCGCTCTTTGCTTGTGAGGATGGTCTCGAAAATCTGGGAAGACGGAAGAGATTTCTCAACGTCGGGTGAGGCTGTCGAAGTCTTGAGGCGAGGAAGGCGACTCAAGGACCATTGACAAATATCTAGGCGGGCGAGGGCACATGGAGCCTCAAGATGTGATGAACTCTGAATTATGCTTGCATGAGAGTTGTGCACCTTTGGCTGGTCATTGGGGGAAAAACGCTTTCTGATATCTCTCGTTGAAAGCTTGGGCATGGAGGCTCTGCAAGAGAGGGTCAAGAAAAGAATGAGCCCAGCCTCCTGCAGTCACTTGCTGAGAAAATGATTGGATAACTTAGATCGGAGTGTGTATCTAGATTCGGTGGTAGATGCAGGAAGCGCGTTGAATCGTCAGACGATTTCTCGGCCTCTTCTCATGACCCTGCTGTTTTTTTAGTTCACGTTAGGCATTAGTGCTTCATAATCAAAGCACGGTCCATCTGTTTTATACAACTTAAATATTGGGAATAATTTGTTATGAACATTTCGCAATCCTCCCGACCCAAAACTCCAATTAATGCCCAAAGGTTTGTTTAATCAAAAAAGCAGCTTCAAGCTTTTGCAACCCCCATGCCATTTACTGCCCGACGATGACGCCAGGAGACAGCTCCAATCCTATGGGCAGACCCTTGATAAACTTCTGGGTAAAGGGAGCCCCCGACCGTTTGGCAATGACCTCCTCGATGTCCTTGTACATGTCGTATCTGTCACATCGTTAGCAATGTCCGAAAAGGTAGTTAGAAGCGGTAAGACTCACCCATTCATCTCCTCGATAGTGAGCTTGGCCCTCTCATCGGCAACCTTGTATGTGCTGGTGCTGGTGTTGTTTGAGAAACCTATGCAAGAATTAGATTCAGGTCTTCTTCCAAAGAGGGTTGTTATAGTTTATTGAGCCTACCAATACGCTCGTTGATGTTATAAGCAGCCTTGGCAGCCGCAGACTGCACACGCGTGGCGCGAGGCAGACGGACGGTGTTGTAGACTTCCAAGGTGTCGGCGACATCTCCGTTGAAGTATTTTGGGTGGAAAAGAATTCCGATAGCAGCGGCGTCTTCGATAGCCATGCATGCACCCTGACTTTGGTGAGGCATCATCTGGAGGGCTTCAGTTAGAACCGCTCTCACACCGAATGGATAACGCGTTGACTTACAGGATGTCCCGCATCACCCAACAGGCAAACCATGTCCTTGTTGACGTAAGGGTAAGGGTCACTGTGTTCAAGTCAGAACAAGAGACTGAGAGGAAATGATTGGACAACTTACTGCATCCACAGACGCCAGGGCTGGATATCCTTGCCAATAGCGAGATGCGCAAGAACCTGCTTGTCGAGCTCGGGGTACGGCGCCAGCAACTCCTCGACGGGGCGGTCCTCAACACCCCAAGCCTGGTTCACGTAGTCGCCCTTTTCTCTGGGGAAGAAGCAGTAGTAGGACAGCAGCTTTCCGCCGTTGCAGGGCGAGAGGACGATCTTGTCCCACTTGCCCTCCTGACCGCCCCAGTACTCGAGCGCGGCGTCTTGCGAGTAGTCGACGAGGCCGGCCTTGACGGCGTCCTCGGTGAGGACGTTGGCATGCAGACAGCTTGAATCGGCAGGGCGCTTCTCCGGCTTGACGCCGATCAGGCCCCGCACTACACTGCCGATTCCGTCGGCGCCGACGATAAGGTCGTGGGTTACGGTCAGGCCGGTGTCAAACTCCACCTTTCCGCTGGCCAGGTCGATGTTCTTGCACTGCGGGGGATAATTAGCTGCTGAGCACTGGACTGCAGATGTTCTATGACGGTGTCTTACCTTTTGGTTGACCAACAGCTTGACCGGAATTCCCTCGCCCTCCTCCTGCATCGCCGTGTCCTTGAGCATGGCGTGCATGTACTGACGGTGGAACATGTTGTAGACGTATCCCCAGCGCTTCTCGTAGTCGTCGAGGCTATACACGCTAACAGGTTCGCCCGTCTTCCAGTCCCTGTTGATTAGGCTCTTCAGGACGACGGGGTCGCCCTTCTCAACGTCCACCCCCCACTCGTGCAGCCAGCGGGTGCCGTTCGCGGCGCATGAGACGGAGGCGCCGACCTCACCGGCGAAGTCGTTGCGCTCGTAGATGGTGACCTTGTGTCCGGCCCGGCGCAGGGCGATAGCAACGCTCATGCCGCCGATGCCTCCGCCGATGACACCGACATCGAGTTGCCTCCACCCAGCTGGAATAGATCCCATGTTTTCTGTTTGGTGATGATTGAGCTTGTCAAAGGGGGTATCGTAAAGTTGTTAGATCGAAGAAGTAGAAGAGTGCTCGGTTCAATGGCGTGTGAGTGATGAAACAAAAGAAGTAGACAACGATGAGATTGCTGCCATATGTATACTCATGGAGCGCCATTACGATCGGGGCGGTACCTGTCAGATGAAGCATCACTACACCCTCCCATCCCATCTCTGCCCCATCCCGCCCCGTGCGTGCGTGCGGCTTTCCGCGGTGTCGTCGATAACAGCCACCCTACCTCTGAGACCCTCTGAGGTAGTCTGCACTGCGGCTACGGGAACAGGTGCAATAACCGCCGCCTACAGCATCCCTCGATAATCTATTGAAGATTCCTGAACTGGGCGCTCTCAATGGATGTTCCATGTAAGTCGGCCAATAACGAATTAGCTGGTTATCACCTCGTCCCAGCGGGCCGGGTCTCGGCTAGCATCCGAGATCCTATCTACAGAAGTGCGCGGCCCGCCCACCTCTTGGTGCAATTACCGCAATCTTTTTGCGCTATCTGTTTCCGTCCTTCCGCATCACAGTACATCCGAACAGTGCCGTTATGACAGTCCAGCGCATTTGCTTCTTGTTGGTCGTTCATCGCACGGCTCTTTGGTCATTCGACCACGCAAAGCCGCCAAAAAGCGAGACCATCGGGATTGTCTCGCCTACGGCTCGCCCCCAGATTCTACAACCAATGACATGGCCGGGTAATGCCTGACAATGCGACGCTCGCATTGTGACTTTAGCCAACCAGCGTGCGTGACGGACGCTGTTCTGGGCAACATGTCAGACGAGAGGGGTACCGTAGTTTGCATCAACGTCTAGGAAGTTCCGAAGAGTACATTACTTACCTAGTAGCTGTCGCTATAACGTAGCTTATTATTTGGTTGAATATCCGACACGAAACACCAATATCCGCTGGTCATGATGACCACAACGAGGCGGTGCTGGTGTTCTGAAGAGCATGCTATGGTAACAAAGAAGCTCGTCTAGGTAATTACTCCCAATAACTGGAGTAGCGTTTCCTAGCTCCTGAAAAAGCACTTTCTTCCAGAAAGAGAACAAAACTTCCTGTTAATCAGTCCTTGGATACTTGTGGTGGTCCATTCCCAGATTGAAGAGTGAGCTACCTAGATACCGACAACTCCCCGGCCACTTACTTACGATATGGATACCGGAAGTTTGTATGCGAAGCCAACTTGTAGCATGGTAGATTACTTGTATGTAGGGTATGACACTTGCCACAAAGCTCGATCATTCGGCAGACTGTTGGGCAGTCATACAGGTACGATTTTGGGCAGGTGATGGAAATACTGTCATTCAGCCACCTGCATCAGCGGCTCGATGCACTGGAGTAAGTTATAAAATGAAAGTGAGACAGGCCCCTGCTCTCAATCATATGTATGCATGACCTTACAACTCTTATCCCTTGATAAATCGACAACATTGAGAAGAAGTGAGGGCCTTTGCGGAGGGTAGTCCTGTCTGTCTAGCAACCGAGCTGTCGCAGATAGTGAGCACTTCCGTCACGGTAAGCGCCCAGGTAATTCCATGTTAAACCTAGAGTGGAAAGCCATTAACACTTGGTCTTGGTCTCAACTGGGCTCCAAAGTTGTTCCATGCACGTGATCTCGTACACATTGGGGAAAGAGCAGCAGGTAAGATGGGAACTTTTGTCGTAATTTAGTTGCTACCCAGGACATACATGACCTCGGCATGCCTCTTATGAGTGCCTAGCCCTGTTCGTAAACAAATTTCAATCCATAACGCCGTTACCATGCTTCATGTTCATTTCAAGCCTTCGTCAAACAGTCTTAGCCTTGACCGAACTGAGGGGTGTTGAGCGACATCGCCATCAGCAAGCCACCGATGAGACCCGCGCAGGGTAATGTGATAATCCAGCCAGAGAAGATGAAAGCAACCTGGCGCCAATTTACAGCGCCGACGTCAAAGTTCATCAGAGCTACACCGATAACGGCTCCAGTCAAGCACTGGGTAGTACTGACTGGGAGACCGAGACGACTGGCCAAAAGTACGGTAATGGCAGCGCCGAGTTCCATAGCAAATCCTAAGAGCAGGGTTAGTAATAAGAAAAGATCATCGACAGGAGGCTAGCTTACCTCTCGTGGGTGAAAGCTGAGTGAGCTTGTTGCCCATAGCCTTGATAATGTGGTGACCCATGAACCAGAAACCCGCACCGAGCAAGAAGCCGGCAACAACCAAGATCCATATAGGAGTTTCCCCCTCCTCGCTTACTTCACCAGTCATGTAAACCTGGTAAGCGGCAACCCAGGGGCCGACAGCGTTGGCGACATCGTTGGAACCGTGTGCAATGGACATCATCATAGCGCTGGCGACCTGGGCGTAGGTCCACAGGTGCTCAACACGGTTATCATACTTCTTAGCCTTGCCGTGGATGGCAGCGAGCTGAGATGAGGCGTGGGTGACGCAGTCGCGGGTGACTCCCTGCAGGAAGAAATACTTGATGAAGCTCCAGATGCGTCTAGGGTTGTGAATGGGGAGATGGGCGGTAGGAGCAAGGAAGCGTTCTTCAGGCTCGGGCATGCGCTGGTAACGCTGCACAACTGCTGGGTTCTCTGGTCCTTTCTTGCCGCGCTCGACATTTTCGAGGGACATGGGAACGGGAGAGGGGGCATCAGAGTTGCTGTCATTTCCGACCAGTTTTTCGCCTCTATCGCTGCCGCCCTCGGTCTTAACAGCTTGCTTCTCGATATCGCCTTCGTTGGTGGCATTGGAGTCATCGTGGGCGCTTGCGTAGTAGTCGATAACGACTTCGTTTCCTTTCGCGGGCAGGTAGATTGGCGGGTTTTCCATGTACAACAGAGGGCCGAGGAAGATGTGGCGGAGACGGATTCGAGTGTCTTCCTTGACGAGCCTTCGATGAACGTAGGGTACAAAGAAGATGTAGGAGAGGAGGAGGATGCCGAAGAAGACACCGAGAATGATGCCGCATACTGTACCGGCGCCAAGCTCCTCAAGCGACGGTGCACCAGGGGCCTCAACAGTGATGAAGAGGGCGAGGATAGCAGCCGTGAACGCCAAGTAAAAAGGGATAGCCTTCATAGCCTTCTCGAAAGAGTTCTCGCGTTCCAGGACGGTGAACTTGAGACTGCCGAACAAGATGGCAGCAAACGCAGCTGCGATACAGGGAGCAATTACCCAGGATGCGGCGATCTGGGAGACGCTGCCGTCACTCCAGGCCCAGGAAACCTGGGCTTGGGCGGCGATACCAACACCAACGAGCGCTCCCACGATGGTCTGCGTCGTGGAGACCGGGTATCCAACTTTCGTGGCAGCCAGCAGCCAGAAGGCACTCGCGAACTCGGCACAGCCCATGGCGAGGATTAGGGTAGAAGGAGTCGTGCGGAACCGGTCGAGCTCGATGATGTTGTTCTTGATCGTGCCTGTGACTTTGGAGCCGAGAACGACCGCACCGAAGAACTCTGTGAACATGGAGAGGAAGCCGACCTGGGGCATGGTCAAGGTCCTGGCCGCCACGGAGGTGGCATAGGAGTTGGCGACATCGTTTGCACCATTACCGATGGAGCTGCCGCAGAAGGCGATGGTGATTACGGCGATGATCCAGTCATACTGCGTAAGGACAGGGACAGCCATGATGACGGCTGACTTGAGAAGTCGTCTTGTCTTCCGCGGGATCGGGGAAGAAAGAGATTAAAAGAAAGAGAGGGATTTCACCAGCAAAGGTGAGAAAGCTCGGAGGCAGGCGAACTCGAAGTGGAAAGGCTTGTCGACCTTTCTCTCAAGGTTGTCAAAAGCCCTGGAACGCCACGATCTTTATACGACAGCTTGCCATGATTCTGTTCTCCCCTCTCCCCACAACCTCGATGGCAAGCCCTTCAGGGTTCACGTTTCTGGACTTCTTGGCCATATTCGCCTCAGCTTGATACTTGGTTACAAGAGAGGGGAGGGGGAGGGAAAAAACTTCTCAATGGTACATGTCGGTTTCAATACTGTTCTGTCAGCTACGAGATGGCATTCCGCCCCGGATTGCCAGTGTCGCAAGTTCTCGACCCATTGCGGTGGATGTTCTTGACGGATGCCCAGTCTGCGCCGAGCTCTGCGCTCATCCACACCGCGAGCTGAGATTGGTGAAGAGGGTGCCACTGGAGGACTTGGCCCTCTTGGCTTTCAAGGTACCAAAAACAGATCCGTCAGAGAAATCCAGCCAGTCATGGCCGTTTGTGAGAGCACGTTGTCTCCCAATACGCTCTCGATGATCGAGCATCGTCTGTTTCCCAGTGTCTCTGTTGAGTCTCTGCTCAAGTTCTCAATCCTCGTCGTGGTGTCGCCAAGCCTGCGATCTGACACTAGCAGCGCGACATAAGCCCGCTGTCGCGTGCCCTCTTGCTTCTCTGAGAGCACGGTGGCAATCTACTGGGCAGGAGAGCACGCGAGCTTTTCTCTGTTTTGCAATCTTCCTTCATTCCCTGAAGAAGACTCTCCGAGGTTCATTGGTATGGTAGCGCTCGGTATACCTCTCTGGCGACCGAGGCTACGCGGCCAAGCTTCCTCCGGCTGGGTTTTGGGTGCGCTCCGTCGGTCAGATTTTCTGGCGTTGGGCGACACCGCCGCACGAGTCACGCAATGATGCTCTGCCAGAACTTGTGAGCCCCAGCCAAGACTGTGCTACGAGGGTTAGCGAGTGAGTCTACACAAAACCGACTTGAAGCTGCTGGTCTGCCTCTCTTGGCAATAAAAACGAAGCGGAAGACGCTGAAGTTGCCGCGATGCTCGAAAAATATGCTCCAACTACCTTACCGCAGCTAACGCCTAACGCACTGCGGCTACCTATAACTCTAAAAAAAAACACGGCCCTAACATGATGCACGTTGCTTCATCCTTTTTCGAGAAATTTAAGGTAGTCGTGTAGCATTTCCTTTCAACTGAAGTGAATGAGTACATGTAACTTACTAAGATTTCACCGCTGAAGGGAACAAAAGTATTGAGGAACCTGGGAGTGCTCAGTACGGATACTTTAGCTAAGGTACCTTAGGCAGCGTGCGGCGCGTTTCTATCCTGGTGCAACGCAATATCTTCGGCACTCCTTCGATGCAACCCCCGCCAAGACCCTTAAGTTCATTAGGTATCCACGATTCTGGAGTCTGCTACATCAAGTTATGACGATGGTCAGGCATCTTTACCAAGACAGCAAATAGATACCACGGAGAAGCTCAGTGTAGACTGAGAGTGGCTTAGCACTGCTGTCGTAACCACGTAACTACGACGCTCATTGAGACGTGGACCTCGTTGGACGTGGCCACTGCTGAGGACCGCCAAGACTCTAAGCTTAGAGAGGGGAACTCCCCTGATCAGCGCTCAAACCTTCGAAGTCGTGATGTTAGTCTTGCTGGCTTGAGCTCTTCGGGCTACCTCTTGGCGCTGTTTGGACCCTATGTAATCAGCTCCGTTGCTATAAATAAGCTTGCGAAGCTGAACTATCAAACTGAAAATCTTCAGTTGGCACTTGACAGCCCCTACGCCAAGGCCGGCAATTTTTCTCGGCGTGATGCGGTTTGATCAACATCGGACCATTTGTTTATTTTGCAACCTTACTTCATTCAAGCTTAATAGAGTGAACATTGGCATCCGTTTCATCACGTAAACTGGACACTCTGGCATCATCTCTACGACCGGTCTCTATTACGATAGATCTGAGAAACCTCCAGGCAAGCATCAGCTTGCATGCCGCCTACATCTACCTTAGGTAGAGTGTACTGGGTACGCGTGCGTGGAACAAGAGTCGATGTGTCGATGTGAGCATACAAGTCCAGAAAGGGATCAACGCAGAGGGAACTCAAAAATGCTTCAACTCGCCGGTCCCTTTTTAGAATGAGGTTCTTTCTTCCTTCTTTCTACATGCCGCAATGCGCAGTTGAGAGAAGAATCTTATCACAGGAACTCTGCAAATTATGTTGTTATGATCACGGAAGACAGATGATTGAACCCCCGCTATGTTCTGGTCAGTTGCTCATTCCCTTTAATATCAAACACTTGGCTGTCTCTAGGATTCATCTTGAGTCTTGGCATGCGGGCTTGCCCGTCTACTAGTACCTAAAGTATCAGTCTACAGAAACAAATTGCCGAAATGCTCCGAGTTTAACTTTAGGCCGACTCGGCATATCATAATATCGTACAGCACAGATGCCTGCTTCGCGTTTATAACTTTATACTTGAAGATGAGATCCCGGATATGCTTTTATTTGACCTATGATACCCGGGGCCATGTCTGAGAGGAGGACCTTGGCAGTAAAGCACTCGATCAGAATGCGACATCCAAAGTCCAACATCACACTGCGACGTTGCTCATTAATCCCAAGTTGGTATGCATGAAAAAGGTGGTTTGATAGGAAGAGAGAGAAAAAGGTCCCCGAGGGGCACTTGAACAATAGGTCAAGCGATGGTGCCTAATAGCTGAGACTCTTAGGCATTGGCACATAGGCCCCCTCCTATGAGCACTCAGTCATTATTTCCCAGTTACTTGGTGGAGGTGGAGGATCAACGACATAATTAGGTATCTTTCGTGCCGTATTTTGAGTATATATACACGATAGAAGACGTCTACATTTGCATGCACGTCGTGGCTTTCCCCATTGCATTTAAGTAATGGCCTACATCGGCCCGTGTGCCTAAACTATATGACTTGTACACGTTGAAAGTATTCAACAGAGGAAACTACTGCTGTAATAAATCCGCGGAGGGCATTCTTCCAACAAGAAGATGGCTCTTTCACAGACTCGGCCTAACTCCTTCATTTGCCGCCATCTCTGTTTGACCAGAATTTCTTGTCAACTTTGTCATCCTCGGCACTTGGTGCTGTGTCATGCTTCCTCTCAAAGTCCCGGTTGTGCTCATCCACCTCTCGTTGTTGCTCTTCTGTAAGCTTCTCTCCATTGACGCTGGCATTGGAAATCTTTGGCTGGGGTGGGTTTGTCTTCTTGGCGTCTGCAATGTCCCTGATGTCTGTGGATTCGAGGCCGGGCTTGTCGCTGAGAAATCTGGCGCCGGAAGCGGCTGTTGTACGTGCGGCGGGAGGCATTGACCGTGAGCCCGCCACCACGGAGGGCAAGGCCCGTCTTCGGATCGCGTTGCTCAACATTGTGAAGATTTAAGATATTATCGGTTGCTGAAATTTGTAAATCTGGAGAATCAATTTCGTATGTTGTTTCCAAGTTGATGTCTGCAGGATTCCTAATCAAATTGGCTCTCAAGAGAAAGCTTGAACGTCGTCTCGAGCTTCTGATAAAGGGAGAGAGCTGCATGATGTCATCCAGCCACACAGGCCGAGGCCGGGCGCATGCAGTAGCGATCGCCGCTTGTGTGATTGGCCTAGCGGCATACAGGATCATGATGACATAGCAGCCTAACGCGTCGATTGTGATCCCTTGTCATATCACCTACCTAGTTGATAGTTGATAGCAGGGGAACAACATGAGGAGATTGCGATTCGCTTGAGCTGACGCCAAGACACGTGAGGAATGTCGATGCCGGACACACATGCGCAGGGAATCGAAGGAGCCCCGAGTTAGAAAGGGTGAGGGTAGCGAAAACACACTTTTGTGTCAATTGCTGGCCTCGATGAGGGATTCTTGAGTTTCACTGATACAAAATAATCAAGTCAATTGCTAGTTATTGCTGACCCCTTTTGAGTCTACGTTGATGTAGCCTTCGATAGACCATGATGTTTCATGTAACTATCGAATGAATTGCTTTCTGATATGAGGAATTGCTGTCGAGGTAAAGCCAAGCTTTGAACTCAGGCTCCGGGAGGTTGGCATTTCTACGGCGCCAGCGGACAACATAGATACCCACAGCCATGGCCAAGTTGAAGGCGGCCGAAGGGAAAACTCCGAGATCATTCACTTTTTAGAGTCAGTCATATGCTTCAAGCACCCATTCAGGTAAGCCATCAAACTTACCAAAGGTAAATGCATCTCCGGCAGGGACCGCCAGAATCATCAGAGCTGTGAGAAACCAAATGACAAGATAAGGTCCAAGAGGGGTACCGAAGGGCTTTGTAGAAACCCAGAACCTCGTGTATGGCAAGACACCCTGTCGACCACACTCTCTGATGCGTCGAGACAACCCGATAATGACTGCAATCATGTTTCCAAAGGAAGCTAGTGCGATCAGGAAGTTGAGTCCACGGACAGCGCCACTGTTGCCGAAGACTTGTGTAAAGAATAAGCTGGCCCACAGTAAGGCCGGATTTCTCTAGTAGTTCCCTAGGTACTGCAGTATCTCATAGTCAGACCTGACGTGAAAGTGTTTCAAAACTGGTGTCAACTTACCAGCGGCAAAGAACGCAACATTGGCGAACATGTACAGGATATACACCGTTGTCAAAGCCGCCGTCGCGTAGATCTTGAGTGATCTCACAGGGTTCTGAAGAAGATTAGCGTTAGTCTGGTCTGGCCTGACTCTTGAGTAGTGAAACATACCTTGACTTCGTTAGCGACGTTGAAAGCATTATTATAGCCGCCGTAGGAGAAAATAAAGCGATAAAGAGCTGTTGTCATGCCATAAGCGCTGGCTGTCTTGCTCCCGGACCAAGCATCCTGGAAATTGGCGGTGGGATTCTCGACTCGGTTGCCACCACCGAGTACGACGAAACCGGTGATGGTTACAAAGAGCAAAGTGCAGAAATTCACGATGCCAACGCCATTGGAGAACCAGTATGCATACTTTGTGTTGAAAACCAGTATGCATACTTTGTGTTGAAAACCAGTGCTGTAAGTGGTTAGTGACGAATTTGTATTGGGCAAGGCAGCGTGTGGGATTTAATACTTAATGTGGCCAGGCTATAGCAGGCCAGGGCGGTGCCCTTGATCTGCCAGTTTGTGCCCTCATGTCCTGAGATGACGATAAGATAGTTCGCCATGACGGTGGCGTTGGCACTTCCGAAAGAGAGAATGACGCTCTGGACTGCAAATGTAGTTGGAAACAGCCACATCGGGCGGGGATAGTCTTGTTCGAGGAAGACAACCTCAGATCTTGACCGACTGGGGAAGTACGCCGTAAATTCGAGATATACCGCACCGGATGCAAGGCACAGCTAGAGGTCAACTTGGTCAGCATTTCTTCCCTCAGTGTTATAATAGTCTCTGTGACATCGATCGTATGAACATACCACGCAACCAAGGGTCCAATAGATGAAGTTGGCGCCGACGGAGCCAGTACCATTCAAGATAGAAGCAGCTACCTAGATTTAGTATCGACGTAGTGAAATATCGAATTAATTGAACTTACGTGTAGAATAGATACCCGCGCCAATCATCATTGTGATGTTCAGCAGTGTGATCGTGACTGGGCCGACGTCGTATCCCAGGGGCGAATTGTTCTCGACAGGCGCTCCGGAGGCATCTTGATAGGTAGGCGGCGCATCGTTGCCTCATTTCTCGCCGATGTACTGGGTGCTGCCATTTGAGATCTGCTCTCGTTGGCCTTCAACAACCGTCCCCTGCGCGCTAGCGCGCTCGCCAAACGGACGTCGCCAAGCCATTGAAACGAGTACCAAGACGCGAAGACACGGGTAGGGCTGAGTGTAGTGCCTCGAGAAAGTAATATTCCGGTGAAGTTGAGCCGGCGGTGTCAGACGGACAGGTCTCGATCAAGGGTGCTGCATGGTGTGCTCTACAAAGGAATTGTGCTGGCTCCCACCTACCTATTTAAACCAAGGCCTTTCATTCTTCTCCGTTGCATTCTCACTTTTGCTATCCGAAGAGGTTTAGACTCTGCGCAGTATTCATCCGCTGTCGATGCCGACAAGCTCAAGTTGTAACCTGGTAGGCGTTCGCTAACGGGCCGTTCCCGATTTCAACATCCAAGGGGCGGATGACACAACCATGCTCCGAGGTGGGGGACCAAGGGGATAAACAGGGTCTGGCGATGACAACAACTGTCACCAGCATGGCGAATGTTCCCAATCAGTCGACTTGAAGAAAGAAAAATGTGAACATTAAGAACAAGGAAAAATTGAGTGCGACTAATTACGAAAACCTTTAGAGTTTAGTTCATTTGGAGATAGCTTTCAGCTCAATTTGACATGTGTTCCCGTGCCACCATAGCACGGAAGTGTTATCAAATTTGGCTGTTCAATAGTCTAATCCTCAGTTTCGGATACTCGCTTACTGCATCATATTCAGCTAATCTCCAATGTAGTCGCTGTCCAGATTGCGGTCGGTAATTGGGTACAATAGACTGTAGGCCGATGGTCGGCACCTCGAACCAACATCATTTCCCTTTTAGCTGGAAAATAGAAAAATGGTACGTAACAACACGTTAGTGGTGATGGCGCAATTCAACGTCGGACTCCATCGCGGGAGTTACGCGTAGGGGTCGAAGTTGCGTGCTGCAGTGCCTCCCTTCTCAGCTGTCGCCAAGAAGGGGATAAACGCCGGCACAACAAGAATCTGCATGCAGGTAAATGGTGGGATATCCACTATCAAACCGAGCTTCTCCATGGATGTAGATGTATTAGTAAAGAATGATATGGCATGGGGGTTACAGCGGGCTGCGGCCGACGCCGATGGTCAATGTACTTGAGTATCATCAGCGAAACTTGGAGCAAGATCGCCGAGATAGTAATGTCGGGGAATATATTTCCAAGTTTCTGATAACGATCCACTTCTGTTACGTACTTCAATGCAAAAGAAAGGTCTAGATCCTACCGGTTCCATTTGTTGGAGCACGCTGGTCGTGACTCCGATGAGGGTTCTCTAGAATTAAGCGGGTGTTGAGCCAACAGGGCTGCGCAACACTAAGAATAGGCGAATTGAACCTGTAATCGAGATTCCATTAATCGTAGAAAGTAATCTTTCAATAACGTAGTTCATCAGTCAGCGACGAACTTTTTCCCAAATGCGGTTTGCATTAAACCACTCCAACCTTTGACGCATAATAACTCCACAACCATTAACTATGCCAATTTACACACAAAAAGACAAGATACTTCTAGCCATCGAGACTATCCGATCAGCCCGCGCCGCCGGCCGAAAACTAAGTGTGTTACGTGCTGCGAAGACTTACGGTGTCCCCGAAAGTTCCGTACGCCATAGAATGAACGATCGACCCCGACGCGAACGTGCCCAACCCCAACGACATAAACTTGATACGATCGAAGAGAAAGCGCTTCTCCAATACGTTATTGAGCAGGATCAAAGAGGGTTTCCCTTGCGTCTCGCTGGTGTGGAAGATATGGCCAATCTCCTGCTACGAGCGCGTAATGGCAAGCCTGTTGGCAAGCGATGGGCCAGGCGGTTTGTGGACTCGCAGCCTGCTCTGAAAACCAAGTTTAATCGTCCATACGATTATCAAAGGGCTCTTCAAGAAGATCCTGAGGTTATATCAAAGTGGTTTGCGCTGTTACGCAATATGATGGCCAAGTATGGCATCCAAGAGGGGGACCTATATAATTTCGACGAACCTGGCTTTATGATGGGCATGATCACCGCGTCAATAGTAGTAACACGCGCTGATCGACGCGGCAAAGCAAAGTCTGTCCAGCCTGGCAACCGTGAATGGGCTACAGTCATTGAATGTATCAATTCGGGCGGGTGGTGCATCCCTCCGTTCGTGATTGTCAAAGGCGCATATCACCTTGCTAGTTGGACCACGGAATCAGGTTTTCCTAGCGACTGGGTTATCAAACCTACTAATAATGGATGGACGGATAATCAGACGGGTCTTGACTGGATTAAACACTTCGACAAACATACTAAGAACCAAACGAAGGGCGTCTACCGGATGCTTATTATCGACGGCCACGAGAGCCATTTATCGGCCGAATTCGACAATTACTGCAAGCAGAACAATATTATAACCGTCAGTATGCCTACAAATTCGTCAAATCTACTACAGCCATTAGATATTGCCCTGCATTCGCCTTTAAAACGCGCATATGGTGATGAAATCAACCTATTCATCAAAGCCTCCATAAACCACATCACCAAGTCGGAGTTCTTTATTGCCTTCTACCAGGCCCATAATAAAGTTTTTAATGAAGAAAACATTAGGGCTGCTTTTCAAGGCGCTGGAATTTCACCATGGAACCCAGAGCATGTCATTGAAAAGCTTGATGTACGTTTACGGACGCCTACACCTCCTGTGGCCAACCCTTCAACACCACCACCTTGGCAGTCGCAAACGCCCTCTAACCCACAACAAACCGTCTCGCAGTCCAATTTTATCAAAAGTCGGATCACTGCTCATCAAGGAAGCTCACCAACGCCAATTATTGCTGTAGTTGAGCAATTGTCAAAGGGTGCGTAGGCAATGGCGCACTTAATCACTCTTTTGACTGATCGGCTTCGTACCCTTGAGGATGCGAATGTTGCACTTGGTAAGCGCCGGAGGGCTAAAAGGACGCGGGTCCAGCTTGGAGGGGCGCTTAGTATAGAGGAATCTCAGGTTTTGCTTGAAGGGAAACAAAAAGGGAAACGTCCAGCACCTCAAGAGGATGAGGAGGGGGGTCCATCAAAGAGAGCCCAGCCAGCTCGGAGACGCTGTGGTGTGTATAGCGAGACCGGTCATAATGCGCGAACCTGTTCTAAGGATACGGAATTGTTAAATAATTCGAGTAGTAATAAGGAATAGTTAATTCAATGTGTTGTGGTTGTGCAATAGTAAATACCATTACGTGCATGGGAAAAAGTTCGTCGCTGACTGATATTCGTCGCTGACTGATGAACCACGTTATGGCAAATTTGGGTTTCTGTTGGTATCACAGGCGTGATACATTTCCTCATGAGGGTGTATCTTCGGCAACAATCACGTCGATGTCCGTGATAATTGCTGTTGTTGTTCTTCCTATTTACATTGTGGGCAGGGGCCGATCGAAGTAGGTGGAGACGGCCTGGGTGGTTGCCCCACCTTAACCGGCCGTGATGACTAAGCCGGTTGTCCCACTTCGCCCAGGGCAGGCGCCAGCCAGCCCACGATACCTGCCCATTGCTCCTTATCAGCCTTGCTGTTCCGACAGTTTCATACCCGTAGGCGGTGGCTATAATATACGGCCAGTTAAAGGAAAATAAAACCGCCAAAGCCTAAATTCCTACGATCGGATTGGAAGTCCAATTCGGCCGCGAGTAGGGGCAGAGCATGGGCCACCTCGAGGGAGTACAATTAGACCTCGACTACCCACCCAACCTCCGGTTGGAATCTCCCTTTTACTCCTTACGCAGAATCAATCAATACAGAGATATTGATATTTCGTCACCCCCAGGACCCTACGGTTCGAACCAACTTCCCTGTGAAAGGAATACCAACAGAAAGTGTATCGGGGTCTTGATTCAGTGGAGGATCCATTGATTATCAACTGGGGAATGCATTTTGTGTCGCGGTCAGTGATTACTGTTGGGATCTCAAGGTAAGGTGCCTACTTCAACTGCACAAGGTACATGAACCCTACTTATTCAGTAGTCTGGAGTGAGGCCCGGTCTACCATTGTCGTTTGACCATTGAACTCAAAGCCCATTCAATCCGTGCAAAGTGCCATCTGTCTTGAAACTCGGCTGTCAATGCCGCCTTTAGGAAATCAATTCTCAGCCTGTCTCGCCTTTTAGCTATCGCTACGGCCAATCATGCGAGCTAAACAGTCATCAGATGATGAGAGCTTGGGATCTGCCAATAGAGAGCAGCGGGGAAGGTTACAAAGTCGAACTTCAGATGATCTTGATCCTTGAAAACCTTGGGATGTCAGGCAATCGGCGTCGGTACTCGGTGAACATTCTTGACCGAAGCGGTAATCTCGGGTATCTGGATTACCGAGTCGCTGGAATCAGGCAGTAATATTAAGAGCTTGTCATTGGACTTCTTTGGTACTAAGACGCTTGAAGAGGAGACTGCCCGGCTATACACTCAGATGCTGGTCTGTAACAACCTTCTTGATTGATGAGAAGTAGGATACGGCAAGTGTTCATGCTTACTTCGTACTACTCCTATCGGTTGTATCTCGGAATTTCAACATCGCAACAATGAGCAATTCCGCCGCACAGCCTCCTTTCAAAGTGATCGTTGTTGGCGGGGGTCTCGCCGGCAGCCTTCTGGCGAACGGGCTAGCCCGACACAACGTCGACTTCGAGGTTTATGAGCGACAGGTGAAGAAGTCGAAAAGAGAAGGTTATCAGATCCGGTTGGGCGAAGCTACGTTCATAGGCATGCGGGCATGCCTTGATCAGGACCTCATAGACTCGATCTTCAAGCACTTTGGCCGGTCGGCATCATCACAGGCACCAATTTTGTACGACAAGCACTTTCGTAAGATTTTTGAACCAGGAAGAGATCCGAATTACACGCAGTCATCGCCTATCAGCCGCGTTATCTTACAGGATGCTCTTCGCGAGCCGCTCGATAGAATGGGCAAGATTCATTATCAAAAGAAATTCGTGGATTACAAGATCCGTCAGAAACCCGGGCGCGATGTTGTGGAGGTGATCTTCGATGACGGCACCTCTGATATTTGCGACATTTTGATTGCTGCTGATGGCAATAACTCACGTGTAACTTACCCAAGGCTCCTACATTCGTCAAATTGGTGATATTTGCTCACTCTCCCTAGATCAATAGTCTCTTGGGACTGAACAATATTGAAGAATTGACTTCTTTCAGGTCGTTCTTGACTAGATGCGATGTTCCTTTGTCAGTCTGCCGCCGGCTGTCACCAGATCTCAGTTCACCCGTTGTTACCTTGCATGATGGCAAGACGCTATATTTCCAAGGTAATGCCTCACAATGACTAAGTCTTCTCAGCTCAGACCCAAATTGATGGTCGTCTTTTTAGTCTATTTGCCCGGTGATATGACAGCTCGTCTTCAAAACTCGGACACAGAAAATGAAGAAAAGCTAGCGTCATGCATGCTCGGTGTTGGATTCTTCGTCAACCGCATGGTAGCTACATGCAGCTTTGAGGCTTTGTCTCATGCAGGAAAGTGGGATGCTGTTGACCAGCTCTTTGAAGACTGGTCTCCAAAACAGTAAGGGTTCCACGAAGGCTTCACAGGCTTCGGATTGGGCTTCTATGACTGACCTGGTTTGCTCCACAGTCGAGATATCATCGGGGTCTTCCGGGGTCAGGAGATGTACTCTGGAGCTCCAAGAGTGTCTTCCCGTCCGTCGATGAACTGGCGTAAATCAGTTGCATCAGCAAGTGACAAACGTCTTGGGAACCCTCACGTCTGGCTCATAGGAGATTCCATGCATTCCATGTTTCCTTCGAGGTAAGTAAGTCGAAAAGTGAAGAAAAACTCTCAACTTGGCTGATAACATGAACAGGGGAATGGGCGGCAACCAAGCCATGCGAGATACAGCTGATGCCTTGCCGTTACTAGTTCGCTTGGCAGAGACGGCACGAACGGCGGAAGGATTGAACGAGGATGACATATCCAAAGCTTGCGAGATATTTGAAGAGACTATCATTCCTCGAGCCTTTGAGTGGGTAAAGAGGAGCGGAGGCAAGAATCCAATGGTAAGCACCTTGCGACGATGGAACCAGAGAGGGGCTTGCAGTTGCTAATATTCGAAAACCTTTAGACAATCGACACTTCCAGAGTCACCGACCGGACTGTTCTTTACATTCTGTCTTATGCAGTGACAGCGCGGAGGGTATGGCATTGGTTGCGTTCGTGGATAAACCGCATGGTGTTCGGCGTGAGAAACAGGACTTGACAATTAAGTTACTGGTCTTTGAGAACATAGAGAAGGAAGCAAATACTTTGGAGTTTCACAGATTGGACTTTGAATCAAATTTGAGACATTAATTATTTAATACTAGGATTACAGGTAACTAGTGGAACATGTGATTACGCGAATGGCGCATAACGCTTGCCCACCACGGTTCCGTTGCCGATACTGGCATCGGTGTAAATCGACAGGACATCGGTACTGTTCTTGTACTCAACGCCGCACTTCTCAGAGAAGCCAGAGAACTGGGCAACTCTGTCTTGCAAGTACGTGTCAAATCCCTTCCTTGAGCAAGAAGTGCCGGGGCCATCGGCGCAGTCGGGAAGTGGTTGAGGTGCGCTGTTCACCAGAACACGGTAGTAATCGCCGTTGTCGTACCCGTAGGCGCCAGTGCAGTTCAGACGCTCAACGGCAATGTTACCAAGGAATGGCAGGATGCTAGAGGCCTTCCATGCACGGCGGTAGTTGATGCGGTCAAGTGGCATAGTGTCGTTGATGGAGGCCTCGCTGCCACCGAACTCAGAGTTGTTGAATAGACCCATCGCGACGATGACCATAGGAGGCAGCTCACGGTGAGTGAAGCTAACATAGATGTCCTCCTCACTCGCGTCACCCATGAGCAGGTTTGCAGTAGCGTTCAACCAGGGCAGGCCGACATATCCAGAGGCCTCAGCTCCATAACCGACGTTGTAATGGTAGCGTACGTCTTCCGTGTACTCCCACGCGAGCCAATCGTCGGGAGTGAAGAGTTCAAGGTTGCAAAAAGGAGACTTGCCGCGAATGACAGTCTCGTATCCGCAGAGCTGCTGCATGCCAAAGATGTCGTTGGTAGTGAAGTTGAACTCGGGAGCCAGGTCATTGAAGCGGGCGATGATGGGTTTCGTGAACTTTTCCTGGTAGACGGCGGACTGTTTGCTGCCTGCGGAGGAGGAGTAGGCCGGGCAGGCCTTATACGGCGTCAAGCTGTCTGCACCGGACTCCTCAGACTCGTAGATGCTGACGACGTTCATGCTGTTATCATCGGTCTCGAGCCCGCGCACGAGGGACTGCGCAGACTTTTCTGTCCTCTCTGCGGAAGAGGTCCATACCCTCTTGGGGAGTCTGAGCTTGGGGTATCTAAACTCGAGGTCGACGCCGAGTTGAGTCGCTTCAAGTCTTCCGACCCGAGTCAAGATCTCGGCTTCGGCCTCAGATATCGGTGCCTCCCAGCCCGCCAAGAAGTTCAGGTAAGGAATCTTGCTCCATTCGATGCTCGTCTTGTTGCCTAGCTTTTGGAGGAAGGGCTCGATGTACTCTTCGAAGTCAAAGTCGTTTGCGTAGATGGCTGCATGGCGCACGAGATAGGCTGCGCGTTCTGCTTTGCATCCCTGTGGCGCGTCGGGCGATGATTGAGGGTCTTGTGATTCGAAATACGGTGCAATGCCACCAAGATGCGTCAACGGGTTGAAGCTGTAGGTGGAGTACAACGCTGATGCTGAAGAGTAGGCAACAAAGGGCAGCAATTGCATGAGCTTGGAGCTCAGACTCTGTTGGCGAGCCATTGTGTCGCGCAAACGATTGTGATGAGATAAATTCCGCACTTTGGGGGATGAAAATCAGCGTGGAGCAAAACTTAGATTCGTCTAAACATTCTGGGCAGCTGCACAGAGCTCATATAGCTTCCGCTGTATTGACGTTTAGGTCCAATTTGGGTAGCTTCTAGCTGCGTCCAGCCATAAGTGAGATATTGAGGAGCCGGAAAAAGTGGTAAGCCTCCTTTCCCACTAACTTCCCTGTTCTGTTGACGTCAAGAGCAAATGTCTTGAACTAGGCGACTGGCTGGACCGAATGGGCAATGGGGATGGGATGGGGCTCTTAAGTTCCCCACGAACAACCGGCAAGTCGGCTCAAAGCCAAGACGGGAGAACTTGCTGGGCCTGTGCCTGGCCATTTCTACGTCATGGAGGGTGGGAAGATCGCCTCTGTCGAAGCGCTGCGGCTCTTCCGTTGGCAACCACACCGAATTCTACCGAAATGAGCCTGTGTTGATGATTGGCACTTGGATCCTCGGCCGATGCGTTGTGCCGCTAAATGACGGCACTTGTCAGGGGCGTCCGTTGGCCGCGTGGAGCGTCAGCTCAGCGGACCGGAAGTAACGTGGAGAAGACTGGGCGCGGTGCAGACGGACAACCGATGGGCCATGGCGATGAGCCCTTTACCTTGTGCTTTGACAAAAGCCTCGTGGAACGAACACGCTCAAGTTCATTGACGCGTGTAGCCTGCTGTCATCCTGGCTATCCTATCAGCCCTTGTGCTAGACAACTGGCCGAGTCCAGACTTTGCCTACCTTGATGTACTAGTAGGTGTCACGGTGTGTAGAGGCGGTGTGTGTGTGCTGGGCACGCTGGGCTAGCTCTGGCAGCGCAGATCACTGGTATGTCTGATGTGCAAGGAAAACCCCGAGGGTTATGCAGAGCACGCACAGCTCGATCTGCAGCACATTGTCTCTCCTCGGATTATTAGTGCATTGTTTATTTACTCTGCAAGACACACACCTGGACGAACGCTCGTTCATCTATGGACCTCCGACAAATCGATCTGCTCAACAAGTACACATGGAGTCTGTGCTCGCTACTTGCCCTGAAATTGGACGAATGCACAAGCAAATTCTTCCACACTCGATTCTCTGCCACTCACCGATCGCAGCCAAACCGTCGCCGGACATGCAGCCTCAGAACCGGCAAATAATAAGTGCCGCTGACTGAACATGCGGGAAACTTAGACTCGCCTTGCACGTTGCTCCTCGAATAAGAACCATTGCCCAGGGTCGAACATTGAAGCTCCAAACACTCTTCGAACCTTCATGACAGCGAATCTTCGTGACGAGGAACGACCATGTCTAGGATACCAAAGACGGGGTTGCGAACTTGGTTCCACTCGCTCCTGTATCTCAACTCGGTATCTGCTTGTGCTTCGATTTTGAAAACGGCTGGGGGAATTCCTTTGCATCACCGCAAACTACCACATGGCCACCACAAGTTACCACTTAGCCTGTATTTAGGAGAAAAATAACTCAATCATGTCTTGATCAGTAGTTCTCAGAGCGTAGAATTTGCGATATTGTCCGAATGGCTTGTTCGACTCGAGGCAAATCAACGCGATGGATGGGGTTCCCGAAATCTCGGCCGAAATGTCTTCACCTCGCAATCGGGCCCGAACAGGATTTCGGCACCGGCCGGCCCCACATATCGTGAGCTCCGATACATACTACCTTAAGGCGAACACCGGCCCAGACTTCGAGGTACCGACGAGCTCTTCCTTCCAGAGACAAAAACAGTACACCATACACGCAAGGGTACGGGAAACACCCAAGTGCATCGATTCATTGATACCCCAAGCCTCAAGCCCATCGAAGTAACCTTTGCAAATGCTCTGGTGAAACTCAGACATTGCAATCATCGTATAGACGCACTTGAAATAGGCGCTGTGAATTGGTATATGAGGCTACGCGTTGTAGTGTTCTCTTTGGCAGTGTCCGAGAGCATCAAATCCAAGGTAACTGACTCGCTGCAACGACACTGCTAAGCAACTGACTCGTGTGGCCACGTTGAAGCTCTGGACCAGTTTCGTGGCCATCCGGCTTAGCCTGGAGTCCAACTTTTACTTGTTCGACTCTCTACTACACGGTAGTCTATAGACAATTTCAACATGATACACTCGATGCTACGTGGAAGGATGACAGATGTGCTGGAGGCTACTAAGCCATGCCTTCGTCGGATCCTCGAGCAGGTCGTACAATCTGTCGCCTCAAACAAAGCCCAGACAGCATGGGGAGTCGTTACGGCTGCACTACTGTACCTAAACCTGAAGAGGTTCCCATTAGTTTGGCATGTGAGTACCTTAGAGAAAGAAGTGGCCCATGATGTGAAGAGGTCAACACTAACGTTGAATGTTAGCTTCGCGTTTTTAGCCACATCTGGTGGCCGAAGAATGGCCTCTTCGAGCACCAACCCGGAGCCATTTTCCAGCCGGTGGTCACACCTTCTCGCGTTGCTCTGCTTGAGACCGATTACAACTTGCACAAGTCCAATAGCACCTATTTCTCCGACCTGGATGTGGCTAGGACGGACCTTCTCGCCGCTCTGAGAGCTCAGGCAATTGACGGTGGACTGTACAAGGAGTACAAGCAAGGCGTCCAAGTTCTGCTGGCAGGCACCTCCTGCACCTTTAAGAAGGAAATCAAGCCAGGTGCAACTTTCGATATGCAAAGCCGAATACTCACCTGGGATAAGAAGTGGCTTTACGTTGTAACCCATTTTGTAGAAAAGAGGAAGGGGGCCGATTCACCCACTTACCAGCCGTGGAAGGAGGCAGGTAACAGAAGAGCTATCCAGGGTTCACCTATTGTCTATGCGACGGCAATCTCGAAGTGCGTTGTCAAAGCCGGTCGTCTCACTGTGCCTCCACAGAAATTATTCAGGGCGGCAGGAGTTCTTCCGCCTGAGGATCAACCTGAAGGCCCTATTGCAGACACCACACCAGAAGCAGATGAGGTCGGAGGGTGGACTTGGGGCAAGGTTGAGGAAGAGCGTCTGGAAGCATTACAAATTGCTGATAGATTCGCAGGAGGGCTGGATGCGGCTCATGAGAAAGCCCATCTATTGGTTTGATCAGTGACGAAGAATTTCCCTGGAATGCCAACGTCTGCGTTATAGAGACGAAATAGAGTCATCGTGGATGTAGATACAGCGTGTGGTGTGGAACATACATGTAAAATAAGACAGCACGCAATCTGCGTTCTTTGCTGATGCGATAAAGTCAACCTACCCGCTTTTCGCCACCCCAAAAATGCCTCCCAGCCGCCCCATTATTATCCTACCTCAATTGATCAAACCACCACAACAACTGCAATTATCGTCCAAATGCATTCCTTTTTGGTATACTTATTTATCGATATGTCATGGTCGCGTATACCGAAGTTGAAGTCCAACGGGCTCTCGATGCAATTGAAAACGGTCTCTCTGTCAATAGGGCCTCAATTGAGTTCGCTGTTCCAAGATCAACACTACGAAGTCGCATACAAGGAACCCAGAGCAGATCCAGAGGATTTATCGACCTCCAGAGGCTTTCCCCATGGCAGGAGGACAGCCTTGCCCAATGGATTCGTATTCAGCACACTCTAGGTGTCTCTCCAACACATGAACAAGTCAGAGAATTCGCTGAGCGAGTTCTGCGTGCTCAGGGGGACAGCAACCCTGTTGGCAAGAGATGGATCCAAGCCTTCCTGCGAAGGAATCCATCAGTTAAGGTCCAGAGAAGTCGTACCATCGATTCTAGACGTGTTAATGGGGCAACTACTGAGGTGATTAGGCCCTGGTTCCGATTACTCGACATACCAGAGATCAGGGGCATCAAACAAGCCAATATGTATAATATGGATGAGACAGGTATCCTGGAGGGCAAGGGATCCAATGGGCTGGTCTTAGGCAAGGCAGAGACCAAAGCAGTGAGAAAAAAAGAGCCTGGATCGCGTGCCTGGGTGTCGATCATCGAGTGTATTTCTGCTGCTGGCAAATCCATCAACCCACTGATTATATTCAAGGGAAAGTCGGTCCAACAGCAGTGGTTTCCCCTTAAACTTAACCCATATGATGGTTGGGAGTTCACAGCAACAGATAATGGGTGGACGACAGACAACACTGCCCTTGACTGGTTGAGAAAGGTCTTCTTGCCCTGACCGAGCCCCCCCCTCCAGGAGGTCTGATGGGCGAAAGGAACCTCGACTGTTGGTTCTGGATGGGCATGGAAGTCATACGACGACTGAGTTTATGTGGGAGTGCTATAACAACAACGTCTACTTGCTGTTCTTGCCTCCACATACGTCACATGTCCTCCAGCCCCTGGATCTAGCAGTGTTTGGACCTATTAAAACGAGGTTTTATCACACCCGCGACATTACTGTATGGAAAATCCGCCCTTGCAAGGAAACTTTCAATAGGCTCCATGCGCAGTATCAGCCAACTCTGCTCCAGTTCCAGTGTAGCTACCCTGCAGTCATTGACTGGCTTCCTTACCCTCCATTCGTGACTGCCTTGTTCGTTACCATGCGGGTAATCCTTGTCTTGGTGAGGTTATTAGCGACATCGTCGGCATGTACGTTGTCGAAGCTCTACTAAGCGACTTGGTCATTGGCTCGCCTCCTCTGCGGGTCTACATCAAAGTCGTGGATCTCGTTCAAGCGATGGGAACAATTGACGAGGACTCCAGCGAGGGGCCGGCGCCTTTGCCAACGTCTAGGGCCACAGACGCGTTTCTCATTCCCAGTGTTGCCTTGGCCTTCGCGAATCATTTACAGATCGAGAGCCGGTTAGACAGATACAAACTCGATCTGAGGCTTTTCATCAAACATCCCGAGTTCCTTGACAGCGCTGGGGAACTCATGGCACAGGGTGCGCCGCTACAGCCAGACTTTTCATCGTACCTCTCTTTCCCCGCTTCAATGAACAACAAGACGGCCTCTTCATATAGTAACTTCATAGCTTTCACTTGTTTTAACGTATATGAATGCCAAGAATATAGCTACTTGAGAATTAATTCGTCAACTAACGAATTGCCCCTTTCCCGTTGCACCGTGAAAGTGATACAAAAGGTCGTTATATCGCCTTCGGCCGCCGTTCGATGGTGATCCACATTTCCTCGAAGAAACTGACGCCTCCCTTCACTACATACTTCCCAGGCTGTCTCTTGTTGAGTATCTCTGGCTTGAACGTCCTGAAGAATTGAAGGGGTCCTTTCAACAATTCCATCATTGCCAGATCTCTGCCCAAGCAAACTCTGGCTCCGTAACCAAAAGCCATATTATACTTGAGCATCTCCTTCGTCTTCTCCTCACTCTCTAACCACCGCTCCGGTCGGAACTCACTGGCATCGGGGCCGTAGATATTCTCGTCACGATGGACAAGCCAGGGGTTGTAAGTGACTTCGGCGCCTTCAGGTACATGCTTTCCGTACAGCTCCATGCCACCTTTTCCGGCAAGACGAGGAAATATGTTGGGTGCTGAGGGGTTGAGACGCATGGCTTCGCGGATGCACGCGACGTAGAAGGGGCAGTGCTGCTGAACTTCTGCATACTGAGGCATCTCCGAAAGATTACCAGCTCGGGTCTGCTCGTCAATCTCGACCATGAGACGATCGTAAATTTCAGGATGTGTCATGATGTGCATCATAAAAGCCTGGAATGCAGTGCCAGTGGTATCAGCTCCAGCAAGCAAAACGAGAAGAATTTCGGCTTTGATGTAGTCCAGGTCCAGAGGGTTTCCGTCTTCGTCGCGGGCTTCGATGAAACTAAATGGATGTTAGTGGTCGAGCTGATGTTGAATAGGCCATAGGTGATCCTCTATCTGGATACTCACGTCTGGATCAAGTCGATTCGGCCATCTGTCGTCCCTTTCTCGATGTCTTTAAATCTCTGGGCAATTAGACCGTCCCAAATCTCATCAGAGTCCCGATTCCAGAAACCTGTTCCGGCGATGCAACTAAATATTTCCCCAAAAAAGTGCTCTTGACCCAATTCGTGAACGGATAGCAACGCGCTAGGATGCCGAACGGCACGAGGCCATCGTGGAATCCTTGAATAAGTCCCTCGATGTCTTTCCCCTGCTCTATGAAACCGAAAGGCTGCCCAAAGCCGACCTCGGAAACAATATCGTAAGCAAGGTATACCGCCCATGGGGCAAAGTTCATCTTAGTGCCGGAACTGGCGAACGCGTCCAATCTAGAAAATCCAGCGCTCCATGTGCTTATCCAGCAGAGGCTCCATCTTCTGGATATTTGAGAAAGAATAAGGAGCCGCGGCGATCTTTCGGAAGCGGGAATGAACCACATGATCTTGCATGTTGAGCAGCGATTCACTCTTCCCGAAACTGCCAGTGATGTAGTGTTGCGACTTGTTGGCGTTCCGGTGGTAAATCTCCGGCAACTTGGTTGCGTCGCTTACGAGCAACATGGTGGGCGTGATACGAATGACAGGTCCTGAGGCCGTACGTCAACCTCCAGAATACTTGGAACACTTTCTAGCCTCATCTTCATTGACCAAGAAGACATTGCTCTTCTCGCTTTCTTGGCGGCTCGGTGCTCACTTACCATACTTCTTGTGAAGCGCCTGATTCACCCGACACTCATCCTCCTTCACATTGTGGTAGGTAATCCAAAGACGAGTGACGGAACCCCAGAATGGGCCGGGAAATTTGGCCAGTGGATGGAAGAAGCGATAATACACAAATTGGTAGAGTACCTTCCACAAGACATAGGCTGCAGAGAGCAGCAAGATATTGCCAAAACTCAGCAGAGCCATCGCGGAGGAAATGACCGATAAGTTGCAAACATAATTGGAAGAAGCTCATTTTTCTGGAATTTGTCTGGTTCATCTTGACTTCACGTTACAGATTCGACCAAAGTCCCCAAATCGCTGATCTGCCTCCGCTTTCAGTGCTGGTTCTGTTTAAGTGGAGGCCTGAAAGTCGGTCTTACTGGGCCTCTTCAACGGCGCCATCGTCTCGTGGGTGAAGAGTGACTGGCATAGTCCGCTTGATGTTGCATCCACTTGGACTTGCTCGGCACCATTCCCCGCCGCTAACAAACGGCCGGCTAACCACAGCGCAGCTAATTCTACTGACGCAACGTAATTGTGGAAACGTCTCGTAGCGAGCTACAGGGACCATGACCGGCATTTATTGAAGGATTGCCATGGTTGTCAGAATGCTGGGGAGTGGTACGGCTGCGCACCTATCAGAAGAATTGATGATCGTTCCTGGCAAGGTCACTGGAGACAGAAGTGGGAGAGAAAGCGTAAACAACGGTTACATGAGCTTGGCCTTTACGCCCGAGATAAGTATGGCGGCCGCCCACAAGTGGCACATGCTCCGGCTTGGAAGTCGAAGGTACGAGGAATTCTCCATCACTCGCTGGACAGGCATGCGAGCCAGATGCCCTCTCGCCTCAAGCATACAACTGTAGTTCAAGTACCCACGTCGAATGCCCATGGAGGTACCGCCTCAAATTCTTCGAACCTGCTTTCTTTCATTATGAAGATGTGGTATGCGATGATTAGAGTACAGCCTGTGAGAGCTTTCGTCTTGAGAATTCTCTCTGTATCCATAGTCATACCCACATATTCGGCCAATATAGCTACTCATCCCGCAGTTACTGGAGCACTGCCATGATACAAGCCATCTTCTGTATCTCTTAACATTCATCAAAGCCCCGTCTGTCAGGTATGTCGTGCTAATGAGAGACCTCGGTCGGATGTGCGACGTGAGGTGGTCCCCATCACCATGCAATCACCTGACCTGTCTCTTTTACCAATTTTCCGGACGTGGAGTCACGGCTCGCTCCATCGATGACCTGAAGAACTCCAGTTACAGAGCTTTCGATCGTATCAAGTCGATTTACATCGAAGTTCCACCTCCTCGCAGCATCTTCACCCATGGAAGTTCGCACAAATCCAGGGTGAACGGCCACACTAACCAAGTCTGGATGTTGTATATGTAACGATTTGACCAGCCAGTTGAGCGCGGCCTTGCTCGGACCATAAGCACCAGATGGAAGAGGCTCTTGTTCTTCGATGGATCCAATTGATGATGTGATTCCGATAAACTTGACGGTGGGGCCGTCCGCCCCCCTCGGTCTGTCCATGAGCGGCCAGAGACCTTGGAATACCATCAAGGGTGCAATCGTGTTGATTTCAAATAGGCTCCTTAGATCCTCGGCAGTGGTTGAAACTGATCGCGATGCTGAGGTGCTTACGGCGGCGTTGCTGATGAGAACATCAACCCGAGTGACGGCACCGCCAGTCGCTGAATCAAAGGCTTTGCGGACGGCGGTGGGATCAGGGGCGACATTCAAGTCAAGCAACAGGAAAAAAAGCTCGCTACTTTCGCCCATGTTTACATCTTGGATGCTTGACTTTAGTGAAGCAGCAGCTTGATCGTTTCTGACGGAAGCAACAATTGTAGTGGATGGTCTCGCCAACAAGGTCTTGACTAGGCCAAGACCAATGCCTTTGTTGGTTCCAGTAACGACATATACGGTGTTCGGCATTGTCGGATATGGATGAGTTTGACCGCAAAGACAGCAAAGTACGCGGCTGGCATATGTTTGTCGCGAAATTGACGATCTAAGTTATCTGGCAAATAGGCACCTTAGTTGGTGCGACGTGGTGATGTGTGGTAATAGGGAGAGTGGACGACAGAGAAGAAGTGAGCCGAATCGCGGGATGCGGCATCCACTCTTAAATAGATAACAATGTTGGAAGGATCGGGGCAGAGAGGGTCATTAAAAATACGTGAACCCTTTAGGGCCAATCCTTCGAGATTAAGTCAACCTACCCGCTTTTCGCCACCCCAACAAACATGGTCTCAAAACATCACCACCAACTACACTCAATTAATCAACTACCTTCCACTGACACTACAATACAGTCACCATTGTCCCTAGGTAAATCGACCCTTGACGAGTCGGCTGGGACTAACGAGACGGTCGCCAGCATCCTCTTGAGCTCTCTTTATGTCGCTGATGTTCGCGAACCTGGTGTTTGGGTCTGTTTGGACAGTCTTCTTCTTCCTTGGAGCCATGCGGTCAATTCGAGCCTGGAGCAGTCGGTTTCGGTGCTCAGATGTGGCCAATAGGTAGTCCTTCTCTCCAAAGCCCTTTTTGATCTTGCGGAACAGTAGTCGTCGAGTGTTGTTGTCTGGACTGAGCTCTGTGAATAATCTCAAGTGCTGGCTGAGCTCTACAGCCTGCCTGGGAGTTGACCAGTCAACAATAGACGTCGATGATACCCAGTCAACGGGTTCTCTAGGCTTGCTAGTCACTGCCTGCTCTTTTGCAGTATTGTTTGATGGAGTGGCAGCGCTGGAGAGCATCAGTGGGTTGGTTAGAGGGTGGTCCATGTTAACTGGCCATAGTCCAGTTGCTTTCCAACCACTTCGTATATTAGATGCTGTCAAACCAGCTAAACGAGCTGTCGCATAGCAGTTCAAGAAGTGCAGCTTTCCAACGATAGTAGAATTGTCTACTATTTCGATACTTCCAAGTGCTTTTCTGTAGGCGGTCTTTATAAGGTCACAACCCCGGGTGAATGATGCATGAGAAGGAAATGGTGAGATGCTTTAGAGAGTTTCTCCCCGAGTTACGTGAGCGTCATAACTGGCCACTTGGCCCCGATGACTAATACTTTCCACTACCTTACACTTTCTTCAGAATTTAACTTAATTCTATTGCCAGGTGCGACACTATTAACTTAGGCGCCTTTGACTTAGGTCACGTAGGGATCGAGGCCTTAATTAGGCCTTAGAGGGACGGGCCCCAAGCCGTTCTTCGACCGTCTTCAGCTCCCTCATGGCAGCCCGCATGTCCAACACCGCGGCCCTAGGTAAGGTCTTCAGAGGCCTTCGAGGGCTTCTCCCATACCCAAACAAGTCATTCAGCGCTGCCTTTGTCCCCGAGATTCCACGCACGGTATGTTCCCAGTCACCTTTTGCAAGAATGGCCTGCATTTCACGCGCCTCCTCCACTAGTCCCTCTTGCCACAGATCGAAAATACGGACGCAGGTCCGCGGGGTAACGTTTGCGCCGCCAGCTATCACACCAGTGGCACCTGCGACGAGGGCAGGAAGGATGAAGTCCGCCAGACCCCCGAACAGGGCGTAAGACTGGCGGGATTTCATCGCCGTGGAGACGCGGCTTAGTTTGCCCGTGTCGCCGCAAGTAAACTTCGTCCCCGCAACGTTGGGATGCTGGGATATGCGGCTCAGGAGACCTGAGTCCATCTCAATACCAGCAGATACGGCGGGAAAGCTATACAGGATGATGGGAATCGGTGACTGGTCCGCGACGTCGAGGAAGAAGCTCTCAATGATGTCAGCGCTCATGCCTTTGCCGAAGTAAGACGGTGGCAGAACGAGGGCGTAGTCATTACCAGCACGGCTAGCCTCCGGCAGAGATGAACCGTGCCTCGAACCGAATGCTCAGAGCAACCAGCAATGATGGGTGTCTGCTGGCTGCCGATGCTGTCAAGGGCTTGGCGGGTTTCGCGTATGATTGTGCTTCGCTCCTCGACAGAAAGGTGAGGTGCCTCCCCATTAGAACCCATGACCACAAAGCCGGAGATACCCGCCTTGGAGAGGCGGACAGTGTGTTGACGCTGAGTCTGCGTGTCGATGGTTTCGGTTGTCTCGTCAAAAAATGACATGCTTGCCGCATAGATGCCATGAGGCAATGCTCTTGTGGTGCGTTCCATGCTGTAGTTTATGCAAATGGATGGATAGAGAATAGCGAGAGAAGATAAAGATTCATTCCAGTCGTTGCCATGTAGTATTAATATTTGTGACGATTCGCACTCATGCACGAGTGAATTTCGAGCATGATCATAATATGTCACTAATTGTTGACCAATTCTCACACCTGGTTCAGGTTGATTCCGCCTGATTCAAATTGATCGTATGCACATTAGTCAAACCAGCAGTACGTAAGCCTGATAGCTGGATAGTGGTCTATGGATCGTGCCTGCGATAGAACCTGGAGTAGTCCGCTTGTGAGGGGAACCCGCCGTATTCCCAAGTTGTAGTTAGTCATTCTATCAGTACGTAAGTCCAACATCTGAGATGCTTGCCAAGGCACCATAGCTCCACCACATTGTCCCCGTATCCATGCGTATTGCTCACCTGTACAACTTCATATATGGTACCATAACCTAGCTCTACAGACCAAGGTGACAGACGTATCACAATAACCGCCTGTCAATTTTTTCTAATTGTCGACTCTGGAGTTCAACGGATATTTTACGGTACGGAAGTCGATACCTACAATGTCTCTCTCCATCCGAGCCGAATCTGCCGAAAAGGCAGGCGACGACTTACACATCTGGAAAGCTGTGGGTAATCTCTACCACCCCATTGCCAACCCAACAGGTTTTGCGACTTTAGGTGTGTCGGAGAACACTTTGATGGCTCGTGAGCTATCGGAGCATATGCAAAAACTTTTCAAGTTGCCAGTTCATTCATTTACCTATGGAGATGGCATGACCGGATCCAAGAGGATCAAGGTAGCTCTTGCTGCATTCCTCAACCAACATCTGCGGCCTTCAAAACCCCTGAAGCCAGCGCATTTTAGAATCACAAATGGCTGCAGTTCTGCCGTTGAACATCTTGCCTGGGCCGTCGCAAATACCAGTGCCGCCTTTTTACTTGGTCAGCCCTACTACAACACCTTCGTTCCTGACCTGGTCCTCAGAACTGGCTGCAAGGTCATTCCGGTAGACTTTGGAACCACCGATCCCATGGCCCCTGAGGCAATCAGTCACTACCAACGTGCTCTTGAAATGGCAGCTGCTGCGGGCCAGCGAGTCGCGGGCCTTGTTATCTCGAATCCACACAATCCCATCGGCAGATGCTACTCTCGCGCCAGCCTGCTTAGCCTCATGAGCTTCTGCGGCAAGAACGATATGCACTTCATCAGCGATAAAATCTACGCCCTATCGGTATGGGAAAACAAGGTGGACCAAGGATTCAAACAAGTGCCTTTCGAATCGTGCCTGTCACTCAGTTCAAATGGCTTGCTGGCACCCGACCGAATCCATACAATCTGGGGTATGTCGAAAGACTTTGGCGCGAACGGACTGCGGATCGGGACTGTCATCTCTCAGTCCAATCCGTCTCTGCACAAAGCGTTAGTGGCGGTTGCTCTTTACAGTTCTCCATCTTCTGCATCAGATCACATCGCAGCGAACATGCTCGAAGATGAGAAATGGTCAGACTCATTCATCCGAACAAACAGGATAAGGCTTGCCGACAGGTACGACCTTGTAGTGCGCTGGGCGAACAGCCATGGCGTTCCCTACGCGGCTGGGACGAGAGCGGCCTTCTTCCTCTGGGCTGATCTCGGCAGTGTTTGGAAAAGGCACAATCCTAGAACTGTGAAGGACGAGGAGCTAGATGACTTCATGATGAAACTCTTCCTGGAATACAGGGTGTATGTCTCTTCAGGAAAAGACTTCGGGTCTGAGAGCGTTGGGTGGTTCCGTATTGTGTTCTCTCAGTATGAAGTCCAGTTGCTGACTGGACTGGAGAGAGTTGCTGCCGCACTGAAGTCCGGAGTAACGGTTGAATTATAAAGAGTATCCACGACAACGGAACAATATCACCCGTTTGTAACATGGCAGTCCGTTGTCTCACCCTGTAGGTGCACAACTCAAACGAACATATTGCGTTCTGCTACGCAATTCGCTCCGCTGAAATAGAGAAAAGGTCTCAAAAGTTCACGAGGGTAGTGTGATCCCAGAGCGACTAAGGACATTAAGACGGCCAGAGATTTGTACAGGAAGATTTCTGATAACCGGTTGCGCGATTCAATGGCCAAGTTTACATATCATTCTAAATTGGAAAAGCCGGTAACACCTTGGTCGTGACTTTTTGAGTTTCCCCCCAACATGATAGCGAGGGCTCAACATAGCTGAAGACTACAGGTGGTAGAGTAACCCAGCGGGGAAGGCAAGAGCTGGACGCAACTGTAGTGTTGTTGCATGCAGCCCTTGAATGGGCGGCTATCGGGATACCGAGACGAGAAGGCGCATAGGCAAAGCAACACCTCGTCCGAAGTATTTAGAGATATTTCAAACCCACTCCTATAAAAACCCGATGGCCTCGAAGTTTGCTTATTTTATCACTATCCAAGTAAAACAGTATCCTAAACATCTCGGCTAATGACTTTGAGACCCTCTCGCGAAGCTAAGAGGCTCAAAAGCTCCCTTGCCATTTGAGGCATGAACAAGCGGCTCCTTGATGATTTCCAGTGTCAGTTTCATCTTCTCTTGTCTGATTAGTTCTGGGCAATAACTTACAAATGCAGGCCAGGATGTCTTCGCGTCGTCAAAGTACTTGCTGACAACTTCCTTCCTTCCGTCTAGAAGACGGAGAGAGATCGGCATCCTTTCATCGGGAGATCCCGGCATGAGTCCTCCCTCAAACTTGTCATTGTCAAGTGGAAGCTCTGCATCTGCTGATGGACAGATCTCAAATGTCGACAGAATGCGCATAATGGCGATAGATAAAGATCGCTCAGCGAGGTGGTACCCCGGGCAAGCTCGACGACCTGAACCAAATGCAAAATGATCCCGCTTGGTTGCATCGGCCAAGTTCATGCTCTGGATGGATGTAGTAGTATCTTCTTGGTAACGTTCGGGAACAAAACTGTCTGGGTCGTAGTGTCGCTTCTCGTCATGGCCGATCGCGTATGCATTGAGGTGGAGCTCTGCCCCCTTTGGAATACGATATCCCTCGTAGTCGATATCTTCTTTGGTTACGTGAGGATGGCCTAGGGGCACGGGAGGTCGCCAGCGCCAAGTTTCCTTCATGAGACATCGAACATATGGAATCTCGTGGAGGTCTTCGTACACTGGCATCCTGTCTCCGACGACTTCAAGTATCAGCTTGCGCGCCTTCGATTGCACGTCCGGAAAGAGAAGCATAGCCTCTAGGAAGCTCCAAGTAGAAATAGCGCTAGTGTCGGCACCACCGAGGACAAGACCCAAGGCCGTAAAGGAAGCCTCCTCGAGGGTTTCAAAACCTTGCAAATCGCCACTCGAGACGATGCTTGGTAGGAAGGCTTTTTGTGAGACGCCTTTTAGTTTCTCTTCCCGTATTCGTTTCACCTTCTCCATGCAGAATCTTACATCGCGATGGAAACGTTCACGGTCTCTCCTCTCCCACGGCTTGAAGGCTAGCGGCAGGCGATCCAACAAGGGAAAGGTGTCGACATAGCTAACTCCCGGAAGTGTTCCCAGTATCAAGGCGACACCCGTCTCATGGATGTCGTCTATAACGCGATCTTCATTTTCTGGTACGTCCATGCCAAACATCTGTAGGGAGAAAACGCTGTACGTGTAGCGCAGTATCGTTCTGAATAACTGCTCATGCGGCACTGTCTGCTCCGAATTGGCAACTTGCGACAGAAACTTTGCCGATTCGTAATGAAGGTACGGCAGAATGTCGTCAGCACGCGCAGCGCCAGTGAGACTCGAGTTGACCGTTTTCCGATGCTGCTTCCACCTAGGTTTCGCAGCATCCAGTAGCAGTACGTTCCAGTTGTTGGTCATGTGCTCACTGCTGGAGATCCAGCGAGGTCTACCGCTGGTTGTAGCCGACTTTTTATCCATGACAGCTTTGACGACCTTGTCGCTGTTGAGGTAGTAGGATTCCTGAGAACCGAATGAAACTCGAAAGATTTCGCCATGCTGCTTGGACCATCGTCGGAATAGGTGGTGCGTGTTACCCTCTTTGGCGTATTCCACCAAATCAACCAGGTTGCCGATGAGCGGATAGCCCTTTGGGCTGGGTGGCAGTGGAAGACTCGATTTCTTTCGTAGCGGTCCATGGAGCAGTAGTGGAAGAATCAGTACCACTGAGACCAAGGCCAAAGCAAGAGCGCCTGGGGGCTGCGCCGTAAAGGTGGCGTAAAAGCGGGATGGCTCGACTAAAGACATGTTGCCATTGGAGTGATGGTACGGGATACGATGCGGAATCTGCAGTGGTAAGCAAGAACCTTAATTTGCATCATTGCGGACCTCAGTGCTAAATAGTTCATAATCTTAAGTGAAAATTTTAAACACGATGCATTTAACTTTGGTTGATACCCTAGATATTGCCATGCGCAAGAGAGGACGGGAGCATTTGAACCCCACACTTTCCTCACAAGTGCCGAGCCGCACTGTGGGATCCCGACGACATAGCGTGTGGGCGATAAAACATTGAGCGGCACTGGTATATTTCGACTCCCTTGAAGTACCCAAAGTACTTGTGTACAATACAAGAAATAAGCGAAAAGGGTTTCCGGCCAACTAGGAAGAGCAGTAGAGATCATAGCCAGGGAGGGCGAAAGTAGTGATAGTGATGACAGCAGTAGAGTTTCTACTGGTGGGCGCGATCCGGCAGAAGGAATGAAAGTTGTCAAGACTCAGGTGTGGGATCCCGACATAGTTGCGGGCCACTACCCTGGGCATTGACTACGATTGATCCAGGGGCCTACGCTTGTTCCGGGTTTCCGCCGTGCCAAGCCAGATTCAGTCCGTGGGTTGTGGGATCCCGATATGTCTATCGGCCGACATCCCGGGCACATCATGTGTCCGATTCAGACGCCCACAGGGGTCCCTCAATCTGGCGGCGAATTCTTGACACCTGGACGAGGAATTGAGTTGCAACGTCAAATCTCTATCATCCCAATGTAATGCCTCCGTACATGCCGTCGTCGGTATCGCCCATTCTTTGCCTTCCGATAGTCTGGAGGAATCAAATGGTAGAGAACATCGACATAGCCCAATTTCGCAGTGCAGGTTGTCGTTGAATTTGTTTTCTCCCAGGATGAAGTGCTATAGGCGAAGGCTTGACAAGTCCAGCCTCAAGGTCAGCCAGCAGGAGTACCCTATGGCTCAATTTGACTTTCAAATGAAAGCCCAGAATCCACGGAGGGATCTAGAAGCTGTTCAAAGTGGTGACTGAACAAATTCCGTCGGAGGCAGAAATCCCACGAGACTGACCTGGACAAGAACTTAGTTAGTAGTCGCGCCGCGTGAATTCAGGATAGCATAGACCAAGTGAAGCACTCAGTTCGGGCCGGTGGAGTTCTCGGGATGGTGTGGATCGCATGCAATGGTAACCTTGCGTTGGGACGGAGTCGGGATCCCACTTTGTCCTCAATCTATGAATGGGACGTCTATTCCCAGGTATTAGACAACAGAGACACTACGAAAGCAGTAAACAAGCAAGAACAACTGTTTACTACCTGCTTAATTGAATTTCAACTATGGGCCCGCAACCAATCGATAGACTTGAGTTGCCCTCTGGCACGACGCATCGACCGTACTCGCTAGCACAACTCTCTGGCGAAATAATCCACGTCCCTTTGTCAAAATCGATTGTCCGTCTTCTAGTCACTGGAGAAGAAACCGATAAGGCGTTTGCAGTTGTAGCTCTCGCTGGTAGCGGCAGTGATCCCATTGGGTTCCATTGCCATCGGGAAGCTCATGATACATTCTTATGTCTCAGAGGCTCTGTCAACATTTGGGCAGGAGACAAATGCAGAACTCTGGGGCCAGGAGATTACGGAAGTGTTCCTCCAGTGAGTAAATTACACTTACACTTCCGTCCCTTCCACTAAAATCTGTCCAAGAACACAATTCACCAGTACCAAGTTCTTGGGGATCACTCCGAGTTCACTGGTTTGATTTTCCCTGGCGGATGGGAAGAATTCTTCAGAGATCTCGGAGAACCCTGGTCGGGACCTGTCTTCCCCTACACGGACGATCGAAACCCACTTGATGTCCTTGTACCAAAGCTTCAGTGGGCACACGGGAATCACGATGTGGTTCTGGTGCCAGAACATCCTTTTATTGAACCCCGACCATGGCCCGAAAATGAGGATGATAGTCTACCTGGCACCTTGGAACCTTACTTCCTGAAGAATGATAGGGGCACCAAGTACCTCGTGGGAGGGCTCATCATGAAGCCGTTGGGTACCACGGCTGAGTCTGCAGGAAAGTTCTCTATCGCGAGCATAGGAGGTTCATCTTACCACAAAGGCGGCATCTTCGATTCTACTTTCATCAAGTTTCAGGGAGTTCATCATTGCTTCTATGTCACTGACGGCCTCGTAGAGGTAGAAGTTCGGGGTGCTGTAAATGGGATATCACAACTCTCCGCCGGCGAGTCAGTCTTCATACCTGCGGGTCTCGAGTTTCGGTTCCGGTTCACAAGCAAGTTCCCACAATTTTATGTCTTCTGCAATGCAGGTGGCCTGGTTGAGTTGCTCCGGGACGTTGGCAGAGAGTTTGCCGAACCTGTACCTCCGAAGACGGCTGAAGCTTGGGATGAGGCGAAGCTGAAGAGTCAGGACCTTCAAAAATCACTCGACTACTCGTTACATAATTGAGTTGAGATTCTCAGGGAAATAAGGTGCACAAACAGAAGACTCAGCCAAGCCAATCGTTATTTTTATGGCCATCAGCTCAGCAGGAAGAATTTAAGCTCTACTCTAATCCTCTTCCCAAAATGCCGACCATTTTCCACTCAACAGTCCACTTGCTGCCCTGAAAAGGCCCTGACACATGCCTCGCCATGCAGAAGAGCCCTGCAGAATTCTTTGCGTCTCCAAAAGTAACCTCGACGAACTGACTTGTCCACAAAGTATACCAACCCCTGTGATGTGAATGCGAGCCGGTTCAGCATCCTCGATCCAACGATTGAGCGCTGGCGTATCTGTTAAGCAATCTAAACGTATAGGAGGCAGAGTCTTGCTGCATTCCTGGCTGGGGCCAGATAGCCCGGCCAAGTTGACGGGTGTCCGCATTTTGGAGAGGTCATAAAGGCGTATATAGAGTACGGCCGAGATAAGAGCCAACGGATCAACGCATGCGAGATGGCGAGTGCGTCTTAACTGAGCAAAGATAGCTGCAGCATGAGAAAGGCACTTCCTGGAGCTTTCAGGATTCCGAAGAATCCAGCCTTTTAATTCGCCTGTCGCATTCTCCATCTCAACGGTGGATGAATGCCATCCTGATAGGCGAAGTAAAGCTTGGAAAGAAACATGCCTGAAGATTGACGCTGTGTGAAAGAGGAGAGAGGCAATATTATTGCGACCATCTACCTCCCCACGACCTCCCGCATCAAAAGAAACGAACTGTTCTGTCAAGCTTTCGATTTCATCGTTGAGAAGATGAAGCTTGGTGTCGGTGAAAGACTGAGCCGAGGACGACCCGAAAGGACGACCCGAAAGGACGACCCGAAAGGACGTAAGTGAGCCCCACCTAGAGAGCTTTCAATTGCAAAGGCTTCGAGCTGGTTGTTGGGGCCAACGAGGGAGAGAAGAAGCTGTCTTTCCTGCATACAAGCTACAACCAGTGCAAAGCTGCTAGCAAAGCCGTCAAACTTCTGAGGAGCTCTGCTTTGAACACTACGCTCCTGAGGTTTGGCTATTCATTACGCTGCCAGCGTACTAAACCTTCGAAAGATGGGGTGGGACACTGACATGTTGTCTTGGCCATCTCTGTGCTCCATGCTTCCGCAGTGTGGGACCCCCAGAGAGTGTCGGCACAGGGCTCGATCATTGGCAGTTGATTCAGTTGAAAGACGGGCTGGTGGTTACAAAAGATGAGCGCTAGGGAGTCCAATCTTTGCGCAGGGCGTTAGCTGTTGTTATCGGCTTTAGACCCAAATTTCAGGGAGAAACATACGAAACGCACAATGGATAACTCGCCGGCGAGTCTCCTGTGTTACCCAATTTTCCCATCTTGTATGCATAGAAGCCTCTAGTGGAGCCTCGTCATGGCTGTCTTGAAGTTTGGTAGTGCTCAACAGCATCTGGCATGAGAACACAAGATGGCTTCTTTCGCATTGCCAAAGGAATCTGTTTCGCCCAGAGCCTGCAAAAACGCAAAAGGTGTCCCGAAGCAGTAGACTCTGAACATAAAAGACTGTAGTAGAAGCTGGAGAAGTCGGGGCCTACATTGACACAATTAGTTTCTGACGGTACTCAAGACAGGATGAGGTTTGTAATACATTTGATTTCAGAGCAATTCTGAGCAGTTCTTGCAATGCTAAAGCATGATCAAAGGATCTCGATACCTCTGAGTACTGGCTGCCAGTTGCCGCAAGCGCTAATAGGAGAATCCACGGTCGGTTTCCTGCTTCCACCTGACTGTGGTGGACACAAGGAAATTGACAGTCAAAGTGCTCGAAATAGAGCTGAACGAATGTGTTCAAGACCTCGCGGCGTGGAAAGACATCATTCCGGAGTGACAAGGTACCCTTTTGAGACTTCCAGAATTTTAGGATGGCCTGGTACTCTTGCTCATCAATTTCTCTCACCAGCCCAAAGTCTTCAGACTGGATTGTTGCATCGTCGGTTGCTTTAAGGGAAGGGAACGTTAGCTTGAGGGTAGACGATTCTAGTGCGTTTTCAACAGAGTCCGCTCGTGGAATCCGAGCCTCTGTGGCATGAGGCACACGATATTCTGATGCGGATCCAATATGTGGCGTTGGGGCTTCCTGTGTAAACATGTTCTGCCAGATATTGAGGAGCCCGTCTTCCGAAAAGTGAAAGGTCTCGTGGAAGGCACCATCGACGTATGGCCATCGAAAGATCCCGCTTGAGCCCTCCGCCATGGTACAGTCTGCATAACCAGATACGCCCGGAGGATCATGTAGTTGCAATCCTAGCTCTATTGCATCGGATTGTTGCTGATGTAAGCCTATGTCGAGTCCTAGATTAAACTGGCAGGGCTCAAGCAGAGGATCCAACCTGGGCGTTTGTATACTGATTATCTCTTGTGGTGGCAGCCATGGAGGTATATCAGGAGCCAACGTTTCAACGTCCTCAACTCCGAGAAACGTCTCAGATGCCTTCTCAGTCGGTGCAGATGGCCGTATTCCACAGATTCCAGAGATATTAGTCGTCGTGGTTTCCTGAGATCTTTCGTCTTCATTTAGCTCCATGTTACTTTCTTCTTCCTCTTCAAATTGCCTATCTGGCTGAAGTTCGACTGTAGATGTCTGCCCTTTTCGGCAGTAGGAAAGGCCTTTCTTCAAACATCGCCAACATGGAGTCCCGCCCTGACACCGTTGCTTTGAGCTTGCACACGCGACACAAGCTTGTTCGCACCTCCTAGTCATCTCGACCCGGGTCTCTTGTCGTGATGGTGTATCGCGATCATGGAGGGCTGCATGGCGGAATAGAGAGTCCCTGGCAAAGATTTAGAAAATGAGACAATGGTGCGCAGACAGTAAGCACCGGGGTTGCCGAAGACCTTACCTTCGAGCAAACTTTCTTCCGCAAAAGTCGCAGTGAAATGGCTTGTCCTTGGAGTGCCGCGCCGAGTGACGGGTCAAATGACCCTTGCGTTTGAATACTTTCCCACACGTGCGACAGTCCATCGGATGAGCTCATGGGTGTGTTTTTGCGATTCAGGATGCGAGCCACGATGCCTACTCCTTGAATTGAAACGATATCTAAAGTTGGTAGACTCAATTGGCTCTTGGTCTTATTGAATCAGGTATTATTGAGAGCAAGGTCGGGTCGTGTGTATTTGTTGACAGGGACTAAGACGTTCCTACAACCCAAATAGTATCGAGACGGTGCTGAATGCAGGGCCCGGAATTAGTTTCGTATTGCTTTATTCAATTATCAGCGACGTGTCTTGAACCATGTGAACGGACACTACTGCCTCTCCCCATTACCGAAGTTTCAACTCACGGGTGATCGTCTCAATTGCGGGGTAAATCTGGAGAATTCCCCACTCGGTGAAATCTCGCTATCGGGGCAAATAGGACTAGCATGGAACTAAAGTAATTCGTATGAAAGACCGGCACGCGAATATCGACCAAGATACAGGCGACGTTACGCCAACTCCGAATTGCTGATAGCCGGGTTATCTGTGATTAACAGGCTTGAAGCTGTTGGAGTTCTATCGCGCGATGGTCCCCTCCGATGAGAGCAGCGACCGATATACTGCGCTGCGTCATCGACGGAACAGAAGGGTTCCTTATGACAACCAGGCATGGTATGTCTAACCTGCACTCGCCCAATCATGGGAAGTTTGCCAAGTTCTTTCCAGTATCGAGTGCAAGAGAAAGAAGATCAAATGCGACGGTGTCAACCCCTGTGCGGCATGTACACGGAACTCAGTCACGTGTGGGTACCACCCGCATCGTCGAGTCTTAGCTGCTCAGAAACCCAATTTACGGTAAGTGAAGCCGCTACTACACTAGGTATCCCATTCTACATCAATTGTTGAGACCTCTTTGTCTTTTACCTTTTCTGCAAGTGGCACTGAATTGCTGACTAGAACTAAGAACCGTGGATTTACCTAGGCCTTCTCACTTTTCTCCTCAAAATGAAAGCTCACTCGACGATTCAAAATCTGCCCCTCCACAGAGTCCATCGCCACAGGCGACTTGCAACAGACGAGCCCCATGCTGAGATCCAGATTAAATCACATGCCATGTGACGCAAGCAGTAATTCCCCGGAGTTCTGTGGTCCCTCAAGCTCCGAGTTCACCTTCGGAGTTGTCAGGAAATCTGGAGGCCATGGGAATTCCCCCAGCCATTCTAGACAAGTCAACACCGAGGACCAACTCCGCCTCGAATATGCCATCTCATCTAGCACAATACGGGCCATTCATGAAGCTGCGGGCCCAAGATCCGCTATGGGAAGTAAATCTTGAAGATGCGACAAACCACATTAAGCAGTGGTTTTCGGGCACTGGCTTCCTCTACGCTGTTGTCAGTGAAGAGCAGATGCTAGCGGTTGCCAGTAATGTTTTGAACACTCTGCAGTGTGTCAATGTCCATGAGACGCGAAGTCGAGGAGCTCTCGCACAGTGCCTGTTCCATAGCGATACCAATAAACTGAAACTAATCCTGGCCATTTGTCTGAACTTGGAGAGCGGGGGGGGGGGGGGGGGGGGGGGGGGGGCAACGAGTTGGCCCAGAGGCTCTTTCAGAGCGCCACCGAAGCTGGCGAGGGGCTCCTTTGGGGCACAAATTCGATCAGCAACATACAATTGCTGGTGCTCATGGTACGTGGTGTTTTGACCTGGAGCAAGGGAGAGAGTAGGCTCGAGCGATGTCATTAATCGGCGTGCTCACAGGCCCTTTACTACTACCACCTCGACGAAGAAGTGCGGACCGGTCGCATCATTGATTTCCCAGCCCGTCTCTGCCTCGAAATGGGCTTGCACCGCCGAACATCCATGGACCGCTACGCCAACAACTCGGAAGAGCAAGCTGCAGGCGTGTATATGCTAGAAAGAAGGACGAGCCTGGGACAGGGGAATCCGTTCTACATACAGGACTGCCACGTTGACCCTACGCTACTTGCGATGGTAAGATTTCACCAATTCTGCGACGTTTCACTGGGTATCCCGTCGCAACCTGCTGACAGTCCGGCAGAATGGCCACGACGCAGTGATGACCGCGCTCCTCGACTGGACGAAACTAGCTGGCAAGATGTGGTACGCCCTCAATAGCCAAGTTGAGAAGGAGAGTGAACTCAACATCGACGAAATCGACTATCTCGATTATCAAATAGAGCAGTGGTACCAACTTCTAGCTGATGACCTGAAGCTTGAACCTATCCAGCCGGGACAAGAGGTTCGGCACGTTCAGGCCGTGCTTTTCCTCAGCAAGAGTCACCTACACAACTTGATCTGTCGCCCGGTGCTTCAATCCGCAACGCTGATCGTGCAGCACCAGAGACATGCTCACAAAGCCGTCGCTGTCGCCAGGGAGTCGCTGCAGATGCTCTCGAGCCTCAACGAAAACACTACCATCATCAAGCGGAACCCGCTCTTCTTCAAGCACCTCTTGCTCACTGCCTTTGGGAACCTGTTGCTGGCGGTTGTGAATGCCAGCTCCATGTTTTGTGACAAGGTCACAATTGAGTTAGACATTGCGCTCGAAATGATCAGAGCTCTGAGCAAACGGTCGCCGCTGCTCCTGGTTCTCTGGGAGCGTCTTCAAGGCCTACGAAAGCTCAGGGCACAGCTGTCCGGCTCTTCCCTCACAGCATCCAGTGGCAGTGAGCCAGGCGAACAAGGGGAGAGCGTTGATAGCCCGTCTGATGCCTTGCTGTTCGGAAACATGGGAGATATGATGGTTTTCGACCAGCTCAACGGTTTCTTTGACCTTACACCCATGTCCACGAATTGTGCAACGAGCAATTGGACATTTCCGATTGGTGATTGAGCAAATTCCGGCCGCTTCCGAAGCGGAACTAATAGCGGGGTTAAACTACCTCCGATGATCCCGGCGGGGTCATCACTTATTAATAACTGAACGAAACATCAAAGGATTACCTCAGTGCACTCAACCCCGTTGCCTCATCTGTCTTATGTGTCAATGTTGAAGTGACTACGATTCGGATCATCGTCTTTTTATTCCTTGCTCAGCTTTTTTGGCCCTGCGTCTTTGGCAAACGTCTCGCTGCGACCGCACTTTTAGAAGATGGGCTCCCCTTTTCCGTTAGAGACCTTGGCGGGGTACACGTCGCGAACAGTACCCTTCAAAACCACTTCAGATATAACCATCAATGCCGACGTCGTGTACCCCGAGAAGTCAGATGGGTCTCCCGCTACCGTCTTGCTGCATTACCACGGTGGTTTCCTCGTGAGTCCACCGGATTACATGATGTTTCATACAGTGCGGCTCGAGCCTTTACTAACATGAGAGATTTCCTAGATCGTCGGAGATCGGTATTCGTTCTTGCCATACTGGCTTGTACATGCCTGCGCCGCCCGTGGATGGGTCTTCGTGACTCCTGACTACCGCTTGATGCCCGAATCAACCGCCCAGGCCTCCGTGGAAGACGCTGCAGATGCCTACAAATGGGCCTGGTCATCGCTCCCGGAGATCTTGGGCCGCCCCGTCGGCTCGCTCTTAGTCGCTGGGTCAAGCGCCGGCGGGTATTTGGCTCTCAACACAGCAGTCTCGGCCGTTAAGAAGCCCAGCGCACTGCTGCTCATCTACGGGATGCTCGATCCCTCTGGGACTAGATACACAACTTCCGGGAAGAACATCTTCGACCGGCCACCAATTGAGACCGGGCCTATTTTAGAAACATGGCCCATGACCAAGGCTTCGGGTGAAGATAGGAAGCCTGTGTCAGCTTATCCGATATCAGGCGACCCCGCTGCTGACCGCAGATTTGCTCTTGCTTCGGCCCTGCACATCGACGCCCTATTCCCCGATTACATGACTGGCGTCTCCGGCCTTGCTCAACAGATTGCTGCCCAAGGAGTGACAGCTATCCCCGAAGAACACCAGCAGCTGTTCCCACTTGACTTTGGCAACTTGAATGGCCTCCCACCTGTCATGTTGCTTCACGGTGCGAACGACTCAGCCGTGCCGCTTGACTGTAGCACTAGGGCCGCAGAGAAGCTCGAGGCATCTGGAGTGCATGTTTTAGCCGAGTTCCCGCCTGACGCTCAGCACGGTTTTGATGGAAGGTCGGGCGATGTTAACGTCGAGACTCCAGCTGGGGATGTGGTGACTGCTGTAGAGTCTCTGAGGAAGGCGATTGGTTTTCTCGAACAAAATGCAGCCAACTAGCTCTACGAGGTAGTCAGCCTCTCGATCAATAGAAGCCTGAAGATGCTTAAGCCATGCCAATCTTAGATTTCCACATCAGAGTCGGAGTGTGAAATTCGAGGGGTTGATACAACTTACCACTTAGTGTCAAATTGTCAAGCTGGTCTAAAGCTACCTATGGTTGAGTGCTGGAACGTTGATGACGATGTCATTTCAAGGTACCTATGCGGGTTAAAGGGGGGGGGGGGGGGGGGGGGGTGGTGTTGTTTCAAAAGTGGACCTTGCCTCTACCCGATCTATATATAGTGTTGGGGGTCTATCCTTCTGCCCGTATAATGGTCCAACTATGTGCAGATCCTAGAATAGTCAGAATATTCACGATTTTAATTAAAAATAATAATAATTTTAAGCATCTGTTCTGATTCTCTTCTATTCAAGCGTTTAGGATGATCATATGAGTACAGAGTAGATCGACTCTGGAGGGAAAAAACAGAAGGAGGAAGGAGCCTGTACCCTTTTGGGGCACTGTTGAACCCCCCCCCCAAGCGCGGGTAGGTAACTTGAACGGGTCAATCTCGATGGTCGAAATAGACATTAGCGCTGCGGTTAGGGGTTGTCTTACAACGTTAGCCACTAACATGACGCCTGTAATGTTTTCCACGTATCAACAATCGACATCATGTAATTACACAGACATCATGTAACCCTAACCGGTGATTCAGTGAGAAGGCGCCGGTGTAAGTCATGTTGCTTGATTTCTTGCACCTTTTATCTATCTTCTACGAACACGACACATCAATGGACCTTCTTTCTCCAAAATTCCAACGCTGATAGTAGAAATAGCTTGCTTCGGGTCCACCATCTCAAGTTCATAACATTTAAACGTAGTTGCAACCAGCTTCAGCATGTTGGTCATGGCCATATTTCGTCCGATACACATGCGATGACCATGCTAAAGGGGCTTAGGAAACGCTGGAGCTTCTCGCCCTCTTCATCATAAAATCTAGAAGGGTCAAACACATTGTGGTCCTTGCCCCAAATAACAGGATTATGATGGACGACGTGGTTCAGGCTGAAAAGACCGGTCTTTTCATTCGTTCGTTGTCAGTAAGCAGTCATTGTATCATAGGAGAAAGAGGAAACTTACGCCTTTGGGAACTACGTGACCCTCAATTTCGAACCCTTCCGTAGCAGTCACCTTTCGCTCCAATGGCATGGTGAAAACAGAGTTCATCCGGAAATTTTCATCTAGACATGCCATGACATAGGGAAGCTTTGTTTCCAGGTCCTTGATCGGTACGATGGCTGAGCCAACGTTCTCAACAACTACGTCCACTTCTTCAACCACTCTTTCATGCACAGCCGGGTTTTGGAGAACTTGCAGCCATGGGATCGGAATCTGTCACGAGTTATGGCACGCAGCAATGGGCATATGAAGTGTGGTAAAAGTGGCTTGTTGATGATGTATTTAAAATGTCTTGTATTAACCCAAATGATGATGATGATGATGATGATGATGTATTTAACGTCTGGTAACAAAAGGACGTGCCGGGCGCTATGCCGACATGGTCTATGCTAATCTAAACTATGTTACAGGCTATGTATTAACCCAAATAGAATCGAGCAAGGAAAAGTGTTATATAGGAACAAATGAAAAATCACGTGATAACGCACGTGATAGGCTCATTACAGAGTGCTGATGCTATTCCTGTTTCGTGACAGAATCCAGGGAGAGATAGTTTTGATGAACGGCATAAAGTCGGGAATCATGCCCATTAAGCAAGCCAGAAAAATGTGATCATTAATGGGAGGCAGCTTCGAACTGTCTTTTTCAATTTGCGAGTCAAATTGACACCGGAAGGCAAGATCGCCTAGGACATCGAGGACAAAGAAGGCTATCAACTCCTTGAGATTGAAGACTTGCCGCGTCTTGGAGTATTCGTCGAGGTTTTGCGGAATTGAAGCATGTGGCCGTCAATGTACTGCTCCATTTCTCTGATCGACTGTAAAGAAAATGCGTGGGCCATTTGCCGCCGCCGCATCGAGTGAACCTAGGAGAATAAGTCTGCGATCTCCAATTCACCGCCAAAATTCTAGCGACTCACCTCTTCATCTTGAGTTCCAAACAAGTTGGGATTGAATGAATTGAACCCGTCATAGAACTTGGTCTTAGCCAAGGTTCGGCCGGCCTTGTAAATCCTGGGAATGGCACTTCCTTGTCTGAAAGAAAGCATATTGGGGTCAACGCGGACTACATCACCGTACTTCTCGTGCAGCGCGACGAGAGTGTCGGGTAGGTGCAAGCTCCATAGTTCCCGGAGTCTCCAGAAGTTTGTAATTGACGCGAGAAAAGGGCCAGGGAATCTTGCCAAAGGATGAATATTGCGATAGTAGAACGTGTAGAGACCAATAACCGCAGTCAAGAAGGCTGCAATCGACGCAAAAAGGTGCGCAGTTACGGGTGGTAATAACTGTTTGACATCCATGTTAGCTTCAATCTTTGTGCTTCCTGGTGATATGGAATCATTTGGTCAAACCACCACCTTTGGAAGAAAACCTAGAACTAATATACGCCGGGCTCGTTTGACTTCGGCAGTGCATTCACTCGCAAGTCATTCCATGTTCAAGCGTGGGCGGCCGAAATTCCGGAAACACACAACAGACTGCTTCATTCAGCTCGATCGTTCCGTCTGGGCCAATCGGATTGCTCCATCACTGGGTCGAAACGGAATTTCAAAGTGTGCATTAAGAAAACGAGAGGGGGGTCGTTCCGTGCGAGCCAATCAAATCAGTCTTCCATCACGGGCCAATACGGAATACCAACTTACATGGGGCATTCTGTCTGCGCTACTGTGGTGTTCTTGAACCTCGGGCCTGTCAGATGATAATATTGTCTCTTCGAAAACGCCTGACGTTACCCTCAAGGAGCTAGCCTAGTTGCCGTTCAATGGAAACAAAGTAGTTACGTGTAGTAAACGCGAAGGAGGTAGCTTGACATTGACCCATCTAGACAACGGGTGGGATAGCAGGAAATAATTATCAATCTGTCTTAGAGTCATGTGCATTTTATCTTAGACATAGTCAATGCTATCGGTTTCTTTCCTCAAGTAAGTTAAAATCGTACTTCACATCACTAAGCCACTTACTTAATCTTATGTTGTGAATTTGAAGAAGCGATCAATGCGAGACCAAAGATTGAAGCGCCCGGCTTCATGTTGACGCAAAATCATCCTTCTGAATGTTAAGGCATGGAATAAGAGAGTTTATTTCAGCTTAAAAAGAGTCTCCTGAAGATGATAGCTTCATCTACCACCTCAGGTGCTGAGTACATGGCGTAGCCTGGCGGCCTGTCCTTGCAAATACCCCTTGACTTCGCACCATCCATGCTAGTTTAATTCCGTCTGGAGGTACTCAAAATCCTGGAAAGCAGTAGTGTCAGCGGCGTTGCATTATAGAAGCTTGGGAGAGATAAGATATACCGCAGGGTTCAGAGTCGGAAGCCTGGTTCCAGTACTGTAGATCGCGAAATGAGTTCCGACAAAGTTCTGCCAGCCCTCAACGTATGACTGTAGCCAGCGATTCTCAACAGTCGCAAGCCAACTTGGTGCTTTGTCACCTGTGGAATATCCCAGACGATATCCGGCATCTTTGGCCTCGATGAAAAGCTTTACTGAGTCACCATTGGCAACATCCTCATCCTCGATGTAGGTGGTGTTGAGCGTTGCGTCTGGGCCCGTCCTTGTGTGCGTGACTATGCATCGCTTACCGGTGTCGTTCGAGTAAGTAATGGCGACTTCGTTGTGATAGTGGATGCTAAGATAGACACTTGCACCGGCCTCCTGTCGCCACGATGCCGGGCTGAATGAGCTGACTTCGGTGCTGAAGGTGGTATTGATGTCGACCTGCTTGCGGAGCAGTGCTGCTGGGGTTTCGCGATCGTTGAGAGTGTAAACGTTGCCTCTGATTCGAAGCTTCCCAGGGCTAGAGTCGAAATCTGTGAAGCTTTTGTACGGTGTCCGTGTGTAGTAGTAAACCTCATCCGTTAGTCCTCCCTCAAAGTCGTCGCGCCACACCTGTGGCCGGTCCAAGTCGTACAAAACGTCAGGCATATACTCAGTAATCGGCTCATTATTGTTGAACACAGGCCATCCATCTGCGTCCCATGTTACAGGGCACAAGAAAGTCTCGCGACCAAGCTGAGGAAGCCCAGTGCTGTTTCTGGGGTTTTGTGGCCGAATAGCGAGAAACACCGCCCACCAGTTCCCATCGACGTCGTCAACAATGTCTGCATGCCCCGTAGCAAGCACAGGCAAAGACATATCTTCACCATTCCACAGTACAGGGTTGTTTGGATTGCCTTCCCAAGGCCCATCCAAGGATTGGGAGCGGTACACGTTTGCTTTGTGGTTAGCCTCCGTTCCGGAGTCGGCGGTGACCATGTAATATGTCCCATTCAGTTTATACAAGTGGCTTCCCTCAGTCTAAGACCAGTTTTGGTTGCACATTAGCCAAGGCACCTGCTTGTGATAATGGTGGTTGTAAGAAACGACACTTACAAGCGGGTAGCCAAGTTCTGGAGGTACTGTCGTGGTATGGAGAACACGGGAGTTGCTTAGAGAGTCGCCAGTCTTGATGTCAATCTCCGTGATCCAGTTTGCAAAGTTGCCATTCTCGACGAATTCTGAGAACGTGGAAGTCAAATAAACTTTCCCATCATCATCGAAAAAGAGATCTGGGTCGAAACCCCACTGGTCGACATATGTAGGTTCACTCCAGCTAGCCTGATCGAAGATGTTCGGGGTCGTGACGTAAAATGAACGGGGAACCCGTGTCACCTATGGAGAGAGTCAATACTCTGAGTAGACAAAAGAAGTCTCGTTATACCAAACATGCTTACGTTGTCAGGAGGGCTGATCACATCAAAAACTGTATCGATTAGGTAAAAGAGGCCGTCGTGGTGTCTCAATGTCGGCGCAAAAATACCTCCGCTGGGAGCGGTACCTCGCATGTTCAACTGCGACGGCCGAGACAGTGCATGACCAATGTTTTCCCATTTTACGCTGTACTCATTGAATTAGAACCGGATAACCCTGGGAAATGCAATGTCGCCAACAAATTAGACTTACAGATCAGTTGAATGGTAGATGGGGACGCCGGGAAAGAACTCAAACGTGCTAGTTGCCAGGAAGAAGTCCTGACCAACTCTAATGATCGTCGGGTCCGGATTGAACCCCGGAATAATGGGGTTCACGAGTGTTCGTGCGAATGCTGTCCGGGAAATAAGCCTCTAGTCACTGTCACTTGCCTGGTCAATCAACTTACTCGGAAGCAGTGCAACCACTGAGGCCAGTCGCATGAAAATAGTGGACTTCATATCGGGTGCCTCGGTGTCATTCGACCCAAATGCAACACAAACATGGTACTACCTGACCTTCTACCAGATATCACGGACTAATCTCGCAATTTTATGGGTGATTTATATTGCTCAGAATCCGGGGTAAATGACGTTGGTTCTGCACCCCTCACGGGTAAATGCCTGGCTCAATTGACCCTGGGCGGAATGCCGGATGGGTGGCATTGCATCTCAGCTAAAAGTGGATGAACTTGGCTAAAATGGCTCCATTCGGGCTTCGCGGTGATGCTTGCCGAGGTTGTGGCGGAACCACTCTGTCCAACCCTTTCAGGGTTTCTGTTCGCCAGCTTCTCATGGACAGGCAACATCATACTTCAAGGTGTCGATGAGTGAATTATACTACATCTTGTCAATTTTCACATTGACCTCCCTGAGCCTCGGATGGCACACCCAACTTAGGATCAGCCAACGTGCTAGCTAGACAGTTCTGAACCTTCAATTTCCGCTGCAAATATACATCTAAAGATACATCTGAAAAAACTGTTGAAAAGTTGAATTGCGATAAATGATCTGATGGTTTAGAGTTGAATGACCCAGTTCTTTGATTCCTCTACATACGTGCTCTCCTAATCGTTCTCAACTTGATTTAGGTAGACAACATAGCACGGCTAACGTTTGACCTGAATTACAGGTCCATGCATGGGCAATGATCTATGGCTATGTCCTGGAGCTACTGTCGTCTCCTAATCCCTTTGTTTGACGTCAGCTTATTGTTATTGAGCTCGAAGAATTTGAGATAGTTTCAGGTTTTGTAAGTCTAGGTACATGTACTCAACGAATCTCCTTAAGGCACAAAGCTTCACAAAGCCCAACTCAGGTTCGCTGTACCAACAGCTAGACAAAGGCTTTGAATGATGGTGATTCGTACAATGCGTCTGTAATGGGATTGATTCATTGTTGGGGTAACTGTCTTAGAAACAATTTTTTATCAAACTCTTCAAAAGACGGTATAATCTTCCAAAGTGAGATGTGCAACCATCTACAAAACACCACTTGCACGCCAACAGCATACCGAATACCATTCAGATTTTAGACACCAGACAGCTGCAGCACTTTCCATACAGCCGATCCACCGCAACTCTTCCAGCCCCAGCAACAATCCTACTCGAAGACTGTGGTAAACAAGGCGTAATTGCTGGCCGGCAATCACTGATTCGTTTTTGTACGACAGTTATGAGCCCTTTGCCTCTACTGGTTAGTGTGCACTTCCTCTGGAAAGCCCAGCTTACGTAAGCACTACACCGAGGGTTGTGGGTTCAAATCCCGCCTCGTTAAAGTCTTTTTCTGCTGGAACTAAGGTGCGCGAGACGCCCACTGAGCAATTGACAGTGGGTATGTCCCCAGTTGGCAAGTACAGCAAGTAGGACGCAGATTCCCAGCCTAGAATGCTGTAAATCTGGGGGGGTGTGTGGTAAACAAGGCGTAATTACTGGCCGGCAATCACGGATTCGTTTTTGTACGACAAAGACCCTTTGCGGAAGATCTTGCGCCCACTGTTCGATATGTGCGACCAGCCGTGCCTCCCTTCCCGGCAAGTTTGAGCGCTGCCAAAATCCCGAACCTTGCAAAAAGATTATTGAGCTTGATGGAGGAAGCGTTGCTCGGGGTGTTTGCGAAACTGTAGCCGCCATCTCCTTCTTATTCGTGCACTTGCTTTGATTGAGGCTGAGCGCCTGAGAAACGAACGTCAATGAGTGGTTTGAAAGAGCATGCTGATTTCAATTGATGGTAGATCAGATTGAACGATGAGTTTACGCTGGTTTCTAAAAGGTTCGACATTGATCTGCGACACCGAAGAACCTCCTCAATTAGGGAAAAGGAGATGGCTTCATTCTAGATACCGCTTATGTTTTTGGCCCTGGCAGAAGCTCAGTCCTTCGGAGAATCGGATCTTCGACCGATGATAATGCCACCACCAAACTTAGTACTTATGCATCAAGAGTTCACTCTGTAACATGTGCCTGCTTCCCGTTGCCCTGCTTCCTCTGAGACTCCGTAGATTGAACAGCAGCCTGACTTGCTGCTGATGCACCCCAAAATACCTCCAAGACTCGCTTAAACTCCCCTCTTGGACCACCAAATATCTCCAGGCTCTCCTCTTTTGTCATGGGTGTCCCTCGTCTGACCTGTGCTGCCCATATCCTTAACATCCGGTCCAATTCCCTATAGGCAGCCTCTTCAGAGTGACAGAGCAAGGTCATTGCCAATGCTGAGCCGAATGTGCTTCCATAATCTCGCAGAACAAAGTATTGGAAGGTCTCATTGTCATCCGTCTCATAGTCGATTTCATAATCGTAATCTCCCCAAATGGTCTTGCAATTCTCCTCGATGCGTTGTTGTATTCTGCTGGCCATTTTCGTTACTACGGTATATTACCCAGGAGTCTCCATGTCTTGGAAGTATTATCAGTTGCAAATTCGTTCCAAATCAGGATAAAGATAAGTCCTTCAACGTCGATTCCACTTACAGAGCTATTCTTATGGCATGAAAATCCGTTAAGTTGATCGTCCTAACTAAAAGGTTGATACAAGGAGTACACAGAGAGTCACAGAGTCTCTGGCGGTCAATGGTCAGGTATTATAAGGAAAGCTGGCCTTGGGGTGCTGAGGAAGCCATTGGTTAGAGGACGAGGGGTCATTCTCAACAATCACCTCATGCTAAAAGAGACTGTGCCGTCTGGTCGATTTCTTTTTGCGGCACACTTCCAGTTTGATTGGCACAAATCGAGGGTAGCTGCGGGAGGCCGTCAAGCTAGTTTATCAGCCAATGTACACACATGCATGATTAAGTACTTACTGCATCTGTCAATGGCCGGAGTCGTCGCTGTGGGCGGAAACGCCCTGCAAAGGCGATTAGCGTGTCCAATCAACTGGGACATACAGAATGATGCTGGGTGGCGGAAGATTCGGAGAACAAAGCCCCCGACGTGTAACTTGGCCACACTTATCAAGGCATCAAGGTGTGGCCTTGACAGTGTTTGGCCAGTGACAATGTCTGGTGTTCAAGCTGCACAAGACCCGGCGCTCTTGATGCGGATGTAATGTTTCTGAAAGCAAAAGAGTTAGTTCAGTGAGACTGTGAGCATTTGCACCGAGAGATCAAAAGCCATTGCAAAAGCTCGCTGTTCTCTTTTGGATCGTCTTTACCCTATGATAACGATTCTCTTCTACCCAAGCAAATGTTTGTTTACCGCTGTCAAAGGTCCCTTCCCGAGTAGTACCTCAATGACGTTTCGGATAGCCAGATCCTCGAAGCCGATTCTGGTTTCAACTGCTCCACCAGCGGTGTGGCATGTAAGACTCACATCCCTCATTGAGACCAGGCGTGTGTTAATACGTGGCTCGTTGGAGTGTACATCGAGTCCAGCAGCGAAGAGGTGCCCAGATTCCAGTGCATCAGCCAATGCATCTTCATCCACCAAGTTCCCGCGTCCAACATTGACCAGTCGAGATCCCGCTTTCATCTTTGCTAGGCGTGAGGCATCGATGAGTGCCTTGCCACCTTCTGCCCCTCCAGGCGCTGAGTGTGTGTTGTGTGTTATATTTAACGCCGTGGCGGCAAGGGCGCAGCCGCCCTTGCGGCCGACCTCCCGAAGGGTATATGGCGTGGAGAGCCGTCGCCCTATAACTATTGCTAGATACAGTTCAAATCGTCCTCCAAATCGTGCCTTATGGCTACTATGCGTTCTATCTGTCACACAATCCGCCACGGCGAGCATAGTGTCCAGATCCGGGTATCTCACAGCTTTGATTTTTGTTTCCTGCTCAGCTGACTTGGGAATAGGATCAACGTATGCTATCTTCATATCGAAAGCGGCGTGAGCTTTTTGTGCAATTCGATAGCCGATGTTTCCGAGGCCGATAATGCCGAGTGTGTGGCCTCTGGGGTTGTGTGCTGTCTCACTGTTGTGTCGGTGTGCATCGAGGAACTGATCTGCGTTTCCACTCCGTGCTGCTGTATTGGTCCATTGCATATTGCGGAACACTGATATGATGTGGTAAAGCGCCATGTCCGCCACAGCCTCGGATGACGCTGATGCGCCATTGCATTAGAGGATAACTGTCATTAAAGTCATCAGGGAGTGTCGGATACGGTGATATATTGTATCGATGGTGATAGCGTACCTTTCTCAGCCAGGATATCAACGTTTGCCCAATCATATCCGGCACCTGCGGAAGCAAAGACTTTGACAGAGCAAGGCAGGAGTGAAATAAGCTCTTTGTTCCAGCGGCCCATCTCGCCACCCGAGTTCCAAAAAGGTCGCAGGATTGCTGAGAAGTTCCCCCATCGCTGTTCCCTCAGAGCCTCCAAGAAGGTTTCCCTCTGTCTCTCCTCTGTGGTCAGTCTAAGGATTGTAGCGATCTGTTCTAACTCTTTGTACCGCTCCGTGTTGTATTGAACCGGATCTCCTATGTGGAGTACGATGGGTTTGACAGCGCTCGGCATTCTGAGGACGTTATGGTTAATACTGAAATTAGCTTGGCGTGCCAACAAGATCCTCTCTTTGTCACAAAATAGTTCAGTGAAAATTCACGGTGATATGATACGCTCTGGATTACACCGAAATGGAATCTCAGAGCTCTTAAATCACTACATATTTCATGCAACCTTCCTACATGCCCATCCCCTCTTGCAGATGAACAAGGTATTCGGGTCAAGTTCCCGCAGAACTCAGCGATATCGGGGACTTCTTCGAGCACATCATCCCAAGCCTCGATTGGGTACTTACCTTGGGGCTCCTCCCTTGCACTTGCTTGCAGCTCGACTGATTGAGTCCCGACGACAAAGCGGGTCGTGTTGGGAAGTCTGACGTATTGTAATAAAAGCCGACCACTAGAGCCTGGTACGCGAGCTTAGAGGCTCAGAATATCCGATTCCCGAGCCGTTGCACCAACCAGTACAGTAAGCCTAGTCTAAGCGGCACCAACTGATTGTGTTATGAGCACGTAAGACGACCCCACGATCCGGGGTCGAAGCTAGCGGGTATGGATATCCGGGGTTGCGGGGGAAGTGGGATCTGGATACACACGCAAGTGCCTAAATACACTCGAGACGAATGCAGATGAATACCAGATTTCGAATCCAGCTGTGAGCTTTCAATGACTCGAATAAAGAATTCAAAGGCTCGAGGTTTTGTGTAGAGTATACTTATCTTACAAGAACATAAGCTCGATGGTCCGAGACCGGATGTTCGCAATTATCAGCCTCCTTCATTCAATGTAAGTAAGCTAAGTGCCATACCTTATGGGACACCTGATGCTACCAACCTTCCAGCATCAGCACCCATGTCTCAAATAGCCAACAAATTACTTTCCGATGAAGCCCTGTCTACCTATGTGTTCATGGTACGCTAAGCTAAGGTCATTCAGGAACCGACCGGTTCGTAAGCCTGTTCCGACCAACCATTCTACTCGGGTGGCCAAATCTGAGCAAACATCTGGCTACTATTATCATTCTCTTCGCATGAGATCCACTACTAGGAAAACTTATCCGCGATTTCTGGCGGGGAAAGGACGTAGATCTGGGCAATAAAAATGTTGTACCCGCAATGCGAGAAGACCGCGGATATCGGCGAGCAGTCCGATAACATCTCCTCAGCCGGCTTTAAATATGTGACCATGATCGAGCCTCATTCGTCAATGTATCGGTCTCAAGTTCAATCGCATCGAAATTCCTTGATCACACACCGAAAAGGCCTCTAGTGACCTTCGTAAAGATAACACTCTAGACCTCCACGTCGAAACGCTGGATCACCCAGTCAAACCAGACAAAGCCCAGGATGTAGTCATCGAAGAAAGAGACTTGAAAGAGCGACGGCTTGTGCGGAGGATTGACATTCGGACGTAAGTATCTCGACAGACGCCCGTAGCCTGCTATTTCTGACCAACGTCCTAGGATGCCTCTAATGATGCTGCTCTATAAGTTCATCCCCACTCTTCTCTACGGAGCTCTCACTGACGTGGTCATTGATGCGTACATGTGCTCAATTACTTGGACCGCAACAACGTAAAGCAACGCCACATTCGCTAAAGGGAACCACACTGACTGTCATCAGATTGCGACGGCCCGCCTGGGAAACTTTGAAAAGGATATCGGTCTGGTTGGAACCCAGTACAATACCATCATCAGTGTCTTCTTCGTTGGGTACATCCTCACGCAGGTTCCCACAAACATGATCCTCAACAAGATGAGACCCAGTGTCTTTCTTCCGGTGGTCATGTGCTGTTGGGCAGTTGTTAGTGCCTCCACTGGCGCAGTGCAGAGCTACAAGGGGGCTGTCGTTCTCCGATTCTTGTTAGGATTTGTCGAGGCACCATTCTTCCGTGAGTTTCGAGTGTATGGTGTCAAGACTATCTATTTGGCTAATACCTCATCAGCTGGCGTCTTGTACCTCTTCAGTTCTTGGTACACGAAGAAGGAGCTGGCAGTCAGGATCTCGGTCCTGTATGTCGCGGGACAGATGGCAGGGGCCTTCGGTGGCCTTCTAGGTAGCGCGATCATGGGAGGCATGGATGGAAAGCTAGGCCTCGCCGATTTGAGATGGCTTTGTGAGTAGTTATCTCAAAGAATATGCATGGCAATAACCTAACATTACCTGAATAGTCATCATTGAGGGGACAATCCCAATCCCGGTTGCCATCGTAACATATCTCACACTTCCGGACTTTCCAGCGATCACCAAATGGCTCACAGACGAGGAGAGAAAGCTTGCTATCCTTCGAATAACCGAAGAAGCAGTTGAAGAAGATAATAGAGAAGAAGCATCAGCGTTGCAGGGGCTGAAAATGACATTCACGGATCCAGCACTCTACATGATCTGGCTCATGCAGCTTGGACTGAACACCGCTGCCGCGATTGCCAATTTCTTCCCCACCATTGTAACAACACTTGGATACAACCAACGAAACACATTGCTTCTTTCTGCTCCGCCCTACGTCTTCGCTGCAATTTTGGGCATCACGAACTCTTGGCACAGCGACAAGCATCGTGAGCGTTGGCTCCACATCGTGTGGCCCCAGGTCTTCTGCAGTGTTGGCTTCATCATCTCGGCAACTACTCTCAATGTCGCAGCCCGATACACGGCGACATTCATGATGATGAGCGTATACGGTTCATTCGGATGTATCTTGTCATGGGACTCGACAACACTACCTCGGCCTGCAACCAAACGAGCTGTATCGTACGCTGTCGTCAACGCCGGATCGAATCTGGCTTCGATCTATGCAAGCTATTTCTATCCAAAGTCGCATGGACCACAGTACTGGCAGGCAAATATCATCAATGTGGCTTTCTCTGGAACGTGCGTTCTCCTGGCTACTTCACTTCACTTCTACCTTCGCTGGCGAAACCGTAGGCTCCGCGTTGCCGGAGACGAGGATTATCAGAATGAAGGTACACGCTTGGGACCACGATCCACAATTTTAGGTGAGAAATGGCAGTGTCATCCTGCCTATCAGTATACCTTGTAGTAGCGGCTCATGATTCAGGGGTTTATGGTTCAGTTTTGAGCCGAATGGCAGTGGGAAACATGAATTCTTACGCCAACCCAGGTGTGGAGCGGAGCTAACAGACTCGAGGAGAAGAACGCGAAGCTTGGGCGATGCTGAAAAAGAGAAGACCAACAACCTATAACTACCTACCTTAGTCCACGGCAATTGACTTAGGGGCTGTGTGCTAATTTACTTATTATTGACCATCTTTATTTGAATGATGATGGAATCCTTCTTCACAACATTGAACTTTAGGCCATTCTCTGAGAATATCAGAACGTCCACTAGTACGCTCCAATTGGGATTGATGTGTCCCACATCGAGACCAGGATCTGCCTGTCGCCCTCCCACGGCTCTCTTCCGTGAGAGACTTGGAAGTTGTCAACGAGCAACAGATCTCCTTCTTCGAGAACTAAGCTGATCTCCTCCTCGTCAATCACATCAACAAGCTTGTCGAGAAGCCTTTGCGGGATCTCTGTATTGTCTCCATAGACACTAGGAAGATCTGGAAGAAGATCAGTAGGTTTTCACCAGGATGTAGATATTTGGCGAATACTGACAGGTCATTCCGTCGCGGCCGATATGGGGAGGGTCGAGAGCACCAATATCTCGCGTAATACCATGGCGTCCAACCAGTCCGTTGAACCAAATGGGCCTTCCGCTCGATGGCAGCCTGCGAATGCCTATAGTTATAATCCATGTCAGATTTGAACTGCATGTCCTTCATACTACTTTAGGAACTTTTGTGTGGAAGGCTTACCGGGAATGTGCTGCGTCAACTCGAGACTTCCATCATCGTTCCACTTAAAATCTGATGTCAACTTGCGCACTTGTCTTTCGACCTTTTGTTTCGTCGTCGCTTCGTCGTCCTCGGCCGTAAGTTTCTGTCCGAAGCTGTGCTCGCCAGCCCAGTTGAACTGATTCACCTTGGCTTCATTTCCGGGAGCACGGAAGACCATCTTCATGCCCAAGCCACGCTTCCTTATTTCCTTCACGAGCTCCGGTATCTCGGCCTGGACCTTTTCGAATACATTGGCGCTGCTTGCAATTGGTGTTGCGCCACCTGCACCCAAGATCGATCAGCATCATGGCGGGTATCGAAGTGAGTTCGCGCCGCCTCGTAATCCCGAAGTAAACTCACCTTTGGTGGCTTTCTTCACACAGTAGAAGTGGATGTTTGAAGGAAAACGAGTGTACCTAGAGTACTGATAAGGGTAAGTGAGTTGACTTGGACAAATCAACTGGGGCTGAGCCTGGATGCTGATACCTCATTGTGTTGGTAGAATCGAGTGCTTGGTGACCCTTCGTTGGCCGTCCAAACGTTGTCCGCAAGTGGAGTTCTCTTGCCGGCCAGTCCAATTTGAACATGAGGATAAGAGCCTCTGCCTTTCTCAGCTGCACCCACGAGCTGCGAGAAAGTCTCGGCCGAGGCATTACCAGCACCGCGGATCAAGACGGCACCATGCTTTTCCAAAAGGTCTTGGAGTTTTCCTGATTCTCCTAAGGCTCTCAGCGCTGCTGCAGACTCGGTGACGGGAGGTGTATGACTGGTTGCGCCGTTCGACTTGACCTGCAATCCATAGGGCAGAGCATGGCCGAAGTAGGTCCTGGCGCCAGGGACTTGAAAGGTCTCGAGTTCGACAGTCATGTTGGTATTTCTATCGTCCATCTGTACTAGGTTGTGGATGCACATCAACGTTGCACATTGGAATCTGATGTGATGAGACTCTACACTTATGCTACTTCAATATCAGATTCCGGATGCAATACGAGCAGGTCGGTCCGTAGTCGGATGTGCTCCGGATCTTTGTTCAGCCTAGACAACGTTACATGTTGTGGTTGCCCAATGGTCTCTCCCAATCGAATGGCGAATTACAGGAGCAAAGCACGACATAATCGGGATATCCCCGATTTCAACAACACCCCATGTGTTGGGTGAGAAAATGTCGCCCGAAGCGGCAAAGTGTGCGGTATCACCTCCCGAGCACCAAAGCTAATTAAAAAAGTCCCTGGAATATTGGTGTCCAGCACCGAGCGACTCCGGTAGTTGCCTTCGTTGTGCCATGTCTTCGCGGCTAGGGATATTCACACGACATCTTGGCTCCATAATGGCGTGCTTCGCTTCCTGCAACGGCGCAGACGCAGACGCACGCTCTTAGCCAACATTTTCCAGAATATTGGATACCAGTAATGATTTTTTACTGAGCCTCAAAGTCTTAAAAGTGAAAGTTTTGCATTTACTTGCTTCATGTCTTGATGTTGCGTGACATTCTTAATCTTTAAGTTGATTAACGTCACGTCTTGGCGGGATCGAGATCATGGCAACAAAACAAGATAGCATTCAAGGTCAGCAAAACATGTTGAACTCAGTATGATCATGCTCTAACAAGTTGCATCTAGCTGCGCCTGCTACTCGCTCTCTTAGCGATGGCGGCGACGATTCAGACAAGGATGTCAAGCTTGGCGTTGTGGAAGTCAACGTCCTGCAAGAGAGGACTATTGGACTATTCGGAGCTATCTCCTTGATTGTCAATAAGATCATTGGTGCAGGGTATATTTTGAGAATTCCGCAGCTTGGCATCGTTCCCATTTCTGACAAGCGCAGCATCTTCTCGACTCCCAGCACAATCTTCAAGCTATCGGGTAGTGTGGGTATGGCGATGATGTGTTGGGTCATTGGAGCAATCATCTCAACCTGCGGAATCTTCGTCATGCTCGAGTTCGGTAGCGCGATACCCAGATCGGGTGGTATCAAGAACTACCTTGAGCGATCCTTCAGTCCACGGATTATGCAGACATGCATATACGTCTTCTACTGCGTATTCTTGCGTGAGTCTCCCCAATGCTTTGTTACGACCATACTACGTCTAAGTTCTGCACTCTATTGACACACACCACAGAGGTTTCCGCAAGTAACGCCATTACCTTTTCGTCGTACATCCTTGTTGCATCAGGTGCCGACTCGACGACGTGGAAACTACGTGGAGTTGCCATCGCTGGCGCCGTGTTCTCTGTTGGAATCCACACGGTTGCGCCTCGAATCGGAAGAGCGATTCAGGACTTGCTATCCGCGGTGAAGCTGTTTACACTCCTCTTCATCGTTTGCTGCGGCTTTGCGGCTTTGTCAGGCCATCTAAGGGTAGAGAGCCCGCATAATTTCACCAATGCTTTCGAGGGTACTTCCAACAGCGGATACAACATCGGATCGGCTATCCTCAACGTCATTTTCTCCTTCCAAGGCTATGACAATGTCAACGCTGTCAGTGTCAAATCAAACCTGGACCGGTTTTTGTGCTTTACTAACCTTATGTGCCCAGGTCTTGTCCGAAGTCCGCAACCCACAGAAGACTCTGCGAATTGCCCTCCCCCTCTCAATGAGCGTCATTGCAGTGCTCTACTTACTAGCAAACGTCGCATATGTGGGTTCGCTGGTGCCCATCTTGACACTAGCCTCTAGCTAACATGGACAATTAGTTTGCCGCCGTGCCCAAAGAGGCCTTCATTGCGGCAAAGGTTACCGTAGCCGCGACTTTGTTCGAGAACGTCTTTGGGCCCTCGGCAGGAGCTAAAGCTCTTCCAGCCTTGGTGGCTCTGTCGGCACTGGGACATCTTCTAGGTGTTGCATTTACCATTCGTGAGTTGCCAAGTCACCTCTCGACTTCGGTCAGCACTTGAAGCTTAACCCACTGACTTTATCGATCAGCTCGCCTGCTACAAGAGCTAGCCAAGGATGGCGTGCTCCCCTTTTCCAACCTCTTCATGGAGAACAGGCCGTTCCGCACTCCTATCTACGCCTTGATATTGCACCTTGGAGTGACAATCCTCTTTATTTGCGCACCTCCGGCTGGAGATGCCTTCAACTTCGTTGTCAGCTTGTCTAGCTACCCGACAACGGTCTTGTTGACGGCGATCACCGTCGGCTTGGTTAAGCTGCGCTTTACCGACCGGGAGAATTTCCATTCGCCGCTCCGGGCTCCCTGGATCCTGATTGTGATCTATCTTGCAGCAAACATTGTGAGTCTTCTTTAGTCCTAAACCATTGCAAGAGTTGAGTGCTGACACATAGTAATAGTTCTTGATCGTGATGCCATTTGTACGACCACCGAATGGCAAAGGCAGTACTTCGCTGCCCTATTGGCTTTCTTCAGTTGTTGCGTTGAGCATCCTGTCCCTCGGCATCATCTACTATGCATTGCGATTTGTGATCGCCCCGAGACTCTTCGGTTATAGACACCAAGAAATCCAGCAAGAGCTCAGTGATGGATCCAAGGTTACTAGGTTCAAAAGAATCAAAAGATGAGCAAGAGTATGTTTGGTCGTCAACTCTAGATGAATGTACCTGTAGTAATCACAACATTTGATCTATCGTAGGCATCATATTCTGTTGCCAATTGAACTCTTTGTTGTGCTGTTAACTGTGTTGTGTTGACGATGCGCTGCACTCAGGCGAAGCAGAAACTTTAGATTATGGAGCGCCCCAACCAACGACTTGTGGGGGTGGGTGGCTTGTCAAGAGGCACGCATGCAGGTGCTCGTCATTACGGCAATGCAGTCAAGTGCAAATACAAAATGACAGTTGATCAAGCTTAAATCGAGTGATCCTGTCAAAAGGGCTGAACTTGAGGTCATCGTCATGGCTTAGAAACGCGGACAACGACAACAACCCGCCGCTATCCGCTGCACCATCATTCGATCGTGTGTTGTGACGTCGTGAAACACAGCCGCCGGGGTTCACTTGGCGCGGAAGCCAGCGTTGGCGTTGGTTGGTGGAGACTCAGCTTGGAAAATGCGTTGAGTTCATTGATGGAATTTAGGCTGGATGACATCGGTGTACAAGGGTCTCTCTCTCCCTTTACCTTGGCAACCAGATTCTCGTTTTCTCACCCTGAAGGACGCGTCGGACTCGAGCTCCCCCAAAGAGCGGTAGCTCGGATGGAGACGGTGTCAAGATCAGGCTAAGCGTCAGGTTGTCAACAGGGTTGTTTGACAGAGTAGGAAATAGGGAAATTGGGATTAGAGATGGAAATCCAGGGACCAGAGATGATATCAACGAGGGTTTTCGGCTATGTGACGAGCTTTCGGGATAAACTTGGGTGGAGTCTGCTGGTTTTCGCGGGTGGAATCGGCATTTCCAATGACCACGATGGAGAAGTTCTAGAGATACGGGCTACAGATAGGCTTTGCGAATGAGGTCACGATAATAATTTCGGGTTCCAATATTGAGTAGGAACACGGAATGAAAAGTTGGGGACTGAAAAAAATCGAGATGCTTCGATCACCAACAGAATGATCCCGGTAAGCCACACACCCGAAGTTACTTACCGATTGTTGTATCCGCACATGTCATAATCTCACGGTTCTCAATAGCTGCCACCAGCACCATAGAGAGACGGCAACGGAGGACTCCGCTGACCGTCCTCCGTCTGGTCAATGCTTCCAGTAGTCGGTCGTGTGTGTGGCGAGACGCCGACTCCAAGTGCCGTTGGGAGCAAGCAGCAAACCACACAGCGCGTGGATTCAGAGACAGCATAGGCTTTGGTAGCATCGGGCACGTGAGGAGTAGCTACCACACCAGCCAAAGGCAAAACAAGTCTGCGGGGGCTGTGTTTGGATGGCCCAGGATCATTAGATGGACGGAGATGCACGAAAGATGCACAAACAAGGGGCCTCCTCAACCACCTCGAGCGTTTCGCAGAGCTTCAGCGAACCAGCGGTGTCTCTCAGCTCCAAGTTCCCCAGATGCCTTCCAGGAACTCCCCTGGCACATCAATAATGATGGGAGTTCTTCTCCTTGGGAACAATGTAAAGCACTGTATCCGTAGCGCTGCAGCGATGACGAGAGAGAAGAGCAAAGGTCCAGTCTTGTCCCCAGCGGCATCACGTTACTGCACCCGGGCTGTGCCGATTCCACCCCGCATATCGGTCGACATCACCCCACAATCGACACTCTGGAACGATGGCGGCGCCATGCCCATTTGGGGCCGCTGCTGAGCGTGGTGCGATGCTGGTGTCACACTGATTCTCATTCTGGCCGCGAATCCCGTTTTGCCTCCCTCCCCTGCGGAGATGCCTTGTACCGCTCAATGCTCATCTCAACCTATGTGCCTAGCTAGAGATAGGTACTCCTTACGCACTACGCAAGTACTGTGTGGGTACCATGCCATGCTTAGCCCCCCTTGGCCATGGGGGAGGGAACGGCTGGGGGTGACGGGGTTCTCAGACACAAGGTTGGCGCGGCGTGAAGGGTCGAGACGGGACGTTATATGAATACATTGCTTGCCGCTGCCACCTCCTCACCAACGCTTGCTTTTAGCCCGAGAGATCTATCTAATCATCCCTTGCGATTTTAACCCACACGTAACCAAGATACAAATACCGATTCCACCCCATCCCACAACACCTCGTACTACTGAGCTACCTGATCCTACACATACAATGTTCAGACAAGCTTCAAGAAACTTCACAACCAACGCTCGCATGCCGCCGAGCTACTTTTTGCAAACTCCCCGTCGACTCGCCATGAGATGGTACGTCTTTATCTCTGATTCGATCATACCCCCAACCTGGCATCCATCCCCCCTCTTCCCGGCTCCTCCGAATTCTGGGGTAAACAGCACAACCGCAACCCAGAGAGTCTGGAACTGACGAATCCGGCATGATAGGGTCCCGCCCACAGTAGCAGTCGTCGCCGTTGGCTACGGTCTGAACGCCTACCGAGAAGACATGGTCGAACGTCGCCAAGCCAAAAACGCCGCGGCGGAGAAGCAGGCAATTGAAGACCGCAAGCGAGCGGCAAAACTCATGGATGCCTACGGCGACCGGTCGAGTCTGGAGGAGCTCGAGAAGGCGATGGCGGTCTACGAATCCCAAAACTAAAGATGCGCCGACCTAGATGTCTCAGCACAATCACTTCAACCTTTCCTTTATCACCAACACATCACCATCGGAGAATGGATCATCCTCAGCATCGGCAACGGCGTTTCACAGCGATTATGGATATCATTAGGCGGGATCACAAGGAAACGTTTCTAAACGTTACGGGCGCTGAAGCTGCACAAATTGACAGCTTGCATTTTCAGGGACGGGACGGAGGCATGGCGTTTAGGCAGGCGACTTTCCATGGAATGCATCACCATGGACTGGTACGTCATGAACTGTTGTAAATACTAGCAACCTGAGTACATATTGAATACTCAAAACAACAACTATGGCTGTTGCAATAACTATCCATCTACCCAAAATACTCCAATAATGCTTCAAGCTTGGTGCTATTCCCAAATGCACCTGACCACAGGACAGAGGGTCATACCCCAGTACCCCGCACGCGTCCCATGATGGACGGGATCCTCGGTGGCGCTCGCAACATTGAGAACGGCCCCAGTCCGGGGATATTTGCCGCCACGCCGTCCGTTCCTCTTGATTAGCCGGCGCAAGCCACGTCTGATAATGCGTGTTGCCCAGGCTTTCAGCATGGCTGGTTGATGCAGACACGAAATACGATGCGAGGCATGCGGGATATGTAAGGCCAGCCTGTTGACGATGAGCCTTGTTCTCTGCTCTTCCTCTTCAACTTAAATTCATATAGGGCGTGGTGGTGTTGTGAGATGTCAACATGGACGTGATTATCTTCGCATCCTTGGGAGCACCCGATTTTCCGTCTGTAACAAAATCAGCACCACAGCTGCTTCGCAATATGGGTGGCGGCTCGTCCCGGTGAGTCTGGTATCATGCCTGTGATGGCCCCAAGAAACTGACGTGAGGTAGTCCGTCGCCGCCTCCGCGCGTCCCAAAGACGCTGCCGTCTACCACTGTCTGGATCCAGCATTTGCCTCCAATCATCTCTGACACAACCCGTGAAGTTATTCTCTCTATCAGGCAGATCCGCAGCCGATATTTGACTGGAGGCATCTCGAGCCTAGGCCCCGAGGAAGTGGCGCTGCTCCTTGAGAGACTAAATGTCTTGAGTGAAGATGCTCGACACGCAGCCAACATTCGGGACTATGTTACGCTCTGTACTGAGGAGACTATTTTGCGCTTATTGACAGACCATGGGCCTATTTCACAAAAACTGCTCGAAGTTGCTCGTGCTGTAAACCCATTCATCGGGTCTCAAGCGACTGATGCGGGGAGATTGGAGGCAGACTCTACCTCTGGAGGAGATGGCAACCTACCTATTCCTTTTCGGCCGTCTGATATGTGTCTGATGAATGAGTGTGAGAAGGATCTCTTGGTCTTGTTATGTTACTGTGATGTTGCTGTTCTCGAAGGGTCCATCGAGGAGGCTCTGGCTCAACTGTTGAAAATGGCAGAAAAGTACGGCACTATTAAGGACCTAGATCTTCGTAAAGAACCCCTTTCGGAAACCGAGGTAATATTGACCCAGGCACTTGTATGTTCATCAAGCCAGGTCCTTGAATTCCGGATATGAAATTCAGTGTCGCGTTGGATCCTGAAGGAATGCCATCCCTGGCGCCGCCACAGAGCCTCGCGCCAATTTTCGCTGCCGTAACGTCCTAGCACCTGTGAGGGAGGTGATGTTCCCAAGTGGGACCCTTTCAATCGAGTTTTAAGGTTTACGAAAACGAAAACGCGCCCAAATTGACGACCGATCAGACGGCTTCTCAATGTTCACCTACTTGTTGACTCGTCTTCTTACGCCCTATGGCGCTCGTCAAGAGGGAGCCGAGCCAATCCAGGACAGCCCCTGAGTCCTTGACGAACGCCTCGAATCCTGTTGGCTGAATTTGAAATTCCCTTGTGCTTTGGAAGTTTGAAGCTGGCAGAGAATGGTAGCACCAGTCTGGATCTGGATCCTGGTACCTTAAGGACGCTGCTGCCTGCGATGGAGTCATTGCCAAGGGGATCAACGTGTGTTTTGTCGAATTATTGATACTCATGTAAGACTTGCATGCGGCGCATTGTTGCCCGACCCTCACAAGCGTATCCTCTTCGCCCGGGACTTGAATTTTCATCCCGATTCTCTGTTACTGGTGTCCTTTTCTCTCCCAGTCTGCCATTTCTTACCTTTTACGCGGGGACCCCCAAAGTCAACCCGAATGTCAACCTAGACAACCATTCAACGTATCATCCTAGACGTGTGCCAAACGTCGGCCATGCTGCTGCGTCGTATCTCGCTCGCCGCGGCCGCCGTCGCCAGCGCAAATGCGCAGATTCAACTCCGTTGGTCAACTGATCTTGGAGGCAATGAGAACAGAACCTATGGTCCTGACGGGCCATGGCAGGCGCCGCTTTTCAAACTCAATGTCACCGAGATGCCTCTCTGGCCAGGCGGCTCTGGTGTTTCTGAGATCCTAACAACATCCGTCGGCGGGGACTACACGCCGCGCGCTGACACCGTCAAGACGGGGAGGATGAGGGCCAACTCCGATGGCTGGTTCAGCAGTGTCTTCATGGAGGCGGGTTGGTCGGGCATGGAGTACTGGGACGGCATGGTGATCGACTCGAGGATGGGAACCAGTCATGAGATCAAGGTTAACGCGACTTTGGTCGCCGCGACGGCATGGAATAGTTCTACCCTCTCCAACACGACTGCCTACACGCCGACGGTTGGTACACTTGGCCTCGGACCCAGGAGCGAGAGAAGCGACGACACAACCGTCCCGGGGATCCTCGAACAGCTCAAGACCTCGGGCGATATCGATAGGACTGCTTTCAGCGTGCAAATGGGGAGTGCCGCTCTCGATATTCCCGGCTCGTTGGTGCTCGGCGGATACGAGCAGAACAGGGCGCTCGGTCAAGTTGGCACATTTGCACTCCAGGATTCGACACCGATGATGTTTCTTAGGGATGTCATCTTCGACTTTCAGATACGGAACCAGTCTTTCTACCCCATCAAGTCGAACGTGAGCTTTTGGACGAATCCTACAGACCTCGGTATGCAATATACCAAGTACGTCGGCGGCGCTGCCGGCTCGGCGGTCGTGATTCCGAACCCAGCTTCACCGTACATCTATCTACCGCCAGGAATCTGCGAAGCTATAGCAGAGAATCTTCACATGACGTACCACAATAAATCAGGGCTCTACCTTTGGGATACTGATCTAGGGGCTCAACTCTTCGTCAACCAGTCAGCCTACCTCGGCTTCGTCTTGGCTGACTCGAGCGCAACGAACATGACCATCAAAGTCCCCTTCCAGCTCCTCAACCTAACATTGGAACCTCCCCTGGTGGAGCAAACGGCCAACTACTTCCCCTGCAAATCCATCAACTCAAGCTACGGCTTCTGGCAGCTTGGCCGCGCCTTTCTACAAGCCGCATTCCTCGCCGTCGACTACGAATCCAATGTTACCTACATGGCGCAAGCCCCAGGCCCGCGTATGGAGCAGAGCATCGTGAAGAAGTTTGACGGCGCGGCCATCAACACCAACCCGGCCGAGTCATTCGTCACGACGTGGGGAGACGCCTGGGACAAAGGACAAGTTTTGCAGAGCTTCCACACCGACGACAAGACTTTAACGGCCGGAGAAAAGGTTGGCATCGCAGTCGGAGTCGTAGGTGCGGTTCTCGTGGCGCTGTGGTTTTTGCGCCGTCGCAGAAAGCAGAAGGAGGGGCCTGACTCCCCGCCGGATGCCGTTGACAAGGCTTTTTTATGGTTCAAAGAGAAGAGGGGCAAGAGCCAGATGACGCAGGTGGAGAGTCAGATGAGCTCGATGGCCGAGAACGGGGGAAACGGGGGGATACATATGGCTTATCAGGCGGAACCAAAGGTTCTGAGGGAAGGGAGCCACGTCAACGAGTTGGATTCGCGGTCGCCTCTCACTGAGATGGGGACGCCGTTGCCGCATGAGATTGGCTCTACGGATCATCGTCCGGTCAGGCACGAGGCACCGGACGACCACATGGTGTTTGAGCTGCCCGCCAGCTCCGAGAGAGCGAACAAGACACGATGATAGTGGAGGTCAAATGGAGATGGCCAGTAATAATAAATAGTTTCTTAGATCGTTGGTGTCGTCACATAAATACCCAATGTCAATTTCTCTTCTTAAAAAGAATGACTATCAAAAGAATAGAACAGAAAGCCAAAGGAACAACAAGCCAAAAGCTTAGCAATAGGACTGAAAGGAAAACTCAACGCTGGGGAAAAGAAAAGAGCAGTCTATATCTACGCAGACTATACTTCATGCGTCTAGTCTCTAGATTCGAATCAAATGGTACTAATGATCCGAGTTACATGAATAGCGGCGGTTGGTAGAATTGGACTCCGGCTTCAGCAAATGGGCCAAATGGATGCGAGTCACCTTCACACTTAGCATCAGGCTCCGGCATCGTTCCATTTTGGAAGTATGCCCTTATGTGTCCTCTAGTGCATTCCGAAGGGGCTGCGAGAGTTGTATGCTATGAATGAAGAGTGTCAGTTCTCGATCCTTCGCGTAGCTTTTGTGTGAATAGGACTCTCGTTCAAGGGCTACTCACGCCAAACGAGTTTTGAACTAGAATTTTCGACCCTGGAAACCCAGCAGAGTTGTTGCGAGCACTGACTAGCGGAGTGATGTTGTCGGCTTGGTTAGCGATAAACAAGATGGGGTGGCTTGTCTTGCCCTCGAAGGGTCCTACATTGTGTCAGTATGAACGTGCCCGGATATACTCTCACGACTATTGATGGAACCTACCACTGAAACGCCAGCGGGGACGCGTAGTTCGCTGGTTGCATATCATCTGGTACGGCACCTCGGTGGCCCCAGTTCCTGGACTAAGCTCCAAGATTCCATCTGTCTCCCGTTGGATCTCCTCGAGAGTCATGTTATTGACGGCGGGGTGATCGGCACACATAACGACCGCGAAGGCGTCTCCGGTACCTTCAACAATGCCGGGCGGTGGCTCGAACGGAGAGACCGGCTGCGGTGCGCAGGCCGGGGCCGGGGCCGGTTTGCTCGGGTTATAGCGCCTGTAGTAAAGGCGTCCATCCTTCTTCTCGAGCGCGGCAATGATGTTGGCGAAATTCTCAAACTGTTCCAGCGGCTGATAAAGCGTTGTCGAGAGAAGACGCATAACCTTGGAGTAGGTGACCAACATGGGCACTTCAGGGCCTTCCTCTGGATCTGCTGGGACGATGACTGGGTGCCTCTTAAGGGCATTGAGCAGGTCAACAAACCTCCCCATAATGGCTTCCGAAGTGGGACCGTGGAAGGCGCATTTCTCGGGCCCAGCTTGGTAGCAGAACTCGTAAAAGGCAAAGAGGACCTTGTCCGTGTCGCGGATGAAGTTGACGTGCTCCGAGTTGAACCATTCCCTGTAGTCGACGTTGCCATCGCTGACCAGGCGTTCTACCTTGTCCGGGTACATGGCCGCGAAAACTCCGCCCAGAATGGTGCCGTAGCTGAAGCCCCAGTACTTGAGCTTGCTGTACCCGGTCTGGTAGACGATCTCGAGCATGTCCCTAGCGGTCGGGGTGGTGCTGGAGTGCTCCAGGATGCCGGACGCTTTCATCGCGCTCTCGCATGCTTGCGAGTACGCCGTCGCTCGGGCGAAGAGTTCTCCGACAATGCCTTCGTGGGAGTCGAGGACTCCGGGGTCTTGAAGACCCCAGTTTTGGCGCTGTTGTGGTGTTGACCAGCACTGGATTCTGGGGATGGTCGCGCCAACTATCAAAGTAGCATGTCAGCAGTTGTCCGAATTCTATAGGATTATACACCAGACTTACCACCTCTTGGATCAAAACTAATGAGGTCCTATACAATATTAGTCTCTCGAAATCAAGAGGAATGACGAGAAAGGTACGTGTTCAGACTTACGTGGTTTACACCCACAATTTCCTGTAGCATTTTGCCATGGTTTTTCAGGGACCAAACCCCTGAGCCACCGGGACCCTAGATACGGGTTTTAGCGCACCGATGTCTCGGGAAGAGATCTTGACGTTGTTTGCTTACACCGGGATTAAAGATGACTGGCCCCCTATAGTCCGACTTATCCGTTGCACGGATTCTCGTGATTGCAAGAACAACTCGGCGGTCATCTGACGGTTCTTGCCAGTCCATGGGAACCTGTGAGATGTTCTGTTAGACATGCTGAGGATTTTGTGGAGACGGTTTCTCGGGCACTAACGTCTAGTCTGGCGCAGTCATATTCCCCGTTCTCGAAGCAGCTGTGCCACTCCAGGGTCCGACTTGGCTTGATCTGTGAAGCCTGTCAGTTCTTTCTTTGCCGATCAGTATTGCGATAGACATCTAAACGTACGCTTGACCAGGTCCATTCTGAATCAGAGGTATGTTCGAATGTGCTTCCGCGCCCGGCCAGAGACCACGGAGCTGGGAAGAAGTTCCCTCTGTTAAGCGCCGTCACCGCAAGCACTGATAGAGCAGCGGTGACTGCTGTTCTACACTTGGTCCCTGGCCTGATAGCCTCCTTGGGCCGCGGATATCCTGGCGGAATCTTGCTGTCCATGTCAGTTCAGCACGATGGCATGCTTGGTGATAGCTTCCGAGGGGTTTCCTGTCAGACAGCGGGGGAAAGGGGATAAGAAAGCGTTGAGCTACTCGGACGGGCTGTATTTCACAGTGAGCCCAGCTGATCTTTCTGTGGGGGCCCCCATGGTTCCCGGAATACCGACTCAGCGGCCAAACACGACTCTGTGAAAGCCGGCATCTTGCTGGCTTGTTTGGGATTAGCGCTGTCCTGTGCGTGGTGGTTTCTCGCGTCTTGGCTCGTACGAATCAACCGAATCAAGGGTAGATAAGGGGAAAAGTAGGGGTGCAGCGGCAGCTGTGCTATGCTGATCCCCCAAACGTTTGTGCATTATCTTTTTCATCTGATTATCAGGGCTGTCGGACGAAGAGAGTTTGCAGGGTGGCGGCACCCTTGTGTCAGTTTCTGGGCATCTCATTTGGCCACGTTGACGCTAATCCCCAAGCCGTCTCTCGCGCTTTTGAGATCAAGTGACACGGATTCCAGAGCCAATCCTACGGCCCCGCGAGATCTTAAGGTGACATCCTCCTCCTCTGACAGTTGACCTTAAACCCAGGGAAGGTTGACCGGCCGGGCGGATCCAGAATGACGGAGCGGGCGGCCCCATCTGAGTTGAGTCGAAGCCTCGGTCGCCGATGAGATCGGGGGGATTCCCACTTTGAATTGCGAGCGGCTTCGGGGGGATCAGTGAAGCGATTTTGGGATTTGTCTTCAGGGTCTAACCCGGCCGGTCGGTCCATTTTTGCCGGGCACCTTATCTTAAAGCCAACAGTAGTTCAACGCCAAGAATTCTACCGGTTTGTGATTCTCATAGGGTCGAACATCCCCATCCTCCACATGGTAAACGTCTAGAAGCGCCCGTGTCCCCTCATCGCACATCGTTTATGTATGGGAAGATGACATGGTGCCTGATCCTACCCCATACATCGGACGATGTACAGATAGCTTCGGATACCGAATCGTTCAGACGCTATCACCGAGTGCTATCACACGACACCTCGGAGGATGCACGAGGGATGACAATGTCCCCGATTTGATAGGTCCCTCCCCTCTCTGCGCCGACCCCGCGCGAGCAGTTGGCTGGTGGGCGGAAGATAACGACTGCGAAGAACAATAACAGCCTTCCCGCAAAGGTTAAGTCAGCACAGCCTGTAGAATCCTTCTGTTGTTGGGATGTTTGTCGGTTCATTCTAAGCCGATGCTTTCAATTGTCGATCAGTCATCTGTGCTTTTTGTTTCTTGAGTTGTCTTCAAACAAGGTTCGGGAAGCCGTCTCAACTGATAATACTGAACCTTGGCCAAGAAGTTTGCGGTAGTTTCTGCAGTGCGGGCATGACTCAAAAATAGTTAAAGCTCCTCGCATCTGCTCTCAGTTCGCCCAGCATGTGCGGACGAACCGGCCGTACGTCTTCGTACGACAGGGACGAGCGCACGAGTCTGCTGTCTGAAGAACAGAGACAGACCATGGGCTTTGTCACGTCGTTGAGGGGGTACCTCCATGCGGAGGGGTCCTCGTCGGCAGACCCTGCCAACGCGGATATAGCCGCATCGGAAGCACCTCGGGACGTTGAGATGGCTGGGAAGACGGACGACACTGTTGAAGATCACGATCATGTCAAAAAGTTTGACACCTCCGAGCCTCTTGAATCGGGTGTCGGTACTATCCAAGCTGCTCAGACATTATGGGGGAAGAAGGGAAGATGGCTCGTTATTATCGGGTAAGCCACATTACCAGTTGCCGTGTATGCAACAACGCTGTCGCTAACGTCTATAATAGTTTGGCCTTGGTAATGATTGTGTAGTAAGTAAAGTACACCATTCATACTGTCTCATGAGTTCAACGGTCTCTCCCTTTAACCCATTTGGCTAATTATCATGCAGCGAAATCGATAACACCACTGTCTACATCTACAACAACTATGCGACGTCCTCCTTTTCAGCTCTTTCCAAACTAGCGACCCTAAGCACCGCCAGCGGCATCGTCTTCGCCGTTATCAAGCCGCCAGTCGCCAAGCTATCCAATGTCATTGGACGAGGGGAAACCTACATCATGAGCATATCCTTTTACGTCTTGGGTTACATCCTTATGGCAACATCAACAACTTTCAATGCCTATGCTGCAGGCGTTGTATTCTACGTCGTCGGCCAATCAGGCACAAATATGATGAACGACATTGTCATCGCCGATATCACAACAGCTCGCTGGCGTGGCTTCGCTCTCAGCTTCTCCTTCTTCCCATTTCTCATCACGCCTTGGGCCGCTGCGTTCATCGTTGACGATGTCGTCAAGCCTGGTGGTATCGGCTGGCGATGGGGCATTGGCATGTTTGCCATCCTCATGCCCATCGGCGCCGCATTCATCATCACCACTCTCCTTTACTATCAAAAGAAGGCCAAGGACATGGGTCTCACCCCAAGACAGAAGACAACGCTTTACAGCTTCTGCTCTCAGATTGACCTGGGCGGTTCAGCCCTCCTATGCGCAGGCTTCTCATTGCTCTTGATACCGCTGACGTTGGCAGCGTCAACACCAAGCAGGTGGGGAACGGCATACATCATCGTCTTGATCGTGATTGGTGTTATTCTCCTCGCGGCATTGCCGTTCTACGAGCAGCGTCTGGCTCGGAACCCAATCATGCCTACGCGTTACTTCCGCAACAAGACAATTGTTCTTTGCCTCTTGCTCATCGCAAGTGACTCAGTCGGGTTCGCCTGCACACACACGTATCTCTACTCCTGGTCTACCGTTGCCCGCGGCTTCGCTGCCCGAGATGCCACGTTCTTCCAATACACCAACGGTGTGATGCAGTGCGTGATGGGAATCATCGCCGGCCTGGCAATGGCATACACCCGTCGATACAAGTGGCTGCTCATCGGCGGCGCAATCATCCGCCTCATCGGGTACGGGGTCATGCTTCGCCTCCGCGGCGCCGATAACTCCGTGGCCGAGCTTTTCATCGTGCAGATGATCCAGGGGCTAGGTTCTGGTATCATGCAGTTGTCGATTCTCGTGCCTGCGCAGGTCGTTGTGCCGCACCGTGAAATGCCGCAGATTACTGCTTTAGTTATTTGTTGTTCGGTCATCGGTGGAAGTATTGGAGGCTGCATAGCCGGTGGCATCTACACCAACACATTCAAGCCTATGCTGTACAAGTATCTTGGTGCCAGCGCTTCGCCGGAGCTTGTCGACTCTCTATTCGATTCCATTGTTGGCACCGCGCCTGCATGGGGTACTCCGGAGAGAAATGCGATCAACCATGCCGTAAGTCTTTCTGCCATGTTGCATGTTTGCCGATTCTTTATTAAGAAGCTAACCGTCGCCCCCAATCAAATAGTTTACTGATGTAATGAAATTCATGGTATATACCGCTGTTGGAGCCTCCGCTCCCGGGGTTATTCTGGCTTGGTTCCTGCCAGACTTTGTCCTACCGTAAGTCCACACACGATCTTGCATCGGCTGATGATGTGCCGCATACCTTTACTTACAACCTTCAAGTGACCGCAACAACATGGTTGAGGAGTAAAAAAAACGTCGACTCAATAGTCGTCGGAAACTACCTTACCTTACATCGCCAATCAGTGGCAACATCCGGAGACATTGTTGGTATCCCTATCACAGGGATGTTGGTTCGAACCGTAGGGTCCTGGGGGTGACGAAATATCAATATCTCTGTATTGATTGATTCTGCGTAAGGAGTAGAAGGGAGATTCCAACCGGAGGTTGGGTGGGTAGTCGAGGTCTAAGTGTACCCCCTCGAGGTGGCCCATGCTCTGCCCCTACTCGCGGTCAAATTGGACTTCCAATCCGACAACATATCTTCGTAAACGCATTTATGACAGGCATACACATAGACAAGGGCCGGGAGGCGTAGCAGAAAAGTCTTCGCTCCATAGACAAAGCAACAGATGAGCTCAACTATCATTATGATCATACCTTCCTTCCATGTCAACCTGTATTGTGCCCTGTGAGCTCACTGATTGGCCAGAGCCGTGATGATCCCGTTGCATTGATCATTCGATTAAGGTACCTCGGACCATACAAGAACTCAATATCTTCTCGGAAGCCGGGCATGAGTGGCCGTTGCCATCCTGTCTAGCAACATTGCATCAGACATATTTGTTGAGAGTCTACTGTGTGAATGCCAAGTCACCGTCTAGACTCGAATGACCTAGCGTTTTCATACCTGACACGAACCTCTCGAGAGAAGTCATTGACGTGTGCCAAGTCTGGTCGCCGTGAACCAACGGACCCATCAACTTTAATGTTAAAAACAATGTTTATCTTAAGCTTGATTTCATTGCCCATTCTTGACGAACTAGACCCCGCGCTCTAGCTGGTGAAACCAGCCGGACGGAGATCCCGCCAGCGGCGTCGCGCCGGGCCAAACTTAGTGACTTGGATCTCACCCATTTACGCCACCCCGCAACGCTCGTGCGTGCCCCTTCTTCCATTTCCACATTTCCATATTTCTTCTTCAGCTTCAGCATAAGCTTTCACGCGATGCAGTCCTCGGATGTGAGCCTACAGTCTGTGGGCTGTTGGTCGACGCTCACTTCTGCTTTAACACAGCAATCTCACACATCTATGAGACCTCTAGGCTCGACTACCACTGCCCCCATGCACCAATCCATACCGTACACTTGAGGCTTTCATAGGAAAGAGGATATTGATTTTACTTGGCAAAATAATGCTGGCCGGCCTCTACTTCTAGTTGTGATTCACAATGTTGGTTTCGTCATGAGACATAATATCGGCCCAAGAGAAGCCGCCGTGGATCGAACGAGTTGTTGGGATCTCTCAGCTACTTGCTCCAACCTCAAACACATTGACAAATCCAGACTTTCAGCTTGCTTCAGCCAGCTTCTGGTGAACCGCCTCAAACTCGATTTCTAGCTCTAGCCTGTGGCGTACAGCCTACCTCGAAAATAAGATTGACCTTTAGGCTAGAACTTTCAACAAGAACATATAGGGCGAGCGTTGCGGTAGCGTTGAAGCCGCCAACTTGGCATCGCGTGCCTCGAACCCAAGATCTCGGAATCCACCTCGTTGGCGCATCTCGGTCTGATGTATTTTCGCAATGGAAGCTCATCGCCAGGAAGGGACCAACGGCCTTGGCTTGAACTTCGAAGAACGTGCTGGACCGTGAACCGAGAACCAGGGACGGATCATCAAGCCACACAAGCAAATCCCATTCTCGCTCCATCCAATTCCGGTCGCAAGTGAGGCCCTGTCTCACAACGTGAAGCTTTCAATGTTGATAATGTACACAAATCCATCTCCGCAACAAGGAAGATGAATACTTATAAATAATCCATATTCTCACCTCGAGAAAAAGATATTCCTCCTCTTCATCACACTCACTCTCAAGATCACAGTCGCTTCTACATAGCTCACTCACACAGCTTCCTCGATCCAATTATTTCCCTCTTTCCAACAACTTTTCACTTTCAACCCAACCCAATCTCAAGATGCATATCCCTACTTTCGGACAGGTTGCCACCATTGGCATGGCTTTCTTCGCCGCCGCTGCATTGGCTGCTCCCATCGCCGAGCCCCTCGATGCCGACATCGTCGAGGTAAGAATACCTCTTCCATTCCTGGTCACGAAAACAAATAAGCTAACATTTCCCAGCGATCCACCGATCTTGCTGTAAGTTTTGACGCATCTACAACACCAATGCTGACTTCCCAAGACGTGGCGATTGATTTTCTGGACACATTGACTGACTTCTTGACCAACCAGGCTCGTGGCGAGGGACTTGCCTTCACCGCTGTCAGCGCCCTCGAGCAGCGCAACAGCAAGAAGAAGTGCAAGCGTACCAACAACAAGGGCTACTGCACCGATTCCGATGACGACAAGAAGGACGAGAAGAAGAAGCAGTGCAAGCGCAACAAGAAGGGTGATTGCTCCGACGATGAGGATGAGAAGAAGAAGGGCAACCAGAAGGATGACAAGAAGAACGACAACAAGTACGACGACAAGAAGAATGATGACAAGCAGAATGACGACAAGAAGAACGACAAGAACGATGACAAGAAGGATAAGAAGAAGAAGCAGTGCAAGCGCAACAAGAAGGGTGACTGCTCCGACGATGAGGATGAGAAGAAGAAGGGCAACCAGAAGGATGACAAGAAGAACGACAACAAGTACGACGACAAGAAGAATGATGACAAGCAGAATGACGACAAGAAGAACGACAAGAACGATGACAAGAAGAATGACGATAAGAAGAACGATGACAACAAGAACGGCAAGGACAACAAGGGTGGCTACTACTAAGCTTCCTGCCGAGTTAGAGATGAGGATGGGCTAACATACGGGTTGCTGACTGCTTAACTCCTACGTCGGACAATTACTTGCTGTCTTGTCTAAGGGTCTCAACCGGTTTCGCGTAGATCTATCCTCTCTCGACACATCACTGACAGATCTGGATGAGAGAGAGTTTCCTTCACTTTGTAAAATCACATTACCACATGTGGATACACTACGTACATACATATTTCATACATATTTATCCTCTCGCTTGTTTTTTCAACTTTCTAGGATGCCCATCGCTCATAGGGTATCCCACCAACTGCTAAATGGCTTCACTTCATCCGTCCCAGTCTTTCTCCAAGTTTGCTTCATTCCGAGAAATTCTTGGGCGTATCTAAGGGAAATATAGCAAAATTAGATAACGATTAGAGACGGACGTAGTGACATCATCTAGCAGTTGATGGGAGACGTAGTATGTGCTCCATGTCTGGCTTTTTGATTGAAAGGGGCTGAGATGTATAAATGTTGGTATCACAGGCGTGATAAATTTCCTCATGAGGGTGTATCTTCGGCAACAATCACGTCGATGTCCGTGATAATTGCTGTTGTTCTTGTTCTTCTTCCTATTTACATTGTGGGCAGGGGCCGATCGAAGTAGGTGGAGACGGCCTGGGTGGTTGCCCCACCTTAACCGGCCGTGATGACTAAGCCGGTTGTCCCACTTCGCCCAGGGCAGGCGCCAGCCAGCCCACGATACCTGCCCATTGCTCCTTATCAGCCTTGCCGTTCCGACAATAAACTATAGTTATCTAATGAGATGTCATTTACTGCCTGCAGGTACGTCACTGAATCAAGCGTTCATTGGCAGCTGGGCTTGGTAATTCGGTCCGCCTTTTTGACCCCGAACCTTTGGCTCAGGACAACCCACGATCCAGTGATGACCAATTTTCTGAAGGCATTAGGGTCAGAATCATCCCCAAATCCGTGCTCCAGCCAGCGCTTGACATCCTCCCACTCCAAGAACCCCAAGTTATTCACTGAGGCTTCCGTAATCAGTTTTTTGAAGAGTTGGTGTATAGGCCCTTCCCGAGGCCATTTGACAGGTGCCGAATACGGGTGTTTCCGACGGTCGTACAGCTCCTGAGTGATGAAGGGCTTGCCAGCCTCCTTCAAAATCCACATTTCACTCAAGGCTTGGCGGGCAGCACTGAGATTCTTCCACCATAAACTTGATCCGGTTCCGTCCGTGTCGCCCTCTGGCTGGTTATATGCAATTTTCAAGCTTGGGGGGAGACCATTGACGTATTCGACCAAGTGATGGTCAAGGAATGGCGGCCGTGCTTCGATGCTGTGTGCCATTTCGGTACGATCACCCAAACAGGTGAGGATCATATTGGGAAGCGCACCACGGGTGTAGTAGTAAAGTGAGGAGTGTAGCGTATTCCACTTTTGTTCCATGTTCTTGCGCACTTCAGCCGACATGGTCTCAGCTACACTGACCCTCATATCCTTTCGCCCATAGGAGTCTTGAACCCAGGGGGCGAACATGTCCGAGTGAGGCTGCCACTTGAGAGCGTTGTTTCCAATGCCGAGGTGTCGGGACTTTGGAGCCGTAGTTTCAAACTCGTGGTCAAACATGCCGACTCTTGTAAACATATTTTTGAGATCGTCTGCCATCTCCTTTTGCATAACTTCTCTTGCCTGACTATTCTTTGCCAAAGCTGAGTCTGGCCACGCGTAATCCGGTTCCAAGAGGAAGTCTGGCATCAAGAATGGGTACCCAGCGAAGTGTTCATCGGCCCCTTCACCCGTGAGAACAACCGGCACGCCATATTGTCGGGGTAGCGTAGAGAGACAGAACTTGCCGACGAAGTTGAAGTCGAAATGGTGGTGTTCGGTGTGGTAGACACATTCCACGAAGTTCTTGGCAAGCTCCTCCTCGTTCATGTCTTTTTTGAGGATTTGCACACCAAGCCAGTCTGCGGTACGCTGTGCGATGTCTGTAAATCCGGTTAGCTCCCTTACGCGCGACCGAGCAACAAGTCACAGTAGACTTGATGGGATAACAAACCAGCCTCGTTGAACCCAGACTCCTCAGGAAATTGGATGCTAAAGCAGGAAATTCGCTTTGTGGCGTCTTGGTTGCCAAGCATAACGCCCTCCTCTCGAACTAGCTTTGTCACGATTCCAGCAACAACGGAGGACTCAATGCCCCCTGACAGGTAGATGCCTACAGGCACATCAGCGCGCAGCCGAAGTCTTACAGCTTCGATGATTCTCTCTCTGACTTCCAAGATGATATCATCCAAGTTACGCGTTTCTACCTCATGCTTTTCATTCTTAGTTTGAGCTCTGGGTAAGTGGTGTTTCATGTGGTCACGTACCTTATCCTTGTACTCAGGATCCCAATACTGATGGTGCTTGATCTCGCCACTTCGAGTGATCTCGATCCAAGAACCTGGGTTCAATTTCCAGACATCCTTATAAACCGTATGTTCGGCTTGGAGAGAGAGTCCACCAATAAGGCCAGACACATTCCACTCAGGCTCCCAGCCAAGAGGTAAAAAGCCTTTAACTTCAGACGTCAACAGTAGTTGTCGCTCTGAGCCTTGGCCCACAATAGTCCAGTACATTGGCTTGATGCCAAATCGATCGCGAGCAGTAATCACGCGTCCGTCTCTTTCGTCAAAAATGACGAATGAGAATTCTCCTCTCAAATGCTCAAAGAATCCAGGAGCTCCGTGAATCTTGTACAGAGCGATCAAGACTTCGCTATCACAATGGCCCTTGAACCGATACCCATGATCTCGAATGCACTGTTCTCGAATAGCGTCATGATCATAGATCTCTCCATTGACGACGGCATGTATTGTTCCGTCATCGCTATGTAGAGGTTGCACACTGTCAGGCGTCAAGTCATTGATGGCAAGACGACGATGGCCGAGGCCTGTAGTTCAAGGAGTTAGTCAAGGGAATTCAGCTTGAGCCATGTATTCTTACCGATGGTTCCGTCGTCACTGATCCAGATACCCTCAGCATCGGGACCTCGATGAGCAATTCTTTCGGCTTTCAACCTTCCTCAATAAAGACTGGGAGATTTGCCTCGGTGAGACCATTTTCCTGACAACTCATCCCAAGTGACGCTCCATCTGGAACGATCAGTCCTGTCATAATGGCGCAGTGAAGTACACAAGTTGATGCAGTTGAGAAAGCGGATGATTCAGGTTCAAAGTCTTATCAGTGCTTGTAGGCCTGCTATACGGACCGGTTCTGTTTCGGTACGGCATTAGCACTGGAAGGAGGCTTGTCAAGTCGGCGGATAATAGCTAGCGAGATGCGAGGGCACTGCCACTGTCTTCTAGAGTTTTCAAAGTAGACCTCTCAGTCATCATGGGCCATTGACTTCGGTATGAAACCTTAGGTGAGTAAGCGAAGGCGAAGTTGTGAAAGCAAACTTTCCGTCCGAGACTTTATATGGACCATCCTAGTTGAGATCGGAGAGAAAGACCGGACGAAGAGATAGACTTTTGGTGGTCTGTGTTGTGTTGAACTCACGGATCAGCTCTTGAAAATCCTCAGATGACAGCCAAACGAGAAAACGAATCTGTGCCTCAACTGGAGCGCAACTTGAGCATCACTCTACACTCAGGATCACAACTCAACCACGAGTTCCTTCGGACAATGGCCGGTTGGCCCAATGGCAAGGCGTCTGACTACGATTCAATGTGTAATCAGGAGATTCTGGGTTCTACCCCCAGGCTGGTCAAATTTCATTTTTGACAACGGTAGAAAATGGCGCCAAAGTGCAGCCAGAATGCCGCTTATTAGGGCATGACTTTTGAAGGCTTCAGGGGACACCCCACATGACCGTTGGTAATGGAGTGGGCCAAAGCACGGTTCGTCGGTTGTTTTCTGGGCGAAAAGCTTGCGTTCACCGCATCGTCACCGGCTAACCGGTGGGAGTTGCCGCTTGCGTGGACGAGGTAGTATTACTATGGTAGCGACGATCCGACGCGTGAGCAGCTTGACGCGGTGCGGCGGTTCGGAGCCGGTCATACGCGTTCGACAACTCGGATGGTACCTGAATGACGGTGGTGATGAGCCATTGAGTGCATGTCAATTGTAATTAAGTGATCGAGAGCGAGAACGAGCGGATGCCATCATGTTTAAGATCTGGGGAATGACGGTGGTGATGAGCCATTGAGTGCATGTCAATTGTAAATAAGTGATCGAGAGCGAGAACGAGCGGATGCCATCATGTTTAAGATCTGGGGAATGACGGCTCAGAGTCAGGGGATGCTCGTATCTCGTCGGCATCACCGCTCCGTCGGCGACCCGTGGGCGCCGGCAACGCCGTGGGACCCCGGTCGGCACTCTCGGCTTGTGGGAGGGCTCTTGGCTTGGAGGCTCAGTTGTTCAGGGCTTGCCGTTCTCCTGTCAGTTCTTCAGGGCGGGCTTGACGTCCCGGGATAACGCCAAGGGGCCTCTCGCGGCTTCGGCAAGTTTAATCACTCCAGGTTTGATACATCATATAAGGCAGGGCAAAGCCAACAACTTTGATAAGTGCGAGCCGTTCACAATGCGATCGTGAAGTAGGCACAACGGCGCACTTCAGGCGCACTACAATCTAAGCAAGACGATCAGCAACCAACGCATAAAGTAAAATCAAACTCTAATAACCGGCAAGTGGAACCACTCACAGCTCTGCCCCTGGCCATCTACCAAACTCCCCTTGGTGCCTGAGTCGTATCTCGACCAGGGTGAAGGTTTCAACCGGGACTCGGGTCTCATGCTGCCCCCACACAATATCGAGTTCCCCTGGCTAAAAGACAGCGGACGAGTGATCACGACAGACGTCAACGGTGCTGCGGATGAGCCAGGTTGGTCCCTCTGGCCACTGGGTCAAAAGTGCCCCTAATCCTGCAGTGGCCGAGCCGCCGGGTCCTGTCTCCTTTGGGCCCCGAGATGCTTCGAGAGGGAACTGGAGTTCAGGGATCTTTATCAATACTAAGGTCCAAGTGAACCGTGCCATCTCCAGCGGCACGCTGTCGTTCGAACTTGTCCCCTTTCAAGTAGTGTTGTCCCCCATCCCCTCCTCCACAGTTACCTAAAACTCTTCCTCATCCCAAAATCGACCGCTTCTGAATCCGATAACCCGCCCCGGTGAACGCATTGAAAGTGTTGGACATATCGAAAAAGAAACCAATGTTGAGAATAAGTTTGGCCAAGGCGTTGCCCTGCTAGAGAAAACAAACAAAAAAGGACAAACACGATTCCCGACGCGATCGTGCGTCGACCGAAGACGCGGCGAAGATGTCTCCGAGACATCGGAATCGAACCATCCCGACTTCTTCAACGATCCTCATCTCATACCTCGCGTCGATAACTCATGCCACATTCACCAATGACTTTTCAGCGTATCCAGAAGCAGCGAGATCATGTCTCGACTCCGCCGCTGCCGCGTCCGGGTGTACCGGTAACACGGTGACGGAGATGAACTCATGCCTGTGCGGGAATGGCGGAAACTTTGTGCTGGCGACGTCACAGTGCGTGGAAAAAGAGGCAAAAGACAAGCTTGACGACGTTTACGAGATGCTTCTGACCTCCTGCACGGACTCGAAAACGCCACTGGGCATTTCTCAGGCACAATTCCTAGACCCCGACGACGACGAAACCAAATCAACAGCCTCTTCCTCATCTACTTCTCAAAGCAGCACAACACTATATACCTCCACGACCGCACCGCCAACCGAAAAACCAGCATCCTCAACAACATCGACATCGACATCTCTCACAACGTACAAGAGCGTTGCACCAGGAGGAGTCACAGTTACGGTGACGAGAGGAGTTGAGACAGTGCCGACTGGGACGGCAAGTGGAAAGCAAGGAAGCAATGCCGAAGGGGACCAAACTACCACCGGCGATGAGGGGCCTGGTCATACGGCTCTTGCTGCAGGACTTGCAGGAGGACTGGCGATCCTATTGGGTGTTTTGGCGTTCTTTTGCTACAGACGCCGAAAGCAGCGCAAGGAGAGAAAGGGACAAGTCGGTGCTGGTGGAAAATTCGCAGCCTTATCCAGCGCGACTAGCCTCACCACGATGTCGGCTTCACCGCCGCAGGGGCAGGCGACAACAGCATATCACGGTGTAAACGACCGACGGCCCGATACGGCAAACACGATGAATATGGCGGTGGGCACTCCGGGATGGAATCGTCAGCAACAAGAGCCACAAAGTCCCCAACATTGGCAGAACAACAACTCTCCTGGGCACTACGGCCAGCAAGCAGGAACCTGGCCGTCACCAGTTGCCAACGGGGACGGGGCTACCGGAACATGGGGGGTTTCGCCCGTCTCTCAGTATCGTCCAAACTCATCCAGGGGTCCCGAACCGTCACCACATACCGGAACCTGGAATGCGCATGCCGCTGAGATGGCAGCCGCTCCGGTTCCCGCGCCCCATCCTTCACATCCCTCAAATAACACATACTCTCCCGTCTTTGAGTTGCCGGGAGATCAAATACAAGCCGTAGAGGCAGACTCGACACCAGTCGGCCATGCTCAGCCTGTGGTGCAACCGCCTTCGCGTTCAATACAATCGACGCCAGCTCAGATGCAAGCACAACCGGCGCAGCCAGCACCAGCACATCACGGAATGCCGAGACAGATCGACGACGCACTTCAAATATCGCGAGTAGAATTGCCGCCGCCTCGGTACTCAGGCCCGTCATCACCAGATTGGGTCAGCGAGGATAAGAAGTTTGGCTAGATCAAACGGGGGGGCCTTTTGGCCCAGATAGCTCTTCAGCATAAATGATATTTTATAAATCTTGTAATATTACCCATATGTAGACTTCAGGGCACCACTGCCGACATGATGCATAACCCTTCAAATTTCACACAAGATCAGCAATCAACCTCTAAGGGCTTGTGATGTCATGACTATGCTTCCGTAAACCAGGGTACTAGTAAGAAGAATCATAACAGAGAAGCCGCGTAAGGCGACCCTACCAATCGACTCCGTTGCAACCAAATTGTAAAAAATAAGAGTAAGCAAACGCAACTGTCCCTGGCAAAGCTCGAACTTGCGATCTTTGGATGTCCCAGGCTTCAAGCCGAGTCATAATAATCAATTAGGTAATAATATGAGACCAACGCTCTTCCAACCGAGCCACAGAGACGATGATTGGAGAATCACTCACGTCACACGTGTTTCCCATACCTCTCTCTGCTCCTCCATCCTTCAATGTTCCTCGCGTTGCCCAATGAAATCACTAAAACACTGAAGCCACGCTGGGCCGAAAGGCAGAATGAGCCGATTAACGAACTTGAATGAAGAGGCCTCTTGTCAACCTTATCAAGCCACAGCATGCGGGTGTCGTGTTCCGAACGCGCGTCTCAACACCGCTAGCCTGTTCTGTGAACTTGATTGGGTCGGCCGAATCCTGCGGCTGAGCTACCAAACCTACGAGAATGCGGCGCAGGACTCCTGCCTAGCATGATGGCTGTGTATCCAATCAAGACTTGGCATCTGACTGTTCATAGCATCATCCCACCGTTCGACTGATTATCGGCGGGTCAGGCAACCCCCTGCCTCTATATTTAACCATAAATCACCCGCCCCCCCCCCCCCCCCCCCCTAACGACCAGGACCAGCGCCAAGAGCAATAGTAGAGCGTAGACGTGATTAATACACTACCGAAACTCCGTCTTCGATTGAAGATACTATCTCGAGCTTGATAATGGCGGGCTTTTCTTCAGCTGCGGTGACATCAAGCTGTGATGACATCACTCACCGAATTGTCTCGACTTCAGCTGAGCTCGACAGTCTGTTGAAGGCCATCGACCCGGGCAGTACAGCAGCGCAGCACTTGATTTCGGTATCGGCAAAACTCGATCAGCTTAGAGATACCACGGAGCAGCTCCGGCTGTCCCTCAATGAATCCTCTGCCATATCTCCCGGTCTTCGAAATGCACTGGCTATCGCTATTCAGCCTTGCGCAGTTGCTGCGGCTGTCGTGGACAAGCAGATACATAGACTCGATCCAGGAAACGTGACAGGCCTCAATTCCGATGTGATTCTGCAGTACGAGGACTATTATTTGACGAACACTCGCTTATTCGCACAATTCGTCTCCGTGGCGCATATGTGAGTCTCACAAGATGATTCGATCTCCTTGTTGTCGCTAATCCAATCACTTAGGTCAACTGTCACCCAGCAGGATGCAAGGCTCTCATCTTCTGACGGGCATGGAATGTTAGAATCAGCAGTAGAGGCGTCTCAAATTGTTCTGACACGCAGCGACATACTACAACCCTTAGACGAAGCTGGTCATTCCGCCTTTGATATCTCAGCTATTGCCGGAGAATTTGGGAACGACCAAGCAGATGAGCCGCCACCGGACTACACGTCTGGGAAAGCCAATAAGGGGAAGAGCAAGGCATCTGGCCAATTCTTCTCCTCGATTTCAAGCTCTTTCAAAGCGATGACGGCTGGCTTACGAGCCAAACCGGAGCCCATGGTCATCGCTATGTGCCAGGCCGCCAAGAGCGGCGATGTGGGACATCTCAAAGGCTTTCTTTCGCAAGGGGTCAACATCAACGGCCAGAACGAAGAAGGATTCACGCCGCTCATTTGCGCCATCAGAGCCAACCAGATGAAAGCCGTCGAGTTCCTCGTCAAGTCTCAAGCCGATCGATCAACCAAGGACTCCTGCAGCGGCAAAAAGAAGCCCCCTCTTTTTCACGCCGCCGAGTGTGGCTTTGTGCCAATCGCAGAGTTTCTCATCAATCATGGTTTCGAGATGAAAGAGCGTTCGTGGTCTGGACAACCGTACTTCATCGAGGTCGCAAACAGCGACCAGCTGGACATCATCAAGCTTTTCTTGCGACGAGGCTGCGATGCCAACACAGCTGCAATCAGTGGCCGCACCATCTTTATCCACGCCATACTCAGCGGTAGTCTTCCACACATAAAGCTCCTGCAGGAGTTTGGAGCCGACGTCAATGCTCGCGATATCAGTGGTCAGCCTGCGCTCCATATGGCTTTAGGACAGAACCGCATGGACATCGTCACGTTCCTGCTGGAGCACAGCGCTGATCCAAACACTATGGACCTTACTGGCAGCACGATGATTATTTCCGCACTGCACAAGAAGAAGTACGATCTTGTCAAGGCCTTGCTATCCCGCGGCGCCGATCCGAACGCCACTGGGTTAATGGGTAAAGGCATACTGTGGACCTTGTTGCAAAACAAAGACATGGAGGAGGGCATCAAGATCGAACTCATCCAAACACTTCTGGCACGAGGAGCCAACCCAAATCAAGTCGACAATTGGGGAGAATCCATCATGAGCATGGTCATCACCCTGGGCAACACCGATCTTCTACGCATGTTTCTTGCTCACGGCGGCAATCCAAATAAGAAGGTCAAGGATACGACATTCTTGCTCTACGCCATCGACCAAAATAGACACGAGGACGTCGAAGTGCTCCTCCAACACGGGGCGGACCCGAACGAGGCAGACACTAAGGGCAGAACCCCCTTAGTCGAAGCGCTTCAGACAGAAAATTACGCCACACTACAAGCAGTCCTCGCTCACGGCGCAGATGTTAACAAGATGGGCCAGATTAAGCCGTTGGCATTGGCGCGATTGCTTCAGAACCAGGAAAATATCAAGTCGCTGACAGACCGAGGTGCCCAGGCCCCAGAACGGCCGGCGGCGGCGGCGGCGGCGAGAGCACCGTCCACGCCAGTCAGCCCGAGGCGGCCAGTTGCGTCAGCTACCCAGAATCAACCAAGTGAAAGTACGGCCGATATGCCACCGCCTTACGTGGAGACTAGTGCTTTGGAGGAAGCTGGGGCCGCGAGCCCACCAAGCAGCGCGAGGAGACTTATTCAAGTTGGCTCCTACAGCCTGCAAAAGTCGAAGTGAACGCCAGGACCTGTGCCCAACATCAATAGAAAGATTGGAGTTTCAGGAAATGCTCAAGGTGCGAATTATGTTAAGGTGCTGGAAGGGAGGGGCTGGAGGGCTATGTCACTAATGAATATGGGCGGGCATACTCCTTGCACTGTAATAATACTAGACCCCGTACTTCATAATTATTGAATCCTATTAAGAACCAATCTAGGCATTGAGAAAGAATGCTGGAGAAGAGAGCATGCATGAGGCATAATAATTTGGAGAATTTGGTGTGGGATTTTGCTTCGAACAATTACTGTCAAGTCATATCCTGATTCTGGCTGGATCTCAACCATTTTACATCATCATCGTGGATCTCAACCCTTGATGGCAGTCTTGATGATCTGCTCTAACCCCCCTCTGCCTATCGGTTCGATGCCAAGCAACTTGTTGTCAGTCACAGGGAAATAACCAGCCTCTGTGCCGATGAAAGCACGATTAATAAACATCTCAACCACCTCCTCGCTGTGGTCCCCCTTGATCCATCTTTCGTGAGCAATCTTCTCCAAGTCCTCAGTCCTCGAATGCTTGATTTCCCAGTTCCCAGTTGGGTCGATGCCTTTGGAAATCTCAACAATCTCTTTTTGCATTGTTTCAACACTGCTAATCTTTACTGGACGGTTAGCTGTCTCCTCAAGATGAGTGAGGATGCCGATCACAGCTTGTCCGATATGAGGCATGGTTGTTGCGCAGAATTTGACGTCGCCACCATCCTTGATGTGGGCTTTCTTGCCCCTGACATCCACAAGAAAGTCAAGTGCGTACCCAGGCGCCAAGAAAGAGACATTCATGATGATGGTGTACGAGAATGATGGCCTTGCAGCTACCTTTTCATCAAGGTATTCGCGAATGGCAATCTTGGGCTGGTAGATGGGTATGACAGCCAGCTTGGGGTTCATGGTGTCATTGCCATACTCGGAAGGAATCATCCTTCGCATGCCAGAATTGAAAGCGGCATCGACAACGTTTCTCTGGATATGGATTGTGTCGAATGCCAAGGCTGAAACAAGAGCGTCTTGTCCTTTGAGGGCAGCTTCGAGACTAGGGACTGACTCGTAGTCGACTTTCTTTACTGTAACGCCAGCAGGGAATTCGTGGCGAGACCCCTCACGAGTGAGAACAGTGAGCTCAAATAGATTCGATTTCAGTAGGACATCAAGAAGAACGCGTCCTAAGAAGCCGTTTGCCTGCAACGCTCGTCAGTTTCGGGATATTTCGATCATTTGATTGATGTGGAACTTGGGTGACTTACACCTGCAAGGGCGACAGTTTTGACTGGAGGTGACATATCGACAGACAGTCAGTCTGTGAGAAAGTCAACCGAAGCGGTTGTCAAAAAGAAACCTTGGAAATGCTGCGTCAAGCTACTCGTGGGATGAACCTGCAAAGATCGGAGACCAATAGGGCTGTGAAGAGTTGGAGACTAGATTAACGAAGCATGTCAGCCATGTTTAACCACAAACGGCTATGATGGCTTCGCTTCCTCGACTTTATTTTCGATTGATACACATATACAGACCCGACGTCTCGGCCTGCATCACGCCGGGATCATCACACAGCCCGTGTAAGCCCACACATTAAAGTTTACCGAGACCGCCTGTCGGATAGACGGGTCACCGGCGACGGGCTCCTGCCTGTTTGGAAATACCGCATTCAGCGGAGCTCTAGCAAAAAGGCCAAGGAAACGACGATCTGAAGTCTCAGGGGCAGGATTGCCCCGGTGAAAAACGCGCGCTGCGCAGGCGGATTAGAGACCTATCGTATGACTGAACCAGGCAACGAAGCATCGTACCAAACAAGTAACAACTGACGACCCTGGTATCATCCCAGCCTGATCCAGCTTGGCTACCACGCAACGAGGACGAGGTCAGAATGGAAAGTTATACCGAAGGCTTCAAAGGCCACCTTGTTAGAACTGGGTTCTTGACACGTCAGGCGAGCACAGAGCACCGAGACCAAAGGCCTCGGCTTTTTTAAGGATGAAGGAATTGAGAGGACGGAAGTGCCGGCCGTAGAAGTGGAGGATATGCGACCTTGATATTGTGTTACTTCACATGGCGGAGTTATTGTGCCTTGGTATAATGATGGGGGCAAGACAACGAAAGAGGCCTGGGTATAAAAGTCCTCATACCCTTTATCCGGCCGCCTAGTGAGACAGAGGTGCTGGTTGAACCGAATATATATCAAAAGTCTTGACAGGCACAAGCACATACCATCCTATCATATTAGAGTCGACTCTCATAATCATGTTGATCCCAGTTTTGACACTCGTTGCGTCGCTTGCAGCTGTTCTCTACTCCCTTTACATCATCGTTTCTACACACATTCTCCGTCACCGCATGAAGAGAGAATATGGCACTCTACCACCCAAGAAGCTACCTCAAAAGGATCCCATCTTTGGAACTGATGTGGTCCTCCAGAATCTGGCTGCTGCAGAGAAGTTCGGCAACTTCCCTCTCGCCTAATTTTTCTTAGCATCTACTATCAGTGTAAGAGGTAGGCTACTACTAAAGTCCTTAACAGCTGAAAACCCTTTACCTCTCACCTCTAACGCCCTACCGCGATGGCTTTATAGCCTCCGCCGGGCCCTGGCTCGCCGCCGGCTCCCTCGGCCTGCCCTAATCGAGGCTCCGGAACCCCTCTAGAGCCGTCCCTAACCTTAAGGGCTAAATACTACCGCGGTACCAAGGCCTAGCTATCCTAGCCTAGCCTTATAAAAAGCCAGCCTAACGCCTTTATAATAACCCCCTTACCGGCTAAAGGGCCCTTAACTATAAATAGAATAGTTACTAGAGCTATCTGTCACGGTAGCAGGCAGGTTGTTTGGCAGGTGGATGCTGGGCAGGCGGATCAGACAATCTATTGCTACGGGCAGGCTCTATCCTAAGCAGGTACAGGCTCTGTTGACAAGACGTAGCTCAAGGAGCTACGTTTCTGGACATGCGCGACAGAATACAGGATGCAGAGTTTTATCCAGCCTCAGGCTTACGTAACCCGGCCACCGGATTACTCAACACCAACCTCAAGGTTGGGGTCTAGGACAGCGGGTCTGTGACACTTTCGTAATATAGGTATTACCCTAGCGCATTTTATTTTTAATTTATTAACTATAAGCCGTCTTTAATGGCCTAAAGTACCTAACGTCTAAGGGCTGAAGTAGATGAGACGAATGGGCCGGCATGTAGAGTGTTACGCCCGCCGCAACTTGTCACTGTGGGCGCGTAGCTATATATGCAGAACAAGGGACAATGATGCCGGAGTCATCATTATCGAAGCTTTTGCTTTGTGCCACAGTTGGTTGCCTTGTCCAGCTCGTAACATAGAGTATGACGATATTGTTTTCCTTATAATATATTTTAAAGTCTATAGAGTGGTGATTTTCGTGTCTATTGATGACGAGGAGGCGATAATTATTAGTTATATACGGTTTTATATACTAATTAAAGTGCTAGAGCTAGCCTAGGCCTCTTTCATTTCTTATTTATCTATTTTTAGACGTTGCAATGACCTAGTTGCGTAGGAGATATGTTTTTATATACTAAGTAGAGAGGTGATATTAGCCTATAATAATGATGTACGGTAGAATGCTATAGCCTGACGAAATGATGGCCTAAATGACTAACTATAACTTATTTATAATTACTAGGCTATGTTATTTTTGTGTTTGAACGCCTTTCGGCACTTATAATAACTATCCTAGATATAATCTAGCTTATTATAAACCCAGTTGTTACGGCCAGCTAGTCGTAGGGGTAGTTTGCAGAAGTTGAGGCTGCGGAACTGGTAACAGTAATCGTAGTCGGGGATAGCTTCAGGGAAGCTATGTCTGTCAATCGTAAGGGTAGGTAAGGCTTCGGTGATCAATCGTAGTCTTGTCAAGGTAGTAGCTGAAAGCGGATGTTAATCCTGATACGAAGTTAATTGCTGAAGAGCTATGGAAGTCTGTCCTAGAGTCCAGCTCAAGTCCATTCTTATATACAAGTCCTGATCCTGAACATGTCCCTTGTCCCTTGGGTCGTCTTGGGTCATTCTGATCCAGAATGATCGTTTAGCCCCCAAGTCGTGTTGGATCATATTGATCCCAAATGATCCTTATCTTATCATCACGTGACTTGTACCATAGTTCTTCCGTTCCGTGAGAGGGTGCCTTGTGTCCCCTTGTCCTGTGCATGTATGGCGTATCGTAACCGTCGTAAGCCTGCGGGGCAGGCCCTGTTCTTGGTCGTGCATGTTGGGTCGTAACACCAGTCTTATCAAAGTTATAAATATTAAAGTCTATAGTTAATGCCGTATTTCGTAATTATATTTGCTATAAGCCGAAACTATATGTTTATTTTGTCTAGATCTTTATATTGGGCCCTCTTATAGTCGTATTTATAAAAAGAGTATAACGTACATGATAAGCGAGTGGGCCAGACAAGCGAGTGGGCCACTCAACCACGACCACATGACATGAAGGAGCAAATATCAACACCCACCTCATGGATTCAATCCAAACTATTCAGAGTCCTCTTCCTCAGACATTTCCTCATTGAATCGACATGTTCGCGCATTGTGACCAGTGTTCCCGTAGACGCCATATCGTCGTTGGCCCGTCTCAGTCCTCGGTCGGCGACCACTACTCCGGCGCGTTTCCTCCTCCACCTGGGCTGTAGCCTCTCTCTGCGACTGAAGGTCCTCTCCTTCAGCTATAGTGAGGCTTCCTCCTTGTCGGAGACGGTTTTTCTTAGCTCTCCGGCGTCGACTAAGTAGGTTGTTCTCCTCTCGAAGGATCTAGTTCTCGGGTCTTAATAAGGCGATTTGGTGCATGAATCCACGAGCCCCCTTAGATAGATGCTCTATAGCTTCGATAATTAAAGTTAGTGAGCTATTTTGATAACGGAGATTCGATTTTTGATGAGTTCTGACTGAGAAGATGCTTCCGTTAGGTTGTTTAGTGTCTGAGAAGTCCATACCGGTGGTATTATCGGGAGGGATCCTGGAGGCGTCGGAGTGCATAACTTTATATCAAGCTTTGAGAGCACACTCTCTGCACTCAAAGGCACAATTCCTGCCCCTCTGAATCCTCCCTAGATGTTTTTCTCCGTGATCGCTTGCGTGAAAGCCTTGTGAAACGCCGGGAAAAAGTCCTCTTTAGTAATATACGTATTACCCCGACGCATCTTATCCTCGATTTCTCGACCATACGCCGTTTTTAAAAGCCCAAAACATCTAACATCCAAGGGCTAGAGTAGATAAGACGAATAAGCCGGCATACACAGGGTAACGATGTTGTTCTTCTTACAAAAAATCTCGAAATCCGCGGAGTAGTGACTTTCGTATCCGTCGACGATGAGGAGGCGGTATTGACCCTTTATACGCGGTCTTGTATACCGTTCGAAGTACCGAGCCCAGTCTAGACCTCTTTTATTTATTTTCCATCCATTTTCAGACGTTACGATGACCCAGTCGTGTGGGAGACCGGATTCCGTGTACCAGGTGGAGAGGTGATATTGGCCCGCAACGATGATGTACGGCGGAACGCTGTAGCCCGACGGGCTGATGGCCTGAATGACCGTAACCCATTCACGATTGCCAGGCTGCATCATTTTCGTGTTTGAACGCCTTTCGGCACTGGTCACGACCATGCCGGTTGAGATCTGGCCCATCATCAAGCCAATCTCGTCAAAGTTGTAGATATCTGAGTCTACGATGCCGTACTTCGCGATTATGTTCGCCACAAGCAAGAACCACGCGTTAATCACGCCCGGATCTTTGCATTAGGCCCTCTTGTAGTCGTACTTGCGAAAACGACGCGTTCGCAACTCTGGTTATCGCTTTACGAAGTTCGAAGCCCATCGCTTCCTAACAGGGGGCGCGTCACGATCAGCGAGCAATCGATTTGCCATTTCTTCAACACCGCGAAGACGGGGAGGAAAGCATCTGGCGTCCAGGTCGAGGATATACTCAATCAGCTTCTTCTCTTCTAGTAGCGTCAAATTCCGTGAGTTGGGTATGCTATCACGTCGTGATAACGTTCCCTCTAATCTACGGCCTAAGGTAACGCGACTGATGTTACAGATCTTTGCCGCGGCCCGAATACTAAGATTTCGGTCTTTCTGGGTAGCCTGAACCGCTAAGTTTAATTGGGTATCTTTGTTATGTACTGTCATTTTTTCGATGGAGAAATGCGTGTTGTGATGATGTAGGTGGCACGATGGCGGTTGGGTGGCCCACTCGCTTGTCTGGCCCACTCGCTTATCATTGTTACGAGCTGGACAAGGCAACCAACTGTGGCACAAAGCAAAAGCTTCGATAATGATGACTCCGGCATCATTGTCCCTTGTTCTGCATTATATAGCTACGCGCCCACAGTGACAAGTTGCGGCGGGCGTAACACCTAGGCGGTAAGGGAATAGTAGGCCGTAATTTAAAAATATATTAATTGCGGTAAAAAAAAGTATTAAAGAAGTACTTACGGCGGTATAGAGGGAGGTGAGAGCCTAGTAGTGCTTACTAAGGGAGGAGCGAGCCTCCTTTAGAATGAAGGAGGCCGTACCCTTAGTAGCGGGTAGTGTACAGAAGAGGTTTTCATATATATAAAAAACAATAGTAAGGATAGGGGACTATTTAAAATAATTTCTGTAATAGATTAGCGAAAGTAATATGCGTAAAAAGTGTAAAAGTCGGGTAAGTAAGGGTATATATAAACCGTCGCGAGGTTGTGTAGGAGGAAGAAGTTCGACGAAGAAAGGGGGGGGCAGAAGTCAGCAAAAGAGCCACGGGCGGCCTGACCGGCGGGTTAAAGTGGATCAATCGCCCCGGGCTCCTGCGGTTAAAAAACGGGCGAGCGGCGGAATCGCCCGAGGGAGTAGGTGGGGGGCACGTGTTACGGGCTGGACCCGATTAGTGGATCCGGGCTAAGGCCCGGATTCAGCCACGATTTACCGCGCTAATTCCGTATGGGTCCTACTTGAACGTTTTTCCTCTGCGGAATCCCTGCCCCAAATCTCTCCTCTTCAGCTTAGATTCTATATACTGAAATCACCCCTACGTGGCCTCACGAGGGCTGGGCTCTTAACACAACCCCATCATGCTGCGTGACCAGATTGTCAATATGCTGCTCGCGGCTAGAGACACGACAGCAGGACTTCTAGCATTTGCCTTCTTCTTGCTGGCACGGAACCCCAAAGTCTGGAATAAGCTCAGAGCCGACGTTCTTGAGCATTACACCGAACCTTTGACCTATGATGCTGTTATGCAGATGACATATCTGCGCTACGTGCTGCAAGAAAGTAAGTTTGCGAGCCGCCCACCGGCTTTCCTTGTTACCTGACTTCATCTGGCTGACCTTAATCTCAGCTCTTCGTCTCTTCCCTCCTATTGCCACTAATAGCCGCATGGCCAATAAAGACTGCGTAATCCCGGTGGGCGGTGGTCCTGACGGACGCTCGCCAATGTTCGTTGCCAAGAACAACGTGGTCACTTACAGCACATTCGTTATGCACCGCTGCCCAGAACTCTTCGGCTCTGATGCTGAGGAGTTCATCCCGGAGAGCTGGGAGACCCTCCGCCCAGGCTGGGAATACCTGCCCTTCAACGGTGGCTCTCGAGTATGCCCTGGTCAGAAGTTCGCCCTCACCGAGTTGTCATACACCATTGCAAGGTTGTTGCAAGCCTTCTCTGGCATTGAAAATCTGGATCCGACTGACTGGCGCGAGCAACTCACCTTATCCCTGACATTGAACAACGGAGTAAAGGTGCGACTCCACCCGGAAGCTTAGGGACCCTGAAGTTGTCTCTTTCATAGCCACGAACAATACCGGGTTATTTGCATGGAACTTCTCTTCGCTTATCTTGAGTGGACCAAGGTGGTAATGGACCCTGGGCCTGACCATCGCTATAGACCCTGGCAGTTGATGCAATCGAATGTTGGCACAGATAGGCAGCTGTTGCTCGATGAGTCGACTGAGTACACGCAGGTAAAACTAAGGTAGCATTCCAAAAGAGACGTTTAATATCAATTCAGAGATTCCAAGAGGTGACTAGGATACCGCAGCACAATCAAATAGCCTAAGAAGGCCGGTAAGGAGACCGCCAAGGCGGGACCCCAATATGCTAGAGATTCGGATGCAGCAAGGAACCAGTCCGATGAGCATCAATTACATATCCCTGAGGGCTTCAAATCTTCACCGCCATGGTCTAATTGACATGCCACCTGAATGGTAACGTCTCGTCCCAAATTTAGATGACACGACAGGGCTTGATGTTCTCGAACAACCAAGCACTGGGTAGCTCCCGCTTTCTCGCCTCGACTTCCCCCGTTCACATAATCTTCAAGAGGAAGCCCGTCAATCAGAATGAACGCTTCCCCTCTGCTATTGTTCAGAAAGCCATAGCTAAACGAGTAATGTCTACCACGATCGGTTACACTTCACCTTTTGAGCCAAGACTTGTCGCGGGAAAATGGGCCAACAAACATCTTTGAAGACACCCCTTGGAAAGTTTAAATTCTTCCGCCGCTTCCGAGCAGACTTTCACTCCAGCCCACCTCCACCGGGTTTGAGTCAGTTGAAATAAGCGAAGGCCTGCTACAGGACTCATTGAATTCCCGAGACGTTGAGATGTTCCGGTCAGCTAAAGACTGGACCCTCAGTCAAGTTAGAATTTATGATGTGGTCTTTCCTTTGATTGCCCAGACTACTGCGCTTCGAACAATACTCCGCAGCGTGTTTCGACCGAGCTCAAAGACTTGCTCGTACGTAAGCGCAACGTGAATCCGGTCTCACCTCAAGTCTTTCCACCGCTGTTGCTGCGTCATTTGTGGTCTTGGCCAAGAAAGTGTAGCATCGCAGCCATGTCTGCGCAATGTAGAAGGTCGTATTTGGCTCTGGGCATTGGTGGAACACAGACGGGCCAAGAAAAATGAAATTGATTCCACAATGTCGCGTAGGCCGAATAACTAAGCGGGCACGCTTCTTATGACGGCCGAATAACTAAGCGGGCACGCTTCTTATGATGGCCGAAGTTTGCGTGCGGTTGTAATTAACTGTAACAGTTGAGAGGCACCAAGTGGGCTGCATGACGGTAGGGACCCAGCGGATGTGGGATGGGATTGAGGGGTTTTTCATTATCGTTAGGAAATTATTAAGAGCAGATGCGCGCCGCTTTCGCTCGCTCGGAACGCGGAAGGGGAATAATAACTATTTAATAACTTGACTTCTTCTCCAGTTGCAGGACGAAGACGACGGCGACTCTTCAGAAAGTATTCTGTCACCAGCTTCATCACCAAAGGCCCCGCGGAACAACTCTTCACTCTTCAACACATATCGAAAGATTGAGACCGCTCCCGCAGAGTTCCGCGCCGCAACTAAACATGTCTCAAAAAGTCTGGACCCGCCAACACGCCGCAGGCTTCGGCTTGGAGAAGTCCCTCGCCGCTATCCGCGACCCTGCCGCCGCTCCGACTCCGATTCCTTTGCCGCCCCGCGATGTGAGTTTTACCCTAGGCCCGGTTGCCAACATGAGTCAACACAACCACAATGGTGCAGTAGCAAAACTCTAACTACTTTATAGGTCGAAGTGATTCAGAAAGAGTGTGATTCCATCACTTTTCAGTCCTTTGGGTACGAGGAGGCGTTTGAACTAGGCCACCTCCTGCACGCCCGCCTTCTTCCCTTCGCCCTCGTCGACAAGAAGCCCACAGTCATCTCAATCGCACTGGCAAACAGCCAGCAGGTCCTCTTCCAGACGGCCGTCGGATCCGGCTCGCTTCCCGACAACGAGACGTGGGTGCAGCGCAAGCGCAACGCCGTGCTCCGATGGGGCAGCAGCACTTGGCTACTCCACAACAGAATTGGGGGCAATGAGCAGCTTTTTGCGTCAAAGTTTGGCATGAGCACGGAGCAGGCGGGCAAATACGCCATTCATGGCGGCGGTGTGCCTATTCGTGTGCAGGGAGTTGAGGGTGTGGTTGCTGTTGTGGTTGTTAGTGGGTTGAAGCAGGAGGAGGATCATGGTGTGATTGTTGATGTTATCAAGACTCACTACCAATGAGTGTCAAGATAAGCAGCGATTATGAGAAGTATTTGAAGGTGTTGAGAGCTAGGCTCAATAGGTCCTCTAGAGACGGCCGAGACTCATCTATGAGATCGAGTCGCGTGAGTTAATTACAGCTTATCCCATGAACTGCTAGATGGCGTCAATAAATTTACAAGCACTTTGATAAGAAGTAATAACAAGTCACATATTGATCCGACCTTATTCCCTCATATTCTCTTATGAATACTTTCGAAGTAGAGTGGAAATAGAAAAAGACTGGAAACGGGTTTATTCACGCCATTTTAGCAGTTGATGGGATAATCCAAACATTAGAAACTGAAGGGGCTTATTCAATGCGGCAAACATTGTAAGCTTTGTGGAAGTATGTTTGAAAGAGTTCCATTTACTTACTTCTCTATCCAGCTACGAGGGCAAGAAACGAGTAGAAGTCATTCTTTAATGAAATTCAAATTCCACAGACTTCCAGTCAATATCCTCATTCATCATCCGCCTCCCTTCCTCCTCCTCCGGGCCCCAGATGCAAAGTCCAACCCGCATGTAAGGAACTTTTGCCCATTTGCCACCGTCAGCAGTCGAATTGGCTGGCTGAGTCATGGGACGAAGCAGCACAGCAACGCTCCCAGGGATGTTCACGGATTCTCCTCGAAATGAGTCAATATCTCCAACGTGGAATACCCATAAATCGCGGAGAACCAATGGCAAATTGGCTTTTTGAGGGAAAAGCCAACGAAATCCCGGTAAATTGAGCCGCCACAAGTGGCCGTTGAGGTTCAGATGCTCTTGTGTGAATCCGGCATCTGTCATGTTTTGGATACGCGCGGTATTGTGATCCAAGTCTTTGAATTCTGCCAGCTCAGACGTATCTGTTTCCTTAAGGAATTGAATCAGAGTATCCTGCACCTCTAGTGCATCAGTTAAGCGGCATACTCTTCCGCTTGCCCTCATAACTTGTTTACTCCCCAGATGGAATCGAGCTTTCAACACGTAACCTGCTGGCGATCTGAAGTTGGCTGGCACAAACGAGTGTTCTGTGATACGCCAACTTGAGAACTTTTCAGGCTTTTCCGTGTGGACAAATAGCTGGCAGAGCACAGGATTCTTGTTGGCTATTGCTACGGCAAATTCTTGGACGAGATCTGCCAGGGAAGGGTTATCATGCGGCCGAATAACCTTGCCCACACGCAGATTGTAGGCTTGCATGATGCCAGAGATGCGGTCTACCGGTCTCGAGGTCTGCCTAGACCACGCCATGCTGTAAGGGATGTTGGGGTTTGATGTGGGCAAGTTATACATGCCGGAACGGATAAGAAGTGATTGCGTGTTCTCGAGCTTGGTCTTAATGTCCACCTCCCAGTCCAGTAAGGTGTAATCCATTTGTTCATGGTATTCAAGGCCTCGTAGTATGTTGGCGAAGTCCAAGTAGATGTTGTTGCAAAATTGACGAACATTGCGAGATAGGCTTGGTACTTCTTGCCTTCATCGGATGTGATCCAAACGCAGGGAATCCCTTCTGCGCTTAGAATCAGAGCATCGTTGCGCAACACTGCCTCCTGCAAGGTCCATAGAGATGAAAACCAGGGATCTTTGAGTACGCTTTGGAGCCCGGAACTGATACGGTCAACAGTATTGCGTACGGCGGCCATCCTAGTCTCATCGTGGTGAACGTCTTCCCAAGTCATGTACGAGGGCGTGGCTTGGTTCTCTACTGTGCTGAAGGCCATGAAAGTAAGGCATACCAGCTGGCCGTCGTTTGTGTCACGGAAAGCCTTCGTAAGACTCTCGTGCGTTGCTTCACATAGCCAAACATGCACTTTGACTGCCTTGTCAAAGATGGCGACCTGATGACCGACTTCCTCCGCATTCATGATCTCGTCTTTTTGATCTATGCAAGCAACATCGACCCAAGCCCATTCAACGTCCTCAAACGCCATGAAATCAATGACGGCTCCAAACGAGTCCAACGTGAAGTGAGACTCTCGTATCGAGGGAATCTTCCACGGAGTGCCCTTCACCGGTAACGCAGGGACGGCGTGGTCGTCATGTCTGATTTTCCAGCGGCCCCAAGTGTAAGTGACGATGCTGTACTTTGGCTTATGCGTTGTTCCATAGACGTTGTGCTTGTCTCTCTCGACTGATGTCAGTGTTGGTATGTGTAGAAGCCGCCGGGGCCAGTAGTCTTCGATGTCTTCCTGGGCAGTCAACCGGGGCCAGAAGTCCTCGATGTCTTCCAAATCAGTTAAGCTTTCCTGTACGTCGCGTATGTCAATGACCACTCGAGTTCATGGTCTATGAAATCATCGTTGACCTGCAACTTTACACTTACCATGCTTCTGAAGTATGATTGAACCAGAGGTCAGTGTTGGAATATTGACGGCAGAAAAGGGTGGATTTGGAAGGTGGTCTGGGCCGTTGCAAACGGCCCTTCCACCTACTTACACCCAACGGAGGAATCGTGGGCTACGCCCACCAACTTCCTCCTTACACAGATATACGCAGTTCAATACCAAGATTATTGAGCTTCGTACCGGCCCACAGGCCCCTGCTGACGTGTATACCAACAGTCAGTGTTCCCGATGTCAGAGTATGATTTAATCAACAGCTGCAATTGGGTTTTGTGTCGCAAGTCTGTGAGGCTTTCGACGAGGCAAAATCTTCGTAGAAGAATCCCCTGACCCAAGAGGCAGATCAAAGTCCCAAATGAGGCATAATCGCATCACGAAGAGCAGAGGATGTAAGCATCAGGGCTCTGCAGTACTTATTACACTTAGATGTGCGTCAGGCTCCACGACTCACCCCTGGGGCGAATGGGCAGACAAATCTGACATGCGGACCAGGGTCTGATGCAGGACCCGATATCACATCAGCACCCCCAAAGTCAGTAAGACAAACCGACCTCTTTAAGCTTCAACTCTTGCTTTGAACGAGAGAAGGATTCGAGTCGAGTGCACCGAAATTCTGCCATATTAACCCACCAACATAAAGTACCTACACTAGATCCCCTCAACGTGACCAGTGACAACAAAAACGACGAAGAAATGTCCGCAACATCTTCAGCCCTCGGCGCAGTCCTGGGTTACCTAGGCGCCGAAGTCGCGGGAATAAGCCTCTTCGAACGCCTCCTATGGCCAGAACGCTTCTACAACGCGGTCGACGCGATCGCGCTCATCCGCCTGGCCCTCTTCATGCCCATGGGCGGGCCCTTGCATCGCGCAGCCCTGGAAACATTAGATAAGTTCCGCGACCACGGCCTGTACAAGGGTCGTCGGCGGGGTGACATGCTCGGGACCACCTTCTTCTCCGACAAAGCCAGCGTTCGGTACCTCCACAAGACGGCAACCACCCCCGAAGGCCGGAAACTGCCACGGGCTGTACGGAACGGCTTCTGGATTGAGGTTTTGAAGCACGTCGACGACCGTATCGGTCTGGGCGGGTCCTGGGTTGGCGCCGGTCCGGCGCCGGTGCCGGATGCTGCGCAATTGAAGGAGGGAAGTGAAGGAACAGCAGACACCGTCAGGACTACAAGGCGGATATACCGACTTGATCTGGAGTTCCAATCACCTCAAGGAATCGAAACACCTACACAACTCAAGGCCTTCAATGAGAACTTCGGATTGAGAACATTACTAGGCATTGTTGTATCAGAGCTATCCTCGATTCTGCTTGCAGTCGCTGCAGCCATTTGGTTGAATCAGAGCAAAGATGGAGAGGACGCCCCAGCAAAGTGGTTCATCGGCTTCTTGTGCATTCCTCTCTTCCTGAAGCTCTTCGCCGCTGCAGCACGGGTGCGACGGGAGAGCTTGATACACAACGAAGCCTCCCCGAATCGTCGACCCTCAACGTAACAGCGCCATCTTCACCAGCAGGCGAAGCTCCAATCACCAAGAACGACCTAACCCCCACCTCCCCAACCCGTCACCAGGAAGCCGAGATATTCGAAGTCGAGGTGCCCTCCATCGGCTTCCTTCTCATCTCAACCCCCTCCCCAGCCTCCCCGGCAAGCTTCCAGTTCTTCCGCCACTACGGCCACCCGATCCGCGACAGCACCCTCGACCGCGCTAGGGAAGTGGCCAGCATAGTGACCGTGTACACCTTTGTCCTCTACTTCCCCGCGGGTTTGCTGCTGCTGTCGTGGATGAACCAGCCTATGCAGTACCTCTGGCTGGGCCAGCAGCTGTGGAGCGTCTTGGTCATGCATCTTGTGCGTCTTTTCGGATGGGAGAGCACCGCGCGGACAGAGGAGGCGGTGGCTGCTGCGCTGGTGAGAGATTTCAAGGTTGTGCTGGCTGGAGATAAGGCCTGTGTTGAGGCTACGCTGCGGATGGAGGAAGTAACGTCTGTGAAGGAGGGGAGGAAGAGGGTGCAACAAATCTTGGGAGGGATTTAGGATCATGGTGTCGGTTTCAATGAACGAATGACGATTGGGTCGAGACGAGTACGCAGTTATGTGAATTCATTCTTGTCTTGAGAAGCCGTTTTCATAAGAGAATGAATATATGACTTCAGTTCCTTTAGATACACGATTTTTGAACATACATCCGATCATCTCAACTGGCCGCTGACTTGTGGAAAATGCAAAGACTGAGCAGACTCTACAACACCTTCCAATCAACCTTGGAAGTTGGAGGAAGAGGCGCTTCCTTTAACACAAATTGGCCAATCTTGTTGAGATAGTGTTTCCCAAACATAGACAAGGGCAACTTCTCTAGCAGCACGCCATGGAGAAAACCCAAGTCCTGGTAGAGCGCAACCGCATAAATCCGCCGAGATCCATGACTTAAATCCTTGAGCGTCGCCAGCACGTCCTTGACGTTCGCCGTATACCTCTCCGGCTTGACTTTCTCGTCATCCCGAGGAAGAAAGCAGTCAACACTTCCCGACAATTGGCGCGACCCCGGCTTGTCGTCCGACGTCAAGGCGATGCCCACACCGCGCATGGAGACGCTTGCGTCCTCGTTGACAAGCCAATCTGCGACGGTCTCGTGGTCTTGACGGTCAATGAAGGTGTGATCAGAGGATCCCGAGATGCTGGCATACCAGCCTATGGTCTTGGAAACGGGTAGCATGGTCCCACCAGACTCGTTGCGCTTCAGGACTCGCCGCATCTCGTTGGCAGTGCCCGTGGAGCGAACTAGGTCCCTTGCCATGCTCTCATAGAAGATGGCACCGAACTTTCGTGAGCATTCGCGGAGGAAGGCGAGAGGGTAGGTTCCGTAGACCAGGGGCTCCGCTGGCGGCGTGGGATTGCCGGTGGACTTTGATGCCTCCAGACGCTCGACGTACCAGTCCGTTACGCCAACGGCCGACATAATGGCTGGGGCGCGGCTGGATGAGCCGTTTCGGAGGCTCGCGTTTGTGAGGACCGTCGTGGGAGAGCCAGAAGTAAGGGCGTTGTCGAGGCGGGTCATCTTGCAGAGCTGGTAGAGGTCCCTGACTGCGTTTGGGAAAGTCCGGTCGCTGGCGCTGTTATGAAGAAGTTTCCTTTCCAGGTCGTTCATGACTTTTCCATCGTACTGCAAGGGCTCGCTGAAGGGGGTTGCGATGGGCTCTGGTAGCAAGTTGTAATCTCGAGTGTCTCTGAGAAATACCATGAGGGCTCTCAATGAGATTGCTGTCCCGCTCCTATCTTCAAGCCTGGTCCAGGTGCGTGTGTAGAGCTGGATCTCGGGGCAGAGAATACACTCTTGTAAAGTCCATAGTGAGGACATCCAGAAGGTTGGCTCGCCTGCCGTAAGATCATCAGCAAGATCGACGAGGTCTTCCGATCCCTCACGACGCTTTCTTTTGAGCAGCTCCATCGCCACCGTGGCCGCCTGTGTTGCTTCTTTCATCCTGTCCTTGATCGCGTCGGTGTCGCGGTTTGACAAGAGTGATTGCGACTTGAGGCTCATCCAGTCTAATGCGGCCAGCACTCCATGCCAGGACTCAACGTCGTTGATCCAGGCGATGCAGTGACTCGATCTTTTGAAGATGGATGCCTGGTTTGCAATCTCCTGGGCGGCTCTAGGGTCGCTCTTGTCTTGCGGAATACAGAATAGATCAAACCAGATGTAGCGGTAACCCAGTTCCTTGAGCTGTCCCGGAAGATCGCGTACGTCGTATAGAGTGTTTTCCGGAACCAGCCACGGCACCCCAGGAACAGACGTGTCGGTTCGTGTTCGCCAGCGACCCCAAGTGTGGCTAATGCATACGTATGGGGGGTATTCAGGCAAATCTTCCACGGTCACTGTCTGTTGACCCTCGTTGTCCCACAGGTAGTACGGATTGATACTCGCCTGGGCAGAAGTAATGATCTGGTGTTCCGCATCGTTCTGAACGACAATAGGATATGGAGCTTGCTCTTTAGCAGGAGGATGGCCTGGATGGAGCACTGGGTAGGAAAGCTTCTGGATGGTTGCCACACAAGCAGATCTATAACGAGCATGCTGAAGTGTAGACAACTTTAAATGGCAGAGAAAAGGCTCCCAGAAGTGCGGGTGGAACTCGAAGAGGAAAAGCCTGAATAAGTGCGAGTGGTAGAGGGAGGTGTCCGTCTTAACTTCACTGGCGATGCGACGAAGGCCGTAGCCATCAGAGGGATTCGATATCGTCCAGAAAGGCCGGTTGCTTTCCAGGCGCGCGGCGGTAGCGCTCAAAAGCTCTTCGTCATAGTAGGCCGCCTTCCACCAGGACTGGAGAAGATCAAATGATCGTCTTTGAGCGGGCGATAATGAGTCGCAGAATTCAGCCTCATCCCGAACCAGCTGCTGGATTTCATCCCAATCGTCCAGCAGAGAAGCCCAACCGTGCAATCTCTTATGAGCATCGAACTCTGGTCCTCCCTTGTACCTGGCTAGATGAACCCACAACGGGCTTATCGGCCAAAGCCTAGGTTCAAGAGGCTTGAAGTGAAATTCCTTCATGGCTGAGCACGTCTTTCGATCTTGGTCGACTGTGTCCTGCCATTCCAGCCGTGGGGCTCCTTCAGCCAGGCGTCTCTTTTCCAGCTCATCGTACGCGGCCCATCGAGGGTGAAGTAGGGCCTCCCACTCGGGGGACAAAATGTAAGCAATGCTAATATCGTTGTCGGTCTTTTCGCTGTTCCTTTCCTCATGCCATTGAGTGAGCTCGGCTGTGATGCCGCTTTCTGATGGACCCATTGCTGCTGCTAATCCTCAGTCAGAAAAAGTCCAGGAGGAACCTGTATTCACATGTTCATGCCTACCTTGATTGGAGGCTGTTGACCTTGTTGTAAGTCAAATTGTGTTCGATTGCGGTTGTTTGAATGCGGGATCTTCGGCCCTCATGTGCTCTAGAAATTGGCAGTGGAAGTTCGCACCGACTAAACAAAGCCGCACCCATTCATGGTTTTAATATTGCTTGATAAGTCGACGCAACAGTATTGAGCCTTGTGTTTCCAGGGATCTGGTCCTTCTACAATCCCTTCCGTCAATATTATGGATTGGCATATGCAAGTAAGACGCGACTCACGAATCATCTTCTGACGATATCTTGCTGCCTGGCGCTGGTGATAGGGATACTCGGTATCTCCACAATGAGGCCATAGATGCTGTCCAATATTTCCGATTTCAGATTGAGCTTATTGTCACAAGGGGTGTCGAAACTGAAGACTCGCGATGAGAAACGGATTGCCTGATGTGCCTCTGCTACAGGCGCAGACCAGCTTGGCGTCCATACTAGACTCCGAGCCGGAAGAGCTGGTTCCCCTCCGCGACTGTCCAAGATGGACCAAATCACCACCCCTGGTCCGACACCCCTGCAATTGCTTCACGCGGAGAAATGGGGTACTCGAGCGCAAGCCGTCCTTAATTCTGGTTCTCCCCGCTTTCTGCACATTTCCAGGTTCCAATAAACGCCACGAGCAAACTGACTGAAAGATCAAGGTAGTAGGAATATTACCCCTTTCAGGAACAGTCGGCTAATCAACGGACTTCTGGAGGGAGACGTGACTGGATCGTTGTCAAGTCGAGTAATCTACCAATGCAGGTTCATCTGCACCAAGATGGAAGGGGAGGGTAGAGTTGCATCCAAGCGAGCGGCCAGATCTTCCCCCATGCACGGTTCCTGGCCCGTTTTACCGTGAAGCCACGCGAAGCAACGAGGGGGATAGACTATGGATAACTGTTTTCCACACCCAAGCACGTTTAGCATGGCACTAGGCCCGTTTTCAACTTACCTCGTGGCGGATTGCCTTTGATTTAAAGCTGCCAACCCTTGTCGGCAATCAATGGCACTGCGCCCAGATAGCCCGAGAAAGGCTTCGGAGGGTGATCTTCCATCATCTCAAGAGGAACAAGACGGCGCCGGGAAGAAGAAAGAGCTCTAGCTTTTCCGGGGAAGTTTGAGTCTCTGGAGAACGCGTTCCGTTGCCAATGAGCCCCTGAATGAGGTCAGGATGGGTATACGGGAAGAGACCCGACAACCGATGGTCAAGTTGGAGGAGGGCATCTGTCCCTGAGTATATATGAAGAGTTGGTTCTCTCGGAACCTTTTGTCGAGACGCGCGCTATTCTGGCTCCCGGTGCACTTGTCGCATTCTCTTTCCTTCTGGTGCCTGTAACTAAGTTCCCGAGGACCTTCACCACGGCTAACCAGTCACGATGGCCTCTTCCCTCTCCCGTCTGGGTCTCGCCGCCCTCTTCATGGGCCTGGTATCAGCGCAGCGCCAGATCGGGCCCGCTGAGAATCACCCGCCTCTCACAACGTGGCGCTGCACCAAGGCCGGCGGCTGCACCGAAGTCAACAACTTCATCGTCCTCGACTCCCTTGCGCACAACGTCTACCAGGCCAACGGTGGCGGAAGCTGCGGCTCCTGGGGCAGCCCGCCCAATGAGGCGGCGTGCCCTACCAAGGAGGCATGCGCCGAGAATTGTGTCCAGGAAGGTCTTGACGACTACAGCCGTGTCGGCGTCACGACGGATGGCGGTGCTATGACCATGTATCAGCTTAAGGATGGCGTGCAGGTGTCTCCGCGCGTGTATCTCCTTGATCCTTCCAAGGAGCAGTATGAGATGATGCACCTGACGGGCAAGGAGTTCACTTTCGACGTGGACGTGTCGAAGTTGCCGTGTGGTATGAACAGTGCCCTGTATACCTCTGAGATGGAAGCCAACGGTGGCAAGAGCGCGCTCAATACCGGTGGCGCCCGTCATGGCACGGGGTACTGCGATGCCCAGTGCTACACTACGCCGTTTATCAACGGCGAAGCCAATATTGAAGGATACGGTGCATGCTGCAATGAGATGGTGAGTTGTCTGTCCTTGGATCTTGTATAGCCCCCCAGAAGCAACTAACATGCCGTCACAGGACATCTGGGAGGCCAACTCGCGGTCTGCCCACCTGGCACCGCACCCGTGTAACCAGACAGGTGTTTACCTCTGCGAGGGCGAAGACTGTGCCTTTGAAGGCGTGTGCGATAAGAACGGTTGCGCCTGGAACCCGTACCGGTAAGTGCTCACCGCTTCAATCCCGAAGTACAGCTCAGAACCTAACACGAGACAGAGTCAACCAAGATGACTACTACGGCCGTGGCCCAGAGTTCGACGTCGACACGACGCGCCCCTTTACAGTCATCACACAGTTCCCCGCCAACGAAGCCGGCGTCCTTACCGAGATCCACCGCCTCTACATCCAGGACGGACATCTTATCCGTAGCGAAGTCGTCGACAACACGGATCTGCCGCAGGTCAACTATCTCAACGACGAGTTCTGCGAGGCGACGGGCTCGCGGCGCTTCATGGATCTCGGCGCGCATCGGGAGATGGGCGAGTCGTTTCACCGCGGGATGGTGCTTGCGTTTAGCATCTGGTGGGATGCCGGCGGCGGAATGAGATGGTTGGACGGTGCGCCGGAGGCCGGGCCGTGCGATGAGACGGAAGGGTTCCCGGAGAACGTCGTCAAGGTTGAGCCGAATCCGGTTGTGACGTTTAGCAATATCAAATGGGGCGAGCTTGGGTCTACGTTCAAGCCTCAGTGTAAGAACAAGCCCAGGAACGTGTAGCTTGCCTAGAGAATAGCAGCCTGCATTCATATGTCAAGTCTCGTCAGTCTTACATTGTCCGGCTGTGTCGATATTTCCATCAGATGTGCAGTGGTAACGTATTGCACCCTAGAAAAGTAGGTCGATGTAACAGGCAGAGAAGGGAGAAGAACGTTCCCGGCCGGGTCACGAACGCAGCCACACCGAATTGACGGCTGAGTCAGCACACCAGGGAGCTTGGACGCGTCGCGTAAAGTGGTCGGTGGTTCCTGCCGCCGATGGTCAAGTTGCCCCGCGGTTCCAGCTCCGGCCATGACCAAGCTGCGAACACCTACGGATACACCTCTCTACACACTCCCACTCCGTCACTCTGGGGATGCCTCTCAACATCTTCAACTTGTCATACAGCAGCTAATACCATGGAGGCGGTAACTGAGCGCCATTTCTTTCACCATGGCGCGCCTAGACCTGCCACAACCAAAACAGCTCTCAGGGTAGGTAATCTCATAGTCCAATGATGCTGCAATGCACTTTACGACTAGTTCTTCCATGCGGCTAGATGATTGGATTATAATCTGACCGATTTACTGCAGGCTATCGAGAGAGAAAAGCTAGATTGCCAATGGTGCCAGATACGAGCTTTCCCGAATCATAAACAGTACCCGATCACCATCGTCAATGAATTCGACGATGAGGTTATCCCGCCGAACTTCCGATTTCTCCAACATTCGAAGCTCGGCCACGGCGTACAGGCCGCAGAGGATAGTTTTCGAAGCGGATGCGAATGTGAAGACGAGGAAGAATGCCAGTACAAGGGCTGTCTCTGCCTGCAAGAGCAGGAGGACGACTCGGACGACGAGGGCGAAGCGAGGAAAAAGGCATACATGTACCATATGCATGGCGCCAAGGCCGGCTTGCTGCGGTCAAAGTTCCTGAGCTCGACGCGACCCATCTACGAATGCCACGGAGGCTGCGCATGCGACGTGAGCTGTCCTAACAGGGTGGTCGAGAGAGGTCGACAGGTTCCTCTTCAGATATTCCGGACAGAGAAGACGGGCTGGGGTGAGTTTAGCTTGAAGGCTGCTGTTGTGCTGGAGAGAAGCTTACAATCTGACAACAGGTGTCCGGTCGTTACTCGACATTAGAAGAGGCCAGTTCGTTGATAACTACATTGGCGAGATTATTACACCACAGGAAGCGCAGCGCCGGCGGAATACCTCCAACTTTGCGCAACAGAAGGACGTTTACCTTTTCGCGCTCGACAAGTTCACGGACGAGAACTCCCCAGACATGCGCCTCCAAGGTCCCCCGCTCGAAATCGACGGCGAGTTCATGTCAGGACCGACGCGGTTTATTAATCACTCTTGCGAGCCGAATTTGCGAATCTTTGCGCGCGTGGGAGATCATGCCGATAAACACATCCACGATCTCGCCTTCTTTGCGCTTCGCGACATTCCCCGCGGAGAGCAGCTCACGTTTGACTACGTTGACGGTGTGAGCGAGGACGCTGCCGATGCCAAAGACAAGAGCAAGCAAGGTGACATGGTCCCGTGTCTCTGCGGCAGCAAGAATTGTCGACAGTTCCTATGGTAGTCGTTGAGTTATTCTGAGATGTATCTGGACTCGAGGACAGTTCTGGCTTTTGGATCGTGGAAAGGTCGGATGCAGTTCGATGCTAGCTGCGATGAGCAACATCCCGTCAGCGATAGCGGGATCTGTGGAAGCCAAGGAGAACCCAATGACGAAGGATGCCGACGTCATCGGCATCGGGCATTTACAGACCTCCCTTCAACCTTGCTCATGAGCCTGGATCGGAATACACCGGGAGACAACGGGCGAGGAAGACTGGGTCAGGTGCCGAAACGGCATGACACGGAAACTCCGTGGGTTTATGAAGCCTCAAGCCTGAAGGAGCCCACGAATTGGATCTTCAGGGATGGCCGGTGCGCCCGGTTCGTCTGAAAAGGCGGACGACTCGGGAAGCCAAGGGGGGATGTCCTGGGATTGGACATGAAGCATGGTCTCATTGCCGTCCAATTCGTGCACGGCGCACATGTCAATTTTGATGTCGAAGGGAAGCATGACGCGATGAATGCATCTGAGCCTAGGTAATCAAATTGAGGTGTCAGATCTGGTGTCACGATGGAGACGCAGATCTGATGTGTTACTAAGGCAAGCTTCCAAATTGGTCTGGGGCGAGGTAACGGGATCTCGGCAAGGGCGTCTCAATTGGTGTAATACGAGACGGGCCCTGGTCGATATCCATTCTAGAGGCGCCAATTCGAGCACCGCTATGATCTCTACGGATAGTATTAAGAAAAAATGAAGCGATTACTCCGTAGTGAATTTCTCTTAGTCTCTTTGATGCGTGTGAGTAATCGAGATGTGCCGGCAGAGGCGCCTGCCATTGCCATCCATCGGTCTACCGTTGGCCGCTGACCTTGTCATTGATGATCAGGCGTTGAATGCATGGTGGCTCAGCAGAACCTTGGACTGATCCCCTCACAGCCAACACAGGCATAGCAAAGGCCAATGGTAGGGCAAAAGAGAGAAGAGGAAGGCTAGTGGAGGGGTGGGAGTCTCGCGGCATGAAGCGAGTGGGCTGGGCTGAGCAATGCCGGGGAGGACCCTGTGTTGGGCCGACTTTTTCGGATGGATCTCGCCAAGGCACTTGTGACCAAGAGCTTACAGAAAAAGATAGTAGTGGACACTCGAAGGACGGGACTTTGTGTGTGAGAGACTCAAGGAGAGAACCGTATGGCTGGGCCGATCCAATGTCTCGATCCATTGTCTCTTAGCGTCTGTTGAGTATTGCTGAAAGAGGACAATCCACGTGCAAACGGAGACTCGAAGGAGCGAAACATGTCTGGATTTGGAAATACTGCACGCGGGAGAGGGAAAAATAAGGTAAAACACGGGTGCATACATCACGGATCTCATCTGACTGCCCTGGGATAGCGAGCATAAAAGAGGAATCGGCAGAAAAGGGACGAAAAGTCGAGGTCCACTGCCTTCTTATCTTATCTTCGCAAGCGAGGCGGACGGCAAGCGAAAAACAAGCAAGAGTTGGGCGTCTCACAGCAGCAACCCACTGGACAAGCCTGGACCTGGACTGCGCAGGTAGCGGCACCCCTGCTGCCGAGATCCTCTTCCGGGGAACTGCAACCACTGATCATCTGCTGCATTCTTTCCATTTTTTTTATACTATTCGTAGAGGTGAGAACCATCGGCACCGGCACCGATACGGGAGTGCTGACGGCAGGCTCTCACCTCACCCTCACCTTGCCTTCACCACTTCACCTCTCACCTACTGCGTCTAATCCTTCCTTTCGTCACCACCTCAGGCGCCTCACCCACCCTCCCGAACGCCGTCCCGGTTCATCACCTTCTCTCGTCACTTTTCACTTTTTCTCTTCTGCCCTCCTTCTGCCTCCTGCAACGCCCTTTGCGTGTCTGTCACTCATCTTGGAGGAGCTCCCCTCTCACCAACACCACACCTCACCACACCACTGGTACACCACACACCTTCTCTTCTCTTCCTCCATTCGCGACGCCTCCCCCTCGAATACGTACCTACCTTACCTTTACTTCAGCTACACCACTTCCCGTCGCTCTCCCCACGCTCCGCCCGGGACCAACACCACACACCTTTTAATACACGGCAGCCGCAGCTTGTCGACCAACCAGCGTCAGATCGTCACGTCAACGACACAAGGGTCTAGACCTTCCAACAGCCCACGCCCGATTCTTCTCCTCTTTCAACATCGCCCCCATTGTCACCACTCGACTTCTCTACGGCAAAGCCACTAGTTAATCCCCGCCAATCTTTTGACATCTTTGTTCAGTACAGCTAGCCAAACTGCTCCTACTCGTCTTTCATCTCGACGTCTACTGCGACTTGATCATCACCAAAACGACGCATATCACAACCTGGGCAATGGCACGAGACGCACCAACTTGCTAGAACCAATCTCCCCCGCTCATACAGTACCGAACACCCCATCCTCCACGTGAAGGGTTCGACATCATGGTAAATATTGACTTCTCCTCCCCCTCGTCTATGCATGATACCGCCGCCGGACGCTACTCCGGCCGCCCAAGCGCTCTGTCAAACCTGCATATCTCGTCCGACCACCTCGCGCATGCTCTCAGACTGACGATCCTTCTGGCATAGGGCTGCTGTTTTTCCCGTCCCCAGGGCTCCAACGCCCCCTACCCAGGTCCCATCAACACGGGCTCCGCGAGAGCTATCAACTCTGCACCCGCCTCTGCTGTTCGCGATGACTCCCCCGCCGAGACGACACAGACCTCCTCTGGCCGACGTCGGGGCCGCCAGTCCAGTATGCCCCTCGACAAGCACATCAATAAGCCTCTGCGCCGTCACGTTTGGACTTCCAAGGGCCGCGCCTGGACCCGCATCGCCATAGACCGTGAGCGAAGTGACTTCTTTGACACCCGCGTCACTGGACGCCCAGAGGTCTGGCAGTCGCTACGCGCAGTACTCGAGGTTCTCTGGGATCCCGTTGGCCAGGGTGCTGCTGACGACGGTACCGATGGCCTTGCAACTGCGCAAGGCATCCTTAATGCAGCAGAAATCACTCTCCCCACGGGTGACCTTGCTCAGGGTGCCTACGATCAACTGGGCAACTACTATCCCCTGTCTGAGTGGCTTGTCGCCGATCCAACTAATCTAGTCGAGGACGATGCCACGGTTGATGGCGCCGATGAGGCTCTTTCGACTAGAGATCTCAAGGACGACCTGGCGGGAGGAGAGGAGACTACGGAGGAGCTGGACGAGGACGACAACGTCCGCCGGAGAGAAGAGAAGGGCAAGGCCGTCGTCGACGCCCGCGACCAGCTCTCCGTCCTAGCCCGCCTGAGCGAGAATGCGCGCGATGTCACTGTCAGCTTCGCCAAGAGCGATAGCGTCAGAACTGTTGCTCGTAAGATTCAGGAGCAGTCAGGAGTAAGTACAGCATCTTGAGCTTCATCTCAGTCCACCCATCCAAGAGAAGATCCCATCTAACAGGTTCCCAGCTTGCCTCCACCAAAAAGATCCGCATTGCCTACATGGGCAAGATCCTTAAGGACAATCTCTCCCTCACCGAGCAGGGTTGGGCAGAGGGCCATGTGGTCAACGCCCTCGTCTTCGAAAGATAGCATCATAGAAGACAATCGCCGATGGACCGATATGCGCCCTTTTTGCTTGAGAAGGCATGGTCTCTCCAAAGGTTGGCGTCCCAGGACATGCGGCGCGATCCATTCCCTTCTCCTCCTCCTCAGTGAAGAACAACAACCAACCCAGGGCACACCGAACGTGGTGGATACAAAACGGCCGCAAACATGTCTACACCCCGATTAATTCGATTCGATTTGGTTGGGGACACAACACACCTCAGCATGAATTTCCTTTCGTCAGGCTTTCCTCAGTCTGGATAAATACCCCCTTTCATTACTGTGCGGGACTCTTTTTTCATCTTCATTTATAGTTGATTTGGCGTTCTGGAGGATGGAAACCCACTGCCACACAAAAGAAGTTGGTCAGCCATTCATTGCAGGCGTTCGTTTTATCATGAGCACTTCATTCACGGGTGTGATGTCTCTTTTCTTTTTTTAGTTGCTAATAGCGGTCATTACGATCATCCAACGAGCGAGCTTTTCTCCGGGGTAGTGCAGCATCCAATGGCTGTCACCATGGAGAGCTTTAATGCCAATAAGTATTCTTGAGTACAACTTGAATGTGTGTCAGTTCCTGCCCATGCAATGACTTGTCTTTCTTGTGATTGAGAACCCCAAGGCAGAGGTGAACTTTGACCTGGCTTTCAACATTTCACCCACACACACACACACTCACGCACAATCGGCCAACGCTCTAGAGACCCTCCAGAGGAAGATCCCTTGTTGAACATCAAGAACATCTCATTTCTACCTACTCATGACGCCTGACCGGGCTGCACTTTTTACTCTAACCTCGAAAGAGAAGAAAAAGGAGAGAGATATAAGCCAAGACTGCTCTCTTTCCCCTCTCTCCTTTTCAACCCCCTACACCCCTTATTCATTCCCATTTCAACTCGACGCTGTCGGCAAGCCAACCACCACACACATACACTTCTCTCTTCTTCCTGGCTCTTCATTACACCTGGAGGCTTGGTAGGCCTCCAGATAGCCAGGTGGGGGATACACCACAGTCTCCGTATATAGCCACCTATATCTCCTTTCCGCAAGTTTATGCCGCTGAGCCAATCTTGTTGAGACCCTTGAGGGATCCCAAGCTCAGAGCCAGACCCTGCGATCTGCTTCTTATTCTGACGAAACCGGTGATGGGTCCGTCCTCGCCTTCCTTTTCGATACTCAAGTTGGCCAAAGCATCCTCGCCTATGAAATGTGTTAGCTTTCGATACTGGATTCATCAATACACTAGGGTAAAACTCACCGAATACACTGCGAGCGTACAGGTTGGCGCTCAAGAACTGGCAGTCGCCCTTCATGCTGGCCTCGGGGGTCAGGCAGTTCATGTTGGTCGCCGCCATCAGCTGCTCGAGGAAATCGCGCAGGGACTTGGCCTTGGAGTTGATGTTGACCTTATTCTCCCACTCAAACTCGGTCCACATCGTGCGGAACTGTGTCTCGGTACATGTTGCCGGCTGGATGTAGTCCATAATGTCCACGTGGAGGTCGTTGAGGATGACGACATTCGTATCCGTCGAGTGGGCGCCATCGTAGACGACGTTGCCAAAGATGACGCCAGTGTCTGTGGAGGACACCTTGATCGTGCACTGGACGTTGTGGAAATCGTGAGGACCCAAGTTTTGTGTTGTCGGCCGCTCGACGACCTTCAGGTCACCGAGAGTGGCAAACTCGACAGAAAGGTTCTGCAACGTCTCCATGGTCTGGTTGACCAGAAGAACGTCAAGGACGATATCGAACTGGTGCACCTTGACGTAGGCCTCAGCGTAGACGGGGTCGGAGAAACCAGTGAGCTGCACCACACGACTGAGCTTAGATGAGAGATCCTCAGCGGTGGCCTCTCCACCTGTTGCCCGCTCCAGATCAACCTCGATCTCGTCAAGGCCATCGCTGGCGTTCTTCTTGGAAAGCTGACGAATCTGAACGACGTCGTCAACCTGGATGGCTGTCTTGGCCTTCTCCACGGCCTCCTTGGCGGCCTTCTTCTTCTCCTCAGCCTGGACCATCGCTCTGAACGCCCTGCGGGTGTCGTCGAGGTACACGGTCTCGAGCTCCTTGTTCTGAGCAAACTCGGCGAGCGAGCGCACGCAAGACATGATACGATCCACCGAGTCCTCGTCAATGGGAGCCTTGACGAATTGCGACTGGCCGACGCGGATGATGGAGATCATGATAAGCATGGCCTCGCCGCGAAGCGCGTTGGTGCGCGCTGACTCGGCAGATATTTCGGCGTGGCGCATGACCAGCTTGACGAGGGTGGCTGAGAGAACGGTCGCGAGGTAGTAGTCGCCATCGAGAATGAGCTGGCGCAGAGGAGGCTTCTGGGCAGCCTTGACAGCCTCCAGCTTGGCGGCAACAGCAGACTGGCTGGTAAGGGCGGTTTCGGTGGCGTAGGTTCCGTCGGCAAGAACCTTGCGCGAGCCGGTCGGCGCTGCAGGCTTCGAGTGGCCGTTGACCTGCTCCTTGTTCTCCTCCTCGCTATCGCCGTCCAGGAGTCGTTGTTCCGAAGCGAGGATCGGGATCTCGCCGAGGCTGGCACGGATGCTCTTCCATGCATCCCGGATGTCTCGCTCCTCCAGGGAGTATTCTCCTATAATCCACATGATGCCTCTGTACACCTTTCCGGCACGCACCTCGCTGAGGGTAGCAACCAGCCTCTGAACGATCGGCTTGCGCAGCTTGGGGAACTTCTCCACGACCTCCTTGACGAAGTTGATGACATCGACGGCTGAAGTGTTATTAAAGTCGGCAATGAAGTCCATGAGCAGGTCAACGACGCTAGCGGCAACCTCTGAGAACTTGATGGCGCATTGGTGGATGGTGTGGATAAGGAGCTGGCGGTACTCGGTGTTCTTCTCGTACTCTTGGTCGACAGTCTTGGAGAGCTCCTTCTTAAGCAGCAGGACGACCTCCTCAACATTCTTGCTGGACACCATCTCGAGAGCAATATCCAGAGCCTTGCGTCTGACATCGATATCGGGGCTGGAAAGAACGCGGAGGATTTCCATAACCAAGTCGTCCAAGATACCCTCGTTCTTTTTCCGTAGTTGATCAACCCGGTCAAGCACAATGAGCTTGACATTGTTATCGGCTTCCTTGATGCTGAGCTCGATGAACTTGGCGGCCGCGGCCTTAACAGCGACGGGATTGTTTGTGAGGGCGGTTAATGAGGAGGCGGCTTCGTATACGACGGTCGAGGTGTTGGCTTCGAGAAGGTCGAAAATGAGTCTGAGGTACCGTGCCTAATCAATGTCAGATGTGCGCCAAGGAAACATCCTTTACTGGTTTTCCCTACCTTGTTCTGAGAGTTCTGGACGGCATCCTTGCGGATGAACTCGAGCTCAACGAGCTGCAACAGCTCTTCTGCGTTCGGGATACCCTCAAACACCGTGCTGAGGTAGAGCAATGCCTTCTCGTGGTCGATAGAGGCGAGCGCAGCGAAAGCGTTGCGCTTGCATGTAGGATCGTTCTCGGACTCGAGGAATGTAGCAATGAGATCTGAGGCATCGGGAATCAGGCTGGCAGAGTGTGTGTAGATGGAGGAAACCGCGAAGACGGCGTTCTTGCGCACGTAGGCGTGGCGGTGCTCGAGACATTGTCTGGCGGAGGAGAGGAGAGGCTCAATGAGCTCGGCTTCTCTAAGCTTGCACAAGAAGCGAAGAGTGTTTCCCCGGATGTACTCGTTAGGGTGCTGCAAATCGTTTCTAATACCGTTGCTAAGGCCAGAGTGTCAGCAGGGGTGCAGCTGCGAAGGGAACGAACGAGCCAGCAACGAACCAGACCAAGATCATTTCCTGCTTCAGCTTGCCATTGGAGTCGAGCTTGGGGCAAATCTCGTAGTAAAAGTACAAAAGCTTCTTCAGGGCCTTGTGCTTCGAGGGCATGACGAATCGGATGATGTGCATGAGCAAGTTGGGCATGGGATCGCCATTGAGCATGATCGTGAGAATGCGCTTCATGGACTCGACCTTGCTCTCGTCGGTGCCCTTCTCGAGCTGCGTGCGCAGGTCCGAGAGGGAGGGGACATCGGCAGCATTGTCCTGGTGCACCAAGCTGTACGCATTTTCCAGAAAGGAGGCCATCGTGGCGGGTGCGGTGTGATGTTGCTGGCTCGGTGCCGGCGCTGGAGGTTGAGGACGTGTTCAAGGGGGGATTCGGGAGTTCGAGTGGGATGTATCGAAGCTGGGCGGTGGGGATTGGACGGTCTAGGGACGGGGGTGGAATACGTGTTAGCTAAGGGAAGCTGTCTGTCGCTACGAGTTTACTGCCCAAAGTGACCAAAAGCTCTGGGGATGAGGAATAAAACAAACTCTAGACCATCCAGCGAGACTGTCCTCTTCCACGCAAGTCCTATGTAAACATTCGTCGCCGTGTTGTGCTGCGTTGGAAGCAATTATTTCCGATCAACGGCTCGGTAGCTGGCCTCTCACACTCTGGCTTTCGTGAATATCTGTCCCTGGGCACTTGCGCCGGACAGGTGTCACTACTTAGGTAATCACACGTGATTCAGGTTTTAATGGGACTCGACCCCTACAAGCCAGGTACGTACCGCCCAGATAGGACGGAACGGATTAACTGGCCAGAACCTCCCTTGGCCGGGCAAGAGCTCTCAATTGGCGGCTCAGGGAAGCTTGGACCATGTTGGATCGGACCCCGCTACCCTGCCGGCGAGGCACCGCGGGCCAGGCTGGGCTGGATGGGGACCATCCCGCTTTTTCTTGCATTCCCATCTCCAGCCTTGCAGCTCGAGGACATCAGCTGTGACATTTCACCGACATTGCTATTTGTCGTCCACACTGCTGTCACAATGGCGGCCCCTACCGACCAATTCTACCTCCGCTACTAGTACGCAACCAGAGCTTGCACCATATCAGGGATCAATGCTAATTGAAATGCAGCTCTGGTCACTCTGGACGATTCGGACACGAGTTCTTGGGTAACATCGAGCCCCAACCCCACCATTCGGTTCTTCGAGCAGCCTTCTGACGTTAATGCCACCAGAGTTCGACTTCCGCGTCGTCGGCGATGGACGGAGCGCAGTCGCGCGTTATGCAAACAACTCCAACTACCGAAATGATAGTCTGATTCGCAAAGAGAGTACGGCGCCTTTCCCGCAAATCGCATCGAGCAGCGCTAATGGGGATATCTAGTGTGCGTCAGCGCTCTCATTGTCGATGAGATCAAGCGCATCATCAAGACAAGCGAGATTCTGAAGTACGATACCCGACAGGAACCATACCCGGATATACGCTGACACACTGTGAAGGGAAGATGACTCAAAGTGGCCACAAAAGAACAAGGACGGACGTCAGGAGCTGGAGATTCGGTTGGGCAACGACCACATCTCCTTTGAGGTGGGTTGAAAACAACACTGTTGGACTCGGAGCCTCGGGCTGACTGACGTGTTTCGAACAGACGGCCAAGATCGGCTCATTGGTTGACGTGACAGAGTCCGCCGACCCTGAAGGCCTGCGCGTCTTCTACTACCTGGTGCAGGACCTGAAGGCGTTGGTATTCAGCTTGATTGCCCTGCACTTCAAGATCAAGCCCATCTAAAAGGGGACAAAATCGAAGAAGGCACTGGGGGCGGCAAACGACGAAAAGTCTGGAGATACCCCTTGAGGACTGGGCCCGCAACCTGTTCCCTTCCCGCGAGAACGCTACGAGCCGGCTACGAGAACGTACCATGACGAATGAACCCGCATGTGACCTGCGGAACGACTGTTCTTTTCTAGAAAAAAATGCATCGTGCTGCAAGTCGGATGCATGGAGAAGGGATCTTGGGCCCTTCAGCTCAGACGACGAGCTGGCGAACGGACAGACGGGCAGGCGGGAAATTAAACAGCCCTGCTGGTCGTCCCTTATACGAGGTTAGACTCGGGGAGACCAGACTGCATGGCTCCTGGTCATGTGTGTTGAAGAAAAATAACGAGATACGGTTTTCACTATTGATGCACGCACGCGCCCCCTATCTTGATAGTGAGGTTTTTTTGAGGTTGAGTGTTGATGATGATGTTTACACGATTGAGAGATGAAGAAGAATTCATTTTTTGAGGTGGCATGCGGCCCGCTGTCAAAAGAATGGCACACTTGTTGTTCGGTCAATTTTGTCTTCATGGGACTGCCGCACTTGGTTCGGGCACAAAGGTGGTGCGGTTCGCAGACGATGCCAACAGTTGGAGTCAGGCTTTCTGCAACGGCGCATATACGCCAGGCAAAGGCGTGTTACAGAGCACCTGAGCTGGGTCCACCAGCGACATCTTTCTCGGGTTGCTGATGGGAGTAAGTAAGGGCGTCCCTCAATGACGATGGCAGAGGTTGGCAATGTAAGAGACAGTTGAAACGTGACGGGAAGAAGCCGGTACCTGGGGTTCGGATCGCACCAGAAGGGGGGCATGCAAGCATGGGAGGAGGGTGTAGATTTCTGAGGACGCAGCGTTGAACGGCGGCGCCGATCCCAGATCGTCGTTCACGCGATGAATGTGTATGATGATTACTTTGTGCGACTAGAGACACATGCCATTGAGCATACCAAACGTTGAGGTTGACCTAAGCTTCTTGCTTGGAAAGGGGTCAAGTACAAGGGCACGGAAGTGTATTTCCATTGCTTTCTCAACATGAGATACCCATTACTTGGACAAGTTGTACTCACAGACAGTATCAACAGTGCAATTAAGAACGCGGGTCCCAAAAGAGAATTACGGTGGGTGACAGGGACCTGCTTGGTCGGGAAATGTGGCCGAGTACGGACAATGAAGTCCAATTGCATTTTCAGAGAAGCAGCAGGGAACTTGAGTGCAAGGGATGGATGAATAGAGTGAGTGTCAACTGGCACAGCCCTTTTCTCAACATGAGGCTGAGGCTTAGACTTGGAATATGGGGCGGGTAAGGTGAGCTCCTCCGGAAAGCCTGAATGCCAACTCTCGACATATTATCGAGGTAACCGGGGAATAGGACCGGTGGGATTGAGGGGCAGAAAGCTAATAAAGCGAGACGACTGTCTGTTGCCAAGACCGAGTATGTAGCTTTTAACAAGCTAATTAGTTGATAGATACCTCGCACTTTGTAGGAGCTGTTCTCGTGAGGGGAGATAGGCACACACTAGGTGAGATGAGTGACATAGAGGGGAGTGAGAGTGCTTTGACGGTGTCTGAGGGCTTGGGAGTGCAGGAAAGAGGCTGCAAGAGCACAGAGTTTGGCCCCAGTCTGTGCCCTTTTTCTCCAACTCTTCCGTGTGAGATTCAGATTGGATTCAGGCTTTCAGCGCCCTGCCGAAGCCTCCGTTCCCCGCCGTCTGAGGCTCTAGAAAAAGTGCAGGCTGGAGGGCGGGCGCAGATAAAAGTCCGCAAGCCCGATGAGTGAGCCTTGACCCCTATGAGTTCAACTCATGAGCACTCATGTTTGAGACCAGAAGTGAGGAAGACGAAGCAGCGGTAGCAGTAGCAGTAGCTTATAAGATCTTTCAGGGTATGCGGGACAAGGCTACAGGGCAGTCTTATAGGTGCCGAGTGAGCTGCTGTCGTGTTCGGGACCTGACGGGTGACATGTGTGGGTGCTAGTGAGTGAGTGGTTAATTGAGTGAGCATGTAAGGCGGTTGACGAATTAACTTGGACAATGCAATCTACCAGAAAAGGGATCAAGCGGACGCTGGCTATCCGCCAACCGCGCCTGTGGTCGCTGTCAACGTGAGTAAAGTGGTCAAGTGTCTCTGTTTTGCGACGCTTGCGGCCCAGCAGTTCGTCCAACACAAGCCACCAAGTGAAAAGGAAGGGAGCAAGCACGCAAGTCGCGACCAAGTTGCTAGCCACTTGCTCGCTAAAAGACAAAAGTTTACGTTAGCGCAAGCCATTAGCTAACGCGTGGGACGCTAGAAGCGACAGGAAGTCGGTTCGTGGGGATTCACAGTCATGATAGTTGGAGATGGCCCACGTAAATCACGCTCCCACGCTAAGTTACCCACGATTACCGTAGCTCAGTGGCGTGGCAGTGACAAGTCGTTAGTGCGAGAGAGCTTCACTTTACAGCGGATAGAGGGAAAATGAGGGCGGCGCAGGGCTTGACAGCGCAGAAATGGCACAGGCCGGGAAGACCCTTCCAACGTGGCTAGCGGTAAACGACGCAAATTGAGGTGTCCCCGCGTCTCGTCTCTCACGTCCCTTTTCCTCTTTTTCTTCCCTAGCTGAGGTAATTGAGGCACTCTTTCTCAAGCTGGACGAGTGAGCGATGAGCATTCAGGCCGCGAACAGAAGGCGGGGACACAGGCGTCATCGGCTGCAATGCATTGACTGCACCTGCCCGCCCTCATTCTCCCGCATTTCATCTCACCCCCTCTAGTCACTCACCCCCATTTCATGTGTTTGCAGATTTTCTATGCAATTGACTGAGAGTGAAGATGAATTCAGTCAAGACAATTCACTCATTTCATAACTCTCAACTTATACAGTCTGACTGTAGATAACTCCCTGATGAACTCAGCAAAAACCAACAAGTATCATCGCGACAGAACAGCAACATCCCAGCGCATCAGTACAGGTCATCCCGTCCCATCCCTCGTCCTCTCCGCGGGTCCCCCGTCCGTCCCAGTGCCTCCCCGGTCACGACTCACCCCCAATTCTCTCTCATGCCACGCCCTCTCACACTCACTCTCACCTCACTCTCACTGTCAATGGCAAGGACTTCAAGCTACAGATACGTACTAAGTACTCCGTACCTACTGCAGTACATGCCCGTTGTACCCACGGTAACCTAATCGTCACCCCCCGACCCATTTCCCGTGCCTTGGTCACTTCACCGTCCTCCCGTCTGCTGGCTGCATCCAGTCACCACCACCTTACTTTACCTACCTTAGTTCTACCCGTCACTGTCGCTGTCTCTATTGCTTGTGCCATTCCATGCTGGCAATTCCTGTTGGCCCTGTTCTTCAATCTGTACGGATCCAATACAGCCACTGCATTGCTGTGGACAACCCTCCCATATCTCTCGCCCACCTCAAGTCTGTAACTACTTCGACTCAGACTCGCCTTGTCTTCGTCACATCATCAGTCACCCGTCCGTTGCTTCTACTTTGCATTTGATATCCCCCTCAAAGCAAGAAAAGCTTCGTCATCCGCGACGTGCTTTGCGACCACTCGGCTTATCCTCTGCGAACCATAACTCCAATTATCCTCACCCACTCACCTGTCGTCGTCCTGAGACTCTGCGACTACCTACAAAGTTGTACCTCGTTGGATTCTGGGGTGGTGTTCTCTCTCGACCAATACCATCCTCGCCCCCCCCCCCCCCCCCCCCCGACCGCTTTCTTCCGCTTGGCAGGCCTGTGACTTATTCGGCCCCAGAGTCACCGATTGTTCCAAGTGGCCTGGCCCAACTATACTCCTCCTCGCATCCCGTCGACCGAGTTGACTTTGTCTCGACTTTCGAGCCCGCGACCGCACAATTTCGCGGCGAGTCACCAACCATCACCGACATCGCACCGTCACCCGCCCGTTACCGACATCGACAAACCTCCAGCAGCGCCGTCGCTCCCCTGCTGTCCTCATTGCGGAGCCCCTCGACCCCCTGCCGGCGGTAAACCCGCACCCGTTCCCCGTCGACGCGACCGACCCCATCGCCCGACTTCGACGCCCAACATGCCGACTCCATCCTCCAACCCTCCTCCCGACCCTCATTCGCCTCGATCACATAGCTTCTCGACATGTCCTGAAGATAGCAGCTCAAGATCTCCGCAACGCAGCTGGCGGCCACCCACCGATGCAGATCAGGCCCCTCCCGAGATGGATCCCCATCACGACGACCCCATGGACGACGACTCGTCACCCGCCCCCGTCAGCGCTCCAATGTCACAAGCTGAGGGCATGAGCACAGAGGTCATACTCGACGACGAGCCCACATCCGCCGTCTCATCCTCAAGATCCACTACCATGTCGCCGAGGCCGCAGTCGGGCGACACCACCCAATCGTCACCGGCGGCCGATATGGACTCTTTCAAGCATGCCGAGTCTGACGAAGAGGCGCACTCGGCCGGTGACAGGCTGAGGACATCCCGGACAGATGGCGCGAGGCGGCACGATCCCAGGCTATCGCCGACTTCGGTACATCACGAAGACAGCAAGGGCATGGAACTTGATATCGACGACGTGTGGGAGGAGGAACTCATGGCGCCGTCCATGGGTTCTGACTTTTCCAACATGCGGGTACGTGCCCAAACGATGAAGACTAGCGCGCCAGTGACTAACAAAACGCCCCGGCAGATTATTCCATCAACAGCATCTTCATATCTTCGCCCAGGAAGCAAGTTCCACGGGACGCAACAATCCGAGCGACAGGTATATGATGTGCAGGTAGAAATCAAGCATGTCGATCTTCGAGAGTCGTTTTTATGCGGTTACCTGCGAATCCAAGGTACGAAACGGCTTAGCTTCCCCGCCCATCGTGTAACCCGTTGCTAAACTCTGTGTCTGCAGGCCTCACCGAGGACCACCCCACATTGACGACATACTTTGAGGGCGAAATTATCGGCACCAAATATAGCTTCATCACCGGCCACGAGAGCTGGGGCGCCACTGACAAGATCGATCTCAGCCATTGGGGCAAGTTCAACGCCTTCCGCCCTCTCCAGAAGCAAGCGCGCAAGGGCCCGGTGGTGATCCGTGATGTTGGGCAGAGGGAGAATATTTTTATGCGTTGGAAGGAGCATTTCCTCGTCCCTGACCACCGCGTACGCACGATTTCCGGGGCCAGTTTTGAAGGCTTCTACTATATTTGCTTCAACCAGGTCAAGGGTGAAGTGAGTGGAATCTACTTCCACTCCAAAAGCGAAAAGTATGTGCCGACGATATCCTCCCACAACCTTTTCATTTCGTTGTTTGGCTAACAGTTTTTACCAGGTTTCAGCAGCTTGAGCTCAAGCACGTGGAGGATAGGGGCTGCTTCGGCGCCATGGAATTCAGATGAGATCAGACACCAGAACAGGGAACGAAGGGAAAGGAGATCGGAAAGGGTGCAGGAGGCACGAGCGCGCGCGCCTGCAGACTGCGGGAGTATGTCTGGTTGGACGCACGCGTGTTTTATTCTTGTTGTTTTTTTTTTTGCAAATGATATCAAATGACGATGCCATGGTATGCCTTGGGTATGAGTATGAATATTCCAAGGCCAGCGAATTTAGGAGGGAGGGGGTCACGACACGTGCAGAAGAAAGAGAAACGCACAGTATTATCATTATTATTTTTTATCAGGCAAACGGTCATGACATCATCAAAGAAGGGGCTGGGTTTTTGCTGTACATGTCTTTTTCTTTCTTGGTTTCTTCTTTCTATCAGGCTTCTTCTTTTTCAAACTTTGTGAAGTAGCCCCGTCGGAAGGGGTTCAACTCATCTGCTGTTGTTCCTGCTACGAATGTGCGTTTGTAGGCCGCCAGTCTTTCCGGGTCTACCTGGCTGTCGGGGATGCGCCGGTATGTAATAAGTCTACGGGACCCTATTTGGGTGTGAGCATGCTACTGTAACCATGATGGGCAGACTACTGCAATCGAGGAGGGACAGGAATTTGGGCTGTAGGAAGGAGAGAAAGGGGGTTCAGGTAGGTAGGCAAATACATGGGAAATACTCACATTTGTTGAACGGTTGTACGCATGTGGCAACAATATCGAGGCGAGGATGTTGCGGTGTAGGGATCTCCTGGTCCTCGTCGTTGGCAGTCGGCATCCAGAAGGAGAGGCGGCCGCCGTCGACGAGGGTCTCGGAGGCGAACTCGAGGATGTCGTCGAGCATGGCGAGGAAGCTGTACGGCTTCTTGGGGGCGATGAAGTCTCCCGATCTGGTGTTGTGCTGTCAGTATCCTGTCGAATGCCCGTCCATCATGATACGACCGAGAAAGGCAGGGGAAGGGAGAACAAAACATGAATGGAAAAGGGGGTCACCAACTTATACCGCTGCTTCCCAGCCTCAACAACCCACGGCGTCTTCTCCGGATCCCGACATCCCAAGACCCTCAACCCCTCCCTCACACCGTACGGCGGATCGCACACGATACCATCGAGCCACCTCACCCTCCTTACGGGTGAATTCGTCAGATCCGCCGTCCAGAACTCCCCCATGCGCTCCGAGAGCCCATACTGCGCAAAGTTGCCCTTCACGCTTTTCTCCCCTCCGCTCCCGCGAATCGCCCTCCCATCAATATCGCTCCCGAACCCAAGCGCCCCGAAATGCGCACACGCAACGGGGAAGGAGCCCGTCCCGACAAAGGGGTCATAAAACAGTTTTCCGGGCGCCGCGTGCGCAAGGTTCGCCGTTACGAGGGCGAGTTCAGAGTCCATTGATGTCGTGCTGATGTACCCCCTCTTCTTGAGGTCATATTTCAGCGACAGCGAGCGGGCGCCGGTGGCGAGGAAGCGGGCTAGGTGGACGCGTTTCGGCCCCTCTGTGCCGCGGAGATCCCAGTCTTCAAAGATTGTGAGGTGGAGGTCGGGGGTTTTGAGGTCGATTGCGCCGTGGAGGGGGAGGTATTTGTAGGCGTTTATGAGGGAGACGAAGGAGGCGTGGGGGCGGGAGGATTGGTATGTGTCTAGGGAGAATTTGAAGGTTGAGGTGCTGACGGCGGACCAGTCGAAGGATGGGGAGTCTGAGGCGAGTTGGAATTTGAGGATGGGGTGGATTTCGTCGTGGGTTGGGGCTGAGGCGAGGAGGAGGTGGATGGATTGGGTTAGGAGGGAGCGGGCGACGAGGCGGAGTGCGTGGGAGGGGGAGGGGAGGGTGATGATGCAGAAGGGGGACTGGAGTTGATGTTAGCTTTGGTTGTGATATCTTGAGGTGTTGGTGGTGAGGCTCTCATCAGGGGTAAAGGAGTGTGAGATGAGTCGGGTGGGTTGGGTTGAGAACAGGGAATCAAATATGAGCAAGAACACGAATGATGAGCAGATACAGGATAACACTTTGGACATGATAAGTCTCGTGTGTATGAGCTAGGAAATGTGTTGTAAATTGTGAAAGGCAAAAAAAAAAAAAAGGAATTGAGGCTCTTATGTATGTCAGAAGACTTGGTAAATTTCAAGACTCACATCTAGGCTATACTCGATAACCTTCATGTCGATACCCTCCAAATCAGCGAGAGCCTGCAGCTCAGGGAGCCGAAAGGACTCGTGGGCCTGGGAGAAGCGGACAAGGAACTCCATCATTGAAGATTCCTTTGGGGTTCTCAGTCGTGGTCTAGTCGAGGGTGGTTTGTCGATCCCCTCTCAGACTCAACTATCCGTAGGGGTGAGTGAGGAAGGGCAGCCGCTGGAAAATCCTGGCGCAAGCGCGGGGGTGAAAAATGCCCCTCGTTTTTTCCTCTTCGTTTGATTTTTGGCGCTCAGATGGGCTGGCTTGCCACTGTTTTTGGTATTAGCACTGGCACAACTAAGAGACAGAAGGCACAAGAAATGACAGTACTCACAAATCTGAAAAGCCTCGGACTATCCTGTCGATATGTCGAAAAGTTCCCTTTTTGGTGCTGCTTTGGAAGAAACGTTTGCGCAGTGCCTCTCATCCCGCTGACTCGAAAAGATGGTATTTTCTAGGCGCAGAGTCACTCGGATGCGCACACGCCCTCCTGAACCAATCGTTGGCGATTGGAGAAAGGATAGTGGAGCCCAGGTTCGTTCTGTCAACGGCTACCGTGAGCGCAAGAGGAACGGTCCAATATGCAATTCTTGAATCCGCGGTCAAGCTCGCCTTCACTCGGTCAATATCGCAACTTACACGCCTCTAAAAAAAAAAAAAACAGAGTCGTTGACTTAACTTTCACGATAGCTCTTCTGCACGTAACCTTGATTTCCTTGGAGCTGAGTCGCAATGCTCTCCTTCCCGACGCCCAGCGTCTACCAGTCGCCTAAATGCTTCGTCACATACGGCACCATGCCTCACATTGAGCCCAAGCAGCTGCCGACAAAGGGGAAGCCGTGGGCGCCTATTCTGGGCCAGGGATTCAACTACAAGGTTTGCCTTTTCCGAAAAAATCAAGACCTCCACATGGTCAAAACATTCTTCTCTCAAGACCCTCAACTAACGTTATTCAAGGTCGACCTCATCCTACCGCAAGAATGCTTCGAACTAGTTCGTCAAAAGCTCGTCGAAGAGCTCCCGGCACCGACGTTCCACCGCGTCATCATGACCCTCGGCCAGGTTTTGGACGGAGGGTTCTTTAATGAGTACATCAAGAGGGGTACGTACAGTCCCACTCCAGAATGGGATGGCGCCGATGTACTGACTCCCTATAGGCAATGTTCTCATGCTCTCCGAGGGCAGGACAAATGTCGAAAACGTCTTTTCACTTCGCGATGGCCTCTTGACCATGTACCTCGACAAGGAGACGTACGAGCGCGCCGGTCTGGTTGGAAAACCTCACGGTGTCAAGGGGAAGAGGGGCTTGAAGCCGCGATGGGGTAAGCAAGATCAACATGTCATATCCTTAATAGGTCACGAAATGGAACTAACGTCTTCATAGTTGTGAGCTATCAATTGCGAGACCCGGCCATGTTTCCTGGTAAAAAGGGTTTCGATAGATTGGTGTACGCGTGCAAGAATGTTCTCAACACGCCCGTGACGTGGTTATTTTGCAACGCGGCGACTAATAGTAAGTCATCCGCCCGTGCTGATCTCGTCTCCTGAGCTACTCTGACGCGACCTCTACCTCAGCACCATCACCAGATCCCCTGGACCAATATTTCCCAACAAGATACACCTGCGAGCCCACCCTCGCGCCCGAGTTCCAGGTCCAAACACCCCCGCTTTCACTGCCCCTGGAAATCATTCAAAACGGCGACAGACCGGGCCTCGAAGACTTTGCGACAGAGACGTACGAGTGGCTATCCCTCATCCGTCTACAGAGCCCTCGCGTCAAGGCAGGAGACACCATCGACCCGTACCTATCGCGCTACCAAGTCCCCGGGGCCTCGGACTCGGACACGCCGTCGCACACAAACGTGTGCAAGATCTCATGGCAGGGCTTGTTCACCTCGCACTGGGTACGCAGCGTCCTCATCAACGCCCTCGTCGCCATGCCCTCGCGGACCTGGTTCTCGCTGAGCGCCACGTCCTTTTCAAAGGGTATGACGGGCGACAGCACCGAGGTCGCCTTCTTTCGGCCGCCCGAGTCGCCTGGCCATTATCTCTTTTGGGAAATCAAAGGTGATGAATAGTAACAAAACAAGAGTGCTGTTTTCGTCTCCTTCTTCTCTTATTAGCCCTGCTTCTGACGCACACTACGCTCGTCGCCCAAGTCCTGGCCGAGGACGGCATCCTCGATGAGGCGGCGCAGCTCGGCTTGGCCTGTAGCTGTGTGGAAATCCTCCCTCTCCGCCAGCTGCTCTATGCGGCGCTTGAACTCTGGGTCGACATCGGTGGGGACTTCTTCAGCTTGGTCCATTGTGCCGAGGGTCACGGCGAGACCTTCGGGGACGGGCGGCATGTCGATGGGCGGGGCGGCGGTATCGGTAGTGGTGGAAGAAGTCGGAGCGGCAGCTTCTGCAGCGGCGGCGGCGGAGGCGGTTCTCTGTGTCTCGATGCCCTGCAGGTACTCGGCAACCTCGGGGTAATCTCCCTCGCCCTCAATCTTTTGGCTGGCAGTGATGCCGTCGGCGCCCTTGGCGTTGATATCGGCGCCAAGTTCCTCAACTAGACACTTCGCAGCAGCAACGGTCTCGACGACGAAGAGCGCAGTCTCCTCATCTTCGTCCTTGATGTCGACGTTGACGTTGAACTCGCGAATCAGCGCGCGGAGGAGCTCGAGGTGGTTGTAGCTCGCGGCGGCGTGGACGAGGGAGTAGCCGTGCTCATCCTGGCCCGAGGCGACGGCGGGGTTCTCGCGGAGGAGGGTGAGCAGGGCATCCGGGCTGTCGGCGGCTAGGAGGTAGGGATTAGGCGCCATGGTTGGTTTGGTCTGGTCAAAGGAATTAGCTTGAAGACAAGATTAGGAGCGAGACTCTCTGGGTCGGGAAATTTGAGGCCATATTGCTTCTGGTCCAACAATGTCGCTGTGTTTGGTCGTTAGAAATTTTCTGCCGGATGAGGGGAGCTCCCGGCATGACGCACAAAGTTCATTGACCCCTCCAAAGGTGGCCTTACCGCTTTCTTAATCCAGATAAGGTAAGCTGCAGTAGTGGGGGGTTGGAGGCCCTGGGACTTTCAAGGTTGGCCCTTTGGGAGCTGTGCTGTGCCCCTCCAAGCCCCCAAGCCCCCGAAGAATCCCACGACGCCGGTGGCAGTGGCGCTTATCCATCGTGCCTGCCCAATGGACCACCACCAACCCCCAATGTAGAAAGCGCAAGGCACACCAGGCAATGGAACCTAAGGAAGGCACAACCCACCACGCCATTTCCCGTCGATTGGCCTCCTCCCCCCGGCGTGACTACCAACGTCTGAGAGCTCAACTTGCACTGCTTTTGACGACTCTATTTCTCTACTTCTCTCTCTCTTGACTTGACGCCCTGTCAGCCAAGGTGTAGCCACACGCCAATACTCTGAGCTGAGGCCGCTTGATCAAGACCACAAGTTGGAACTTTCTCTCGTCCATTATCCAAACAAGGCAGTAACAGTGACTCACCTCCTGCACTGCGTTTGCTGAGGTCTGTACTTGACCCATTGTTCATCTTTTCTCCGACCTCAAGGTTGTCAGGGATTAGGCTTACATCCTATTCTCAAGTACTACAAAACAAACAGACGTCTCACCCTCCCAGGAGGGACGGTCAAGTGAGATCACCTTCACACAACTTCTCTTCTCTGACATCAAGTTAGAAGGAGAAAACACAAGCGTCGTTTCTTGTCTTTCTCCATGTTCAGAGCCCAAAGAGCACTTTTCTTCGCTTCTAGACAATCTCCCCTCACTTTCAACAAATCTTTTACCACAACAATGGCGACAGCAAACGCTATGAATACCGGGGCAGTCATGCCCAAGGTCCCCTATGTCCCCCAGGACGCTGGAAAGGTCTCAGAGATGGTTCATGCCCTGAACGACGCAAAGGCCTACAACAAGTTTGCAAAGTCAAAGGGCGGCGGCTTCTCCTGCAAGAAGACGTCCTTTGACGTCAAGAACTCCCAGGACGGGGTCACGGTGGACTCCTGGAAGATGCAGGAATGGGACTACAAGAAGAGAGGCCTGCCCACATACGCGAGAGGTCTCTTCACAGCAAGGAACCGCCGCAACGAGCATGAGATTGTGACGCGAGGCTACGACAAGTTCTTCAACGTCGGGGAGGTTCATGAGACAAAGTGGGAAAACATCATCCCGAGGACAAAGGGACCCTACGAACTCACTCTCAAGGAGAACGGATGCATCATCTTCATTTCGGGCTTGGAGGATGGTACGCTGCTGGTATGCAGCAAGCACTCGACTGGCGATAGGGCTGATGCAGAGCTTAGCCATGCCACTGCTGGAGAACGCCTTCTAGAGAAGCAGCTCGCTGCCCTGGGGAAGACGAAAGAAGACTTGGCCAGGGAACTTCGGGACCGGAATGCCACCGCCGTGGCCGAGCTCTGCGATGACTCCTTCGAGGAGCACATTCTCGAGTACGGCCCGGACAAGGCCGGGCTCTACATCCATGGCATCAACCTGAACCTCCCCGAGTTCGCAACTTACCCAAGTGCTCTTGTCCAGAGCTTCGGCAATGACTGGGGCTTCAAGAATGTCGGCTTGATTGTCATGGACGATGTCAACGAGGTCAAAACCTTCCTTGAAGAGGTGGCTGAGACGGGCGCTTACGGCGACCGCGATGTCGAGGGCTTCGTTATCCGCTGCAAGGAGAGTTACAACCCGGAATCCGTCCCCTACCGTGACTGGTTCTTCAAGTACAAGTTTGAAGAACCCTACCTCATGTACCGCCAGTGGCGCGAGTGCACAAAAGCAATGATCTCCGGAAAGCCGCCCCGCTACAAGAAGCACGTCAAGATCACTGAGGAGTACCTCCTCTACGCCCGCCGGCGCCTCGCCGCCGACCCAAAGCTCGCCCAGCTCTACCAGCAGAACCATGGCATCATTGCCCTGCGCAACGACTTCCTTGCCTACAAGAACATGAAGGGCTCCGACGCCGCTAACCTCGAGCTGGAGGACGGCCCCGACAACGTCAACGCAGACGTCACGGGAGACGTGATCCTATGCCCCATTGCTACCATCGGCTGCGGCAAGACCACCATCGCCGTCGCCCTCCAGCGCCTCTTCAACTGGGGCCACGTCCAGAACGACAACATCGCAGGCAAGGGTCGGCCACCCCGCTTCACAAAGGCCATCCTCGACCTCCTAAAGGACCACCCCGTCGTCATCGGCGACCGCAACAACGCTCAGAAGCATGAGCGCAAACAGATCATCACCGACGTCAAAGTCCAGCACCAGAAGGCTCGCCTCATTGCCCTTTACTTCGCCCACGACAACTCCAACGTCGACGAGGTCCGCCGCATCACCCAGGAGCGCGTCATCGCCCGCGGCGACAACCACCAGACCATCCACGCCGCCACCGACGCGTCAAAGTTCCTCGGTATCATGGAGGGCTTCATCAGCCGCTTCGAGCCCCTGACCGCCTTCTCCCCGCCCGACGACGGCTTCGACAACGTCATCAATCTCGACCCCACCGCCGGCAGCCGCGAGAACCTCGAAAAGGTCATCAACGAGCTGCACCGCATGTACCCCAACCTCGTCCCCGAGGTCCCCTCCGCCGACCGCCTCGACAAGGCCATCGAGTCCGCCTTTATCGAGTACAAGCCCGAGTTCAAGCACAACATCCCCGACCGTGGCCCCCGCAAGGACAGGCAGGGTCAGGGCCAGGGTCAGGGCCAGCAGCAGGGTGGTCCCAAGATGAAGAAGAAGAAGCCCCTCGAGTACATGTCCGTCGAGGTGCAGTCCCAGGAAGTCCGCGGCGTCCTCGACGGCGCTTTCAACAAGGTCGACGCCTCCACCTCCCGCTTCTACAAGCAGCTCTACCAGGCGCGCCGCGTCCAGCCCAAGTTCCACGTCACGCTCATGCACCGCGCCAGTCAAAAGGACAGCCCGGAGCTGTGGTCAAAGTACCTCGCCCTTCACGCCGAGGCGGAAAAGGAGAATGGTACCCAGGATCAGGCCAACATCCGCGCCTTGGGCGAGTGCTCCGTCGAGCTCGAGCGGGTAAGCAAGGAATCTTTTTGATTATTTATTTACAGACTGAACTAACTTCTTATAGGTGGTCTTTGATGACCGCGTCATGGCCATAGTCGTTCGCCTGGTCGACCCAACAGGCCAGTGGAAGTGCACAAACAACGTCGCCCACATCACCGTCGGCACCCGCGACGACGCCGTCAAACCAAAGGAGAGCAACGACCTCCTCGCCCGCTGGCTGGACAAGGGCACCGGCGGCGAGACGGGGATCCAGGAGGTCGTCTTTGACAACAGGCCCAACCTGGAGGGAACCGTCCGGGGTGTTCTCTCAAGGTAACGTCATTGGAAGGTGCGGTTTGGTGACTTCGTGGATGGTCGCATTGGGAAAAGGCGTGCATACCAGAAAGGGGCACTTGGAGAGGATTCATGTGTAGTGCTTTCAAATACCAAAAGTTTTCCATTTCTGAGCATTATTCTGAGAGCTAAACTGTGGTTCGTCCCTCTCAAAGCCCGCTACTCTAAAGGGTAGCTTTGGTGAGCTTTTCAAGCAAGTTGTGATTTATGACGTGATTGTTCAGCAAATGATGAGTCTACCAATTGGATCGTACGCAGAAGCATCAGAGCTGTAAATGACCTCAATGTCAGGAGCAACCATTGTAACCCGGTCACATATGGAGTTATGAGATTTACAGAAGCCACGATCGAATCGGCACAACCGGTACCAAGGTGGGCAGCTCGATGGCTTCGACGTAATGAGTAGATAATGAAGTCAAACACACGGTTGTTGCAAGCCATGGTACTTTGAATGCTTAATTTCATGGCTCATCCCTAAATGAATAGTGTACAGTCCTGGTCCAGGCACGATCGAAACGTCCGACGTCGATTACCACTGTGCCTCAGGGACCTGAAGGAATCCCCTCCGAACCATGGCAATTCCCAAAGCAAAGTTGTCAATAAAGCAAGCCGAAAACCCAAATTTTGTCATCCGTCATCAGTGTGACTCATACGAGCCACCAATACCATCCTCATACGAGGTGGTATGAATTAGAAAGTTTGAAGAGCTTTACAACTCCTGCTTGACCTTGTCCTTGGACTCGGCAGCCTTCTTCTGAGCAGCGTCAGCGCCCAAACCAATCTGGTTGGAAACCCAGTTCCAGGTGTCCTTGGCGTTCTCTGCGATCTTAGCGAAGAGGGTCTCGGAAGGAGTCGAGGTACCGTACTTGAAGTACGTGTACTGCTTGCGGGCGTAGGCGCGGAGCTCGTTGACAGTGGAGCCCTGGGGAACGTTGACACCGTAGCTGTCAAGGTAGTTCTTGAGCTCGCTCTCGCTCCACGTGTCAAAGAAGTTGGACTTGACCGCGTCGGTGGCCGTAGACAGGTAGCTGGTGACGGAGGCATAAGAGGTACCACCGGCAGAGGAAGCAGAGCTGTAGGCAGACTGAGCAGCGTTCACGAGCTCATCGCGAGTGGCATCCTTCTTCTCGGCAACATTCTTGACGGCAGCATCACTGCTGGAAGCAAGATACTTGCGGAGGTTCTCGGTGGAGAGGTCATCGTAGGTCCAGGCGCTCCAGCCGGTAGCAGCCTTGTGCTGGTTCTTGCGAACAAGGGCACGAAGCTCATCGGTCTTGGATCCCTGGGGAACGGGAACGCCACGGGAGTCGAGGTAACCCTTGAGACGGCTCTCGGACCAAGTACCAACAGCCTCATTGAAGGCCTCAGTAGCAGCCTTGGAGGCAGCATCGGTGGCCTTGGCTGCAGCCTGGTTGACGTTGGAAGTAGCAGCGCCGAAAGCACTGGAGGCCTTGCCAGCAAGATTGGAGTTGAGGAAGTCGGCACGGTTCTTGCGAACAAGAGCTCTCAGCTCGTTGACCTTGGTGCCCTGGGGAACTGCATATTGTTAGTGACGGGAACACATCAATCGAAAATTATGCTTTTCTTACCAGGAATGCCGTTCTTGTCGGCAAACTCCTTGAGCTGAGACTCGCTCCAGGCATCGATGACCATGTCGGTGAGAGTGGCGTAGGCCTGCTGGGCGGAAGCAGAGGCGCTAGCAGCCTGCTCCTGAGCCTTGAGAGAGGCAAGACGGGAGTTGCGGCGGACAGAGGCAATCAGCTTGTCACGCTTTGTAGGGGTTAGAATGTGGATATTACAATGGCATTTTTGACTGAACTCACGTTGGTGACCTGAGGAGCGGGGAATCCATGCGTATCAAGCCACTCCTTGAGGTCAGACTCTAAAGATGTAGTTAGCATTGGGACAGTATCAAATAGGGGATTAAAAACATACCAGACCAGGTCTCATACAGCCAGTTACCAGGGTAGGAGGCGGTCTCGCCAGCCTTCTGCGCAATGGTCTCGTAGTTGGCGCGGGCCTTCTGGAGGACGCTGTCACGGTTGCGGGGCTGGGGGACTAGAATGATGTCAGTCTCAGATACTTGTGGCACCAAAATTGCTGTGAACGTACCGGGAATGCCGTGCTTGTCGGCAAAGGCCTTGAGCTGGCTGTCGGTCCAGCTGTCCAAGATCCAGTCCTTGACGTTGAGGTAGGCGTTCTGAGCCTGGTCGCCCGTCTCGTACCAAGAGCTCTGAACCTGGGAGATGAGAGACTCCTTGTTGGCCTTGGCGGCGCCCTCGGTCTCGAGACCCTTGGCCTTCAGGTAGTTCTGAAGACGGTCGGTATCCCACGAGTTGTAAGGGGAGACAACGTAGTCGTTCCAGTTGTTCTCAATCAACTTCTCGAGATCCTTGCGGTCGGCGGGGGTAGGGTAGGGGATGTCGTGGTCGGACAACCAACGCTCAAGCTCCGTCTCGTGCCACTTGTTGTAGGCTGCGAGTGATGCTTGTTAGTTTCATAGCAAAACAAATCAAGTTTGTGATGATTGCAAGATATGACGTACCGGCCTTGGAGAACCAAGAGCTCGCGATGGCGCCCTGGGCAGCCAGAGCCGTCAGAACGGCGGGGAGGAAACGCATGATGGTGGTTTGCGATCAGTCTTCCAATGAAGAGCCAGAGATGGGGGTATCACGAAGAAAAAAAAAGAGGCCTGGAAAGAACTGAGGAGATGAAGAAATCACGGAAATGTTGATGTAGAGAGGAAGAAGCAGAAAGGTTTGAGCTTGGGGAAGAGGTTGCCAAGGGTGTAGTAGGTGGTTTTTGTTGTGTCGACGGGAGGCGGGATGGCAAGCTACGTGCGTGTGTGCAGGGGGGGAAGACAGACGATGAATGTGGAGGTGCAGGTGCAGGCAATAGGCGGGCAGGTTGACGACAGGGAGAAGATGGAGGCGTACGAAGGTACGAGGTACAGACTACCTTACGGAGCACAGAGAACCTAAGGAGAAGGGGCCTTGGGTTCAACCAAAGGAAGGCAAGCGTCAAGCGTCAAGCGTCAATCGTCACCCAATGGTCCACAGATGATCTAATTCACGGCAGGAATCCATCACGTCACTGCGGTACATTTGGGGGAAATTGTGGCTGCATTTGGGACCTTGGGTGCCTGGGTCGGGTGCATCTCATCTTTCGTCTCGTTGCTGAGGTGGCCATAACATACGAGGCCGAGGATGGAGGAAGGAGCGTACGGTTGTACGTACATACGTACTTTCTACGTCTTGCCTGATGTGCTTTCCTGGGTAAGGTGCATTTCCATACATATAAGTCGCACCTGCCTGGCTGGCGCGACAGCTGCTGCAGTCTATGTAAGGAGTGACGACGAGCTCCTGCTTTTTGTGTCTTTGTTGCAGCTGCCAATAACCCTCCTTGACTTGCTACTCAATTTGTTTGGAGACAACAGGTCAGATGTTGAGACACTCAAACAAAACAAAGAAAGAAAAGTCAGATTATATTCATACCTACATGGCGCGCCCAAGCTCCCCCAGGCAACTGAGCATCAGTACCTTAGAGACCAACACACAGTAAGGTAGGTTGACATGAGGCAACCAGACAACCAGGGCAGTCACGTCAATTCAATGCAATAGCACCGACGATGATGTGCTTCAGAGACGATGCGGGAAAGGGCAACAGAAAAGCTCTCCCCTCCTCAGCCATTCAGAGAGCTCCATGAAGCTCATCTCTGTTCAGCATGACGTAGCTACCCCCCTGTCTAGTGGATTTCCTACGCGGCGCGGTGCGGGTTCGCTGCGGTGTCCGGGCTGTTTGGTGGTGCTTGGCTGGCGGTACGTACCTGGTGCAACGTGCATAGCGCTGAACATTAAGGTTGCAGGTCAGTTTGGAGCCTGGACGGTGAAACCATTACTTTGATGGGAAATATGGGGGACATGTTTATGCCATTCATGCCATCAGACTGAGATATTTGAATTGTCGTTTTGGATTAAAGACGCAAGATGGCTTCATTTTCCTCTTCATGTTGTCTGTAGACCGAATGCTCAACAGTTTTCCAACTTGACCGAGCTTTGGGGGAAAGGAAGGCGATGTGCACCTTCCTGCGTCATTCTTAGCTCCAGCGGGAAGCTGCGAGCTCTGTCTTACTCCCTGCCTGCCCAATGGCTCTGCCACAGGACCAATTGCTCCGGTGATGTCACTCTGAGCTAACCCCACAGTCACCACAGTCAAAGATGGAGATTTTGAAGAGGGAAAAAAATCAGCCACTTCTCCGCACCGCCACCAGCCGTCACCAACCAGCTCTTTCCTCATCGTGATCCTTGGCAATGACCTAAGGTACCGGAAGGTAGCAAGGTGGTCGTGCTTGCCCGTGGTGCTTTCGCTTTCGATGATGGGACGGACGGAGCCGGGGTGTGGGGAACTCGTCGCCAGCTGGCGGTCAGTGCTCTCCCAGACCGGAAACTCACATGCTTTACCGAGACTGCCAGACCGACAAAAGGCCTGGACCGTTCCATCATCGTCATTGCTCCGGCCCCCCTTTCCCTGCTGGCGCGTTTGCGGGTTGGCCCTTTTTTGACAGCTGCTCCATCTCCGTCGCTTCTCACCACTGTAGGGATGTAGGTTAGTCTTTCTCCCTTGTTGACTTTCGGGCTGTCTGTCCAGCAATTGTGCACGATACTCCATGGTAAGTATTGGTGTTGTAATGTTAGTTAATGTGTAGACGTTGCCTATCCTGAAGAGTGTGTCTTGAGCTATGCATCTTCTCAATGTTTGCCAGTATTTACCGTGGCAGTGAGTACCTTACCAGCTTGTCTTTCGGAGGATCTTGAACCCAAGTAAGGATGGAGGCGAATGGAAATATGGATGCGAGATACAGGTGCTAGTAATGTCAGTTGATGTATAGACTCTTACCATCCTGACTCCTGAGGCCTATATTCTAAGCTATCCATCTTATGGACGTCAGCCAGTATTCCTCATGGCGATGCCCTTATCTAGCCTGTCTTTCGTAGGATCTTGAACCTGAATACGGATGCGTTGTGAGTAATTCCGAGCGGCTTACTGGCGAAGATGTGAGTGAAGCGCTCAAAAGGCGATGAGAGCCCTGGTATATATGTAATACCCTGTGTGGAGTAAGGGAAAACCCTGGCCTAGAAGCAGAGAAGCATGCGACACTGAATCTTACATACCAGACCAAAAGACCATAACCAATACCGTAGGTCACTTTTTAGCGGCTATAAGCCATTGCTCCGAAACGTGTTGACTGCCGTGAAACTCGGATGCTCCCATGTCGATGGCAGCAAATCACTGACTCGAAAGGCCGTTTGACGTGCAAAGATCATTGCTTAAAACACCAAAAATGTCGACTGACTTCAACGAAACATTCATTTCCCTAGACATAGGTGTTGTACAAGCTGCCAGAAACAGCCTATATAGCCCTCATAGACTCCAAGCCTTTTCCGCCCCTGAAACCCCCAAGCGTCTTCCCGTCCCAGTGTATATAACAATTGTTGCCCATGTATATCGAATCAAGAGTACCGTTACATCCTCCTCAACTCGTACAAACTCTCATGGCTCCGAGTCTCTCGACACAGGAGCTCTCCCGTCAAACAGTGAAGCATTGCTGGCTTCAATCACGTCCGATAAGAGGCGGTTTAGTCGGTGACACCGGTGGGGGTGTTGCAGAGGATGCCCTGGTCAAGCTGTATAGTCTGTCAGTCATTGCGTTCGTTATAGATGGCAAGAAGTTCAAGAGTTACTCACCAGGGGCAGGACGCAGCAGCGGGCACGCTGTCCGATAGCAGAGCAGATGGAGCTGAACTCGTCGGCCGAGGTGGGCGCCTCAGGCGGGTTGCCGCAGTCGAGGTCAGCGACGCCGAGGACGTCCGTCGCGCAGCACTGCGAGGTGCCATAGAGGCCGGAGCAGGGGACGTAGACGGCCTGGCGCTCCTCGAGGGGCGCGGAGAGGGCGACGCCGGCGAAGAGGGCGGTGAGAGCGATGGTGAATCTCATGATGACGGTGGTTTATTGGGTAAGTGTGGTTTTGGTGTGAGTGTGTAAGTAGGAGATGAAATAGAAAAGTTGATTGTTGAAGCTGTAGATGAGGCTTGTTGGTTGAGCTGATGAGTGGAGAGAAAGAAGATGGGTATCGATGGGGACTGACGTGCTTTCTTATATAGAGATTCTAGACAAGACGTGACGACCGCAAAAGACAAGACAAGAACGTAGTCTTGACCTTCGTCACAGGCCTCCGGCTCGATGACGATGTCTCTCTGACCAAGTTCACCAAGCAAACGACGCGCTCGCGCTCGCGCCGCCTCAACCACCAGGTTTGCCCCAATCCTTGGACAGCGTGACATCGTGATGGCCCCCTACCGTCTTAGATGGGAGACAGCTATATCCCTCCCCTCTTGCCCCCCTCTTCCCTTGTGGAGTGACGAAGACGGCTTGTGTCGATCTCATGTTCGTCCTGGGGCTTGACAAGGAGAAGGGATCATGGAGCTCAGGGGAGGTAGCCGGGTGTAGGGGCAAGGTAATTCTGTGGTTCGAGACGGGGTTCTGAACCCCCCTATGAGGTAGTGAGGGTGATGGAGGTGTGAAGGGGACTTCTTGGATCGGTACCTGAAATCTCCAATGGGACTCTCGAGGGTTGCCACATGTACTTTGAGCAGGTACATGACACACACTTTTGCGAGGCGGCTGCGGCCGTTTAGCCGTGACCTTGGCGAGCAAACAGCTCTGTTCTTCATGTCATAGGTCATCGTTGCCCACACACGGAGGAAGGAAATGGCACTAGTCTTCCAGGTGTAAGTGAGTGAGAAGAAAATGCATTGGATCCATGAAATACTCTGACTAAACGAGTATTCAACAGCCGTGTAGAAACGTAGGGAGAACACTATAAGTCGACGGCAGGAATCTCCTGACAAGTAACGGGTATGGATGCGGTCGTCTGTCTATCCTCAGTCTTGGGATGACGGGGGTAGGTTGGACATGTCGGGGTCACCGAAGGGACGCAGGCACAAATAAGCATCGGGCAGAACATCCCATCCCAAGACCACGACAATGGGAGACTGCCACCGCGTCGTCTGCATCTGCAGATGCGCCCGTGAATTGTCCGCGACCCCAGTCTGCTCTGACGCAGGGTTCTGCTGCAAGAGGTGTGGGTGTGCTGTGTGCCCATCCGACCTTAACTCCACATGGTAACAACGGTCCTCGAACGGGTTTCCTTGTTTTTTCGCCTTCCAGAATAGTCCGTGTATACGTCCGAATAGAGAGACAGATAGGAACGAAAAGGAATGTGGAGAATGCTTGATTCGGTAGAAGCGAAAGCATCAGTTGAACCGTTGTCTGGCAGATTTGGTCCTCTGTTCTGCCAGCGTGACATGGCGTTCAAGCCTCAAACCGAGAATGACGACGCGACAAGATATCGCTACCGAGACCCATGACTTCCTGGGCGAGTTGCTAGGCCATGAAGAATCAGGAGATGAACACTGACGACAGTGGCAGAGTCACCCGCTGGGCCTAAACCTCAACGATAACCTCTCGTTCCAGAACATGGCAGAGACACAGAGAAAAGGGGGGCGTGTGAGCGTGATCTATCATCTCGAACATGAAAGACATGGGGCTTACAAGCCACAAAGTCGCAGTCCTCATCCAGAAACAGAACCTGGCCATCTAGCAAACACCATCGCATGAGCCCCAATCTCGCATGGCAGAAAACGGCCGCCGGCCCCGGCCAGTAAGGAGCACTGGCTGCTTTCTTCCTCTACCCTCCAGAAACAGAGTCCCTGTTTCTTGCTTGCCGTGCTTTGCCTCGTCTGTCTGTAGCTTTACGGCTCAGATGGGCGTGCAATACGTCAGGTACTACGCTCTTATGTTGCCAGATCGGGCCAAGTCGGTGACATCTTTTCGAGTTACGGTCCGGGGGGAGGTTGCGCGGCTGCCTCTAGGCTCCTTGAAGTGCATATGGGCATTCGGGGATGCTGCCAGAACAGGATTTCGAGATAGACTGTGACTGGGAGCTAGAGCTCAACGTAGGGATGAAAGGTGGTGATGGTGGAGAGAAAGGAGGAATCCCGTCCTGGGTTTGCGGCGATTGGAGACGAGGATGCTGGTAAAGATGGGATAATACCCAGGCGCCGCCTCGCCTCGCCTCGCCTTGCACTGCACTGCATTGCAGTACCCATTGCCATGCCTCAGCACAATAGAGATCGTCGCCGCAGCGGCTGTTTCCCTGGGTCGCGGTGGCGAGAGGACAAGACTCTACAGAGAGGACGAGGCTCGGGCAAGGTAGTATTCGTCCTCCATGCACTCGATTCCAGCCGGGTCTGACCTCATTGCAATACAGCCGCATGGAGAACTCGGCACGGCACCGGCAGGCAAATAAAAGGAATCGGCCAAATCAAATCTTAGCAAAGCAAAGGGAACGCGGGCCACATCTTGGGGTTACCTCCAACAACAAAAGAAGCACTAACAAACAGCCAAGCCGAGAACCATCAACGTCTTGAGACGTCGTTGGTCCGCGCCTACGGGCTACCGGGGAAGCCCATCACTTGGAGGAAAGCGGGGACGGGGAGGAGGAGGAGGTAGGACCTATATGTGCCGCTCCCCTGCATCTTAACTGCCGGTATTCACACCACACAACAATACACACCCACCCCCTGGATGAAAGTCTATCATCCATGATTGGTTTTCTGCAAGGGGGAAAAGAGCGTCATTTCGGCGTATGCTGGCTGCCAATTGGCGACTAGCAACTTAGTCCCCTATGCCACTTCGGCCTTGACCGTTGGGAGTTGGGCAGTAAAAAGACCACTTTTGCCTCAACTGTCTGTGTGCTCTCTACTTCTCTTCCAACGGCCGACGATCCCCTCGTGTCTAACGGCAGGACAAGCGTGGCTGAGCGGGACCCCGTTGAAATCAACAGAGAGATCAGCATCGACGCCACGACTAGGTGCTTCATTTGGGAACATGCTGCATCTTGCATATTGTGTTCTCCTGAACAGCTGGACAATGAGTAAATCTTGACCGTTTAGAGAACTCCCAGAAACGTGTCAAGCGTTCTAACAATAGACGGATTGAGCCGCTTACAAGTTAGGGAATGGAAACAACTGGAAATGAGTAGCGGACGTGACGAAAAGAAGAGATGAACGGCAACGCAAATCAGCTCGTACCAGAGAGGAAAATGCATGATTACCTTATGACGATCAACCAGAAATTTAGCCGCCGGACTTATGATGAGGTAGGTAAGGTACGTAGTGAAGTCGGACGTGGAGCCCCGGGCGGCAGATGGGGCCGGCCGCGATACTTTCCCCTAAACTCCCGCCGGCGGCTTCTACCCCAGATCGGGGGTCGAAATTCATGTCTCACCCCGTAGGGCTTAAGGCACCGCCAACTCTGGCCATCACGCAATGCATCAAGCACCCGACTTTAGAATAGCTACAGTAGTAAGAAACGGCGCAAGGGAAAACGGGGGGAGCGAGGATAAGCTTCTTACTCTCATCTTCCACCTTGCCTCTCCGCCCAGCTTCCGCCCCTTCAGCCGCGGTGGCGTCATCGGTCTCGCCCCCCCTCCACCCCGGCCATGGTCCGAACTCTCGGTAACACCTGGACACCTTGGACACACCGTGACACCTCTTCTCCCATCTCCACGCCCGCCGCAACGGTACGGTGTCATTAACATGAGACCATGACACCCAGAACAGCGGCACTGAATCAGTGAACGGAGACCAAGCATTCGCAAGGCGTGAAGGAATATAACGAAAAAGTTCCGAGAAAGCTGCAGACTGGAACTCTGAACCTGCATCGACAGTACCAAAATGGCACAACACAGCCGAAGCAGCTTGCCGGTTTACGCAACTGGATAGACATCACCAAGGAAAATGAATTAAAAAACACTGGGCATCGCCAAAACTCGCCTCCCACGATGTCACCCAAAATCCTCACCATCAACCTCTCATCCCCCTTTCACAGCAAAAATTTACGTATCGTCATCACCAATGCCGTACAAGACCTGACGCAAATGAGAGAAAGAAGGAAGAAGAAAAAAGCCACAAAAAGGGGAGGGCGCTAGGACTTGACTTCCATCTTGAGATCCCCTGTCCACCAGTGAACCACCCCCCCCGAACCTCGAAGCGACCCCAAACCAGGTAGGGATCAGCCCTCTTTTCGGAGAGAAACCAAGGTCTGGCAACCGCCCAAGGAACGATTCAAATCTCCTGTCTTCCTGCAGTGCACCTAGTCTCTACAGTAGAGAGTAATGAAAGCCCCAGACTTTGCGCCGCCAATGATGCTCCAAAGACGGCGCGCGGAAGAGGCTTAGGTGTTAGCTAAGGTAAAGTAGGTATACAACGCCACGCGATATAGCATCTACCTACGCGATGCTCAAGACGCTCGGCTACCACGGCCGTGCTTGATACACCCTTCGTGCCTTTCAATTCCTCCCTTCCTCCTCAATGCAATTGACCCTCGTCATTGGCCGTTCGTCCCAAGTACTCCAAAGCACATGGATCCCAGAACCGACGAACGGAGGGCAACTACGTAACACGGTAACAGATCATAGCCCTGCTGAGTACTTTGCTTGGAGGAAATCGCAGCTTGAGGATGCAACGCATACCTGCAACCATCTTGAATGCCTGCTCACCTCAACCCTGTGCTGGCCTTGCACAAGAGATCGGCCTCAGCTCGACAAGGTCTTGACAACTTGCAGTAGCCTCAGTTTCCATATCTCGCGAGGTGTTCCTGACAGCTTGCCGATCCCTTGGGAGAATATGAAGCTGAACACGTACTTCCTTCTCGCCTCTCAGGTGCCGATCGTTGATAACTATCGTAGGCTTCAGGTCAGGATCTTTCGGCGTCCCCTTCACCGTCCTTCTTTGAAGGTGGATGTAGGTGGATAGCTTCCCCGCGGTGAATTTGCCACTTGGCAAGAGGCCTCACTTTCCCATGTTCAAACATCGGATTCACAGACGGCGCGTTCAACATGGCAAGTATCAACATCACACACTGGGACCGCTTGCTGGGATCACAATCACCATGCTTTCCATTCCTATAGGGCCGCTTGAGTGTCCGTGGTAATCGTACAAAGTTGTTGTCTATCGCATTCGACTCCTCTATGCATTCCCGTTCCCGCCAGAAGCAATAACCCCAGATACCCAGCGGCATCACCCAACACGTGAATGGATTAAGCGTAGAAGTTGACCGTCTGGAGAGAGTCAGTACACACACAGCCCAGGAGGAGCACACATCAACACTCACGTCCTTCTTCTTGGCCTGCACCTCGGCAATGGCATCCACGTAATGCTCGTGGCTAATCTTGTTCTTGCCCATACGCAGAGCAATCATACCGGCCTCCACACAGACGGCCTTGAGCATGGCACCACCAAACTCATCCGTGCTGCGAGCCAGCTCACCCCAGTTGACGGCGGGGTCGACTCTCATCTTTCTAGAATGAATCTTAAGAATCTGCGCACGCGCTTCCTCGTTCGGCAAGGGGAACTCGATCTTTCGGTCGAGACGACCTGAACGAAGCAGCGCAGGATCCAAAACATCCACACGGTTGGTTGCGGCCAGCACCTTGATGCGATCGTCTGATGCGAAACCGTCAAGCTGGTTCAGAAGCTCCAGCATAGTTCGCTGCACTTCTCTGTCACCACTCTTCTCGCTGTCGAAACGCTTCGTACCGACGGCATCCAACTCGTCAATGAAGATAATCGCCGGAGCCTTCTCCTTGGCCAGGGCGAAGCAGTCGCGCACAAGCTTAGCACCATCTCCGATGAACATCTGGACCAACTGAGGGCCTGCAAGCTTGAGGAATGTAGCGTCGGTTTGTGCTGCACAGGCTCGGGCCAGCAACGTCTTTCCGGTACCAGGGGGTCCGTACATCAGGGCACCTGTAAGTGGTCAGTATTTCGCCAAAACGACAGTGACGCTCCAGTATCGGAACATACCCTTTGGCGCCTTGATACCGATCTTCTTGAACCGCTCCGCCTCCTTCATGGGCCAGACGATGGCCTCGACCAGCTCCTCGATCTGCTTGTCGAGACCACCAACGTCCGTGTACTTCTCTGTCGGCTTCTCATCGACTTCCATGGCCTTCACTCTGCTGTCATACTCGGCCGGGAGTGTGTCGAGAATGAGGTAGGAGTCCTTGTTGACACCGATAAGATCGCCAGGCTTCAGGGTGGTGGGGTCGACCAGACCGATCAACGGGAGGAAGATGGTTTGTCTTGTGGAGGTCTTGATGACTGCGGACTTGCCCACGCGGGTGGCATCCAGGTCGATGTTGGCACCCTCCTCCAATGACTCGGCAGTAGGGTCGAGATCGAGGAGTTCGACGACGTTGCCCACAAGGTAGGGTAATTGCCTATGAGGTGGATTATGTCAGTTGTCTCTTTCGTCATCGTTAGTCGGAGGGAGGCAGAGAGGGGCATACCGGTTGTTAGCAATCTTGTCGTGATTCTCCTTGATCTTTTCTCCCATAGTCGCCTTCTCGTGCGTCAACCGTTGCAGCTCGCTGCGCATGATTCTGGAGTCGTTCTCGAGGAGCCGTTTGCGTGTCTGGATGTCCTGCGTGCTGAGGTTCAGGATCTCGTCGTCAAGGATGTCCTCCTCCTTCTCGGCATCCTCCATTGCGGCATCGCCATCGTTAGTGGGCTTCTTGTCCTTCTTGTCCTTGTCGCCCTCATCTCTCTTGTCGTTCTTGTCCTGACGATCGAGGTCGTCGAGCTCTTCGAGGGTCGACATGGTGGCGGGGTGTGTGTGGGATGGGAGAGGATATTAAAGGTAGGTATTCGTCAAAGATACAATTCGCCGTTTCTATCGTCAAAGCGTGAGGGATGATTGGTGATGGGGCCGGGTCGGGTCGATACCGTTGTGTCGTGGGTTGGTGATGGAGCAGAAAGGGACAGCTTCGGAGCTGCGTGGGTGAGGTATTGGCAGTGAGGCTCGAGCTGGACCTCAAGGCAAGCAACAGTCGCGTAATCAGCCTGGTGGTTGCCCTGTGCGTCCAGTGGCTAGGCCGGAAAGCGCTAGGAGGAAAGTCCGACCGGATCCGGCTACAGTGTTATGTACTGTTTAGACACATGTCTATTCACTGTACGGTGTTGATGAGCTGACCTCACTTCATCGATGAGATATTACCGTAATTACCTACTTAGTCATTATCCTGTATAAATGCATGGCACTTTCAATTTCAAGGTCTCTCGTCATCATACAGACAATGTGGTACATCTATGAGCAGAAAGGCCAGCCTGGCCTAGGTCGAGATGCTCCTCTCTCCGACTAATTAAAAGGGTATATGATATGCACAACAATAGTCATCAAGGCACGCCCCTCGCCATCTTACAGCACAGTAATCCCTCCAGGCTTCTCGTTGCATCGTCGTCTCGTCACATTTCATTCGTCGTCAAGAATCCGGCTGGCCAGCGCGCCAAGTACGGGAACCTCGAATCTAGAACACATAGTCAGCGCATGTCCCCTGGCAACGGGCTCATTCTCCGCTCCACCAACAAACATACCTATCTAGCGTATCCGCGTCTTGGTACGCCTTCAAAGCCAGCCACACCATGACAAACACGTCGCCGATGAAGAAGAACCAGCTCAGGAACTTGGACCACGAGAGGAACACCAGGTGGAAGATCATGACGGCCGTGAATAGCAGTGCCGATTGCCATGCGTGAAATCTGCTTGATGTCAGCGAACCGTTATGTAGAGCAGAACCTCAAGTTCAATTGCTTCGCTCGTAGCAAGCCCGTCGTTTCATTGCCAAAGCTTCGAAGCGACCCCCAGAATAAACATTCCACGTACCTCACATAATCACTATTCCGCTCCCCAATCAACAACAATATCGCACCCAGCGGCGGAAACGCCAAATACGCCAGCGCAGCCTCGTAGTCCAGCCTGATCCCCAGGCTCGTATCGAACTCGCTCACGCCCTCCCGGTGCGCGTCCGCCGTGGGGTAGGACCCTGGCAGGTTCGGCTGCCAGCCGCGCTGCGGTTGCGGGTGCTGCAGGGGCGGGGGTGACGGTTGACCGTACGGTGAGAAGGGTCTTCGAATGTCGGCCGAGGCGCGCGGCGATGCGAGGGGCGGGGAGAGGGCTCGTTCGCGCTCCGGCGGGGAGGACTGGTAGGGAGCAAAGTCCATGATGCTTTGGTTCTGTGTTGCGGTATGAGGGTCTGAAAGGGACGCGGGGTCTCGCACGAGTAGGTAGAGGTCGAAGGGAAAGGTACGTTATTGACCCTGGTTATTGCGGGGTTCTCGAGATATTTGTAGGTTGGTATCGTCGTGGAGTTGTTCGTCAGAGGATGTGAAGCTGTCGAGGTTCGGTGGTTCGAGGTACGTCAGCTTGGGTACTTTGAGAGCTTAGAAACGCGCAATGCCATGGCGTCAGGTACTGCGTGGAGGTAGCTGGTGCACACCTGGAACTCGCGCTCCAGGCTTAATTAGGGGTCTTTTTCCGGTTCGACGGCGCGTTCATGCAGGTCACCTGCAGCGGTCGCTGTTAGTGGCTCCCGCCCCGCATTTTGCCGGCCCGGCCAGTTTGAACCGTCCACCTCACTCTTTCGTCTCTTGTCAAACTCACTCTCAATCGAGGCGGCTGAGACGAACTATAAGAGTTTGCTAGCCTTGAAGACTGTATTATTCAGGAATACCTACGTCAAGATATTGATATGATCAATTCCACGGCTTACCTCAATGACCTCGAAGAAGATGGTCAAACGTTCGTTAACGTCTCCTGTCCCCGTTTTGAACGGCAGTTTTATACGGCCATCCATTTAGGCATCAGTTAGATAAACGATAGCATGCTAATCGGTAACGGGATCGAAGAGATATCATAGGTACGTAAGTATCTACCTTAAGTCAAAGTAGCCTTCTTCATTTTCAAGACAAGAAAGAGGACTTTACAATCATACACTGGATCAAGACATGTCCAACTTCAAATGCCATGAACAAATAGTTTAGCTCTATAGTAGAGATCCGTATCCCGTGATAATACAGACTTTTACAGCACTATCATACACCACCCTCACAAGCAACCCCATTTACTCGCTCTTCGTCTGCTCCGCGCTCTCGCTCTCCTTAGGCTTCCCCTCGTCCTCCAACTGCGTCCTCCGTCCCTCCAACGCCAACCAAAGGCTCTTGCTTCCGCCCTCAAGAGCAGTAGTAAGACCCAATCCAGCGCTCTGGAGCATGTACACAAGCTGCGCCCGCAGCCCGTCGAGACCACCCTCGATACCGCCAACCCACTTGACGCCATCGACATCAAACACGTCACCCTCGACCCGTCCACCGACGAGCAGCAGCTTCTGCAACGCGCTCTGGCACAGCGGCTCGTAGTATCCCGGGTTCTTCTTCCTCGTCGGTGCCGCAAACTTGCCCGGGCTCGGCGCCAGGATCTTCAGCGCGGCCGCGAGGTGCGCAGGCGAGACGGCGGGGAACACCAGCGCCGCCGTAGGACCGCAGAGCAAGGGTGAGATCTGCGCGTAGGTAGAGTCTTCGGGGACCTCGAAATCATTCATCGCCTCGTAGGCCGCCATACTCAGATCGTGCACCAGCGGGCCGCGGGGCCCCGTCCGCGTGGTGGCCTTGGCCTTAGCGACTTCGGGGTCGTAGAACTCGGCCAGCTTCAGCGCGACGTTGAACATGCGCGTGCGCAGGACCTGGAGGTGGACTTCGCGGCCATCGAGGGGGCTGTTGGTGCCCGCGGGCGTGGCGGCGACGAGGGCGCTGTTGAGTTCGCGACGGATGGCGGACCACTCGTCTGCCGTCAGGTTGCTGTGCTGGAAGAAGAGGATCAGGGGCGTCGTGCGGAGGAGGGAGGTGTAGGTCCTGATGAGCTGGGACTTGCGGGTTTCGGGGGGACGGGCGGACTGAGGCTTCGTTGCGGGGACGTAGTCGGCGGGCAGGCGGAGGCTTGCGGCGGCTGGGACGGCGAGGAAGGCGGTCGTGGTCGTGAAGGATCGTGTGATGGGGGTTGAGGGCGTCGCCAGCCTGCGCAGGGCGCGCGCGGCCTGTTGTGGTAACCTCGGTGGCATCCTGGGGGTCTCGTCAGTATCAAGCTGAATACCAATTCCTCAATGCCTTTCTGGGGATCGCCGTACGTGTCTGGAAAGCAGGAGATCTCTGTCCTGCCGGCGTGATGGGGTGCACCTGGTGATGGGAAAAAAGTTGCTGGAGCTCCCGAGCTTCAATCGCCAGTGGGACAAATTTCATGTGGTCCGTGCACGACATCGACGGTCAGCGATCATTGGCCAATCACAGCCATCCATTTGACGACGCTCAACAGGGCATCCAACTTCACTTTACATCACTTTCTCAGTAGGAGGAGTTAGAGTCAACTTTTCAATTCCCATTTACCAAACTCCAGGGTATTCTGCAAAGTCACGAAAAACCGTTTCCTTCCCAAATAAAGGATCCTTCCCAAGTACCATTCCCTGTCACTCCTCCCTCTGCTATAGGGGGAGGGTGTTTCGGATCCTAGAAAGAAACCAACGTAATTCACCTCGCTAACTGCCTCACTTCTTGTCACCAGCCCCCTCTGCAAGTTCCTTCTGCAGCTGCTTGATTGACGCAGCGTTATGGGGGGATTTTATCATGGCTCCGATCTCCAAGAATTCTTGCGCATCCTCCATCGACAAGGTCTGCAGGTACTTGGTGAGGCTGTCAGATGACGCCATGTTACTGAGCAGCTGATCGGGCGCCGCCGCACTCGACTTCATGTAGTCGGTGACGATACCCTTGCACTGCTCGAAGAACTTCTGGGACGAATCCTTGGAGATGCCATGCCACAGGAGCCAGGGCATGGAAATCTCGCGAAGCTCGTCCAACGAGTGCGTCGTGCAAATGTTGTAGTGCTTGGCCATGCGAGGACCAAGGAGTCCGACCGAGTCAAACTTGACCTTCTGACCGTGCTTGATCAAGCGGTCGACCCAAAGCGCGACGAGGCGGATGGTCTCAGAACCGGCGGGCAGCAGCTGGTTTTGCTCGCTGAGCTCACCCTTGACGATGACGTCGAACACACGCCGATCCATCCAAATCTTCTCGTAGACATCGCACTCCATCTGGCAGTTGGTGACGCCAATGGTAAACTCGTGAGAGTACGGGTTCGGGTCGTGGACGAGGTACTGCCGGTAAAGTCCCTCTTCGCGCAGACGGTTGGTGGCCTCCCTGAAGATGTCGTCCGAGTGGACCATAAACATGTATGTCCTCTCCCTGAACAGCTGCTCCTTCAGATGTGACAAGGCAAAGGGCCCGCGGATATTGGGCCACTTGGTGGCGATATATGTCTTGATACACGATTTCCAAGTGTATGCGACCTCGTCACGGCAAGATACGAGACCTTGCTGCTCGCGGGGAAACCAGTGAGGCGTCATGTTCGTCAGAACCGTCGAGCCAACGCAGTACGCAAGTCTGTGACATTTACTAGTTAGCCTCATATTCGCCAATGGGATCTTGTCCATCCTTGAAATACCTAGACTTGACCCATACTTCACCCGGAAGAAGGATCTCGTTGAAGCCAAACTTGGCTCCAAGCAGGTCGATGATGAACAGGTCTTCGCTTCCCTTCAGTTTGCAATTGAGAATGGGATGAGGCCAGAACATCGGGTCCTTGCCCTTGGCAGTGTGGACGGCGGGGCCTTCGCGGCATCGATCAGCGGCAAGAGAGGTAATGCTGTTGGCATTCCGCAAGAACATCTGCATCTCAACCACATCATCACAGAGCGCTATCGTTATTGATTAGCTCATCTGACTGACCGTTCCGTGAAGGAGATGAACGGGAGAGGAAGGCAACGTATGTAGGGACAGAAAGAAGGGGAGCGACACTTACGCGTGATTATTTGGCGAATGATGATCTGAAGATGGTAGTAGAGGTTGTCACCGGCATCCCAAGCCAGCGCTCTCGCGCGATCCTCATGGCTCTTATCCGCCAAATGCGACTTGCCGAGGGGAAACATCTGTTCACCCACCCAGGGTCCAATGGCACAGGCAGCCGGGGCGACGGCGAAGCGCGGAACGCCCTGGCGGTCGAGCGCCTTGGTCTTGTTGTCACGGACCTCGATGGGGGAAATATCAACGGCCTGGCCAGAGAAGGTCGCGGCCATGAACTTGTCCGCGATGCCCTTCAGAATCCAGACGGCTCGGATGAAGTGCTTGTGACGCTGGCATTCCTCAATGTGCGTCTTCCAGTCCTTCTTCTGGCACTTCGGGCCGCAGTAAGTTCGGCGAAGGTGCGGGAACCACTCGACGTAGCAGCCACTGCAGTGGACCATGGGCTTCTTCGCACCACAGCGAGAGACCTGGCGTTCGTGACCGCAGGTGACACACTTCTCGATGCTTAAGAGCTCGTTCAGATCACACTTCTGGTTCAGACGAACCTTGATATCGGCATCCTCGTCCTTTCGTCCACGATGAATCCAGCGCGTGTACTTCAACCACTTGTGCTTCTGAACGTACGCCTTTCCGGGACAGGGGCCACCATCGGTAGCTTCGCAAAGGTGATTAGGCTTGACAGGGGCAGGGTTCCCGACAATCTCAGAGTTATGGTACAAGGCGATCTCACCAAGAAGCTGGGTGAAAGCGCACCGGATTGATAAGTCGGATCGATCCCAGAGCGAGAAGGCGAAGCGCGCGGCCCACCAATAGTCAGAGGCAGCCTTGTCCTCGGACTTGGTGATGATATCCTCGACGCTGGAGTTGGCATAGGGCCAGAGGGCAAGGACGAAGCGGCGGTTGTAAGCGGCAGACTTGCTGCTTCCCTTGAAGCCTGCGTCGTCTTCCTCGATTTGCGGCAGAGCCGCGAACAGGTAGTTGACCGGGTCGCCAGGCAAGCTGTCGTAGCGCTTAGCGCGTTCGAAGTAGGAAGGAAGGTCTTCTTGAAAGAGGATGTAGTCGAGTTCGGGGAGGCCTCTGCGGATTGCACCAGCTGCGCTCTTGTCCTTGTCACCCTTTGGCTGTGACGAAACTTAATCTTATAAACAGAAAATGAAGCGTTGAGATGGAGGGAAAGTGGAGAGATGACATACCGCAGGGCCAGACGCGTTCATCAGACGCAGGAAGTGGTTTCTGCCGGTCGATGGAAAGCAGCTGGGCTTTGTGCCCTTGTAGAGGCCCTGATCTGACGTCTTGGCCTCCATGAGGATAGTATCAATGCTCTTTGCGACACTGAGGCAAGAGTCGCTCGTAAGGTAGGTGATGATCGGTTGAGGGACGAATGCCTCGAAGAAGTGGACGAGGCAGGCGAGGGGAAATAGGCAGCTGCTCTTCGAAAAGTTGAGAAATGCGAAGACAATGCCAGCGGCAGGATGGTTTTCCTTGGATTGATTGACGATGAGATCGAGAAGATTGGCGAATTCCTCCGGGTGAGTGATGGGAGTGGAAGTAGCGAGTTGACAGCAGAAAGACTCGGGTTCCTTCCCTCCTGGGCCGCCGCCGCCGCCTGAGCCTGAGGCGCGAGAAATTTCCTGGAGACAGGAAGACGCCATCCTGGGATGCTTTTCCTGCTTCAGCTTCAGATGATAACCCTCCCTGGGTGGTTGTGGTGATGTTTGAGTTGCAACCTTTGGAGTTTCCAGCAGCGTCAAGAAAAAAGATTATATTGTCGAGGAAAGGTTCTTTTGGATTCTTCAACAGCAAGAGATATCTACTTTGTTTCTAAGCCCTTGCCGGCCCCGTCAGGGCCGTCATCTTGAAGAAGTCGCATGCCTCAAGACCCGCGGCTGAGAGGAAGTGTGGCTTGACAGCTGTGATGCGGGTCACTTCCGGTCCATTTATGTGAAGGAAGGCACTCGCAGGAGATCACTAGAGCAAAAGCCGAAGAAGGAGGAGCTTCTTTGCTTGCTGCTTCCATCGCTCAAGTCTAGAAGATTCCCGTCATCCTCTAGCTATGTTCCAGTAGGATGAAGGGCAACTGACAAAGAAGCGAACAGGAGCAGCATATTCTCACAATAGAAAGCGACAGGAGGAATGGTGCATGGACAAAGGCAAATACAAGCAACCTCATAAACCTACACAACTTGTAGATGATGACGGTACAAGTTTGGTGTTGACAAGCTCGTTTGTCTCTTGAGGCGAAAGCCCTATGATGCATTTCCCTCGGAAAGTTGCAGAAATAATATCGAATTTCCTTGGCAAAAATAAAGAAACTAACAAATGTCTACCATTCAGAGTGAAGGTGTCTCAATGCTCCAGAGATGCGTCGAATCCAGGCGCTCTTGGCCGGTTCGGCCACCAATTAGGCTTATACTGTCCCACGCCTTCATAAATCCTAGCTTCAGAAACATCATACCCATCATGATTCTCATCCGGGCTCCAGTTCCTATTCGTCTTGTCAGTCTCTTCAAGTCCAGAAAGGAAGGCAACCTTACAGCTGGTCCAGGGGCGGTGGCGATCCCACCAAAGCGTCCAAGCCTTGTCCTGCTCTGCCTGTAACATGACCTTTAGAGTTGAGAAGCCCTTGTCGTTTGACCGTCGATAGGTTTCGAGGATGACTTGATACATGTTCATGGCGTCGTATAAAGGCCAGTCCCATGGGTACCCTTGCCCGATCTGGTGCTGTCTCCACGCCTCGAGCCGCTTGATGAGCTGAAGAACGAGGCGCCAAGGAGGGACAGCATGGTCCAGATTCGAGATTTCCTTGTCCATCTCATCGTGAAGCTTCTGGATGTTGTGCGAGTGCAAGACGGGGAAGTGCGTGTTGCACATGTCTGTGAAAAATTTCACTGCGGCGTCGTGGTCTCCACTGTCCCATCCTGTAACGGCACCCGGCCGGCCAGTGAAGCGAGTTAGAAACTGGCCAACGGCGCTCCTGACAGGAGGAGATGTTGCAAAAGAGACCCTGCAGTGGAGTTCTGAGCCATATGCCCACCTCTGAGACTCGAAGGCGTCAAGAAGATCCTTCAGAATGTCACAGTCTCTTCCTGAATCAACAGGGGCGACGATGAATGCGCCCTCCCATGACTGAAGAAAAGTGTGCCGGCAGGCATACTTTTGGCACCACGGGAAGCCACACCAGCGCCATTCGGGATCCGGGACCTTCCCGGCATGTTCTCTGAGGTCGCGCACGCGGTAGTTGGATTGAACGGACCGGGATCGGAGAAGCTGGCGATAGTATTGCTCGTTAGCCAAAGCTTTGCCCTTCTGGGAGATACGTTCGGGGCGCAAAACCTCTTGGCGAAGACTTCCAGTGGGATTTAAACCACCTTGCGTAGCGGTTCCTCGCGAGGGGCCGGCTTCCGGAGACTCCGTGTTCCCGCCGCTGAAGTCTTGAGCTAGGAAATGCTCCAAGGAATTCAGCTTCCGAGCCATTGGAACCGAAAGTTGAGGCGTTGAGTGACTGGGGTCCAACAATTGACTGAGTGCGTCGGACATCGTCATGACAGGGGGTAGTCTGGGGATCGTGGCAGTCAATGCGGGCTTTGGCAGCTTTTCCATAGAACCTGACGCGGTGCTATTGGAAGCAATTGGGAGAGGCCGGTCGGGTGAGGCTTTAACATCCTTGGGTTCAGATGTAGCATCGGAGGAGCTGTCAGAGTTCCCAAGCATCGCCCAGCCTGTGCACATTGGAGAGGCTGGATTAGTGATGGTCATGAGGGAATGGTCGCGTTCGTCGTTGGGAACTTCGGTGAATTCGGGGAAGACATAGTCGTCTTCGTCATTGTTGGGCTGCGCCATGGTGGGTGGCATAGTTCTCGAAGTTGGAGAACGCGTCTTGCAGAAATGTCAAGTCAATTTGATGTCCCCAAATAGCTCTCGGGCGGAACACCGCTCTATATACATGATCAAGATAAGTTGAAGAGTTTCCGAGAAGCCATAAGAAGCTTCAGGACAGCGAGATGAGACAGGCAGCTATGCTAGAGAAAGGCGTAAAGCAGACAACGGGGATTGCACTGTGTCCTGTAGTTCTTTGAGCAGCCTTGATGTCTAGCAACACCAAGTGCAAGTCCTTTGTGACTTATCGTCTCGAACCAATGGCAGCCTAGGGTCTCAAGAACAGGGTCGCCACTTCATGTTCAGATATCTTGCAGACTCTACTTGCCTCCATTTCTCTCACTTTCTGAAGATATCTTACTTGCTCTGTCCCTTCAGATCTCTCAGTGGCTTCGACAGCGTACTCCTAGATTTGTGTTAGTCGGAGAAGATGATGAAGATGTCTGTATGCCTTTCCACTTGTCGTACTGATACCCAGAGATACAGTGCCCGGTGTATTGGATATCGGGAGCCAAAAGCCAAGAGCCACATGTTCTGGGTTTTCTCACAAAAGATATTTAGATAATTCAACTAACATAAAATCTTCGGAGTCTTGCCGTCGTGGCTTCATATGTGGTTTCTTTGGTAGCTAAGAAATCATCCATTGCGATTAGAAAATCATACATCCAACTTGGACAATGAGTGAAAGTCAAATAAATTGAACGCCAGAAGCCGGAATGTCTCTTCCACGATCCAAAAGTATCTAAAAGGCCCCCTTCTTAATCTAAGTCCGCATCAACAACCTTGACCCAGTCCTTCTCATCCTCCTCACTTTCACCACCAGCTACGGCATCGGAATCTTTTGCAAGTACACGCTTACGTCGAGTCAATTCTTTACCTGGCTCCTCGGAACGGTGAGATCGAGCATCGTAGGTAGCAACAAGCTCCTTCACAAGACCGTCGCCGAAGGATCCGGTGTGTTGGAAGCGGAACTTACCAGATTTGAAATGTGATTGGACGTTATCAGAAGTGCTGTTGTTACGCTGCGTCAGCTGGGCCTTGAGCTTTTCGGTCTTCGATCTTTGGAAGGCCTTGGGCTTCTCTGCTTGAGGGTTCGAGAAGTCGGCAGGTGCGTCGGAGGACCGGTTGTCTTCTAGGTGTTGGAAGACGCGCTCGGCGTAATCAGCGGCAGCTGAGGAGTCTTCAGCATGGGGAGCCATCTTACGAACGGTCGTAAAAGTTGGGAGTGTGCGGGTTCTTAGTGAGCGCCACGAGGTGAAAGTAGAAGTTGGTGCTCAAATGGAGATTTAATACAGAAACCTGACAGACTTATGTAGATCGCCGACTTCAGTCTCATATATCTGAATAAAGTTGACTGAGTGTCACCAGCACCTATGGTAAGAGCTAGACTTTGAAGATCCAACTGCTTTGTGTCAAATGGATTTGAGACAAAGCTGTCTAATCACGGCCTTTAAAAAAGGACGTGTCTAGAAAAAGACAGAGAGTTCGTGAAGAAGGACTGTTACTATTCTTTGTTCGCTATTTCTACAGCATGATGAGTATTATGGCAAGGATACCGGCCCCCCTACGACCTACGTTAAGTAGGATTGCCGCCATCCCCCTAACCCTAGGAACAATGAGGTACAAATGCTCTAACAATCCCCAAATCCTGGGAACAGTGAGCTGCCCATCTCCTGAATCCTGGGATCGGTAAGTTGTCCCCCACCCTATTCCTAAGAACACTGCTCTACTCTAACCCCCTAATCCTAGGAATAGTAAGCTACTGATCCCCTGAATCCTGGAATTGGTAAACTTATTCCCCTTAAGCCTAGGAACAGAACCACTCCGCACCCTCTACCTGGCGGACTATAGGCAAACTGCGCTCTAGAGAGTGTAGTGCCCGCTCGAGCTTATTAAGCGCGGGCGTTGTCGTACAACATTTATCAAAGGTGACTTAAGATTGTGGATTGAGTTCCATGGATGTCTGTCGTTCATCTGATGTACTCTCAATTCTCCGTTTTCTATGCCAGCCGTACTTGCCTTTCCACAGGCCCGGCCTGCTCCCACGCCTTGCTATGCATGACCGCTATCGTGCACCTTTCTCCTGTGCCATCCTCATACCCTACATTCTCATCAAAGACTAGGATATTAACTTACCCGCTGTTTTCTCCTACTGAAGGGTAGACATTATGATCAAACATGCTTATTCGTCCTTCGACACGGAACGGCCCTTCACGAGGGCGATAGCACACTCCGTAGGCTGAGACGCCTACTAAGATCAATGCCTTCTCGGTCTCTGGATAGATATTATTTCCCACCCACTCGTATCCGCCCTGTTCCCACCAAAGGCTGCAATGGTTCTCATCGCCGTCGTAGATACGCCGGACGCTCTGCGACCCTTGCATGTACAGATGGGTCTTGACACTTAGGTACTCCTTGTGAGCGGCGGCTTTGGATGCAGACAAGAGAACGACCGGCCCTCTCATCCGTAGAACATTAGCCGCAGAAGGTGGTTCCCTCATTCTATCCACTTCAAAGCTTGGCGGCGTTGCCCAGGCCCAAACTTTGTTTGTGTCGGGATCTCGCCAGATTTTCACCTCTCTCCGTGTTTCTTGTGCCTCCGCTTCTTTACCTTTCCATATCCTATTCTCAGATGTCTCTTGTGACCCGAATGTAACTTCTGATTTTTGATCTCTGTCGGAACAGGAAGTCGAAGGACCGCTGGAGGGGCCTTTGGGACAATACGGCTGTGTGGCATCTTCCTTGGCCACTGTTCGTTTGCCCTTGCTCTCGGAGGCGGACAATTTCGACAAAGAGCCCGCCTCAGAAAATTCATCTGGTGAAATTTCCAAGTCACCCACTATGACTTCGTTCACCAGTGAGACGGGCCGTTCTGCGATGTCCGTCGCCCAATCGAAGAGCCTGTATTCCACGGGCCCATCCCACCCCGCCCACGACCAGCTGGGACATCTGGGATCCGGCTCCGTGATATCCGCGATCAACGTAACCTAGAAGCAGGAATAGGAAGAATGGAGAGAACTTAGGTACTGGGCGGCAAACTATCGTGTCACCCACTTGAGCGCTTCATTTAGAGTTGAGGCCTACAGCTATCTGGAACCGATTGCATGGATGACCCGGCATCACTCAATTGCCATCTGCTTGGGCACTCTCCGCATTCCGAACGCACCTTTGAACATAAAATAGGCCTCTTCCCTCGGGCACTTACTTTCTTTTGCTTCCTCCCTCACGGCCGGCACGGTGGTGCTAAGCCACTCCTTCTTTACAGCTTTTTGCCTACCGTTCCTTCCCTCTTTTCTAACTACCCCCTCTTGGCCATAGGAACTCTGCTCTTGCCATCAGACTTTCTCAACAGGCTCAACACTCCTTCAACTCGTTTGGTAGTCCGTCTACATATCTAGTTCGACCTCGCAAGGCTCGACCGGTCAACAGAAAGAACATCATCATCATCGCTTTGAGACCGTAGATCCGTCGTGGGTAAAAACCGGACGTGGCGGGCCACTAGATGACTATGACTGGGGTATATCGTCAAGTTTACCTCAGCCTGTTGAGCAAATTGAGGAGCAGAGTAACAATGAGCCAAATTCATCTCAAGAGTATGGGGCACCTGCCCCAAGCCCGTCTTTACTGCAACAATACCAAGAAGATCACGAGTATGGCAGCCAATCAGGCTCGGAACAGATCGCCTCAAGCTCTGTTCAGAGCGCTGGAGACATACAGCCAATCCCGCTGCGATGTGTCGAGTGTGGAAGTGTCTATGCAAAGGCTTGGGAGGTGAAGTACGCCATCTTTCAGACAGCCGACATGGAAGGACATATTTGCTGACCTATATGCAGTCGGTGTAAGATAAAGCATAAGAAGCCGTTCAAGTGTCAAGTGGAAGACTGTTCCTGGGCTTTCCGATACAGTAAAGATCTTGACCGGCACTGCAAAGAGCGGCATTCTGAGGGTGGGCACTACTTTTGCCCGTTCGCTGGGTGCAAGTACTCACAAGAGCTAAAAGGAAATCCAACTGGCAAAGACACGTACAGACACAGCATCGCGGCTAGCAGCAAAAAGACTGGCAGCCATGTCGATCGATAGAGATATCATATCTGCCCAATACAATGGAACTGTCATGCCGCGCATGGCGACCGCGAAAAGCGACTCTGAATCAGAGACCGAGCTCTAGCCGTAGGCAACAAGAAACTTCCCCCGGCCCCCAACATCTAGCTTCCACAGCTCCCTGTCCAACCCCCGTTAGCGGAGATTTTGCAAGCGAGATGGCGGTCTGAGAATGCTGTGAATGGCCAGCCTTATTGAGAACATGCTAGGTGCGGCAGCTCGTAAGTCGCTTTGGGGATGGTGGCTTACACTAGTCATTCCGCGCTGGATTTAGGTAGCGATGATTCGTTCCTTATCTGTCTTAGCCGTCAGCCCTCACGTTCAGCTGTGTCGAGCGGCCAATTTTAAGAGCCATTCCAAGACGTCCACGATAAAGAAAGGGTGTGGCTGTTAAACGGAGATTGCTACCGCCGGGATGGGCAGTAAACTGAATTACCTGATCATGTCAGCCTTAAGAATGTCTCTGTGCCCCGCGCCATGGAAAGCTGCTTGTCCCCATTTCGAATCCACGGCTTCTTGCACATTACGTTTTGTTGTTGTCGCGAAGAGATACTTTGAACAGGTGTGAGAGCCGCCGCGCGCCCACTCGAGAATGGCTTCTTCCGATACCGAGTACATGGACCTTTGGGTTCCGGGTACGGAGGCCAAAGGCTCCGCAAACCTGACCTGGGAGCAACTAGATTTCAACCGCAATTGCACGAATTGGGGACAATGGTTGGGTGCGATGCTCCAACCCGACCCCTGGGATCCGAAGTCACTTCGAGGAATGAGTCTTCAGTTGTCTATGACACTGTACGCAACAGCTATGCCGAAGGGATACGAAACAACCTACTCCGAGGTGTCATTATGGTTCGCGTACAACTTATATCATACACCATACCCAGAGAACTCGAGCGATCCAACGTACTACCTTTGGAGTACACGATTCAATGAAACTGTTCTGTGGGGTCCCAAGGAGTATTGTGAAGCCGAATTCTGTAAGGCTGTCGGATACACAGGAAGCCAAGATCTTTGCGGCATTGGGGTAAGGACACGATACTGGGAGTCGTTGTGCTGGGAAAGAACCTGGTAACTGACAATGTGAAGGTCGTGGTATCTTATTACCTCGAAGCCATCCTAGCAACGATGTACCTCGTCGCATTCACGATTCACCAAGTGCGTCGCCACTTCAAGAAGAACCTCTGGGAGAAGACGCGACCGAAGCAGAAGCAAAGACTGAGCGGTCGCATTCTCGACTCGTTCCGCGGATCGCTTGACATGTTCCTCAGCGGCTCAATGCTGATCGCAGTAGCCATGCTCGGAGCTTCCGTCTACTCGGCTGCAACAAACTTCAAGGAGAATTTGGAGACCAACCCCGACCTCCCATCAGCCGATGCCCGTTACGAGCAAGCTTTGGCACTAATTGCATCCAACTACTCTGTCTTCCCGGTCATGTTGCTCTACGCACTAGCCAAGCATGACGGCCATCGCAAGTGGCTCCATCGATCTGTGCTTGTCCTCCTCTGGGGCCTGAGCGTGACGGTTGTTTACCTGGCGCCAAGGGCGGAGATAGACTACAAAGAAAGAAAGAGTGGACACAGAAACTTTGACTGCGATCAGCGTGGCTCGCAGTACTGGCCCGTCGTCAAAGCTACGCAGTTCCTGGTCATTGCGCTGCCGATGATATGGCTCCTCCTGACGCTCTTTGTCACCACTGGGTTCAAGATTCCCGGCATGATTGACAAGCCGTGGGTCAAGAGATGGAGGTCTTGCTGGCGAATGCTGGTCGCGTGGATCAACTTACTGGTCATGTGGGGGATACTGGGCTACTTCACCCACTTCCGCCAGAAGATCATCGACGCGGCTGATGGCATTGACAAGAACGACAAGTGGACTTTTGGACAAGTTCTTTCCCTGGCAGCTTGGGTACCTGTCATCGCCGAGTTGCTGTACATATTGACCTGTAAGTTCCATTTACAACAAAGTACGGCCTTGTTTGTACGATACTAATTGGTGGTCTAGTCGGTCTTGAGGAGGGACTGTCAGGCCATATGCCTGCCGACTACCACGCGACGCATGTCACGCAGCCTGACCAGAATATGGGAGTTCCCCTCCTTGACAGAAGCTCCATATACGATATGAAGCACGCCTCGACCATGTCAGCAATGTCTGTATCGACGACATTATCTTCACCGACGACCCCTGGACAGGTACAAACACCCATGTGGCAGCAGAACTCTGGGTACCAACATAGTCCTGTGTATCAGCCAGTAAATATGCAACAACCTCACGTTCAGCATTATCAGAGCTGGGACGGATACTATCACACGGGATGGTAGTCGCCTACAGTATGTGGATAAGCCTATAAGGACAATGGATGACTTTAGCCTATAGCGAGCGATGGCCTTTTAATGGGGAGGACGGCGTGAATAATCAATAATGTATGATGCAATGAGGCCGAGAATGTAGTTCAATGGAATTTGATCCATTGTGATATCGACCGGCAGACCTAGAAGCTCCTGCCTCCTGTTTGCCCTCAATCACTTCCAAAATTTTCCTAAATCCAGTAGTTATTGAAAATGGCAGATCATCTTCGTTCCCCATCTGTTCTACGATTGAAAGAAAATCATCCGAAGAGATACCGATGGTTTCGAGAAACTCAGTGTTATCTGGTGTGTTATCCGAAAACACGCTCGTGAGCAGTTGCATCTCACTCAACGTCGTCGTAGATACTAAGTCAGGCTCATTGATCAAAGTTTGGGTTTGTGTCGGATCAGCTATGGCTTCAATCAAACCAGATGGTCCACGGCCTTCGAAGTCTTGTTCGCCTACCCGCCGAGTGAATTCGCGAAAAAGAGTCTCTAGATGGGCCAACTCTGCTTTTCGAACTTCAGCCACTAAGTTTCCTTTGCTAGCCATATCGTTGTGCGTCTGCCGCATTTGCGCCGGTTCGTCGGCACCTACTGCGGCTGGGAAGAGTGCGTTGGCCATTGTAAAGTGTATGGCAGCTCTGTAAGCATATTCTAACTCGAACGTCAGGAAGACTTCTATTGGTGATTTGGCAGTTAATAAGAATTGTTCGAAGCATCAGGATAACAGTCACACTGCGCACATACCTAGGAGACTATCATCCCCAGAGAGAATTTGAAGAGTCTTCGCCGCTGATTTAATGCCCGTCGAGACCAGTGTCTTCAAGGGAGACGAGAATGTCTGTGGATCTCTTCCATCCCAGCCAAAGTTCTCCAGCTCTTGCTTTAAGGCGGATAGAAATAGGGGCCTCGTAGCCATGATAACACACTTGAAGAATGCCTCTGTCAGTCACATAGTGACTGAATGAATTGAGTCAACAACTGACCTGATGATACAGCAAGGTAATGCTTCTTGTTCCTTTTGGCATGGTATCCACTGAGTTTTGGAACTTGAATCGAGTTATTCTCTCAATTTCCTGTGCATGACCAGCTAATGTGTGAAGTATGGACTTTGTTGAAGTCAAAAATTCACCAAGCGGAGTTTTCTCGGACCTGTAAATAGCTTCAAAGCCAGAAGGTTAGAAAAAGTCTCTGCGGGATGCAGATACGACTGACTAGTGATGATCGACGATAGCAAACGCGAGAGTTTGACCTGGAGGCCGAGTGTTGCGTCACGCTGCGAACATATACTTGGCGGGTCAAGTACCGTAGTTATGTCGGCGTCCTGAGTATTCATGGGACTCCGACAGAGCAGGAAAAGTGTCGATCCATGATGTACAAAGTCCACCAGAGACTGCGGCATCGAGCAACCGCTTGAGTCCCGAGTGCATCCTCGGCAAGTTGGGTATGCAAGCCTTCCAGCTGAGCTATCCGAATCGCTTGAGCAATCTGACAAATCAATCAGATGAATTGTGGTTGGATAGCTAGATAAGTATGAAAATGACTCACGTATAATTGAGCAGATTCTCTCTGATAGATCGATTATAAATAGAGACCTGCCAGGGCTAAGACCTCGATGGCTAGCAGACTGTCTTTCCATAATGAGTTGGTCTCTGGGAGCAGCGCCATGGCGCGAACAAAGAACTTAGCACCGGGCGGTTCCCTTGAGCCTTTTGATCGTGAAAGGAAAGCCTGTCCAAAGGATAAGACGAGTAAGAACTGCACAAACCACAGATGCGACTCTGCTGCCTTTTTGGATGCCAGACTGTAGTAGAACTCTTCTATATTCTTCACGAAGTTCGTTTCGTCAATCAATTGATAATTCTGGCTGAGATGAAACTTCACGGTATTAAAGAGATTAGATGGCATGATCGATGGAAGGAAGCCTGCTGATGTCTGGTTGTCCATCTACTGTCGAGGCTTTCCACCTCAACGGATATATCTCATCGTTTAGAAAGCTGGGTGCACTAAACGGAGTTTCCACCTGAAGTCTCTCGGCCACCATAAGGGTGAGGCGGGCTGTGAAAGACCATGTTGAAGATGGAGCTAGCCAGACTGTCGAGTTTATTAGTGTGACCGCTGATCTACTTCAGCTACTCACTCACTCCAATTGCGCTTGTTTCTGTGGGTGTTCTTGATAGTCGTAGAGGGCAGCGTGAAAGGGCTTGTGTACACACTCAGAAGAGTCTTGCGTTTGAGATGACCTGTGGCCAACCGACTGAGAATCTGTATCCCTTGGATTAGCTCAAAAATACAACATGGGAAAAGTGCTTCGGTATACTTACTGCTATCCTCGTCATCGGATCCGAACGCAGCACCACGAGACCGCTTGCTTCCTGGCGTCGATTGATGTTCCGCGCCATGCCTCTGCCCTCCCAAATTTCTTCTAGTGACTCGTTCAGATTTTGAGTCGCAAGATCTCGGAACTCGTTACACACCGCTCTGAATCCACCGTGGGGTTGGTCCCGTCCATGTACTCGCATTTCATTAAACGCCGTTGGCAGTTTGCGCACGGCTCCTCGCCAGAGCATTTGATTTTACCTTGTCGACAACTGATACATCTAGCATACGATCAGTGGTTCCCTCCACGAGGAATTATAGTTTAAGAACAGGATCTTACGCGTTTTTTGTCCGTCTAAGCTTCCTCCTGTCGGACTCTCTATTTGCTCTGCTTGCGGGTGACATGTTCCAGGACACGAAACCTGCGTGAGTCTGGATGTAACTTGAAGGTAAATACTGGTAGGATACGTTGCAACTACAAACATGATTTGAACGCAATAACAACGTATCGAACGTATCACGACAACGGAGATAACAGCAATGCCAGCCATCCACATATCAGATAATGTCTGGTGGTGTTGTGTGACTAAAGGCTAGGACTGGACAGGCAGGGCTTGCCGGGAAGCGGGGTTACAGGCATTCTACCCCGCAAAACCATGTTCACAACAGTGAACAAGCTCAGTAGGAGGCAGAATTACAGGCTAACAATCGTGGCGCTGGCAATTCTAGGAATACAGCGGGGTTGACCCAAGACAAGATCAAAAAACCAATCTCGCACAGTTAGTGAGGGGTGGAGGCGCTTAGAGAGTTGTCGAGACGATGTTGATGCCTACTGTCTGGACAAATAAATATCTTTAAACCTGTGATGAGATAGGTCTTAGGTAGAAGCCTCGAAGACCAGTGTAGGCGCTACATGGAGCCAGGTTTAGCACCGTTCTTCTTATGAAGTTATCGTTGTTCTCATGAGCTGTCTTCGACGCTGAAATCTCTGCCATTTATTTCCCGCGGAAACAGTACACGTGGAAATAGACTTGAAGCTTAATTGTCAACCCGTGCTGTTTTGATGCGATCACGAAAGCAGCCATGAATCGGGTTCTCCAGCATTCAGCTAGCTAGTTTACAGGGATCGGGAGCAGGGATCGTCTCGGCTTCCAGAGCGTCGGCAGACTTAGTAGGATTCGGGACGGCTTATTTCAGGTTTGCTCTCTTTCTACTAACCACTTTCGGGTACGCCGTGAGACGTCCAAGTTCAACTGCGTGCCTCCATGCTCCTGTGATATCTGAGGATCGCCACCTTTCCAAGGTCATATTCAAATCCTTGCAGAACGGCAACTTTCGGATTCGGAGGTTCAGTGACAAGTCGTGCTCCAGGTAAGTTCGCGGTAATTCTTCCAGAAGGTCGCGCCAGGACGGAATTATCAGGCGTTCTGGTGCAAGTGGTAGACGTGGACTCAGTGCGCCATCGTGTACGACTTCGTAAATCTTGGATTAGATTGGCTACGATTCTCTAGAAATATCTACCCAGCAGACTTCATATACTCAAAGCCTGAATATCGCGATATGACAGAATGACAGCTATTCGGCGACATCAAACTCGACAGTTCCCCATCCCTCAAACGTGCAAGACCAACGACCAGCTTCCTGCATCGGCACCGCCTGCAGGCAGCTACCAGGCAAGATCACCTGTCCTGCATCGAATCCAACGTCGTACTTCGCAAGCTTATTCGCTAGCCATGCCACGGCGGACAGCGGGTTCCCTAGTACATTTCCGGTGTTGCCCGACATGACCTCCTTATCATCGAAACATAGGGTGCCTCTGGTGTTGCTCAAAGTGAGATCAGTAAGCTGGCGAGGCGTACCCCCAAGGATGACGGCGCCGGTGGACCCATTGTCAGCCAGTGTGTCCGGGAGGTCGATGGCCCAATCTCGCACTCTGGAGTCGATAATCTCTATCGCAGGGATGGCGTAGTCTATGGCATTGATGACGTCCGCCACAGTGACGTTGGGTCCTTTGAGAGGGCCTTTCAGCACGAAAGCTGGCTCAAGCTCGACGTAAGGTTTGATGAAGTCCTTGAGGCTAAGAGTTGTTCCTTCGAATACGAAAGTGCTCGCGAGGAGGAAGCCGTAATCAGGTTGGTCAGGCCAAAGGCGTCTTGCATGACCTTTGCGATGTTGCCTAGTTTGTATCCAACGACTCTGTCGCCATCTTGGCTAACGGCGTTCTTGACGGTGACCTTTTGGACTTCAAATGCCCCATCGGGATCAAGACTTGTTCATTTCTTGGTTGGGGGGTCGACAGGCTCTTTGATGATACGAGCGGCGCGAAGAGCCGACGAGATCTCCTGGAGCTCAGAGTCCTGCATTATGTCTCTTGAATCTTGCCGTTGAAAGACTTGTTGAGTCTGCGAAGTTATTGGACTATTAGAGCCTAGAGCAAAGATGGTGAAGTCTGCGTGTATTTGTGCAGCGTGATACAATGTATTATTCTATATTAGGGAACGGGACGAACTATAGACCCAAGTGTCTTAATTCGAATGTTCTTCCGGCGTTGACTCCGAAAGTACGATGTCCGGAGTTGTTGTCAGTTAATCCTTTCCGACAGCGAATGACTATTCGTATTGAATATGCCGATGACTTATCTTCTACATCCGAGATCAATAAAGGCTGTCGGCCGCCGGTATCTAAAGTAGTTAGCAACGGCATACCCGACCCATGCCATCCGAGACCAGCCCTGGCCGCCAATGGCCACGTGCACCGACATGAGCTGACCTGAAAGGCTCACAAATCTCATCACTGGCGGAACTCTGGTGACTTATATCGTTATTTGCATCAACTATCTCTTCTTCTACAGAGCTTTGAAAGCCCATGGCTTTAACAGATCTGACCTCCCCTACCGCGGATATCTCCAGCCCTATGGCACTTGGGTTGCTTTGGTCTGGCTCATAGCGGTGGAGATCTTCTATGGGTATGCCATCTTCTTACGGGGCCGGTGGGATATTGGAATCTTCTTCAGCAACTACACCATGGGATTCCTCGCGATCTGTCTATTCTGCGGTTGGAAGATCCTCAAGCGCACTAAATTCGTCAAGCCCGAGCACGCCGATTTGGTTTGGATCCGGCCGGCAGTCGATGAACACGAAGCGGCGATGGCGGGTAACGAGAATGAGGTAGGGCTCCGCAGGCGTTTAGCGCTGTTGGTATCCCTATCACAGGGATGTTGGTTCGAACCGTATGGTCCTGGGGGTGACGAAGTATCAATATCTCTGTATTGATTGATTCTGCGTAAGGAGTAGAAGGGAGATTTCAACCGGAGGTTGGGTGGACCGTCGAGGTGTAATTGTACCCTCTCGAGGTGGCCCCTGCTCTACCCTTACTCACGGTCGAATTGGGCTTCCAATCCGACAAGCGCAAATGGCGAGGGTCGATTTGAAACTTGTTCGGGCATCCCGGAGCCCTCGGGTTTAGTTCACCATTTTTTGTTCGTGATTACAGTACATATCGGGCTGCACGCTGTTCTTGACACAATTCCGAGGTTGTGAGGTCCGGAAATCGGACTCGGACTCGCACGATTGATGCGTTCATAGCTACACTGCCCTTCTGAATACTGTTGAATACGAATACCTTACAGGCACGTGTGTACCGAGCACTGCATGCCGATGACTTCGGTGGCTTTCAATTGCCACTGCTTCGGCTGTCTCTACGTAAACAACATCGGATATTACCTTTCAAGGCCTCTGACGCCATTCCTCTCCAGCCACTGTGCGGGGAAGGGGTCTCAGGGCGGCAACAGGGTCCTATCATCTTTGGGTGCAGAGCAAAGAGCTCATCGTGGGCGCTGTTAAAGGGGCCCTGACAGACAACCAGGGGCTTTGTGGCGGGCCTCGTTTGGCTCCTGATGGTCCCATTGTGCATCTCTCTGGGTCTGTTTGGCCCGGTTCAGAAGCTTTTAGAAACATCAGAACAAGCTACGTGGCAGGGGCCCGAGAGTGCCCAGACTTTAACGTGTTCGTTTACATACCAAGAGCTGTGCCGACTCCCGGGGCTGTGTCTGCGCGGTGGGCCGTGAACCTTGACGCGGTGTTCCCGATTGGATCGAAAGAGAGGATACGCGCGGACATTCTGAGTCGAGACTTTCATAAGCCTCACCTCACCCCACCATGGCGGGGGTGTAAATATTCTTAGGTACGGAGATCCGTACATGTATCACAAGCTTCGTTGATCCCATTGTTGGAGGCTCAAGGAAGTTTATATAACCTTCGTTTCCCCGCATCTTAGCTCTCGATCCTGTAGCATCTGTCTCTGAGACATCTCTGATCATCAACATAATAACATCCAGTTCGATTTGTAATTTTTGTATCAAACCCCATCATCATGAGTTACTACGGCAACAACGGTGGACACCAACAGGGTGGATACCAGCAAGGTGGCTACCAGCAAGGAGGAGGCTTCCAGCAGCAGGGAGGCCATCATCAGGCCGGCTACCAACAAGACCGCCCTCCTTCTGGTGAGGCCGGCTCATACTATGGTGAAAACCAACAAGGCCAGCAACAGTTTGGCACGCAGCATGGACACGGCCAAGAAGGATACGGACAACAACAGGGGGGCTATGGCCAATCTCAGCATCAGTCGGGACCCCCTCCTTACCAGAACCAAAGTAACTACGGCAACCAGGGATACCGCAACGACGGCCCGCCTGGATCCAACGGTCCGGAAGGCGAGGACGGCGAGCGTGGTCTGACGGGTGCTCTTGCTGGCGGCGCTGCCGGCGCCTTCGGCGGTCACAAGGTTGGCGGTAACTACGGCCACAGCAAGGCCAGCACTTTCATCGGTGCCGTTGCAGGAGCTTTTGCCGGACACAAGTTGCAGGACGGTGTGTCTGACTGGAAGGACAAGCGTGATGAGGAGAAGAAGCACGAGCACGACCAAAAGCATGAGCACGACCGCCCTCACTCCCCTCCCAAGGACCACCATCGTGGTGGACACCACGACGACCGCCACGGCGATGACAAGCCTCGCAGTGGAAACTACGGCGGTGGCTTCACCGGCTCAGCTAGAGACATTCGTCTTGACGCCCATGGAGAGTATAACCTCCACGCGTCATGCAAGCGTCGTGATGGTGAGTGGCAGAGCAGTACCATCAGCCTGAACAGAATTCTCGAGAACGACCACGGTAGCTTCCGCTGGTCTTCTGGTGGTGGCGGCGGCGGCGACTCTTCCGTGACCGTCCAGCAGGGCGATACCCTCCGCAACATCGCCGCGAGATTTAATGTCGGGTTCGAGGAGATTGCGAGACACAACAACATCCCCAACCCGGACCAGATCTGGCCCGGCCAGGTCCTTCAGGTTCCCGGCCGTGGTGGCAACTCCGGCGGCAACTTCGGCGCCTCTGCACGGGACGCCCGTCTGGTTCAGGGTGGCCAGGTCCTCGAGGCTGAGCTGTCCCGCAACGGCCAGTGGGTTCGCAGCTCTATCAACTTGGATGAGAGAATAGGAAATAACAACGGAACCTTGCACCTTGTTTAAAAGGTTGCAATGAAATGAGCATAAAAGCGGATTGAAATTTACTCTAGCGACACTCTAAATTGAGACTGGCCAAACGGTCATGAATTTGCATTGAAAGTAGTACTTCTCTTGGTTCTTTGATTTGAATGTTCCATGAGATAAGGCGGCATCATGCAGCCTAAGTGATTTGATCTTGCCTTTTCAGCTTATTCATCAACTGACTATCTACAAACGCGTGCTAATGCCGCCGGTCACAATCATCTTGATCGTCAAGTAGTCTTCAAGACCATATCTGCTGCCTTCACGGCCAAAGCCGGAATGCTTGACGCCTCCGAATCTGATGGGTGTTAGTTTTGAACAACAAGACGACGCGAATCATGAAATACTTACGGCGCAGAAGCGTCTGAGATGACACCAGTGTTGATGGCAACCATTCCAAACTCCAGAAGTTCTGATACCCGAGTTGATCTAGCCAGGTCGTTCGTGATGACATAGGACGCTAGTCCGACTTCAGACTTATTGGCCCACTCGATGACCTCCTTTTCTGTGGAGAACTTCGTCAATGCCGCAAGGGGGCCAAATGTCTCTTCCTGTGTCACTTTCATAGAGTCGTCGACATCCCCGAGAATGGTGAGCTCGTGGAAGTTCTTGCCGGCTGATGGTAGCCGGTTGCCGCCCAGCAAGACCTTTGCGTTCTTGGAGATGGCGTCTTTGATATGCTCCTCTACCTTGCCAACACCATTGGTCAAAGGTCCATGAGTAACCGATGAGTCGGTGCCGTTGCCAACACGGAACTTTCTGACTTCCTCCACTAGCCTCTGGCTGAACCTATCATAGATGCCCTCCTGCACGAAGATCCGGTTGGCGCACACGCATGTCTGGCCAGTAACTTTGAATTTGGAGACAAGCACGCTTGAGATTGCAATTTCCATGTCTGCATCATCGAACACGATGAAGGGTGCATTGCCTCCTAGCTCGAGACTCAACTTCTTGAGAGTGCTGCTTGACTGTTGCATTAACAACTTGCCAACTCGGGTCGAACCCGTGAAAGAGATCTTCTTCACGATGTCTGACTCACACAATGCAAGTCCAAGCTGAGGTGTGTTTTCCAATGCCGTGACGACGTTAAAGACTCCGGGAGGTACGCCGGCTCTCTCGCATAGCACAGCTAGTGCGTTTGAAGAGAAAGGTGTAAGTCCATCAGACTTCATGACCACAGTGCATCCGGCTGCTAGAGCTGCTGAGACCTTGCGGGCGCCCATCGCAAGAGGGAAGTTCCAAGGTACGATCAAGCCACAGACGCCGACGGGCTCTTTGACGACGCGGGTCCTGTAAGTTGGGTTGCTGTGGGGAATGATGTCTCCGTAGATGCGGGCGGCCTCTTCGCCATACCACTCGAAGAAGCTTGCCCCAAACATCACCTCGCCCTCAGCGTCTCCCTTGGCTTTGCCATTTTTGGCGGTGATGATCCTGCCAAGGTCTTCCTTGTTGTCAACTAAGAGGTCAAAGATGCGTCCGATGATGCGGCTCCTTTGGCGGCCGGATAATGCTTTCCATTCCGGGAATGCTTTGGCTGCGGCGTCGATGGCGTTGTCCAAGTCGCCAATGGTTGACTCAGGACATGTTCCGATGAGTTCCTCTGTTGCCGGGTTGGTGACCGGAAAGGTGTTACCAGAGTCTGACAGCGACCATTGCCCTTTGATGTACGACTTCTGGACAAAGAGACTAGGGTCTTTCAAGGAAGATGCGAGGGAAGACATCGTGCAAAAGAGATTGATTACTTAGGATTCAAGGGAGAAGTGGCGGCGTTCAATGCTTGGAGGCCTGTGTAAGATGAAGCGTTCCCCTATTCGTGGCATTTTGCTCAGGTAATACTTGAGCAGATTCACATTTATCGTCTCACGGGACCGATAGCGGTTCATCGGTGCGACGTTCCATATACGGGCTTGATAGGGAAACTGAAAGGAGAGCTGGACACTCAAGCGCGTCTTCGGTGCGGGGTTCGGAGGCGCAAGCAGGTCTCGGGTCTGATAGCCGCAAGCGGAGGGGCGGGAGACAGGGATCGGGTGCGATCTCGGATCGGCTTGTTTGTGAACACTACACTCAATAATGAGAAGCCGAAGTGGTTGCACGTCAGATATCGCGGGTTTTCTTACTTGGAAAGATTAGAATCACGGTGATGAAACGATACACACGTGAACACGTGCATTTCTTGGCTCTGGATGAGATGTCGACAACCTTTTCGGCTCGGAGGCAGTGTCAGGCGCCCTGATGCCCAACCAAATTGAGGTAGCACACACTCACTGTTGGCCATAGCTGGGTTGATGTTTTTCCTGTGAAACATACGCTGTGTATCGGACCTCTTGAATCTTAATTATATCAAAGGGCCTTCGTTTTGGGGATAAGAAAATGTCATATCTATCACGAAATATCTAAAACATAGTGGTGTTGCCATAATTCCTAGTACTTCACTTACACATCACAAACTCTCATCAATCATCGTTTGAGAACACAGCCATGGCTGATATCGCGTTGACAACTCCACCGCCCTTGGCAAAGCTTAGCTTCACGCCCATAATCAAGGACGACCTGAAGCCAGCACTTCCAACCAAGCCCGAAACCTTTAACCCAGACAAGCACCTCGCATTCGTCCACGATCCGAAGAAGCTGTCTCTCAAAGATGTTTCGCTGCCCGAAGACGTCGAGATTTCTCCAGTCGCCTGTTCAGAGCAGTTCCATCTTTTCACGGAAGAGGCCATACAGAACATGAGACAAGAGATCTTCACCACCGAGGTTTGGGAAAACTGCCTGCACAGTACCAGATTTGCGCCGTGCCAGCTGCGTGGCCACTGCCCAAAGTATGCTCCTCCCTTTCTCCATCGTTTCCAGGGTCATGTTATTTTATTGAAGCTTACATTAGAGACAGGTACGCACCTTTTATGAACCAAGCTTGGAAGAACCCGAAGACGTTGGCTGTCATCTCGCAAGTCGCTGGAGTGGACCTCATCCCCAACATTCAATACGAGGGGGCAACATCAACATATCCGTTCTGAACAAAACCAGTGACCAGGAGAAGAATCAGGAGAAGGCTGGAGACAACACCTCCGTGACCAAGTGGCATTATGATGCTTTTCCTTTCGTGTGTGTTGTCATGATGAGTGATGCGACAAACATGGTAGGTGGGGAGACAGCCATCAAGACGGGAACGGGATAAATCCTCAAGGTCAGGGGCCCGCAGATGGTACGTACAAGTCTTTTTTATTTGTCTCAGCTGCACCTGAGGTGCTGGTTTTTGCTAGGGATCCGCAGTCATCCCTCAAGGAAGATATGTCGAACATCAAGCCCTTGCAGCCATCGGCGGCGCGGAGCGTATCACTATGATCACATCTTTCCGTCCCCGGAATCCTTGTGTCAAGGACGATTCAGTCCTCACTTCTATCAGACCGATTTCTGAGCACTCGGAGCTATACTACCAATGGGCTAAGTACAGGGTTGAGGTGGTGCAGGAACGGCTCAAGACATTTTTAAAGACTCTGGCCGAAGACAATGAAGGAGATAAGCCGACGAATGTCAGAAGAATTAAGGAATTCTTGGCTCAACAACAGGACTACATTGGGATCACTAATGAAGAAATCGCGGAAACGCGAGGACCACACCTTACCTGGGAGGGAAGTTAGTCTTCGGGCTATCGTGTCATGTTTGTAGCTTGAGTGGTCAAGCTTGTATGATCTTTAGTTTATGGGGACCCATATAGCTTGGATCAATGGTATTCGTGTCCATTCAAAAACCCATAGAGGTTAATGACATGTCTGGACTGAAGTTACTTAGGGCTGATTTCATCATTGAAATAATCGCGGACCTTGATCAACATGAGTATGAAATTTCTTGTTTTTAAGAATATAAGAATAGTTTTTAATCAGGGTTTTAATTACTATTTGTCGCAGCGCCACACGTGGCGCTGCCGGTTACTGCCGTACGATACCGCTTTCCACAAGCCGATTACCCGTCTTGTACGGTATATAGATAGGACCCTCATACAAGTCTTCCACTTGCTACCTCGCTTTGTGATAGTTATGAGCCCAGGATTCTACCGGTAGCACAACCGTCTAAAGTGTAGCTTTGACGCGTACCCACATCTAAAAGCCTCAGGTTCAATTCCCGCTCGGGTAGGCAGTTTTGCCGCCTAATCAGGTCTAAAAGAGCCCAAGTGCCACCCAACAAGCCCAGAGCGGCCACGGGTAAAAGCGTACAGACCCCTACCCTTCCACAGGGCTAGGATCTGAGGGGGTGTGTCGTAGGGTATATATGGCGTTAATTGCTGCCCGTAATTAACGGCGTCGTTTTTGCGACACTATTTCTTTAAATAATATGTAACTGAAGTAAGTTACTACATTATTTAATTAAACTGTAATGCCCATAACTAGTCTCTTTATTTAGGTAACATCTTAATATGGCCGCGAGGCTAGCTCTAGCCCCTTCCGCTTCGGCGTCGAAAACCTCCGCTCAGAGCAGGTGGCGGGGCCAGCGCATGTGGGCGCCAAAAATCAGGTAACTCCACAATTGGCGAGGAAGAAGGCGACTGACGGTGGCTGTCGCCTTCATCACTGTCTCTCTGAAGTTCTATGTCGACAACAGGCGGCCGAGAAGCCCCCCATTTGACTGACCTCCTCGTGGCTATTCGTGGAGCCAAGAAGACGATTACCAGCAGAACTACATTGGCGCACAACAGCAAGGCCAAGAATTGTAATGGCGGAGATGTTATAGGGAGTCCAAGTACCAGATCACCACAGGCAAATATGGACGCGGCTAGTACGAGTGGTTGAGTTATCTAGAGGCGAGTAAGCTTGATCCATCATATAAGAGAAATAAGGGAGAGAAAGCTCACGATAGTCACCCAAGAAAGTAAAGTCACCGAATTATCTTGATCAAGCGCGAGCCTCAGAGATTGTTTGGCCTGAATCTAAATGTTAAACAGGTTAATAAGCATCAATCATCATGAAAACAGAGCAAAACGCACTCGGCTTTGTTCAAGGACCAAAATCTCTCGTAAAGTATACAGAGAGCGTTGACAATCATTAAGGTCGTCGCATGTCTTTTTCAAGTCAAGCCGGATTTTCTCGTGAAGAGGCGAAGAAGTATTGCTCGAGACGAAGGAATGAAGTTCGTATGTCTTCTTTTTCTCCTCTAATGTCTCTAATGTGGCAGAGAGAGTCGAGAGCGACTGAGTGAGAACACTACACATGCGACCAGGCCAGTCAATGTCTATTGTACTATCCCCAGCTTTCGAAGGTGTATGAATTTCTGTATCACGAATAAACTATATAGACTGTCAGTAGATGGCCCAAGTTTGCTTATACGCGTCTGATTGACTTGCCTCCCTGTTCACCATGATCTGAAATTGGCACGCAAGATTCTCCCATTCCCACGTGATAGATTGTAGGCGAAAGTTCATCTCTCTATGGAAAAGTCTTCGAGGATCCCAAAGTCTTTTGTCAGTACGTCTTCCGAAAATTGACGGGTACGCTGAGAGACCTCCCTGACTTTCAGACGCGTCCGAGGTTAGTTCTCTGATGCTTGGTTCATTCGCAAAGAAGGTGTCGGCAAATGTATAAGCTTTCCAACTCTTTTCATCCTCACCAACAATGATGCATGATAGATGGGCTTGATGAAGATGCCAAATGTCTTTCTCTTGCGGGTGAGCTTGATGCGTTGATAAAGGGCGGAAAACCTTGATCGACTGGCGAAGTGGTGTTAGGACGCCATTGTCCCGGGACGCACGTCTAAATTCTTTGTCCCTTCTCCAAACCCAGTAAGGCAGGTGAAGCTCCAGACAGAACGATGTAGACGAGGAGTGCTGGATTGACGGAATGTTAGATGACATGAGAGAGCTGCGAGGAATGGTATGATAACTCACATCCGTAGAAAAATTAAGGTAAGCACGGGATGTCAGATGTCTGTATATACCATCGCTCAGAGCCAATCTCTCCTTCCGGTAACTTGTCGCAGCAAGAACTAATGCAGCCCAACGATCTAGGTCTGTTATGTGACTATACAAGTAAGTCAACGAGTGTATAAGATGAAAAGGCACACTTGGATCATACATGAGGCGTCGTTCATTGTCTATACCACACACAGCATTCTTCGATCGCTGCGATTAGTTAGAAACTGGAAAGTTCTAGCACCGGCCAGAGGAAATACTCACTTTCAGCTTCAGCACTCTGAGCAAGTCACCGGCGCTCAGAAGTTTCGAATGGGGGTAACGGGCTTGTTTTCCGTAATCCTCTTGGTCCAGCCAGATATTCAGCCTCGGGCAGCTCATTCGATTTAGTGATTCAATTGTTGCCCCTCGACAAAAGTCTCTAAGGAAACTGATTTTGTGCAAAGACCGTTCTTCGTGTGGGTCGAAAAATGAGGCCCAGACATCACCATCATCCGCCCCATCAAGTTCTTCCATCAGCATGATCAGGTCTGAGGGCGACTGGGCTACTTCGACAGGGACATCGCCCACTTGAGATTCTGGAGGTGTCGGAGGTAACCGCCATGTAGTCTGAGTTGAGGCATCTTTCATCGTCGTCCAGACCTTCGTACCGTGTGCTGGTGCCTCAGGTCTATCATCATCTTCTCCATGACAGATTTCCAGACAGGTATCTTCAAACCTCAGCTTAGGGGAACGTTCCATAGATGATAAATCATGAAAGGTCTTGATGGCTGGAACAATATAGCCTGTTCTGCTACCTGGGCATCCTCTGATGACGTGGCCGTAGAAAGAACCCGACTGTTGGTCGATGACAGCAGTGCCAGAGTCACCCATGGTGAATTCTCCTTCATCAAGCTGCACAACCTGGAGCCTTTGGACTGAGCTGAAGTCTGGGTTCTGAAACAGAGTGAACCCAGGTACAAGGAAGCCTCTACGAACTGTGTCGGCGTTCCCTATCAAATATACTTCTTGCGTTTCAAGACCTGTTGATGCCACGTCACGGATATATATGCATCTGTACCCATCTTCGTGAGGTACGGTGACTCTGTTAGAGAGATCAGACACCGTGGGCGCAGGTGTCGAAATCAAGACGTAATCAAGCTCAGGGCGAGAGCCTTCGCTAGCCCGAAAGGCGATAGAGCCTATTCGGCTCGGCGAGGGTTGATACGGCGGTCCATCTAAGGTATTGTGATATTGAGATTTGTGATTGTTGTGAATGGGTATCTTGAGTCCATCGGGGTTGAGCAAGGTATTGATAGTCACAGGACATGCGATCCTATCGATGTGGCTCAAGACAAGTTCCCTGTCCAGAATCTCTTCATCCCAGGAAGAGTCGGCAGATTGAGCAAGTGAAATTGAGCTTCGTGAAAAGCCAGATGTAGGTGTGATGCTTCCCTGGCTCAGAACATCAAAGTTGGCTCGTAATGTCTCTTCATCACTCAAGTGGCCATAATCTTCATCATTGCTTCCATTGACGGAAAGAGCGTCGGTGTCTAGGTCGAGTTGTGATGTGATATTTCTCCGCATAGACAGAAAGTCACATTCATGCTCTGAAGTCAACTGATAGTGGTTGCCATTGATCAGGAGAAAAACGCCACCCGTAGCCCAGAATGCAAGTTCTCCAGCGTGGTGGCCTCGCAATAGACTTCGTCCTACACTTAGAGAAGTCGACTGAGAATAAACATCGTTGTCATCCAGTAAAGCTTTATCTGAACTTTCTGAAGAAATGCTGGGAAAGCTTGTTCTCGCTAGTGTTTGTGCTGGAGTTCGTTGTTCCAGAGGGTGTGGGAGTCCGTGGATCTGGAATTCCGGAAAAGATTGAAGAGCTAGGGTCCCTCTCAATTCGTCTTTGACCCGAGATCTAATGGCACTGTTCATGCAACAGACCATTATCGTCGGCTCGGAGCTTCTTGTCGCTGAACCAATCATGTAGAGTCGAAAGTAGACCTCTGCACGATCCAGCCCAATGCTCCTGAAAACGTCGTGGACGATCGCTTCAACGTCATCCTGGTACTTTTTGAGCGCAGGTCCTTCGGCATACCAAGCTTTCTTGCGTGTGAGCAAAGAGTTAATGATGCCCCTCCCGCAAGAGTGCTCTGGATCTCTCCATCTAGACCGTCGAAACAAAGGCATGATTTGAGGTGATGGTGAGAGATTTCTGTCGATGATGCCTCAATTGTTAATTTGCCGTTTTATGTCAACGTGAGAGCGATGGGACGAGGAGTTTAGAATGGAAGTGGAATAACAATAGACAGGTCTTGACATGGCAAACCCTACCTGCTTTAAAAGTGAGGCGAAAAGTGCAATAATCGTCATGCGCCCGGAAAGCTTCATTGGTTTACGTATTAGCGCTACTTCTCTGTGACGTCCAAAGCGACAGGAATTTCGGTAAGACTGGCTATTTTCATTCGCATTGTGATCGTCGACGCTCTTGCATCCGCCCAATGGAAGAGGCCGCGAAGACTTTTTTGGCTACCTATGACCACGCATGCCGCACAAATGTGCACGTAAACGCAAACATCATTACTGAAAACCAAGATGAGAACCTTCTAAGAAGACAAGCGCGAAAGGACTGTACATTGCCACCGCGGCCATCAGGCATTAGTGGTCACATTGGTGCCCAAAATCACAATTGTCCATTGCGAGGAAGGGTTTGCTGGACCGAAAGCTTGGGTTTTGACCAGGTACCTAATACTCGCTATATTAGGTAGGAAATCCAGTAGTCGCGAATTTTTTTCCCTTCCGCTTTGTAGGCCCCGAGCCTGTTACGCTACGATGATCGAGTTAAAAGAACCCGACGTACAAGAACTTCTTAGCCTTCTCTGGGGCCCTCCGAAACTCAACGACCATAGTCGATATGATAGATCGCTTGCGAGACGTCCATGTGGAACATCAGCATACACGAACTACTGTCATCGTCAGTGGGGCCTAATCGCGGGATACTTCAATGGTCATTACATAGCTCTCAACAGTCTCGCCGAGCTCAATTCCCTCATTCAATACCTCCTAAGCACAGATGCGATCGCAAGAGACCAGCTTCATGCTTATTTCGGATCAAATCAGCGTCCAATATTGGATCAAAGAGCAGTGGATACCACTATCAATCTCACTCTTCGCCTCCTCCTCATGCTCCGATTTGGCCCTGTTGAAGGGGAGGCATCCCTTGACCATCATCTTCTTTGGGACTCTGGTTGCTTGAAGGATTGCATACGAGCTTATCTAGAGGATTCTCCTCATCTCAACGTTGGAGAAATTCGATTCCCGAAGAACTTCAACGCGTGGAGTCTAGTCACGATCGGGGGCATAAAGATTGAACTAACAGACAATCTAGCCGACCATCTGTTATTGATTGAGGACGAGAATGACATGAGAGTCTTGATATTCCACCACGTCTCGTTTCTGCGATGCCATCAAAGGTGAAGTTTTGGAATTCCTTGCAGATGATTGATGAATGTTAATGCAATTTTCAAATCAGTTCGTTCTACCCTCAGGGGTTTCTTAGGGAGACTGAAGATTACATTACAACTACTTTTCCCTGAGGCAGAATTCGGCGGTTTAGGATCCACCAAACGTCGTCGGTCATCATGGCTACAAAAACTGCTCTACAAGCAACCATGTTTTCCAGCTGATTCGAGACTTGGCGCAAGCGGAACGCTTCCTGCGGAGGCCCGAAGGATCGAGAGGTTCAACTTTTGGAGGAACCGATTGGTTGTTCTCAAGCAGGCGTACGACGATGCTACTCCTCGTACGCTGTCTCAATGGTGGCATGACCGTCGGAACAGGGTTGTATGGTGCACTTTTTGGTTGGCAATCTTGGTGTTGGTGCTTGGAGCGTTGGTTGGCATCGTTCAGTGTGTGCAAGGCGGATTGCAAGTTTCGAAATCATGACTTTAGTCAAGCTCAGGAAAACAAAGAGTCCGAGAAACGAAGGTGGCAAGAAACACCAGTTGGATCAGTTACATTGGAATCTATGCATGTCTCTCAGTTCCGGCTTATGGCGTTCTTCCCTTCCGGATGTCTTTCTCAACTCCACATGAAGGTTCAGAATGATATCCGAGTCCTCGCCACATCCGAAACCTCGCAAAGAATCGATTAGACCATGCCTGTATTCTGGATCATCCAACTTGTCTCCTAGAATAAGTTGCGGCGATTGTAAGCTGTTCGTCAGATACCACTGGACGAGCAAGGTTTGAACTTGCTACCAAGCCTCACATGCGCCTCAGCTAGTACCCCACTACGTACTAGTAGGCACACAAGATTTCTGTCGCTCACTGCCCGAGTTCTAGTCCTATTGTTCCTATTGTTCCTATTATTCCTACTACTCATGCTACTATTGCGATTATTATTTTTCATTTTCTATGCATTCCTCAAGGAATCCGCTGTTAAAAGCGTAGGAAGGTAGTTCTAATCACAGCACAGGCTATCAGAAGGGACTACTGTTGCGTTGATCAACATCTTCCATTATTTTTTCACCAACTTACCCGCCAACTCCACACTTACGCTCTACAACTTCTGAGTCAAGCAGCTCCAGCCACGGAATAACGTTCGAAAGGAATTCGAGACATCGGACGACTCGACTTAACTGACTTCTCAGCAGCCTTTACTCAGCAAAAACTCCAAAAATCGGCCAATTCGATACAGAGCAGCTGAAGGAAACCCAAGAACAGACGATGGCCAAGACACCAAGCCGATTCGGTGAACTTGGCACACCAAATGCGGCACTAAACCATGCCGGCCATCCGGCGCCGAAGACCAACGACCCCCCAATTGGTCACTCCACGAGGACGCTCGGGTCCGCCCAGTGTCTCGGAATGTGGCGGCACCTCGGGATTCCTCAACGGGGCTTCGGTGTGGCTCGGCATTGACCGAGGTCCAGCAAGCACAGCAAAACGAATTGTGGCTCAGCACCTAAAAGCCACAATCACGTTGTCTGGGATGAACCTTGATCCCTTCAAAGCTTCGCCCTCGGCCGCTCGAGCCGTTTAGCGACTTGGGAGTGCTGCTTGTGGCGTTCTCAGTGACGTGGGACTAGGTTTTTCGCTGTCTCTCGTGCGGAGACCGATTGCGTGGCCCCTGTTGACTTGGTGACATGAGCCAAGTTGCTTCCTTTATCCTAGTGTCGACTCGGGGCATTGGCACTTTAGCGCTCTCCGGACGGGACGAAATGACGCACGAAGGGTCGGCAGCACTATGCTGGGCAGCTGGAAGCATCAAGCAGACGATCTATAAAGTGGAATGATTTTCCCCCTCTATCATATCCGTTTATGCTACTCAGCATCACAACCAATTACAACTGTAAGAACAACTCAACTTCTCATTGAAAACCAAATTCAAGCTTACAAACACTCAACCAACACCACATCCAAACAACCAATACAAAGCCGCAAGACCAAATCATTTGCGACCGATCTAAACTCAAACAACTTCTACACAACTTACAAGCTATCTTAAACCCCCTACACGACCAAAACAATATGTGCTTCGGCCTGTCAAGACGCAGAGGATACGGAGGTGGCTACGGCGGCCCTGGCTACGGCCCCCGCCCGGTGATCGTACAGACCCACCACCATGGCCATCACGGCGGCATGATAGGTGGGCCTAGACCATGCGGCCCCGGCCCCCGACCCGGCTTCGGTGGCGGCTATGGTGGATATGGCAGACACGGATACGGCGGTGGCATGGGAGGAGGATGGGGCGGCCGCAGAGGTCGCTGCTAGACCTGGGTACGAACCATGACGATTTTCACGCACAGATTGGGACGCATTAGAATTAAATACCACGCGGGGCACTTGATTTCGAGGGAATAGGCGTTTCGAAGATTCATAGCTTATGATTAATAATCGACATTTACCAGAAACGCATACGTCATTGCACCCAAAGCCATTTGTTGCACGTTGGCATTCGCATGGAGTGACTGAATGCCCTTGTTGTAAGTGCAACAACACTTCTGTCTGATCATTCCGACAGGCCTTTGGTAGGTTGCGTAGTCAGATAACATTGCCATAGGTCTTTCGCGGCTCAGGGCGTCTTAAGGTTGGTGTCTGGCCACGGCATGCAAATCTACAACACATCTACTTCAATCCTATGAGTTGTTGTCATATGTAACGAAGTTTGGGCACGCGTGATTGACTCTTACCATGTGTGAGAACCCCATAAAATTACGGTTGGCACTGGCCTAGGGTCCAATGACACGCCGAATCACGTCCACATCGCTTTCACATACTCGCTCTACCACTACTGGTTTCCTCCTCTACGAGAGTGCCGGTCCTAGGTAGAAGGATTTGTGTTATTGAAAACACCAAACAATGGTTAATCATGAGTTGTTCTTCTCGTTTTCCACGACATCTACCTCCTGGTAACACGAGATCCTAATCCTGTCGTTCGGGATCCAAATCCCGCTCAGTCGTCGCAACTTGCATCGGATCCTGCGGGGAAGCTCTCTCTCAACTCTTCAGATAGTGCCGGGGAGAAAAAATGTCTTCAACCAGCAGCATTAATATTCTCGAATACCTAGGGCTCTATGTGTTGGCCAAAGTACTGACGTCCGACGGGCCGCCGGCCGAATTCTTGCACAAATTACAGGGCTATCCCAAGAGGGCATTCTCCGGGAGATACCCCAAAGTCTCCCAAGACGGAAATACTACTGGTGTATCAGATGGCGTGGACACTGCACGACCGAAGTAACTTGGCCTCGGCACCTGAGGGGAAGTTCAGTCGGGAGATATAATTAAGCTCAGGGCCCTCAACATCTCTTAAGTCGGGAGATGCGGACCTCAATACTTACTATACCTGAACAACAGCGACTTCGCAACTGAAGCCACGATGCAAGAATTACTATCAAAATTTAGCGCTAACTTGGAAACCGGGGTGGGCTCAGCCTGCGCCCTGGCGGCGGGAGCTGGTCTCCTATCTCACTGGGGCTATTTCATCCGCGGGCACAGGAGCATGGAAGTTTTTCAATATCTTAGTCGTCCATGGCGTTACATTGCTACTGCTGTTCCTCAAGTCCGTCACAACTTTGGGATTCGCAAAGAGTGTTACGGCGCATGTCGCGATATCTAGCTCTTACTTCGTGGCTCTCTTCACTAGTATTGGGGTGTATCGCCTGCTCTTCCACCCCCCTACGCCGGTTCCCCGGTCCTGTCCCGGCCAAAATGATGAAGCCCTACATCATGTGGCTCAACAGAGATTGGAAATTACACGACAAATATCTCGAGATGCACGAGAAGCACGGGGAATTCGTGCGTGTTGGTAAGGGCCCCCAGTTCACCGGCAAACAACGTTGATAAGTATGGGGTTTTAGGCACTCGTTAGCACGACCACAGGCCCGAATGACATCTCAATCGTCAACCTAGACGCCATCAACAAGATCCACGGACCACAGACAAAGTGCACTAAGCGCAACACTGGATTCTACAACGCCTTGAGGACAAAGGGCGAGTTGAACTTGGATTCCCTTTCGCACAACGAGGTTCACCGCGACAGACGTAAAGTCTGGGACCAGGCTCTAGGAAGTAAAGGTGACACTCCATCCCAGACCACCCCTCCAGGCGTCAAATTATCACATAATTTGTCGAACCACAATTTGAATCCGCTAACACCTCTCCAGCTCTTGAAAGATACGAAGAAGAAACCCGCACCGTCCTCCGAACCTGGCTTTCCCGCCTGGATGAAGTCCAAGGGAAGCCCATCAATGCGTCGCACTACGCAAAACTCATTCCCTTTGACAATATGGGCCGCGTAGGCTACGGCCGCGATTTCGGCACCGTCAGAGATGGCCGGGAAGACAGGATGCTTGACCTCATTGAGACAACTTTCAAGTTGGGCTCTCGACTGGGGCAGACGCCTTGGCCGCTTGTGTTTTTGGCGAAGTTGCCGCGGATGGGGATGCAGAGGGAGTTTGAGGATTTGGGGGTTCGGCTTGTTGATGAGAGGATTGCTGTAAGTTGAGAGTGGCCCGGAGTAACAATGGGGAAGTAATGCTGATGATTTGAATAGGTTGACTCCGATGAGTCGCACGATATGTTGAAGTACTTCCTCGACGACTATAAGTCTGAGAAACCCAAGTCCTTCTTTAACGTCAATATCATGTATAGCGACTCTCAAGCTATCCTTATCGGAGCGACGTACGTATTTCTAGTGCCTTTCTTTCCGACAAAACTTCGCATGCTAAACAGAACCAGAGATACAATCTCCTGCACCCTAGGGTACGCCTTTTACTACATCGCCCGCGACGCCAGACTCCGCCAGCGTCTTTACGAGGAGATTGCGCCCATGCACTCCAAGACTCTGGAGGGAGAATTCGCCGTGACGGACCTCAATAAGCTTGAGCTGCTCGAGGCCGTCATCACCGAGACCCTGCGGATGTATGATCCTGCGCCAATCAACGGGCCCAGGATGGCTCCGCCGGAGGGGGTGACGATTGATGGGACGTACATCCCCGGAAACGTGACTTTGTATACCCCGATACACTGCTATCATCGAAGTAAGTCCAGAAAGTTGCCTGAGATGTATGATTTTGCATGGCTAATGATCATCATAGGCCACAAATATTGGAGGTATCCCAACGAGTTCGTTCCCGAGCGCTGGACGACTCGTCCGGAACTGATCATTGACCGCAGGGCTTTCTTGTCCTTCAGCTATGGTAACACAGTCTCTTTTCTCTCACAATAGGTAAGATTTATCTGATAATCTTGTGTCTAGGTCGATACGACTGTGTGGGAAGGCGTCTGGCCTGGAACGTCCTCCGCCTCACTATCGCCTACACTCTTTGGAACTATGACTTCGAATTCGCCCCTGGGGAAGACGGCAAGACTTTCGAAGAAGAGGCTAAGTTCCAGCTTATCATTAAGCCTGCGAAGTTGACCTGTGTCTTTACGAAGAGGCCCGAGACTCGGATGTAGGATTGTGGGCGAGGTGAATTACGGCTGTATTTTGGATCAGTCTTGAACCATAATGAAAAAGGAGGCACAGGTGCAATAAGGAGAGTCCGAAGGAGGCAAGAACAACGAATTATTTAGAAATCCGAGTTTGTTTTCTCGGCAAAGGACATTGTTTCCATATCAATTAATATGATCTTCGTCACTCGTTACCTCATGTGAAGTCGTGTGATAAATGAGGCCTCCCTTCTTAGAGGTCTCAATCACTGCCGGCTACGCCAATAGCTCAATGCCATCCCCTCCAAATCTTTCGTATCCCAGTGAACTGCCACGTTCGCCAATGGCCTTCAGGACGGTTTCAAAAACGGCACACAAGATGCTTTCCACTGCTGTGCGACTTCTGAATCGACCACTTTGAAGATGAACGGAACCAAATCCAGCAGGCCATCATGCTTGTGCACTTGACGGCTTGGTAGCACTTCTTGGTTTCCAAGTACGATGAAGGATCCTCGATAGCATTCTAAGCCGGTCCCTTCTCAATCACCCGAAAGCCACTGCCCCGTTTTTGTGCGACGCCCTATTCCGGGCCCCATCGCTTCGCCACCCAGTCGAGGTCTCTGTCGTGGAAATCTGCCGGGATGTAGACCCATTTCTCTTCGTCTTTGAGCCAGGTTCTTGCAGGCATGTACGCCTCGAGCATGTAATAGTTGTCCCGTGAGTATGGGAGATCGATGGTCGGCGGGCCGTTACCCTCCAAGAAGTCATCCGTGAGGGACTCCGCATCGGCCTCAGACATCTCAAAGTGACGGCGCCGGTTGCCCTTGTTCGCTCTCTGTCTCTTGATCGCGGCACAGGTGTTGTTGAGATGAACCTCGAGGAGATGAGTGTAAGCGAGCGGGGAGCGGATGGCTTGGAGAACGATATCTGTTATTCTATCTTTCCATACTATGTTCCAAGCATCGTCTTGACCCCGACGCATGATAGTGATGGGAACCCCAGAGTCGAGGTTGGGGCGCCACTTGTTGAAGTCGACGATGACGCAGCAGGCCTGCCAGCGTAAGACACAGGTGAGGCAGGTGCATAAGACGTAGGGCTCGGGTTGAGGGATGTGGACGTATCGCCGGTGGATGCCGAGCATATCGATTCTGGCGTCATTCTGGAGGACTGGGTGAAGCTCAGGGTCGATCTCATCGAGTGTGACTGGGAGCCTGAAGCACTTTGAAAGAACGCGGTATCGTTGAGAAATGATTTTGCGTGAGAGGAGCTTCTCGTTGTGTTGAATGAGCTTGTGGAGGGTCTTGCAGGTCTGGGCAGTCTTTAGAACCTCGCTGGGGAGCATGTGGCTGATGATGTCGACAAGGGTCTCATTTGGAAGATCGAGGAGTTGAGTTGTCCGGCGAGCCGAGGACTTAGCGGTCTTCTTCTCGAGTTTCCGCTTCATTCTCTCAGTCTTCTTTGAGCGTAGATTGAGTGCACCCTTTGCAGTGACACGGTCGCTGTCGGTGACTTCCTTTGTGGCTTCGGTGAGTCTTGAAATCTCGCCTTTGATCAGCTCACCACTGCTTGTGTAGTAGGAAGTTGTGCCATCACTGTTGATGACTGTGAAGATTGAGTTGTCAATGATTGGCCCTTCTGTCGTACTTGTTGCCATCGTTGATTGTGAGCTTTTAGCGACCGGAGTTGCGTTGACAGGATTGACTTTCGTGGAGGACGTATCCTTCCACTGGTGGGAAGCTTTCATTCCCTTCGATGGGGTGTCTGAGGTCTCGCCGGCTTCCTTCATCCTTGGTGAGGTGCTCATGAGCCTCGGGCTTTGGTGTCTTTCTCTTATCAAATAAGGTAATGGGGGTAAGTTGAGGGTGAGAAGTTGAATATTCGATTCCGCCACCACCAAGTATGAAGGAAGGTGTGGGGTTTTGCGTCACGCCGAGCTTGCCCAATTGAATGGGCGAAGAACCCTGTGCACAGACCACACCTGCACATCTCCAAGAGGAAAGAGCAGGGGGTCTCGTTCCTTCCCCAGACTATCTGCAGAATGTAACCTGTGCTTATGTCATCCTCAAACATCCTGACTTCTGGAAGGCTCGATGAAGATACCACATTTAAGGCCTCATGATACCTTGAGGAAGTCGATTGTCAACTGAAAATCACCGACAACTAGTAAAATCACAATGCTATGCAAATCAAAGACCAAAAAATTCATTGTAGGAGGGCTTCCAAGACTGCCCGTGTATCTGTGTCTATCCCGAAAGTCCCCTCACTGTCCAAAAAGATCCGAAAGCAAGCACTAATTATTGTCGACCATTGTTCCAACACCAATATTGACCGAAGTCTGTGATGGTGCAATGTGCCCAGAAATTAAACCAATAACAAATGCCTGAGTATCTCGGTACAAACTAGGCCCAATATTCACAACCTTTTGCTTCCAAAACAAGCGTAAGTGAATCAATCTCCACTTCCAACCCATCCGTCGTGCTATGCTTGGCTGGAGTGACTACCTATCAAATCCCGCCACAAATCAAGAAGGTGACTGGTTCAAGCTCTCAGATTGAGCAAGGGTCGACGCCGTATCTGAGCTCCCAGATTGGAGACATCCGGCCGTCTGGAAGGGTGGCGCCAGGAGGATACTCCTTGCTCAGCGCTTGACGAGCGGACTCGGCCTGGTTGCGATAGCAGGCGAATCGGATTTCCAACTCGCCCATTCCAGTCTGAGGGTCTTGAACCAGGGTGATGACCTCCTCGGTGTCGAAATCGAGCTTGGTGCGGAAGTAACGCAACAGAGTATCCTTATTGACAAAGGACAGCTCGCCTGTGACGACCAGAACACGAGAGTGGTAGCCACCGACGTCTTCCTCGGCCTTTCGAACTCGATTGCGGACAATCTTGACCGCATAGCCGCTGATAATAAGACGGCGGGCCGGGTTTCTGCAGTGGGCGTAGAAGCGCTGAGCAGCAGCAAGCTCGAAGAACACCAACTTGGCAGCCGAAGTGAAGTGATCGTGACCATCAGGAGGGTTTATCACGGTGGCCCAGACACGTCCCATGCCACGAATTTGACCCAGGAGCTGGCTGTAGGTGACATCAGCTGGGAGGTTGGTCAAGAAGAAAGAAACGTTCTTGCACTCTGGAATGTCATCCGAGAGGTTGCGCGGGTTCAAAGCGTCGCCCTTGTAGTTAGCCGAGACACCCTGAGCCATCTTGAGATCCTTCTGGGGATCACATTCGGGGCGGAAGAATGTTCGAGTGACGGCATTCATTGGTCGAAAATCGCCAACTGGAGCGTAAGATTGGAAACCCTTCTGAGCAACCGCAGGCCGAGGGTTCTGCTGACCCCAGACAGATGTGGCCTGAGGAGTGAGCAGCTCCCTCAAGGGATGATTGTCCCATCGACCTGTGCCGATTGGAGCTTGGCTGTTGAGAGGCTTCGCATTGTCGCGGTGGGTCGAAGGCATAACAACACCTGGCTGAGTGTCGGAAACTCGGTTGTAGTTCGATGCAGAGCCAGACTGCTGCGGCCGTGGATGAATTTGACCAGCCAAACTCGCACGAGGGCCGCCTAGGAAGTTGTTTTGAGAACCAGCATTCACGGGCTCCCGAACAGGCAAACCTTGGCCGCGAAATTGAGGCAGAACCCAGTGATTCGAACCAGGACCTCTCTCGGGAGTTTGATCCTGCGCATTGAGCTTCTGGCCTTGAGTGTTGATGTTGGAGCTGCCGTGGTGTGCAGAGGTGGAATCGGGAGAGATAGTTGTGGGAGGAGATGAGTTTGTGTTCTCGCTACCCTTGCCTTTACCCTTTCCGGCACTCTCAGCAGCTTTATAGCCGGTGATGTTATGGTAGGCTGGGGCATGGCGGGCGCGGGACGAGATGGAGAGCCGGTCGGTGCTTGAAGACCCATGGCTAGAAGATGAGCCAACTCGGCGTTGAGTATGGGCGTTGTCAATGATGGTGTGACGGCTCTCTGGTCCAGTGGCATTGGTAGGAGCGAGACTAACTCCGGCCATGTCTTGGAGCAAACTTGCTTCAATCGCGTGGTTCATGGCCAAAGTGTGGTTGAAGTTGTTGGTGCCATACTGATGAGTGTTGGTGTGCTGCTGAGCGTCTTGGCCGATACCGGCACCATAGACAGAGCTGGGAAGAATGGCTTGACTGTCGTTGCCCCCAGCAGTGTTGGCATGCATACCACCATTGTAGGGGGCATTAAGCAGGCCCTGGAGGGCAGCAATGTGCTCAGGGGATCCAGTGAGAAGATCGAAACCAGCCATTGTGAAGTTGGTAGCTTGGACAGCGGCTTATCTTGACGTTAGGTGGTTTGCTATGATGGTGGTTAGCGAGTAATTGCATAGGGAAAAGGTTTGCTTTCCAACTGGAGATACTTACTAGAGACTGAAGTAGCGAAAGTATCTGTCTTGAACAGAACAAGTGACACTTGAAGTTTTGTCGACGATGATGTACTCGCAAAATGACAGTCAGTTTTTGATATGTTTGGTGATTGGTGACAGAGTTGAAAGACTGGATGAGCAGAGAAAGAAGCAAAATAATTGTTTCAGGCGGAATACTGGTTGTCCTTGGGTTTGGATGAAGGAAGGAGAAGAAGAATCGGCTTGGTTGTGGGATGGAAGGAGTTTTAAGCTCGTAGATGGGAGGATGGGAGGATGGGTGGTTCGAGGGCGGTTCGAGGCGGCAGGCGGGTCGAAGGAGGCGGGTACAGAGGAGGAAAGGAAGGTGCTGGTCGTTGGGCGGTCGAGAGGTCGTCAGGCACGTGACGATGGTCAAAAGGTGGGTGGACTGCCTGGAAGAGAAAGAAAGGTGAAGCTGAGATTGTGAAGAATAGCAGAAAGACTGAGAGCCTTGAATCTGGGAGTCCAAACAGTGGGCTACCTCAGGTACTTGGTGAAGGATTCGACTTTCTTTAAGTGTTTGAAAGGTGAGGCTAGTGAAGGTGTGATGTGAGATTCACGAGGTTTGTGGCAAAGGTGAAGGTGAAAGGTGAAGATGAAAGGTGAAGGTGAAAAGGGGTAGAGTACTCGGAATGGCTACATTAGGAAATCGACCTTGCCTGGAAAATGTGATAGGAAAGATGATTGCCCGATGTGGGATGGAAGGTGCAAGGTTGTTCCAAAATTTGCCTTCTCAAATGTACCTTAGTTGATGAATCGCTTTGTATTACGCAGCTCAGAAGGGCAATCGAGGACTGAAGGCAGCGGTCGTAAAGTCCGAAGAGGACCTAATTCTCAATTCTCGTCAGAATTGACAGACACATGAAAATTTTGCATATTCATATCCAAGAGTCGACTAAAGTGAGTGCCATGCCTTAGGAAGTAGATGGGGTTACGGCGATGAGAAGCAGGGTAAGATGAAAAGTGTGAGGAATGGAGATGGAATCCATCGGTCGCTTGCTCTCCTTCCGTCGAGGGGACCAGAAAGGAAATAGGAGGGAGCCAGCGGAATAATACACTGAATCCTCTCGTATACCGACTTTTCCTTTGCCTGAGTGCCAGCCTCATAAACAAGCTAGATGCTGAGAGCGTTCTGCGATGGAAATGACTCGTATCACCGGGTAGTTGCTCGTAGTGAGGTGAAAGGTCCCCAAGATCGAACATCCGTCAACTGCTCGACAGACAACAAACGAAGTCCTTAGGAACCGCAAGAAGTGGGACTCCTGTTCGTCTTAGTCAGAGGGCAGGTCTAAATAACCTAGCAACAAATGTAAGTAGTTTAAGTAGTGACCTGGTCGGGATATTGTGAAGAGCCCTCATTTGGGAAGACTATCACGTCTTAACAAAAGCTCTTGCCTCAGGAGCATTACAATGGTGTTACTCGCAAAGCGCTTCGGGTCCTTCAGAAACCTGGCTCAATTGTCCAAGATCTTGTGTGAGTCTGCAGGTTGACGCTGAGCCTTGGAAGAAAAGACGAAGAGACTTGACGCGTTAAAACTCCACGGTCAATTTAACAATGGGGCTCCTTGATCGCCCTCGCATGTATCAGCTTTCTGTTGGTACCTAATGAATTGACCTAGTTGTCTTGCAAAGTCAAGGTGACCTGGGAACTTGAGTGAAAATGAAGTCATCTGCCTTCAACCTACAGTCCGAAACAGCTCCAATTTCATTGAGAAAGGGACAGCTTCAGCTGAACAAAGTGCACGAAAAAGCTTAGATGAATTTGGGCTACCGGTGCTGAGTTCAAATAATGATTACAACATTCGATCTTTGAGCTCCACCAATCTTCCAGGCCCTTCGGCTCACAAAGAAAATTGAGGTCTTCCATACCTTACTCGAAGTTGTGGAGGGGATGCTCGTTGGTTCTCATAACAAAGATACTGTCAGGACTTAATGTAGAGTAATTAGTTGTTTGGTCATGAATGGAATTAGGCTTAGATAATTGAAGGAACCTCAACGTAACTTAAAAAAGTGACCTCAAAATGTCATTCTAGATCTACCTATGCAGCTTTGAACCTCGGTATGAGACTGAATGTCATAAATTCGTCATAGTTGATTCTTCCCTTAAAGTCCATGGAACGCGCACCAAGCTGTTTAGACGACTACATCAATTTATCTACCGTGCTGCGTATGATTACTACCGATGTTTAAACTTTGCGTTGACATGCCTGTAAGGTCGTCTGAGTGGGCTTCTCTAATGTTCATAATGACTGTCCTTGGTATCATTGAGTACCGAAAAGCAGTGAGGTTAGTTATAATTGACAGCACTGAAATTTTTGACGAAGTAAGATTGTGCGTTTTACACCAGGTAGGGTTAGCAGCCTCTTATTGTCTCAAATTAATGCGGTTTAGCAGCGCGGCGATGGTTACACGCAGTCAAAAGAAGCACAGTCATATCTCCCTCTGATATGACCAAGATGCGCATACCGAGACCTCAATCATATTAGGTATTTCGGCCAGAATACTGATCCACTCGGGTTCTACCGTTCCGTGGGCGAGTCTCTACCGGACGACGGGAGGGCGGCTGCGGCTCCCCGTCATCCTCCGGCCCCTTGCATCAATCGCCGACGATATGCTTTCGGAAAATTCGAATCGAGTAATGTGCAGCCGCCGGGCTATGAGTATAAACCCATAAACCATGGAATCGGAACCTTGACAGTATGTCATCGAACAAGACAGGCGTCATCCCTTTCCCAAGAATTTGGAAGCTGTGTGTCAAAATACGAGATCAGCAAAGGGCAACCGAGATCGGGCATCATTTTTTCAGACGATTTCCTCATGCCTGATTCGAGCTATTGGTGACGAGTTGGGAAGTAGAGTCTCAGACGGAATGCTGTTCCCCGTCGCCTGGCACTACCAGGACCCTTGACGCGGCCCTCCCTTGGGGCTCACGGGCTCATCGTTCTCTCATCGGAGGATGAAAAAAATCCTGTTCAGCGATCACTCATGTGTCTCACATGAGGAACCACTACCACGGAATGGGGAAGCGATTGCGCAAAGTCGAAGCGAGAGATTCTCGATCTCTGTGCCAGGGATGACAAGTTATTCCAGAGTCCCACAAGAACATGCGGGGGCATCTTTGAAAAGAAAGCGACATTGAATCACATCTGATAGAAATTATTCACAGTCGCTGATGACCACTCAGTCACGCTCATCTTAAATGCCGATGATGGTCTGAGCGGCAATACACCAACGCCAGTTGGTCCATCACGCTCGCACTCGCAAAAAGACTTGCGGGCACTTACATGATCTCAAACCACGGCAAGATGCATCACGAGTCTCCGATTTCTTGCTTTTGATATGTTCTCATCGACCGATGTCGTTTTCGTCCAGCGTTTTCCGTTACACACATCAACCGCATATGCATGGCAAGGGGTGAGGGGCCATCCCTCTGCACCTGAACGCAGATCGAAAAAGGGACCCTGCCGGATCTTGGAAGCTTCATCCAAAGAGCAGGGATGTCGGGGAAGTAGATCTATGAGAGGAAAAAGCAATGTGGAAAAAGGCGAATGACAGAGAACGTGAGGCGCGCGCCATACCACGAGCTCAGCTCTCACGAAGCTTCCATCGCACGCGTCCGTGAACGCCTTATTGTATGCGAAACCTGGCATCATTGTCTGAGCTTCGCAGTTCTCGTTGCTTGTTGGGGCCCTTAGTACCTTTGGTAGGACACTCGGGAAGGACACTCGGATCTCCTGGATAATTGCTTTTTCTTCTGCATGTTATGTGAGCATCCTCCTGACCGGGGGCAGCCAAACCTCTGGGAATGCACCGGTTATTGTTATGTAACTCTTCTGGGATTGGACTGCTGCATCGAGTTTCGCTTAAGTAGGTTCTTTTCTCAACAAGGGGGGGAAACATTGCGAGGCCGCAGCAGCGCCAAAATGACGACCAACTGCATGAGGCCGTCTCCCTTCCCTTCTTCACCAACACGAGGGGTGGGAGACTCACCTCACACCTCGCTCTTCTTCGAGTCACTCTCAGGAAGCCCCGATGCGTCAATGTCTCGAATTAGTGTGCGAAATGTGCAAATGTGAAGCTGATGCCCCCTCCCGAGTCCCAAGAGAAAAATCTGTCAGTTCTGTGTACTCACTCCTCCCTACGTGCGATCTACCAAGTGGGAACATCTCAGACACCGCAGCGCCTCAGCTGTGATTGTTATTGTTGTTGTTTTTTTTCCTGCGACGCAGAAAAAAACTTTTCTACCTACAAAGAAATTCGAACAGAACGCTGTATCTGGTGTGCTCTTTTCTTTAACCAAACAGGCGGCGGTAAGACTCGAAAGATCAACAAGTGCGTTGTTCGGTGGTCAGACCAGCGTTGCAGCTCTCCTCCTGAGCAACGAGACGTGGCCAGCACGACTGCCGACATAAGCTCCGTGCATCCTCCGGTGAGTCGAAGACTTTTGATTTGCGAAAGAAAGCAACGGCGAGACCAGAGACTAGGCCTTGGCCGCGGGCCATCACTCCTCAGCGTCAAACTCCATTCTTCTTTTTTTCTTGCGGACTGGAAAGGAGAAGTGATGCTCATTCCGCACGGGCCCCTCCCCGTGCAAGGATGAGGTCTCACCCGCCGCGGCGGAACATTACGCGGAAGCCCCTCCCGGGAGACGGACATGGGGCGCCAGCAGAGGGGGACGGCGACAAGGGCGATGCTCGCAATCATCGACCAACCTGTGTCTTGTTCACGGTTCACCTTCCGGGTCGAGGTTCCGCATGTCTTGAGATGTGCGCGAGTCCCATCCCACTGGCTCGCGGGACTCCATCCGTCTAGGCCAGGGCGAGCTTAGTCGAGCGCATCGCAGAAGAAAAAGGATCCAACATCTTTCTTGGTGATCTCCGCCGCCAACTTCATTTGCTACCCACAGCAACTGAACCCTGACTGGGTTCGGTTCGGCGGTAGACGGGGGAAGCTCTCTCTTCTGGGAGGGACCTCTAGCAAACATTGCCGGGGCCGGGGCATGCATCCACATCATGATTCTTGGATACAAAAGGTGAAGTCCCTCGCGCGATATTGTACAGATCAAGCTCTATCCAGCAGAACAACATTCTTTGAGCCTTCGCAGCATTCATCTGCTCTCTCCTTTCTCTTCTTATCTCATTCAAAAGGGACCAGCAGCAAGATGAACGGCTTACAAGACGAGAGGGACGCCCCTCACGCGACAGTCCCGATCTGCGAGGAGAAAGACATCGAGATCATCATCACCCACAACATTGGTGATGTGACAGATACGGAGAAAGATGTCCAAACATCAGCGGTCATGTCTAGTCAGGGATTCCAGACCGATTATGAGTTCAGCAGCGTTAGCAGCGGGCCAGAGAAGCAGGGCATGTCCAAGGCCCGTAGCATCGCCCTCGTCACAACCGTCAGCGGTGCAAGCTTCATAAACGTATGTACTTCGGAATGCACTATCTACCGACCTATCTCACGATGATATTCAGACTCTCTCAGTACAAGCCGTGGTCATCATCCTCCCCACCATCGGTCGAGACATCGGCATCCCAGAGTCACGTCTCCAATGGATCGTCTCAGCTTACTCTCTCACATTCGGATGCTTCCTCCTCCTCTGGGGCCGTATCGCCGACATATATGATAAGCGCATCATCTTCATCGCTGGCACAGCTTGGCTTGCCGTCATGACCATCGCCAACCCCTTCATCCCCAACGAGATCGCCTTTAATGTCTTCCGCGGCTTACAAGGTCTAGGCGCCGCCGCCAACGTACCAACAGCGATCGGAATCCTGGGAACAACATTCCCTCCCGGAAAGGCAAAGACGTATGCATTTGTGGCATATGGAGCTGGTGTGCCCCTGGGAAGCACCTTCGGCACCATTCTGTCTGGCTTCATCGCCGAGTACGCCAACTGGAAGTGGGTATTCGGCGTCATGGCTATTCTCGCAGGTCTAGTTGCTGTCGCGGGTATCTTTTTTATCCCTCCTGCTGCGCCAATGCTGCCCAAGAAGGGTGCTAGTGCTAGAAAGTCGGTTGACTGGATCGGTGGAGCTTTGATTACGGTCGGTCTCCTGGCTCTCATGTTGGCACTCACTGAGGGCAACGTCGTTGGCTGGAAGACTCCTTGGATCTCGGTTCTCGTCGTCGTCTCATTCATCATTATGGGAGTCTTCTGGTTCTGGCAGCGTCATCTTGAGTTCAAGACAAATCGCCTTCCGCTTATGAAGACCTCCATCTTCCACAGCGGGAAGTTCTGTGCCGCGCTCGCCATCATGGCCATGTTCTTCGCCTCATTCAACAACTTCCTCATATTCGCGACCTACTTCTACCAGGACTACCAGGCTAAGTCCATCCTCACAACCACGCTTTACTTCCTTCCCACCGGTATTGGCGGAATCATGGTGGCCTGGGCAGCTGCGCTTCTCATTTCACGTGTGCCAACGTATATACTCCTCGTGTGCGGCAACGTCTCCGTCTCCATCGCGTGCTTGCTCTTCGCGACACCGATACCCCCGAGCACATCATACTTCGCCTACGGACTACCTGCTATGATCCTATCAGTCATCGGCGCGGATATGGCATGGCCCACCCTCATCCTATTTGTCTCCAAGGCCGTGCCCCAGGAAGACCAGGCTCTTGGCGGCGCGCTCGTCAACTCTGTGGGGCAAGTTGGCCGGTCCATCGGCCTGGCCATCTCCACAGCCGTCCAGACAACCATCATGGCCAAGGCCAGGGGTGTATCGGTCGAGGAAGCGGGTCCAGTGTTGGAGTGGGACCAGCCGTCGTTGGACGGACTGCGGGCCGCCAACTGGATGAACTTTGCGCTCGGGATCACGTCTCTTACGATTGTGGTGGTATTTTTCCGTAGCTCAGAGATTGTCGGCAGGGCCGAGCCGTCTGAGGCTAAAAGATCAGAGGCCGAGGGTGCCGTCGTGAATGGGGATGATGCGGACATTGAGAAGAGATAGGTGTTCAAGATGTTGTATGTCTAAGTTTAGATTTCACAGGTCTCACCACCAAAGTAAAAGTTCTGTTTTGTTCGTAAAAAAATCTTTTTGACTCTTATTGTCTCATTCTCTGTGTACGAATCCAAGACGTGACGAAACGAGACCGTGGCCGCGACTTCAGGCGCGCCCTAACGGCGGCGGACACGCAGCTGAACGCATCGAGAGACGATCAAATTCCTTCGAGAAGCACTTGCTACATTCCACAGAGACAACACCAAGAATCTAACCTTTCTCGCTACCCATCCCGGACACATCTTTCCGCTCCACCTAAAATTTCGGCCGTACGGTTAGAGTACCGGGAAATTGAACCCGCTTCAACATCATGTCATTTTGCGATCGGTTGCTCGTATCCAACACCAGTTGGGGGAAGCTCCGATGTTTTATCCTGGCCGCTTGGCTCTGTGCCGCAAGTTGATTGTTTGCTTCGGGCCTGCAGTCGACGAAGGACCCCGGTACCAACAAGAACATGCGTAACCTCTCTTCTCCGCAGGTTGAATAATTGCATGTTTGCGTCGCAGAAGCTGCGGCGACGAGCTCAACAATGCTTGCAGCAGGGGACTTACGTCCGTTATGGATCATGGGCACCTACGACCGACACAAGGGTCGAAATCTTGTCTTTTGGTACATGAGTCTGAATGGAACAAGACCGCACAGTGAAGCTTTCATGAGGTACAATCAACACGGGTGCTGTCGTTTGAAGTTTCCGAGGTTTAAGACCAAATCTTTACGTAAGGTATACCACGAGTTATTGAGCACACTCACCACGCGCTCTGGTTGTGTCATATGCGCTACTTTCATCAAGTTAGGGAAACTTGAATCAAAAGGCCAATACCAAGAATGAAAGAACACAGATCCAGTCACTCATTGGCCGGGCTAACGTCGGCGACGTATCAAAACATATGTAGGCCAAAGTCAAAACCCTGAGAGCTCGGTGTAGCATGTAAAACCCGGATGATCACAACTGCAGAGATTCAAGGTTGGGCAGTGTCGGGGTTTTCACGTGAGTTGAAAGTTCTGGAAGAATGGCACCTTGATAGTGACGGTGTGAGTGCCTTATAATATGTCAGTCTTCCCATCCGTCCGTCAAAGGCCACACCATTCCTCGATGAAATAGACTCTCCTACAATTCATCTTCTCCGAACTGGCTATCCATCCTTCACTTTCTGCATTTTCTAAAACTCATCGACCACCAGAGTACAGGTAGAAATTATTTGCCGCCAAGATGGGTCTCATGCTCGTCATACTCTATGGCTTAGTCAAAGAAAGCGTCAAGAGGCGGAAAAGTAGAAAGCCGGCAAACGATTTAGCCACAAAAACCAGCTCTCATACTATGTCACTTGAAGCAAAATACCCAAGTCAATTCGTTTTGGATGAGGCCCAGGAAGCCTCTGAAGTTGCCAACCTGATCCTGACCCCGCCGATCGAAAGGAACAGCTCTCATCCTAGTATATCATCCGAAGCAGAACATCCACAGCGACTCTGTTTACAAGAGGCCCAGGAAGCTCTTCAAGTTTCTAGCCACATCAGGAACCCTCCGATCGAAAAAGCAGGAATAAACCCCGTTACACCCTGCCGTCAGCTATCGAGCTGGGAGGTCAACTTCGATCGAAATGTCAGAGCCCTCCCGGATAGGGGCTAGTTAGAGGTAGTAAGGAGTCCAAGCAACAAAGGAGCAGCTCAGAAATATATACAGCGCAGGGAGTACACGTCGGGGGAGGAGCAGATTTCAGTAATTTATCATCTACCCCTAACTGCAGTTGGCCTCTGAGAGCTTCCACCCTGCGTCAACACCCCAACTTGACACGAAACCTGCGCCGCAGTCGACTTATAAGACTACCAGACGAGTTACTATTACGTATCATGGAAGTACTGGATACTGTCGACATATATATGCTACGCCAAGTGTCATTCACCTTCTGGAGAATCTACCAAGATAAGGTGTTCGCTGATTTTCACTGCCCTTTTGAAAAGTATGAATATCTTCGCGGGAGATCATGGGAATCACGCGTGCCAGGAAAGATATTTACAGACAACGAGACAAGCATGCGGGCAAAGGAGACTGGAGTTTGCGTCGCCTGCTCAAACAGGAGGAAGATGCCCGACTTTAATAGATCGTGCAGGGGATTCCGCTCCAACAAATCCTTATTCTGCTCTGAGTGCGATCATCGGCACCCGAAATTGCAGTTTTCCTATCAGCAGAGAAATTACAACTCCGAGATACGCAAATGTATTGGCTCTGAAGGGGTGGCCCGACTTTGCCCCCATATCGCAATATCGCCATCTTCTCTCCGACGGGCAATCAGGAATGGAGGAGGAGTCGATACCGCCCGAATAAAGACAGGAGACGGGTTTGCTTCGCGCGCTGCGAAGTTTGCAACGAAAAAGCTTCTTCGACGTTAGCCAAGGTCGATCCCAGTTACATGTTTTCTTTCGCTCGATGGTATGCCCCTCGAGTAATGCTTAGTATGTCAGGTAGTTCATTGCTTGGACCGAACACCACTTTGCGATACTCTGTTGGCCTTCATTGGTGTCTGCCAATCTTTCGGGTGACTGAGAATGAACAAGTCACAGACACTCGTCTATCTCGAGACCTGAGGGCATTCAGTCAAAAGTATGGCGACATGCTTTGCCCACATTTCACCTATGACGATGGTCAACTCTTGAGGCCTTTTGACCCACAGAGATGCTCTTGCCTAGGGGCGGATAGCCGGGTAGGCACGGTATTTGGCACCAAATTTCCCCTAGAAGAGTGGTGTTGCAAATCAATGGCCGGACAAGACAGTCGCGATAAAACCAATTTCATACCATCTCTCACTGACGAGTGTCATAAAGTCGAATGCAGAGGCTGTCACACGACATATCAGTGGCATCGTTTTGACGACGACATATTTCTGTCCCGAAGATCGTTAGGCATATTCGCTACGGGAACGAATGGAAGCGGAGGAGTGCCTGGTGTTGATGCGCTTCTCGATCCGAATACATATTGTTCACGCTTGGATCATGAAACGAAACACATTTTGTGGTGTGACGACAGAAATTGCCGGAATGGAAGGCAATGGATTGAATACGGTAGACATCTATGGTCTGCTCATTATCCTTGGTAATATTGATGCGAGCTGGATGTAGAGACTGTGTGAAGATTGAACAGCACAGGCCTCCATGGAAGAGATTTCTGTAAATTCATACATGGACATCTCAAGAAGGAAATACAATATATAGTGATGATCTTGCGCCCCAGACCCTCCACACGTATCGTAAAGTGATACTGTTGGAACAGCAAAGGCTGATAAGGAGTAATAGGCAGGTACCATGGGCTGGCTGGCACCTGCCCTGGGCGAAGTGGGACAACTGGCTTAGTCATCACGGCCGGATAAAGGTGGGGCAACCACCCAGGCCGTCACTACCTACTTCGACCGACTCCTGCCTACAATGTAAGATAGAACAACAACAAGAAGAACAAGCAATAGGATCACCAACAGACGAGTGATAATTGCTACCACTATTTGTCGTATACGACCCCGTGAACCAACAGATACTTTACCTCAAATACCACTTTATCCGCTCAGAGTCTTTTCGTTCTCAATCCCCGCCTATTCAGGTACGACTATCTCTATTGGACGGAGTAGAAATGTGAGAGACCCTACATAAAATGGCTGAACTGGGCCTTGTGCGCGTCAAGGTCGGTAGCTGTGTCCTGGATGTTTTCCTCGAGCTCATCAATTCGAGATGATGCTTTCCCGTAGTCTTCCTTCAATGCGTCTATGCTACTTCTTAGTGCTTTGATCGTGACACCACCCCTGATCGCTTGCTCATTGAGATCAGCCCCGATGGTGTTCACCGTTGCCGTTAGCTCGGAAACGCGACGTTCCAGATCGCTGACTCTTTCGGCTTCGGCCATCGCATCAACGCGGCGTTCCAAACCAGTGACTCTCTCGGCTGTAGCCATCGCGTCAACACGAATTGTGAAGGTCCTGGCTTCTTCATCGAGCTTGCCATCCAACAGATTGAGTTCTCCATGCTTAACCCTGCCCTTTATCTCGGCAAGACCCTTGTCGGCGGTTTTCCAGAGGTTATCAACTTGTCCCTCCAAAGCCTCGAGAGCGGCCTTCTTCGCCAGCTTTACCTCTTCTGCACAGCCTATGATCTTTGCAACCTTCTTGTAACAGGCATTTCGACTGATCGGTCTCCTCAAATAATTGAGGGCCGTCGTGATACCCGAGAAGATGGCCATGGTGACCATGGCTTTCTTGTCTGCAGTCCACGCCGACTCCGGCTTCTCTAGCTTCATAGCGATGCGCTCTAGGAATCTAAGAATGACTGGATTGAAGCCATGGAAGGCGGCGTTGCGAGCCGCGTCGCTGTCGGGGGCCGGGACATCGCGATTCTGGGACTGGCCGTGTGAAGCAAGAGATTGCAGAATCAAGGTCATGGCCTCTTTCAGTGACTTTGTCCAGCTCGCGCAAGAAGATGTTGCTAGCGTTGGCCTGAGCTTCGGCGGTCGACTCCGTGAGGTTGATATTGATCATCTTCAACCTGCAACTGAGGAAGTCGACCAACACCCAAAAAGCTCAAGTACAAAGGCGCAAGAAAAGTAGATCGTGCCCATTCAGCTGTTTTGGTCTCATCAATTATGCAACAACCTCACACCGGACATCTTCCCACCCCACTCTCCTGCGCATCCGTCCGCGCAGGTCGCTGCCAGGTACCGGCTTGCCAAAAGATCCAGTAAGAGGAACAGAAGTGGCCTTCGAAACTGTGAGCGCATCCCCGTCCGAACTCGTGACGTCGAACCCAGCAACCAGCAGCGCCAAGGAGCCCAACAGCTCACCGCTCGCAAAATACCGACCGGGACTGTTTGCCAGCGTTAGTTTCGACAGTCTCATAGACCGAAGGATTATGAGAGTGAGTAGCTTACCAAATATGTTTTCCACCCCCAAAGCCAAGGAACCCTCTGACAGCAGCATTAACAACCGCCTCTCCCTTCTCTTGAGCAATCTTCAAGAACCTATCTCCAATAAACTCCAACGCATCATCTCCCCAGATCCCGGTATCAGTCTGCAGAATCTTTTGCGGGATAGATATCTGCCAATCCTTCTTCACAACGTAGCTCATCTTCCCATCGGAAATAGTCGTATCAGCCATGACCTTCCTCGCGAGAGTTTACGCAGCGTACAACCGATGGGCCTCCCGGAAACAGGACATGAGCAGCGGGCACTTCTCCTCCAACTTCTCCATATGCAACACAAATACTCTCTTCTCTTTTCCATCGACAGCATCACGCCCCTTCTCCTCAATAACGCCATGCACCTCTTCACGAAGGCGTGAAAGCAGCTTAGGCTGACTGAATACACGGGTAAAGAACCAGTAGAATGCAGGAAAAGTATTCGAGACGGCCCCATGGAGGAAGATCAGCTCAATCTTGGCGGCTCCCGCCGAAGTCATGTCGAAGCTTATGCTTAATCTCCGGCGGTCTTTGACGAGGGATGGGACGTCGTCGCTCTCGTGGAGCTGGGAGTCGAAGAAGGTTTTGAAAGCTTCTTTCTTGGAAGAGGGCTTGGCCGCGGTAGCCTTTTTGTGCGATGATAGAGGGGAAGATGCCGAGGATGAGCTTGTTGACGTCTGCGTCGTAGTCCCTACGGAAGATTAGACTAGTCCATCTCAGATCAGAGCATCGTTGAGAGAAACTTACCAGTACGCCTCGATGAGCTTCTTATCCACCCTCAAAGGGTTCTTGCTTCCATATAGCGAATCCGTGCTGGCTAATGTGAACAACTCGCGATTCCACATGTACAAGTCCGCAACCTCTCCATCGTCGCCAATCTCATTCAGCGCCGTCGCAATCCCTCCCACGGCCGAGATATTGAGTGCAAGTAGTGATTGGCCCGCCATCCCACCATAAAGACTCTTCACCCAAGGGCCGTAGAACGCGGGATCATCCCACGCCTTCATAGTCTGCGCGCTGGCGCCAGCCATCCCCCTGATGAGGTCCCTCAGAAACGGATCGAAGCTCAGTGAGCGGTTGCGAAGTGCCGCCTGAGCGAGCTCTGGTTCGGTAACGACGTACATCTTGCCTCCTAGCATGGGCAGAGTGAACATGGGAGCCTTTGACTTTGCACTGGTGCGGTTATCCAGTAAGATTTGCGATTAGCATCAGGACGGGCGAGAAACTTACAAGGTCATGTCGAGATACTCCCACGAGTGTTGAAAGATTCCGATAATGTGCCCGATGAAGAGGATTGTCGGGCGCAATAGAGGCGGCTCTTTAGCGTCCATCGTTAAGTAGTCAGCGAAAAGGGCTTCATCCTGTTGACAACTCTCTGATCTCTTTCCGCACGAACATCCAAAGTTCTTGGCGCTTACACAGTACGATTTGTTATCGTATCATTTGGAGTACATTCAACAGCCCAAATAGGCTGGCCCCATTTGCAGCTCTTTTTGGCTTCTATTCGCAGAAAATCCACTTGTGCAGAGAACCCGCTATAATGTACGTAGTATAGGAGATTACGATTCATAGATGCTGGTATGGGGGAAAGGCGGGACTTGGCTCAGTAATGGTTATTATGGCTCTACTATAATTAGCACGCAATATCCCATCGACTGCGAGTGGGCGTCAGTACATCTCCAGTGCGGAGTACAGCCAATCAAAGCTCTGCCAACCAAAATCTTAGCCAACCAAAAAAGCTCGTTCGGAGATACTTCGATTCATTAGAGTTTGGTTATGGAAGTTGTACCAGCAAATATCTGAGTTACATAGAGACACATTGCATTCCTGGCATCCTGACCTTGAGTACTTCCTTCTGCCACTATTCCCAGAGATCTCGCGCAGAGCCTGCCTTGCTCTAGGGCGACTGCTACAAGCAGAGCACGGCGAGCAGCTTCCTCGCTTCTTCCTAACATGCTGTTGCCAGGGAATAATGTTGTTCCGCTTGTCTGTTGCCCGTTGGGGCCGGGCACGCTGGCGCGCCTTTACCAATGGCCCGAAGTGCTGAATAAGCTGGGTAGATAGTTCCCTTCGCCATTGATACTGACTTTTCAACTGCTGCCAGTCTGGCTCGCCCCATCGCTGTAGAAGGAAGGTGTTCACAAATATAACCTCGAGGAGGAAATTCCAGGAGATTGACTGCCAACTTCCGCGACGGATAGGACGTCCGAACTGATGGTATGGCCTCATGTGATCCCCTGTATCTACACCGTTCATATTGTGGTTGTAATCGTTAATATAGATAGGGATAGGTAGCGCCTTTCGCGCATCATCTCCAAAGACTTCGCGGGCATCTCGGTGGGCAGCAGAGGATCCAGCAGGCCGGCGGCGGTTACGGATGACTTGCTCTGTGTCGTGATATACTGTAGTAAGGAAAACCACGAGGGCAGCATCCTTCCAACTTATTTGAAGAACCTGCTTCAAATACCAAGGAGTTAATAAGTGCCATATTATCACAAGAACCAACTTCCTTCTTGTATACTTACCTGCCCGTCTTTTGTTGGTATAGCATGAACTTCCCCCCATGGGATCCCCTTACCCTCATTCTCCTTCTCAGCCACTAGCAACTCATCAATGCCACTATCCCTTCGACAAGTCCCTGTTGCCCCGATTTGATTTAATCGGAGTGCTTTAAAGAGCCTGACTGAGGCAAATAGATTGTCAAGAAACACGTGGTATATGGCAACTGGTAGTAGAGCCAATAAGGTAGTAACCACTCGCTGAGTGGGCGTTAGACGCTCCTCTGCTACCCCTTTGTTGGTAACGCTTTCTTGCTCCTGAGGCACCAGCCCATATGGGCCTTTACCATGGACGTGCCAAAGCCATCGTATATAGTAACCCTTTTGCGCTAAAACCCATACTTTGTATCCGGTGGGCGTGGACTTTGTTGGTATTGTTGTTGTCTCTAGCGAGCGCCCAGTAAACCGTACCATTGCCTCATCAACAGTAAGGTTACTGCCAGGCAAGAAAAAGGAGTCTCCAACCTCCTGTATATGGGCTGACCATTCATTGACCTAGCGATAGACCTTTGGCATTGAATCTTCGCGGGATTGCTCCCGCTGCTGCCTGCTGTGTCTTGTAGCTGGGATGGCTGGCTGATCGAATCTAGTTGTTGGAATAGGCCTACATTAGGCAGCAGGAGGTTGCTGCCGCGGTCCGTTCCAGCCACGGTGGTCCGTGTGGCTCAGCCACACGAGGGTGGTATACCCCAGACTTCCTGCCGCCGCTGGCACCTGGTTAGACTTCCACTCAAGAACAACAAGAACAAGCAATATCACCACTACAGTCGGTGATCGTTGCTACCCACGATACTCGAGTATTTTCCTTTTCCACCTGTGAATCCAACACTAGTGGTATCAAAAATACGAAGGTAACGGAGGAGCATTTAGAAACGGTCTCGAGGTAAAGCCCGGGTGAAAATGTGGACGGGATCTTCCTTCTCTTAAGACGAGGACCAATATCGAGATATTTCGGCTTCCTCATGGATGCCCATGTAAATCAAAACGCCAATAAACAGATAGATCTCCTCTGAAGAGGTTGGCATCCATCTATTCTCTCTGGAGTCCTTTTTCCATGGACCGTACCGCGTATTCCTCGCCTCATTAGTCCACTTTGCCCATGATTCAACCATCCTTTGAGGAATGTACTGCATCAAAAATTCCAGGGGCGTCTCCGGCAGGCTTCGAATCGTGGGATCTCGTTGAAAGACAGTGAGTGGGCAGTACTGGTCGGGATAACCACGTTCAACTAACGGCGATTCTCGCGGCCGTACTGTTGACTCATCACATCTCTCTGGCGTACAGTCGTCTGTACAAGCGACGGCGAGGTCCTCGGGCGTCACGGCAACAGTAATATGTGATCGAACGGATCCATCAAAGTCGTCTGAATCCATCGTGGGATATTACATCGGCAAGATATTTGATATTAGCGGTGGAAGTATCGGAATGAAAACGGCGGCCAAGTGACGTACTGCACATGTACCCCTTTTGTGAGGGGCAGAAGTGGAGCATAGAAATGGGGCAATTGTACTGACGCCCACTCTCAGGCGATGGGATAGTCTGAAGCGTGTCTAGCCCCCCTTTAGATGTCCCTTCAATGTCCTCCATTTGGCTTTCAGCCCTCGTCCTGGCTTCTGTACGCGAAGCGAGACATCCATCTCTTGTACAATAAGCTGTGATAAACGGATTTTCTCAGATAAATGTGTAAGTCAAACCCCCCACTTCCTGGCACCCCCCTGTTTCTGGCACCACAAAAACGATGGGATCACAACCCGACCTCCTCATTACTATTAACTATTGATCCTCAACCACACCCACTACAATACAGCTGCCAGCCTCACTAGGGCATTCAGAGTCGCTGGATTCAGCCGTGATAACCTCCTTTTCACCCGCTTCGATTTGAGCCCGATGGATATCCCTGATGTTCGCGAACTTCGTGTTGGGATCGATTTGAACAGTCTTCCTCTTCCTCACTGCAGCGTTGGTAACTTGAGCCCTCAGGTGAGCTAGTTGCTGCTGGGCAGCTGCCAGTTGCCAGGCCTGCTCTGTGAAGCCTTTTTTCACCTTCCTGAATAGCAGCCGTTGAGTGCTGGTATCATTGTCGAGTTGGGTGTATAAGTGCAGTTGACCGCTGAGCTCTGCCAGCTTCCTGGGTGTCGACCAGACCACTGCAGAGGAGGCAGAATCCCATGGCTCAACAGGGGTAGTTTGTTGACCATTATGGCATCGCTTTCTGCCCTGACTAGTTGGTTTGGGTGTGGTGGGCTTAGCAGGAGGCTCAGGTAGTACCATAGGGTTCATCAGGGGCTTAACCATCGCCACAGGGTGTAGACCAGTCCACTTCCAACCACTTCTGATGTTCGAGACTGATAGACCAGCAAGTCGAGCCTTCTGGTAACAGTCCAGGAAGTTCCTTTTACCTATAATGGTAGAGTCGTTCCATTGAGACAAGTAACCGAGCTCCTTCCGATAGGCTGACTTAACAGGGCTGAAGACAGACTGGTCAAGAGGCTGGAGGACATGAGAGGAGTGTGGTGGTAAGAACAGTAAATGGATATTGTTAATATAGCAATTCCACATGAAGTCTGTCGTCGTATGACTCCCATGCCCATCCACAATCAGCAGTCGAGCCTCCCCCTCAGCCTCAGGCATAGTCTGTGGGATGAACACCTTCTCTAACCATTCAATGGCAGTTAAGTCTGTAGTCCAGCCATTATCTGTTGCTGTGAACTCCCACCCATCGTATGGAACGATATGTAATGGAAACCACTGCTGTTGGACTGTCTTCCCCTTGAAAATGATAAGAGGACGAAGTGCCCTACCCAAGGCTGAGATACACTCAATGATAGAGACCCATGCCCTCGACCCAGGTTGTTTCTTGCGAACAGACGTCGTCTCAGCCATACCCAGCACTAACCCATTAGCTCCCTGACCCTCGAGGATGCCAGTCTCATCCATATTATATCTGTTGGCTGGTTTGATGTCCTTGATCTCAGGGATAGCGAGGAACTTAAACCAGTTCCTAATGACCTCAGTAGATGCCCCATTAACGCGTCTAGAATCGATAGAACGACTTCTCTGAACCTTAATGATAGGGTTCCTTCTCACAAAGGCATAGATCCAGCCTTTTCCCAGTGGTTTGGTATCCCCAGCAGCAGCCAGAACTCGCTCTGCGAATTCCTTCACCTGTTGGTGCGTTGGTGCGAGGCCCAGCGAAGCCTGAATGCGAACCCATTGTGCCAGCTTACTCTCCTGGTCAGGAGACAGCCTCTGCCAGTCAGCAAAAGCCACTTTCCTAGTCTGACCACCTTGGAGACGTAGTTGGAGGGTTGATCGTGGTATCCCATACTCCAATGAGGCTCTCTTTTGACTCTTGCCGTTTGAGATGTCCTCGAGAGCCTGACGAAGCTGATCTTCGGTATATTGAGGCATTAGATATAGAAGAAGGTATGTGCAAAAGATGAGCCCATTTGGACGCGAATTGAAAATGTTGTGATAAAAGGAGGTTGGGGGTGGGCATTGGGTTGTGGTGGATTTTCGCGTTTTTGTGGGTGCCAGAAACAGGGGGGTGCCAGGAAGTGGGGGGTTTGACTTAGATGGTCTTGTCGAACTACTCGATGAGCTTGTAGAACTCGAAGAGCTTGTGGTACTGCTGGACGAGGACGAAGTTGAGCTCATCGAGGTTGACGTGCTTGATGGGCTGATGCTACTGGAACTACTGCTGCTCGTTGTAGACAATGTGGGAGAGGAAGTGCTAGACGAGCTTACCGAGCTCGAGGTGATCGAAGACCTCAAAGAACTGGAAGATGTAATGGAGCTGCTTGAGCTTGAAGTCGATGAAGTTGAAGAGGTAATCGAAGGAGTAGAGGATGAGCTTGTGCTAGTAGAAGTCGTCGAGGAACGGGTTGACGATGACGAGGAGGAGGAGGATGAAGAGCTACTGGATGTACTCGAAGAAGATGAGGTGCTTGTAGACGATCCACTAAACGAAGTGGAAGAGCTTGTGGAAGAGCTACTCGATGACGATGTTGTGCTGGTGGTAGTAGATGGCATGCTAGAAGATGTAGACGAGCTAGAAGAGGAGCTAGAAGAGGTGGTACTAGTTGTTGTGCTCGAGCTCGAAGAGGAACTAGACGTAGTGGTGGTCGACGTCGAAGTCCGTGTAGAAGACGTCGAGGTTGGAGAAGTGGTTGTGGTGGACCTTGTGGAATTGCTACTAGTAGACATCGTGGTCGTCGTGGCACTAGTCGAAGACTTCGACGTCGACGTCCTGGAAGTGCTGGTGGAAGTTGACGATGTAGAAGTAGACTGGTACCCAAATTGGCGAACTCCATAGACATTATATATGACATCGCTACCATAATTTCCCCCACAGGCGTAAGTACTGTTGACCATACAAGCGACGTTGCAAAGAGCAGCGTTGGGCGCTGGCACTGATGCAAGAATAGGAGTCAATGTACTATTCGGATTGTTGAAATTCGAACACCAGTACTGCTGAGTGGCATCGTTTCCTATAGCGGCAAATGCAGAGCCGAAGGCGTCAGATACATCTTGGCAGTCGACGACATCGCCATTCGTAATGTAGATGGAGTTGGCAAAAACTGTATTGAAGTTCGAGATCTTGCCACAGGCGCCGTACGTAAAGCCGTACAGCGGGGGTGCCTGTGCTACTGCGTGAACGAAGGGTAAGAGGAGTCCCAGGCCCGTGGCCAGGATCTTGAACTGGGTCATGTGCATTCTGAAAGGTAGATCAGAGGATCACGGTAGCGCCCCACAGCTGGTAATCAAGATATTCTCGCCTGGTAGCTAGAAAAGTTCGACTTTGAGGGCCATAGACAGTAATGTAGACAGGAAAGACCTGTGGAGCTAAGAAAGTTACGAGGATGAACAGTGGCAGGAAGCCGGAGGGTCAATCGAGGTATTTGATCGGGCCGTGGCATCCTATATATCATCACATGGAACCAAGATCCGGCTCAGCTCCTTCGGATCATCATCAAATTGAACTGAGTCTGTTGAATTCAGTCCAGATCTTGGCATGAGACTGCATAACAAAACGCGTCTAGCACATCGTCTGATATCAACACCTCTCGTGCCCGACTGTAGTGCCCTAGAGGGCTTGGAGGGAAGGCCTAAAGAGAGGGCGCGAAGAGACGGCACGAAGAGAAGACCAAAAGAGAAATGATGGCCTTTGTAAATTAGATTGCGGTAAAGGCCCGGATCACGAAGGGTTGAGACCATAATTCTAATTCAGGTTCCACTTCGTGTCTCAATCAACCCCGGACCCTGGATCCTAGGCGACTCGGTCGAGGATAAGCTCTCATTTAGGCCTATTTGGCAAGGAGGCAAGCAAACATGCGTTCCAATTCGTTCAGCCCTGAATAAGTCCCTGCCTCATGCACCACGATGCTCGCCCCGAGGCATCTACCAAGGTTGGTTAATCCAGTGGCTAGGTACCTAGGACTCTTTGCCCCCCTGCTTGCTCCTTGGAGCTAGTCATTGAACCGCAGCTCGTACTCTTGGATAGCCTCTCCTCACATGTTGATACTTGGCAAATGCTGATTGCGATTGAACCGGGTAGCAGGGTCGGGTGTAACGTGAACCGTGTAACCTGCGCACATTCCAGAGGTTTGAATCCACGTGAGCCACGCATAGCCATCCCCACGCCACTATTCCCGTTGCTTCCCTCCCTTGGCCCGGCGCGGTCCGGACTTGGTCACGTCAGGGACGACTCTAGGGCTGCTTGGGAGGTAATCCGCATCATGGAGCTCTAGGCTCAGCTGGCCACTGGTGCAACGGCGACAGGTCGATCGATGCGGGAGGCAGACGCCGCGAAAACTCAATGTCACTGCGCAGATGAGAAGCAGTCGTTCGATCGTCAGGAGGATGCGGTAACTTTATTGATGCAACTATTCCATATCCTCAAGTAGACAGGGCCAAGCAGGCATCGACAGCCTGCCCAACTCTTCCCTGTTTCTGGTGTACCACGTCCGAAATGATCTCCCTGTCAAGATCGGGGAACATTCCTTGCAGGGTCTCGACGACGTTATTGTGCTCTACCCTGCTCAGACGCTGGGCTTCAGCAACTTCAGCGCTTGCCTGCCGCGCTGCAGCTTCTTCCGCTGACAAGTGGTGACGAGCAGATGGTGGCCGTCCATCAGGTGATATTTCGGTGCTTGGTCTGGGCGACAGCCGCTCAGAGGAGTCTCGCGGCCTCGACGTCGGCCTCGATGCGTTGCTAGGTACAGGTGGTGCAGGAGAGGGCTCATCCGAAAACATGCGACCGATTGTGCTGAGTGGCTTCTGAATGGAACGAAGAAGTCCCGTGATGGGGGCCTGGTCGTCTGAATCTTTTCCACCCTCATTCGATGATGTTGATCGACGTGGTGTGGATGACTCCCCCATGATGTCTAGAGAAGGCCTCGTCGAAGATTCCCCTGTCTGGTACCCAGTCGATGACTTCTCGGAAAATACAGGTTCTTGAGCGACTGCAGGTGTGTCAAGGCGGTGTTTTTCGGCAATTGCAGATACCGCTGCTTCGACGTTCTTCTCGAACTCTTCATCGGTAATGGTAAGAGTCGTCCGATCCATATTCTCAATAAACTGGATCGCGCCCATCTATGCCATGTCAGTTGTGTGCAGCGTTATTACAGTGTCAATGGGGCCTACCAGAGATGAAAGGTAGTATCCGGCTTCACCACCCAGCTTCTCCTGGTTCCGGAACCGCAGTATGTACTGAACGTTTGACACCAAGTGTTCTGGGTTGGCTTGGAGGACAACGTAGATGAGGAGGGGCATGAAGGAGTCGGCTGAAGAGTCCGACTTTGAGTGCTTGAGCAGGCCTATCACGGGTTAGTCTTCAAAGTCGCGATATGTGCACAAATGGTGGCTTACCAAAGATGACTTTGCAACAGTTCAGTACACAAATGATCTTGTCTCGCGGCGCTCGGTATGACTTGATCTTGAGGATTTCTATGCACAGTCAGCAACCAAAACTCTAGTGGGGAGTCTTGAGAAAATACCTTGCTGGGCGAGCTTCAGGAATCGCTTGCCACTATCACCAGCTGGCGGTATATCAAGGTGCTCCTCTCGAAGCCAGGCATAAATGTTGATCTTTTGTGTCAAGATGTCATCTCGTTCCACGTCCTCTTGGTGCTGGCCACGCCTGCCGGGCCCCATCGGCCGCTCTCCTCCACGTCTTTTCGGTTTCGCACCGGGAATGGGCTGTGGGGGAGGGATCGCCGGTGAAAATGTTTGCGTGTAGAGCCTGTTCATGACCAACTTCTCCATACCTTCGCGAGCATTGTCAAACTCTGCGTCGGAGACGTCGCGCCACACTTCGCACTGCGCCATCTTGTTGGCAATGAAGGCGAGGAAATCGCCGATGATCTTGACTTGCTCGTGGACCATCCACTGCCGCTTACCAAACTCTGACAAAAACGACTTGAGGTATCTGGCGACTGGGTCCGCTTTCTTGTTTCGTAGTTGTTCTAAGAATCGATGGAAGTCGAATGGCAGCGCTGGCTCCGGTTCGGGTTCAGGAGGTGGCGGCCGATGAACGGGCATGCTGGGAGACATCTGGGAGTCGATGCTCATCTGGCGATCATCGTGAGATCGCGCTGGTGTCGCCGGTGGGCCGTCTTTTGGGGGTACTGGCGGCCCTTGTTCGTCGGTTGCTCTTTCTTTGGAGAACATACTAGCTGGGGAGGCCGATTGTATTCTGAGGCCTTGGAGCTCCTGGACCTGGTGAGACAGCGAGGGTACCAGTGGCTCGAGGCTGGACTTCCGGGGTGGATGTTGTATGCCTGGGCTACCAAGCATGGGAGAAGCAATCTCCAGCCTTGGGCTCATGACTTCTTCAGCTCCAGGGCCCCCACCGTCGCCGGTGAACTGCTCCATGATACTCTGAATTTCTGACCGCGACCCATTCTCTTGCTCATCTTCGCTTGCATATCTGTGCTCGTCATAGCCAGCATCAGATCGCGTAGGGGATGCAGAGGTAGGCCGGCGTTTGGCATTTGAGGGGGTTCGTGAGGGAGGCTGGGATGTCCTCGGAGTTGGAGGTGTTGGGTCGACGTATGTCGTGGACTCGATGGTGAGAAACTGTGTAGCAGTCTCGGCAGGAAGAGGGCTCGTGGGCTTCAAAGTCGCTATCGACGAAGTCATCGGTTCCGGGATGGTCACTGGAGCAGGTTTGGACGTTGTCTTGGGCGAGTGCTGGGAAGGCTTATCCTCTACCTTTGTGTCATCTTTCGTATTGGCCGTTGAGACGGGGGTATCTTCGCCAAAATCGATCAGATCGTCGGTCGCTTGTTGTTTGCCTGCTGCTTTCGCTGACAGCACGGGCTGTTCGTCTTCGACATGGTTGTCAAGCTTGGGCAGCTCCGTTTCAGCCTTCGACCCCGCGGTCTCGGCGTTCGTCACCAAGGCGGCGGTAGTATCATTCTGGGGGGCACCAGAGAGGCCGGAAGAGTGATCTGTGGGATCTGTAGAAGACATACACCACAGATCTTGCAGAGTAGTTTTGTTCGTTTTTGGTGAGCTCTAGTCAAGCCGAGCAGCGGGGGTTGGCGTCGGGTTGTGAGAGGCGAGGCTCGAGCTCAGCAAAAGGCGGAGGAGAAACAGTCGCTGACATGCAAATGCGGCGGTCGGATTAGTCGAGCTGCGAGGGCCGTGGCTCGTTATAGGATGAAAGGAAAGATCGAGGATCGGCAGATCAAAGACCCTAGCTGCAGGTGGGTGGTGTACGGAGGGTTATCGGTTGGAGTTGTGTTGGGTGAGCTATCACGGGAATGGGATCAGCAGTCCAAGGTAGCAGTGGGTTGGCCGTGTAACGGCGGAGAGAAGGCTGAGAATGTTGGTGTGCAACGGTAGAGATCCCCACAATTCGTGGGGTGTGGCGGGCATGGGAACTGCACGCTCTCATGCTGCAGTGAGTGACTGGCGGGAGGGCGAATTTCGGCCAGAGTTTTGCCGGAGATCCAGGGTCCCCAGTTGTGGAAGGTCCGACCGACGTCACTCTGGTCCCTCCCTTCCATCCGGGTTCCTACGTAGATAAAGTGGGGATATCGGAGGCAGTGTTCTACCGCCCCGATAGATCCACGTGACCGTCCTGGAAAGTCGTGTTGGACCGGAGCCGAAGGCCACCCCGCATCTGGCTTTCCCATCCGGATCCGAGTGGACCCACCGCATGCCGTGTCCCCGCCGCTGTCGTCCTTGGATTGTTCTTCCGTCCCGGCGCACGGAGCCCCTCAAAGGATTGTTCTGTCTCATCTTTCCCTGATATTGACAGGGGACCAACCTTTCCCACTAAACCTCAACCTCGGCTCATAAAGACTG